TAAGAAGCCATCGTAGTATAGTGGTTAGTACAGATCGTTGTGGCCGATCAGACCCAGGTTCGATTCCAGGCGATGGCACACTTCTTTTTTTTGCTGTTTTTTCAAATTTTTAACACCTTTAAGCTATTTTTTGACAATGTAATAGATGTTATAACTTACAAAAATAATATTCTATCTGAAATCAATTCAAAGGTTGCTTTTTCTAGCCCTAAATCTGATCGTAAAGCGTAGCAAATATCGGGTTTCATTTTTTTTTTTGATTTACAATTTTAAGCTTCTCGAAAAGCGTACCGTTTTTCTTTTTTCTTATGATCGACAATTGTACTCACAATTAAAAATTAAACTAATTAATGCATATCTTTACTTGAAATTTGCCTTGTTCTCTATAAAGTTTCAATTTAGGTAACTTGTTTGTTAATTTGATCATAAAGCAAGCCTAAACAAGCATATACAAGGTTAGTGAAGATATATAGGTATATATATATATACTCTGATCTTGGATCTAAAATTTAGTCCTTGTGCTTATTCGTCTGATGGTATAGTTCCAAAGATCTGGTTCATTTTAGATCAAAAGAAGTACTGAATTCATTAATTTGTCACAATTTTTCAATATGGATTTTCAAAAAGCTGATCAATTATTACAATTATTATACGTTGGTGCTATTGGTAGTGTTGTTTTAGCTAAATTTTATCCTAAATTAAATGGGTTTTTAAAATATGGTAAAACTTTACAAACTAATGATCAATCTGAAGATAACAAACAACAAGAAGAAATTAAAAATGATAAATTAGTTGAACCAATTTTAAAAATTCAAACACCAAAATCATGGTTTTATCATTTTTATATTATTTCATTAACTTTATCAACTATAAGTTTTGGTTTATTACATTATAGTTTAGAAACCAAAGATGAATCATTTGTTAAATTTTTCCAAAATTCATATGGTTCAATATCACCAAGAATCTCAAGATTAGGTTTTTTCTTAATTGCGGTTCATTCATTTAGAAGATTAGCTGAAAGTTTATTCATTTTTAACTATGGTAAAGAATCTAAAATGAATATTTCACATTATTTAGTTGGATTATTTTTCTATTCAGCAATTAATATTTCATTATTATTAAATACATCTTTCAACTCATCAGAATTTCAGAATGAACCAGAATTAGATTTCAAATTATTTGCACCATTGTTTTTATTCCTAACAGCATTTTCAGATCAATTTTTAAATCATTTCCATCTTTCCAAAATTGTTAAATATAATTTACCAAGATTTGGATTATTTCAATATATTTGTTCAGCTCATTATTTTGATGAAATTTTAATTTATTCATCATTATATTTATTATTAGGTACAACAACATCATTATTTAGTTTAGCTTTTGTTATTGTTAATTTAACTGTTTCATCAATTGAAACTAGAAATTATTATAAAGTTAAACATGAAACTGGTAAAATTCCTAGATGGAGTATTATCCCATTTGTCATTTAGATTTATGGATAAAGGAAATCAATACAATCATATAATTGATACAAATTTTTCAGTTCTAATCATCTAATATTATATCATACCATATTATAACAATATTTTTTATTTTATTTATATATACATTTTTTTTTAATTAAATTATAAGTTTTTTTTTGTTTTGTACGTCGTACAGGGATATTTTAAATTCATAATTCATTTCATTAATAAATATAATTATATGTGTAATAACAATTTATGCATCGTATTTCTTGAATAATAATGAAGTATTAACACCACCAAATCCAAAACTATTTGATAAAGCATATTCAATATTTGATTTTTGAGGTTTTGGACCAACAAGATTTAAAGTAAAATCATTAATATCATCACCTTCAGCACCACCTGGAGATTCAAGATTTAATGTTGGTGGAGCGATACTATCTTTTATAGCTAAAATTGAAAAAATAGCTTCTAAAGCACCTGCAGCACCCAATAAATGACCATGTGAACCTTTTGTAGATGAAACTAATAAATCTTTATTATTTTGGAAAATTTCTCTTATTGCATTGTTTTCAATTCTATCACCGATTAATGTAGATGTAGCATGTGCATTTATGTAACCAATTTTATTCAAATCAATACCTCTAGTTGCCAATTCCATTGCTCTTTTAGCACCTAATCCATCTGGAGAAGGAGCAGTTATATGATAACCATCACCAGATAACCCATAACCAACAATTTCTGCATAAATTTTAGCATCTCTTGATTTTGCATGTTCTAATTCTTCTAATATTAAGATACCTGAACCTTCACCTAAAACAAATCCACTTCGATGTTTATCAAAAGGTCTACATGATTTTGTTGGATCATCATTAAAATCAGTAGCAACCGATTGTGCTCTTGCAAATCCCGACAATGCTAAAGGATGAATCGGTGCTTCTGCAGCACCAGCAACAATAACATTAGCGTAACCATCTTTAATGAATCTATAAGCGTCTCCAATAGAATGATTACCAGTTGCACATGCTGTAGAAGGAGCATGATTTGGTCCTTTTAAACCATATTTTATTGAAATAGCACCAGCAGCCATATTTGGTAACATTTTTGGTATAAATAAAGGTTGAACTTTCCTATAACCACCATTACTCAAGGCAACTGCATTATCAAAAGTATCAGATATACTACCAATACCAGAACCAACTATAACACCAGTGTTTAATTGATCTTCAAGTTCAGTTGGATGCCAATTAGCATCGTTTAAAGCTTCATGAGTAGCAGCTAAAGCATATTGAGCAAAAGGAGCTAATCTTCTTGCTTCACCTTTGGCAAAATAAGTATCAGGATTCCATTTCCCATCTGATGTCTCACCTAATGGAACTTTCCCAATCACTTTTGAAGGGATTTTATGATATCTTTCATCATTTAGGGAATCAGTTGATACGATCCCACTCTTCCCAGCTAAAAGAGCAGCCCATGCCGTCTTCACACCTACACCTAAGGGACTTACTGTACCAAGCCCAGTAACAACGACTCTTGACATCCTTCACAAGCTAATACTATAGAATCTCTTTAATCGATCCAAAAGATCTTGAAAACCTTTCCAAAGTATGAAATCAAAATCAATTTCTCGTATTGTTTATTTTCACAAGATTCCCCGGTTCGCGCACCCGCTTCCATGGCGTTAAAATCCAAATTATCAGCACACTAAAAAAGTGACATCTTTTGATCTTTTAAAGAAAAATATTTTCTACCAGGAAATTGATTCTTGGGTTTTCAGATTCTGGTGAGATAAAGAGGATTTAAACACTACCGCTGTGATTGAAAACTGCTTTGCTTTGGATAATCAGATCACTGGCTAGAGAGTGAACACGCTAGTGCTTTTGATCGGTGCTTTTTGCGTTATTGTGAGCTTTATTAGTGGCATTCCACGTGTGTGGTAGTTTGGTTACTAGATTATAGAAGAATCACACTGGGATAGATTTAAAACATCATGAAGTTTGCAGAGTGAGTAGAAACAGAATAGTCATTGATAAAAGAGATTACTAACAGTGCTGTTGAAGATATCTTGCTGAGAACTTGGTATGTTAATTCGCTGAGGACTTTGAGACACATTCAAATTCATAGACTAACAATATGATCAGGTTCCAGAATGGAGAGACAAGTATTTGGATTATAAGGTGAGTTCACTACTGATTATTTATTAATTATTGTGCTCATGAAGACTAACAACATCGAGATAGGGTGGTAAGAAAAGGATAAAGAAAGTTAACGGAAGCCCGTTATCATTTGCCAAAAATTTACCTGGGAAAACACCATTACAATTACAAGATTTCTCTATAAATTTCAAGAAAGATGATTCAAGATCAGATGATCGCCAATCTTTTGCTCTGCCTCCAGCTGCTATTGATCCTAAAGAAGTACCCAGCTCAAGTAAGAACAATCAATATAATTCTCTCAATAATGACAGTATAGTTACTAATGATCAAACTCCTTTATTAGCTTCTAAGAGAGGCTCTCAAAGTCAAGCTTCACTTAACCCACATCCATCATTGTACAATAGACAATCACTAATAAATAATATTGATGAAGGTGCTCCTTTGAGAAGGGCTATGACCACCAAATCTACCAAATCATCCTCAAGGGAAGATAATCAAAAAGTTGAAAATGTTGTTCCATTGGAAAGTAATATGAGCACTGGTAAAAAAGAGTTTATAGATTGGTTAGATAGTGAACTTGAAAAAATTGAAGTTTTTTATAGAGAAAAGGAAGAACAAGCCGTTGAAAGATTTTTGTTATTACAAGATCAATTATATCAATTGAAAGAACAAAAGGAAAATTTGAAATATAAACGTGGACATGAACATAGTGAAGAGTTACTACATTTGAAAATGGATGAAGCTAAACGTAAACTACGGAAAATCAATAAATATGAACTTCCAAGTTTACCAAAATTTCCATTCAAGAAGAAGAAGAAAGTCAAATCAGATGATGACGATAGTTATTATGATGATCAACATAGTAGAAGAGATTATGTACCTCGTGATAAGCACCGTGTGCCTTACTATGTTGCTAAAAGACAAATCAAAAGTGCAGTTCAAGAATACTATAGAGGTTTGGAACTTTTAAAATCTTATAGAATGTTGAATCGTACAGGTTTTAGAAAATTAGTTAAAAAATTTGATAAACAAACTCATTCTGAATTATCAAATTGGTATATTGAAAAAGTTAATTCAAATTATTTTGGTACAAGTGATGTTTTAGATAATATGATCCCAAAAGTTGAAGAACTTTTCAGTTTATATTTCGAGAATGGGAATCGTAAAGTTGCAGTGGAAAAACTTAGATCAAATTTAAGAGAAGATCAATTTTATACAAGTATGTTTTTATCAGGTATCTTATTTGGTATTTCAATTCCTTTACTTATTTATGCCTTATATTTTGGATTACATAAAACTTTAACCCATGAAATGCCAGAGGGGAAATTTGTTTTACAAATTTGGGGTGGATTTTTCCTAATTGTTTTCATGGCTGCATTATTTGCAATTAATTGTTATGTTTGGACAAAATATAAAATTAATTACAAATTTATTTTTGAATTTAATCCTAAGACAGCTTTAGATTTTAGACAATATTCATTTATTCCATCATTAATTTTATTTTTCCTTGCAATTTTCATGTGGTTTAGCTTTAATGATTTTTGGCCAGAACGTTTACCAGGTAGAGATTGGCCTTGGTTCTTTTTAGGTTCTGTTATAATTGTTCTTCTCATGCCATTAAATATTTTTTTTTTAGAATCAAGAAAATGGTTAATCATAACAATGTGGAGATTAGTACTTTCAGGATTTTATCCAGTTGAATTTAAAGATTTTTCTCTTGGTGATATTTTTTGCAGTTTAACTTATACAATGGGTAATATTTCATTTTTCTTTTGTATGTATGGAACAGGATGGAGTGGTGCATTACAAGGATCAGATTCACCATCTTGTGGATCTTCAAAATCAAAATTAATGGGATTTTTTGCAACTTTACCACCAATTTGGAGATTTTTACAATGTCTTCGTCGCTATGCAGATTCTGGTGATTGGTTTCCTCATTTAGCAAATATGGCCAAATATGGTGTTACAATTATTTATTATATGCTTTTAAGTATTTATAGAATTGATAGTTCTGTTCAAAATAGAGCTGTGTTCATCTTGTTTGCTATAATCAATTCATTATTCAGTGGATTTTGGGATATATTGATGGATTGGTCTTTATTTCAAAACAAAAAATTACTAAGAAATGATTTAACTTTTCCTAAATGGTTTTATTATTTTGCTATAGTTTCAGATATTATTTTAAGGTTCCAATGGATTTTTTATGCATTGTTTAGTAGACAAATTCAACAATCTGCAGTTACAAGTTTTTGTATTGCAATTGCAGAAGTTTTCAGAAGATTTATTTGGTTATTAATTAGAATGGAAAATGAACATGTTACAAATAAACATCTTTATAGAGCATCAAGAGAAGTTTCATTACCTTATGATGTTGTTAAACGTGTTAAACCAGATCAACAAAGATCAGATGATCTTGAATCAAGAGTTGGTTATGATAGTATTGGCCAACAACAAGAACAACCAGATACAACACCAGCTTCAATGAGAAGAAGAAGAGATACTTTATTGAATTCAGGTGTTTTACGTGATGTTGGTTTAGCCATTGTTAATGCACATGCTAAAGATTTCCAACGTCGTTCTACTAAACCAGGTGAAATTCCGGAAGATAATAATTCATCAGATGATGATGATAATAGTGATGCTGAATCAAGTTTTAGACCTTGAATTCCTAACTCATATTATCACGGTATATATATTTTAAAACACTAATGATCGTCATATATTTGTTCATAACTAATATTTAAATAATTCAATATAATAATTTATAATTAATACTTGTTAATAACCTTGAACTTTGGCATAATTTGGAGGATAGATCTTTTTGTAGATGATCTTGGATAACCAAATTGGGAATATAGAAACACTTAGTATAACTACTAATTGCCAATAGAATTTCCCATTAGTCATAAAATCAAGATCAAAATATTCAGATAAGAATGGAACAGAACCAACAAATAAACCTAATGTTGCAACTTCTGAAAAAACCATAATTTTACTCCATGAATGAACTTCAATACCAACCATGGCTAATTCATTTAAAACCATACCTGTAAATGATAAAGCAACCATTTTAGTGAAATCAATTTCATTTATACTTGTGAAAAATTGTGAAAATAATTGAATAACACTACCTTGAAATAAAGAAATTCCACACCAAACAAAGAATGTAACATAACTTAATGATTTACCAGAAGTTAATTCATGATAAAGTTCTGGGAAAACAAAACAGACTTCTTTTGTAACATCATAATCATAAACCAATGCAAAAACGGGCATCATAGTATAACAAGTTGCATAACCAACCATTAAAAACCCTGTAATTAAAGCAATTGGTTCATAAGCTGAAGTGATTGAAAAAATAGCTTGTGCAACTGAAATTAATAAACCTCTATGCATAATGAATTGACCTAATTTAGCAGATCTCTTATAACTATTACGGCCATGCCATAATAACAAAGTGGTTAAATGGCAAAATTGTGTTATAGAGAAATCAGCAGCTAATGAAGCTTGTTTACCTTCTTTACCAACAATACCAACACCAACATCTGCACTTTGAATCATACTAACATCATTACCACCATCACCGATACAACAAACTCTTTTTTTAGTAATATCTTTGATTAATAATGCAACATCAGCTTTTTGTTGTGGTGTACAACGACATGCAATAACACATGGTAAGCGAACCACGATATCAAAAAATTCTTGTCTATAATGTTTCATATATAGGCCTAATGATTCACCATCAATTAATAAACATGAGTTACTATTAACTCTTAAATATTCAAGTGAATTCATTGCACCTTCAACTTTTGTCATTTTAGTAACTGTATGAACATATTGACCTCTTGAAATTAATCTTGCACTAACAGAAACACAACGAGCAGTTTCAACTTTATCACCAGTAAGCATCCAGATTTTTATACCTGCATTTCTTAATAATTCAATTGATGATTTTACATTTTTTTGTAATTTATCTTCAACACCTGTTAAACCTAGCAGTTCTAAATCATGTTCCAAATATTGTAATAAAACTTTTTGCATTTCAGCATCTCTATTAATCATTGAAGAAGAAGCTTCTGAATATTTTTCTTTGAAAGTTTCATATAACTTTGGTGTTAATTTTTTTCTACCAATGACTAAAGTACGTAACCCTTCTCTAGCCATATTACTTGTTTCTTCATCTAACCAATCATTACTTTGTACAATTGAAGTCATCACTGTATCAGCACCTTTTTGCAAAAACCATAATTCATCTTTTTGCAAATCACGAATAACTATACCCATTCTCTTTGTATCTGAATTGAATGGGAAAACTTGTAAAATATCATAAGATAAATTTTCATGAGTTGCTTCATGAGCTAAAGTGATTTTATGACGATCTCTTTTAAATAATGATAATCCAACTTGCTCAGTAAATTTAACAATTGCAATTTCATCAGGAGATGCAGCTTGATATGAAATTTCACCATCTTCAATCGTTGGTGTAACATTATGACAAATAGCTAAAGTGGAAATTAAATCACGAACCCTTGTACCCAAATCTCTTTTATTTGCTGCAACTGTTTGTTTACCTTCAATATCTGCAACATAATCTGCAACAATATCCATAGTATCACCAGCATAAGAAACAGTACCTAAATGTAATTTTTTCAATTCCATATCATTTTGTGTTAACGTACCAGTTTTATCAGATAATAAATATTCAATTCTTCCCAAATCTTCAGGAATTGTACTTGTTCTAACAATAGTTTCTTCAATTTCTTGATCATGTTCAATTTGATATGCATAAACTGATTTTGCTAAATCTAAATTAACTCTTAAAGAAACTGGAATAATTGTGGAAAATAAAATTAAGAATCTCATAACATCAACATACCAAGTTCCTTTAAAACCATGAACAGAAACCAGACCAAATGATAAAACGAAAACACAAACACATAAAATTTTAGAAATTCTATTAATTTCTAATTCTAATAAACCAGTTTTAACACCGGATTTTGTCATATTCATGGCTTGTCTAGTATCTATACCAGTGTATACAATACAACCAATTGCAGTACCTGAAGCTAACACGGTATTAGCCCATAATGTATTATCAACAGTTAACCCAGTTGTTTGTCCATTATATGAAATTCTCCCTAAAAATGAATGGATTGATTTTTCCGGGGCAGATGCAACTATATTTATATTATTTAATTCATCTAATGATAAATTTTGTGTTAAAGGAGATGCAATTCTTAATTTCCAATCAGTTTCACCATCTAATTGATCAGTTTTGATAAATGATTCACCAGAATTTTCACTTGATTGTAATAAAATTGCATCAGCTGGAATTCTTGTATCTTTTGATAATTTAATTAAATCACCAACATTTAAATTCTTACTTGGTACTAATTTTGATTTCCCAATAACTTCATATAATTCACCATTTGCTTCTGAATCTCTTCTTCTTCTCTGTATATCATCCAATGCTTCTTTTGACATTGTAACTGTTAGAACAAAAGCTAATGGGACAACATATGATGATAAATAACCTATTCTTAATGCAGGAATGGCTTGTGATAATGCAACTAATAAGAAATAAAGATTAAAAAAGAATTTGAATTGTTCATAAAGAATTAATGGTATGAACGTTATTGGATTATATTTTGCATTTGAAATAGCATTATTAGGGAATTTTTGGTTCGGTACTCCTGGATAAATTTCTCTTTCTGTATGTTTATCAGTTAATCTAACTGATGAAGAATTTTTAGATTTTGATGATTTAAATAAATTTGAAAACCCTTTTGACCAATTTCCATTTTTGGAAGTATTATTTGTATGATCATTATTAATCAGTGGAGAATTATCATCTTGTAATAATTCATCCATAGAATCTTTATGTTGATTTGAAATTTGTTCATTCATATTTTGTAATGGTATATTTTGACTTTCTGAATTTCTTAAACTTTGATTTGAACGATTTAAAAATGGATTTTCTTCTAAATTTGCCAATGCTGCATCCAAAGAGTCATCAAAATGTTCATCAAATGAAGAGATGCTATCTTGTCGATGATGAGATGGACTATTGAATTCTGACAAGGGCATTTATATTTTGGGAAAATATAGGAGAGTATATATCAAAGTGATTTTGTGATAAATGAGGCGGGACTTTGATCTATGTTCTATTATATGGAAATCAAAAGCAAGAGAATGAATGGGATGGATATCTTGATGGAAACCGCCTCAATGAATACCTATTTCTTTTCCTTGAACTTCAATAAATAATGTTACTATAATGATCTAGATAATGACAGCTATTTTCTATCTTCAGCACTGCCAAACCTTCAACAAAGATCCACTAAAACTAGGAAACAACGATGACCTGAGCAGTCTAAAACCAATAACAAACCAGCACACAAAGAATCCGCTTTGGTTAAACCTGTTCAAATTGATGAAATTGTTCTTATTTAAACTTGTTTTAACGTTATCGGTTTCAAATATACAACCTCATAATTTTATTAGGAGGCCAAATTTCCTAAGCCTAAATGGTTCGCGAAACATGGGTATAAAAGATTAGTATAATAAGCATTTTAAGCAGCAAAAATTATTCGAATATTAAGCGAGGGTTTTACAATTCTGAGTATGGAGATCAATAATTATAACAGATAGGGGGATCATGTTACAATATTGCAGTTGTATTCTCCATGTTATTTCAATTTCATACTCTAAAATTCATTTTTAAAAAACGTAACAAATAATTCTTTTTATTTATATTAAAAATTTTATACCTTTTATATATTAACCCAAAATTTAAATTTTTATAAATAAACAACTTAGTTATAATTTAGTTAATTTATTTTTTTGATTTTTGAGCTTTTTTTTCAGCTTTTTGTTCTTTTTCAGATTGTTCTTTTAAGACACGTTTAACAATTTTTTGTTCTTCAATTAAGAAAGCTCTAACAACTCTTTCTTTAACACAGTTAGCACATCTTGACCCACCGTAAGCTCTTGAAACAGTTTTGTGAGTTTTTGAAACTTGAGCGTATTCTCTTGGACGTAAAGCTGAAATACCTGGTAAAGCAGTACCACAGTCACCACATTTTGGTCTAGTACCAGATTTTTTAACGTGTTGAGCACGTAAAACACCACCTGGAGTTTTAACAACTTTGATTTTGTTAGAACGGGTGTTGTCTATTGTTAATTAGTTAGTATTTTATTCCATTATTAAAAAAAACAGATAAATCAATAGTGGTTATGAATTTATAAGGGGAATCATTATGACCTTGATTCTGTTGAGATTGACTATTATTCCTTGCTGTATATTATTTGATCATTATCCTTCATTCACTGCAATATTCTTATTCACATTTGCTTTTAATATTATTGATCTATGAAACTTTATTGAAAAATTATTTGTAGATTAAAGATACTATAACACTACGAGTATCTGACCTTATTCTTTAATAAATAACTTGATTATTCCCATTCCACAATTCATTGTAATCTATATCTCTCTTCTCTTTGTTCTCTATCACTCTATTATATCTTATTCTTGAATTTTTCTTTGTCAAAACATCAATAATTTAAACATGAATGAATTCCCTTATAACAATTCCCACAATATATATATATAGATCTTTATCCTTTTTGAATATCACATACATGGATTTCTTCTTCTGTAAGTAACTCTTTGAGCCATTTTTGTATATGTTTTAACGGTCCTAAGAAGGTATTCAATACACTATGTAAATTTCCAAAGTTTTTCTATTGATACCTATTAGATTTTTTGAAAACTTTGCCAAACCCGATGATGATGCTGGGTATTTTCCGCGAATTTTCAGCGTTTTGTTTTCTTCGCAGTGCGCACTAGTGAATTGTACAAAAAATTTCAAAAATCTGTCAATTGTGATAAGGGTTAATAAGATGGGTGTTTGGATGTTTACATAGTAAAGCTGGGATCTGGTGTTGTGCTTACCGGGAAAAGCGACTCTTCTTTGAAAAACTGTGACTGCATTAGGGCACGGATCCATTCCCATGTGACTCTGAGTATATTAGGGCATACTCTTCAGATCATATGTAATATAGTATTACTACTCTGTTTCTCTAAACTTGAATTTACTGATACTTTTAGACTAGTTTTAGATAAGAATTGGGAAATGACTAATGATTAAGTCTATTCTTTGTTATAGGGTTTATCATGCTTTTGATTCATTGTATTGGATCATTTGTAACATTATAAAATGAATACCTTAGCCTTTGCAGTATGTTGATATTGGTGTTACAAATTGATATATAATTAATCTACATTCAAACAAATTCAACACAAAACTCATGATAATTTTATAAAAATTATATTTAATTTTCAACAGCAATAGCTTCAATTTCAACCTAAAATTAGTTAGTAAATGAATTCCCAATCCATTATAATTCAATATACATACATCAACACCTAAAGGTAAAGATTTAACAGCAACACAAGATCTTGCAGGTTTATGAGTATTAAAATGTTTAGCATAAACTTTATTAAATTCAGCAAAGTCATTAATATCAGTTAAGAAAACATTAATTTTAACAGTTCTATCTAAACCACTACCAGCTTCTTCTAAAATTGATTTAATATTTGAAATAACTTGTTCAGCTCTATCAGCAATTGTACCTTCAACTTTTGATCCATCTGGTTTTAATGGAACTTGACCTGAAACGTAGATGAAGTCTTGAAATGTTAGTATTTTTGTTCAACTCAATGTAATTCAATTGACATACTGTTTGCTTTAATGGCTTGAGAATATGAAGCAGCAGCTGGTGGAGCGTTTTTAGTGGCAACCTAATATCAATTGTTAGTTAATAATCTTTACTCGATTCAATTCAATTAAATTCATCATAGTTTTTCATAGATTTGATCAATTGATGATTGTTTGACATAATTATCCTATAAAACTCTTGACACATTTCCAATCAACATGATCAAAACACCGATGAAATGAAACCCAATTAAATCATCATAATCCAAATACATACTGGAGTAATAGTAGTTAAGTTTCTAGCAGACATTGTTAATAATCTTGATTGGAATCTTGCAGCACGAGTTGCAGTTTGAATAAATGACATTGTATAAGTTATTTATATATGTTCAAAAAAGGGGGATGGTTTTCAGAGTATGTACCCAAAATTGTCGATAAACAAAGTAAATTATCCGATCCATAAAACCCAATCCCCAGATCCGAGTTAGAATCGTGTGCGAGAAGTCAACAAAGAATGGTTGACTTCGTTTGACTGGTGACTCGGGGATGGAATATCAGTACAATTAAAGTAAATAAACGAATAACGTCATAATATTTAATTAGCTATTTACAATTGAATCTGTGATGGACATTGGTTATATATACAAATGATGGATTTATATGTTCATGATTGTTCAGGTTCTGGTTTTTTCTCTTCTGCAGTGAACGTTTGACCACTTAAAGGTTGTAATTGTTCGTATTGTTTCCGTAGTTCTTGTTGTATTTCATGTTCTTGTTGGTTGACCAATAACTTCTTTCTCAATGCCTTTTCTTGTTGTCTTTGAGCATCTTTAATAGGACCTTGATGTAATGCCTTTGAAATCTGTTAATATACCATATTTAATTTAGATATTTAGATTAAACTCACTTCTTTCTCTTCAGCTTGGACTTTGTGGACCCATATCACGGTAGCAGTGGTGGCTACTATTGTGGAAGCCAACGTTATCTTACTAGCTCTTGACATTATATATGGATGGTAATAAGAACAACGTTGATAGTATAAAACAGTATATTTAGATCTTCTTTATTACTAAAATCAATTTTAATTTTCATATTCGCGAATGGGATTTGTTAGTGTCTGCCTAGAGGTAACAGAGGCCGCCTAAACAGTGAGCAGAGCCTAGGCAGAGCCCAGACAAAGCGACAGAGCCTAGAAAGAGATTTCCTGTCTAAGATCTAAGCGAAACCTCAAATTTTAAACGGGAAATCGATTACAAAATCCCAGCACATCACTCGTGAAAAACAGCAATTGACACAATTTCATTTCAACTTCACAAGCACAATGTGTTAAAATGAAAGAAGAAATCGTAAATACAATTCCCGTTAAACTTATCGATCATATAGCCTAAGCTCATCTCTGCCTAACTCTTGTCTGTTTTTCTGCCCAGTGTTCAATGTTCATCTGCCTAATCGTCCACCTTCCCACTGGCCACTCCTGCCTGGGTCCTGCACGAGCTCCCGTCGCGAAATTTACCCTCAGTTGGTGCGCTGCACACGTTTGAATGTATATCAAAATATCAGAGTTGCAACATCAACAACAGAAGCTTCAAATCAGCCAGGCTCATCATACCACCCCGTTCTTTCTGATGCAAGTGAGTAAACTTACAATTAGAACTACCCAGAAGGGAATCTACACAGAAACAAAGAAAAGTTCACTAACACACTTCCACAGAATCAAGAGTCGGCACTTGAAACAGATTCAAGTCAACCTATAGTTATCCCTCGTCAGGAACCAATTAGTAAACAATCTTCAAACACATCATACAACTTGCCAGAATCTTATCACACAGCAAGTTCATTCAAAGCATCACCATCAGATCAACAATTGCCCTCCTCTGTGAATTCAACAGGATCTCAATCAATTTCAGTTCCTATAATCACTCCAAATTTGAATAACAATAGCATAACAAACAACATTTCCAATTTAAGAAACCCTTTCAATTCGTCATCACCAAGTGGCCATTATAGTCCAAGAGCAGACCCTCCAAGCTATTATAATGCTAATAGAACCGCATCTATGAGTGAATCAATCAATAATACGCCTCAATTCCTACGTAATAATAGCTCAAGTAATGTGTCACATTCAAACTCAAATATATCAACAAATCGTCCAAGTTTATTAACTTCAAAATTAAGTGGTTCATCAAATTCAATTCATCAAATTCAATCAAATCAATCATCTACTCAACCTCAACAAATTCAACGTCAACATTCTGGTCATAATTCACCAAATTATCCTTATCCAAATCCAAAAAATTCAAGTTTTAGAAATCCTCATTTAAAATCTTCAATGAATTTTGATCAATCACAACATATACCACATCAACAACAAATATCACCACAACAAGCACATAATCAAACCCCAAACAACCATCAATTCAGCTCAAGTGTACCTAATCGTTCATCAAATATAGAAATACAACAACCTTCAACTTCACAACATTTTAAAACTTCAGAATTAATCAATTCTTATACACCATATCATAATACTCCAAGTGTTGTTTCTTCTTCTTATTCATCTGCATCAAATTCTGTTCCAACTCATTTTAATAATAATACTTTACCAAATTTTCAATATTCAACTTCTTCAATACCAACAACTAATGTTAATACTGAACATATCACACATAATGAATTCATAAAACCAAGTCCATATGATACACATAATCAACAACAACAACCTTATATAACAAGATCTGATACAGAAAGTACAACAATACCACAAGAACCAAATTTAAATCCAAAAAATGATACATCAAATTTAACAGAACAAGAATTATTTTCAAGATCAATTTCACAAAAATTATCAAATAAACCTGAAAATCATTTAGATATTGTAAATCATCCTGTAAATGATTTATTATTAATGCTGAGTGCATTATTACAAAAAATTGTTGAAGCAAATGATTCATTACATCCTCATCATTATCATCAAGCATCTCAATTACATCAATCAAATAAATTTACTGCAAATGTTTTAGCATTCCATGGTAGAAATGTTCCAGCAATTTCATTACATGCATACTTGACAAGAATTTTAAAATATTGTCCTGTTACAAATGAAGTTTTTTTAACTTTATTAGTTTATTTTGATAGAATTGCAAAAAGAGCAAATGCAGGTGATTTTGATCAAGAAAATTTACAACAAAATTCAAATGACATAGATTCATCTTCATCAATATCAGATCAATCAAAACCTCAAGAACAATTGTTTGTTATGGATAGTTATAATATTCATAGACTGATTATTGCAGGTATAACAGTTGCATCAAAATTTTTTAGTGACATTTTTTATAAAAATTCAAGATATGCAAAAGTTGGTGGATTACCATTAGAAGAATTAAATCATTTAGAATTACAATTTTTATTATTAACTGATTTTAAATTAATGATTCAAATTGAAGAATTACAAAGATATGCTGATTTATTATTAAAATTTTGGAAAAGAGAACAATTAAAAAATGATGAAGGAAATGATGAACAAGAACAACAAGAACAACATTTAAATGAAAATCAAAATAAACCGGGTCATGATGCTGATGGTGATAAAGATATTGATCAATCTTCTTCAACTACAGAATCTGTTCAATCATAAGTACACATAAACTTATTGTTTTCATTTGTTTCATATTTCTTTAATGATATAACACTCTTCTTATTATGATTATTTTTGATTTTAAATGGCTTAATGGCGTATATATTTCTTTCATGGTTTTCATTTTTGATTTTTTATTATTTTTATTATTTTTCCCTGTCCAATTTATTTTGTGTTTTCTTTGTTTACAAGACTATTATATTATAGAGTGATATTATATCAAAAAGATAGTATTGACACAAGAATAATATGAGTCAAAGGAAGTTTTATGAATTTGAACATGATTCTCTTGATTTATGTTATATTAATTCAGACTTTTATTATATAAATATATTATAATTTTCTTCATGATGATGTGTTATATGATGATTAGTCCTTTAATTGGGAAATTGTTACTTTTGCATTTTTTATTCATATTTAGTTCTGTTAATCTTATTATAAGTTCATACGTTTTTAGCTTTTAAATTGACGTAGTCATAGTACTACATTATCATTACTTATATGTGCAAATTATAAAAGATTTGATCATGATATTCAATATAATAATTAAATTCTATATATCATATACCTTCAACAATATTCCCCCCAATATATATTAAAACCAAAATTAACCAAAAGCAATAGACGTACTATGCTTTGTATATGCAAACAACAGTGAATAACTTAAACAATAATTAAACCAACAACTTAAAGATCAATAATAAAGATAATATCCTTAACGTAAACGTCTTGCTTCACGTTCAGATTCCATTAATGAAAGAATATCATTTTCACGAACTGGACCTTTAACATTTCTAACAATTGTTCTTGAAGAATCATCAATAAATTCAACTCTAACTTGAGTAACACCACCACGAGAACCGGTACGACCAAGAACTTTTTTAACTCTAGCTAATGTAACAGGTGTTTTAGTATCCATTTTTTGAAGTAATTTATGTGTCAAAAGTTATGCAATATAAATCAAAAGATAAGTAAACATATATTTAAACAAATTGAAAAAAAAATTCTGTATATACTTTATTAAAAAAAATAGCGTCTGGTCCCAAAAGGGAAATACGACCAAATCCGAAATCACATGACTTAGATACCCTCGTAATATTACCTAATTTATGACATCATCAAGTTTTTTTTTAAAAATTCCGCCGGTAATCGGTCTTTCCGAAATCTCTGAGTCAGAGTGCGCGTTATCGAGAAAGTTGAAAAGATTTGGAAAAAATCACACATGGTTGATGAGTATTAAACTAATAATTTTGTGACAAATTTAAAATATATTCAGTATATCTAATATACTTTTGGATTCATAACCTAATTATTTATTATATAAAACATTCATTATGGATTTAGTTAATCATTTATCTGATAGATTATTATTTGCTGTCCCAAAGAGTATGTACATGATTGATATATGATAAGAAATCAATCCAATATGAATAATAATAATAAAAATACTAACAAAAGTTCAAAGAGGGTCGTCTTTATGAAAAAGCTGTTCAATTATTAAAAGGTTCAGATATTGAATTCCATCGTTATAATAGATTAGATATTGCCTTATCAACAAATTTACCAATTGCTTTAATTTTCTTACCTGCTGCAGATATTCCAACTTTTGTTGGTGAAGGTCGTTGTTCATTAGGTATTACAGGTGTTGATCAAGTTGAAGAAAGTGAAGTTGATGTTGAATTAGCATTAGATTTAACATTTGGTAAATGTAAATTACAAGTTCAAGTTCCAGTTGATGGTCCATATAAAGAACCAAAACAATTAATTGGTAAAACTATTGTTTCATCATTTACAAATTTAACAAGAAAATATTTTGAAAAATTAGAAGGTGTTAAATCTGGTGAACCTTTAAAAACCAAAATTAAATACGTTGGTGGTAGTGTTGAAGCTTCATGTGCATTAGGTGTTGCTGATGCAATTGTTGATTTAGTTGAAAGTGGTGAAACAATGAGAGCTGCTGGATTAATTGATATTGCAACTGTTTTATCAACATCAGCTTATTTAATTGAATCTAAAACTCCATCACATCCAGAATTATCTCAAACTATAAAAGCAAGAATTGAAGGTGTTTTAGCTGCACAAAAATATATTTTATGTAATTATAATGCACCAAGAGAAAATTTAAGTGATTTATTAGCTTTAACTCCAGGTCGTCGTGCTGCTACTGTTTCTCCATTAGATGATGAAGGTTGGGTTGCAATTTCTTCAATGATTGAAAAAGGTAAAAAAGGTGAAATTATGGATAAATTAAAATCAAAAGGTGCTTCTGATATTATATTATTTGATATTTCAAATTGTCGTGTATAAAAAAAATAGAGCTTGATGCTTTTTTAAACTTTTATAAATAATAATCATAGAGTTTTGTTTTAAAGACCTTACGTATATGAATTTATGTAAACCAAAAGAGAACGTGATATTATAAAATAAATATCTATAGCAAACAATAAGTCTATCATTCCAGATGATAAATAACAATTATAATAAATAAGATATATAATGATACCAGATCATCTAATGAACATTACGTCCTGCAGCATCACCTTTTTCTAAATCAAGATTATTCAATTCAAGATTTGATTGACTATTAGTTGAATTTGAATCATTTGAAGTGATATTAGTTTGAGTAGTTGTAGTTTGAGTTTGAGATTTTGTTAAATTACCAACAGAACTTGCATTTTCAATAAATTCTTCATTATGTTTTTTATCATCATCATCAATTTTCAATTCACCTTTACCTGATTCATCTTCAACAAAACGAACATGATTAACACCTGAAGTATCTGGAGCTAATTCAGCACCATATCTACCAATTAAATACCATTTTTGTTCAAATAATCTATCCATAGATTCAATTGATCTACCACTAATTTCAGGAACAAAAAACCAACAAAAGAATAAACCCATTAATAAAACAGCGAAAAAGAAGAAGAATGTACCTTTATGATGTAATGCAATATTCATTAATGGAACAGCTTTTGTATTACCATATTGATTTGCAAAATGGAAAGCCATAATAGTTGCAGTACCAATATTACGAACTCTTAATGGGAACATTTCAGAATTAATTAAATATTGAATTGAATTCCAACCCATAGTCCAACCAACACCATTCAAATATAACATAGCTAAAGCTGCAACACCAGCTTGTTTTTCAGAAGGTGACATTTCAAATTCTTCATCTGCAACTTTTGGGACAATAGCAATAAATAATGCAAAAAATAATGTAGTTATAGTTTGAATTGTTAATCCAATATAAAGAGATTTTCTTCTACCAAGGAAATCAATAATGAAAAAAGCACAAAGATAAGCTGATGAAAATTTAACAACACCTAAAATAGCAGTCATTAATAATTTTCTTGTACCTGAATAACCAACTAATGCAGTTAATTCTGGCATATAAATTGTAATTGCATTTGCACCTGACCATTGACCCAAGATTTGAACACCAAGACCTAAACATAATCTATATCTAACAGATGGGACAAATAATAATTCTTTAAAAGCACCCAACATTGAAGTATCTTTAGTTTCTTCAGTTTCTTCATTAATTTGTTCTTGAATATCAGAAATTTCACTTAGAACATAAGGATGATCTTCTGGTAAATTTCTAATTTTTGATAAATTTTTATAAGCTTGATTAATATTACCAACTTTCATTAACCAACGTGGAGATTCTTTACAAAACCAAGTACCAATAAATAATAAACCAGCAATAATAATTTTCAAAGAAGTTGGTAAAACCCATTGTAATCTTTTACTAGGACTCATATGAATCGCAGTAGCATAATGACTAAAATATGACAACATAATACCCATATAAACAGCACCTGCAAATACACAAGTACAAAGACCTCTAATAGCTTTTGGAGCAATTTCACTTAAATAAGTTGGACCTAATACAACGGTTTGACCAATAGCTAAACCTTCTAATAATCTACCAGCATATAATTGACCAACTTTTGAAGCGGTAATTTGAATAACAACTGAAGCAATCCAACCAACACAAACACCTTGTAAAGTTTTTATACGACCAAATTTATCAACCAAATACATAGCTAAGAGAGAACCACCAATAGAACCTAATTGAACCATTGAAGTTATATTTGATTTTAATTGAGCAATTTCATGTTCAGTTTTGGATTCATCAGAAAGTCCAAATTGTTTTTTAAAAGAAGCTTGAGCAACAGAACCTGAAATACCACCTTCATCTAACCCACGAGCACAACCTAAGACACCAAATACAAAAACTGAAAGGTATAAAGTTTTATTAAAAATTTCTGGAGGTGAATTATCAGAATTAAAGAATTTTTTTCTGAATGATTGTTTTGGATGTTTAACAGAATCCACAGCAATTTTTGGAGCAGTCATGATACGGGAATAGCTAGTTGTTGTAGTTGTTTTCAATCTATTATGAACACCATAAAAATATAAATCAGAGAGAAATGATTGTTATTTTATAGTTCAATAAACAGATTAGAACCATAAACATCAACGTGTATCACAAACCGTTAAAGATCATAATTTCGAACTAGAAAGTGGAGCTAGTTCTTCACCAAGACATGAAAGCGACAACCATAATACTACCCCATATTAACGTACCATGAACTAAAAACATTGTACCAACAAAATTCAAATGCTAAGCAATTGGAAACCAAATCATTTACCAAGAACATCATTACCCCATAATCCACAAGATACAACCAATAACCATTACTCATTTGGTAAGAACAACCGTAAGTCCATCATATAAGTACTCGTTTCACTAAAAATTAATCGCCACTTTCTTAAAATTGTTTACTTTTAATTTCATGATTTATTCGGCGCTTAATTAAATTATTACTACTTGGTAAAGACAGCACCTGAACACCAGTCAGCTTTAAAGTTTAAACTTTCCCCAGTTGGAAAGTTGACAGAATTTATTTTGTTTTTGGTGTTCTTTTCAATTTTGTTTGTTTACTAAAAGGCCCCTTGAAATATTGATATCGTAAATGACTAGACCCTGAACATCTCGTAAAGTCCATATGATGTTCATATGATATTCAAAGCTCAGGCGCGCTTGAACATTCAACAATAGAGCACAGATCTCTCAGTATTCTGGGTATACTAGTACGTATCTCTTTGCACGATAAGCTCACATTAATTATTTTCTTGTCCGGATTCCAACGCCAGACTTGTTCAAACATAATCAAAGTACTCAAAGTCTTGGATATTGTACTTATAAACTCTTGGTAATTGAAACTCGGTGCCATATCGGATTCATGTAACTCTCACTTAACTATAAGATCAGTTGATTGTTGATTGTCTAGGACTCCTGATAATTGTGTCATTGCTCATATACTCTATGTGGGGATACCTTTAAATCACCGGATAATTCAGGATTGAATACTACAAATGACTCAAATTAAACTATCGCGAGTATTATTAAGCACTTCCAAGATATTTTATATACACGATGAGCTAAATATTAATTACTAGATATAGATTGTTCATCCGAAAGTTAACGTTTAGTACATACCCATAGTACATAATTTATACACCGGTTCAATGATCAACGTACAACGGATCCACCACTAATTATAATACTCTGTCCTGTAAGATAATTTGAATCTTCACTTGCTAAAAAACTAACAACCCCAGAAACATCTTCAACACTAGTTGTTCTACCAAGTGGAATTTTTTCAGTAATTTTAGAAATAATTGCTTCTCTTGACTTACCTGAATAATCTCCAGTCATTTTATCAATACTTTTCCATAATTCTGTATTTGTTATACCTGGACAATATGAATTAACAGTTATCCCATATGGTGCTAATTCTTTTGCTGAAGTTTGTGTAATTGATCTTATTGCATGTTTTGTCATACAATATCCTCCTAAATCTTCATATCCTTCAATACCTGCTGTTGAACCTGCATTTATAATTTTACCAACTTGACCTAATTTTTGAAATTTTTCTGATGCAATTTGAATACCATATAATGTACCATTTATATTTGTTGATGACATTTGATCCCATGATTCTGAAGTTAAAGTATTTAATTTCCCTAAGATTGCAATACCTGCATTATTTATAATAACATTGAAACCACCTAATTCATTATATGTTGTTTCTACTGCATTATGAATATCTTTTTTAATTCTTGAATCTGCTGGTATGAAAATACCCTTTGTATTATATTTGTTTTCAATTTCTTTAATAACAGATTCACCTTTTAAAGAATTTGTTTTCAAATCAGTTATAGCTATTTTAAAACCATCTTTTGCTAATCTTGTAGCTATGGCTTTACCAATTCCTTGAGCAGCCCCTGTGATCAATGCGACTTTAGACATGATTCAAATGATCTAGTAATGTATATGAAGAGAACTTCACATCTAGATAAACGTGTATTTTAAAATACATGATGTTTTGACTCGAAACTGTTGATTAATTAAGGCGCGGTTTTTCTTTCAGGTACAACCTAAATTAAATCTCGGTGTTGATACTGCAAGATCATTTGAGGGACCAGGGTACTATCCGATTATTTAGATCATGATGTTACTATTAAGATAAGAATTTAATTGAAGTACTGAAGATGAAGAAATAAATATATCATCAATGTGATATTAGATCAAATGTATGTATATTGGATTATACGACATCTAGAATGCTATGCTTCAATAGTTCTTACTAAGAACAATTCACAAGGTTAGATACAAATCTTATATATAGTTACATAGGATCAACAAAGCACGATAATTGTTGAATATGAATGAATTACTTTATACTCTTGTATATGACACCCATGTATATTGTCACTATTCAAGCATCTATTCATCCATAAATGTGATCAGTGATTCTTTATTCATATATATCTAAAGCCATAAGTACATCAATAGATCATGACCAAAGAAACTATAATTGTTATAAGGTATCTAAGGAATTCATATATATCCTTGAGTCATATCTGCCTGCCAATCAAAAATCAGATATCCAGAGCAGTCATTGGTTCAGCTAGCTGTGCAATCTAGTATTCATCATCCTGAGCTTTTAACGTGTTGCAACATGATATAACTGATAATCAATAATGCCATCAAACTTGGCGTATAATATTTTAAATTATCATATAAACGTTCTGTATAATTGAATGTTGAGTACTCAAGCCAAGTATTATCATGAGCGTGGAATTCAATTTGACTAATGTATAATGCTAGTTTATCTGTTACACTAATCAACTTATTCATTAACCGCCGTGCTTCTGTGTTGTCTAATTTGCAAGTTCCAAATATTGATATATGAGATATATATATGAGATCTAATGATAAAATATGAAGTATTTTATCATCTATTCCCTCTAATAAGACTACAACAAAGACATAGTTGATTAAATTAAATTACATCATCCAATAGCGCTTTGTATAATAACTTGTACTCTCTGAAGCAGCTTATTTAAAGTCTATATCATGTTATGAATATCATCTAAACATATAATAATGATACGCGTCATAAAAATCATAAATCACCCCAGAAAGCTCACGTATGAATTAAAGATTTATTGATAAACTGTGGTGGTTGGATGTCTTAGTTCACCGTGATACCGTGGTGGTTAAAAAGAATAAAGGATAAGATATATATAATTACACTCCGATCCGAATTAAGAAGAAGAAGAACCACAATTAAGATCATAGTATATCATACTAAGTTTGAGCCGTGTACTTACTACTGTGTATTATCAGCTGGCTGTTTGATAAGAGCTGGTTAATCATGTGGAGGCTTGGGGTTAGTACACCTTTAGTTCAATCTTTGAAATGCTAACTAAAATAAGACGATAATCTTACCACAATTGAATAGACCTAGTTAGTAGTCATTTCATATGAAACTAAACCACCGTATCTCTATTGACCTGTCATATTCTTATACTAAAGTAGCTCTGTAATATGTATAAACTAAGTTTTTTAGTTAGTAATTCATTGCTAAATTGTAATAATCTTGTAAATAAATTAACAAATTGTGGCAAAGAATCCAAAGATCATTCGTCATGGTATTCCTTATCGCTTATCTTGAGACAAATTTGAGTGCTCATAAGACAAATCTTAACCGATTTAGTTCACCTTTAAGATTCCAATGAGATAAACACATAAACACCAAAGTGTTCTTATGTTAATAAACTAAACATTCCAATCATATCAACTCCTTAGCTTCAATCGCCTAATCATATCGATTTATATACTCATTTGATATATAACAAATAATTAATTCACCTATCAATGACGAATGTCTTAAATTTTATAAACTGTGGTTCTTTTGTCTAATTTATAAGGTGTCACTGGCGCGGGTAGGCTTTCTGCCTAAAGTAGTTCTAGGCAGAGGGGGGTACACAGTCTACACAGTCTACACAGAGATTCATGAAAACTCTAGGCAGAGTACTGGTGACTAGACGGGAATTAGACGGATGGGAATTTAGGCAGAAATTCTCTTTCTGTGTTCGGTCTATTGTCCCAAAGGGGTTTGACCCGAACGGACTTTGAAAGGGCTTTGAACTAGCCTCAATTTGTGGCGAGATTAATTATTTGTGATATAAACGTGATTTAAAGTGATATTATGTTGCAAGTTGTAAGTTGTAAACGGTTGTTTGTGTCAATTTTTATTAGTTTTGTTATATCATGTGCTTTAATGTAAACTACGTTTAATGATGATGTTATATGTAATGCAAATTTCATAAATTCATTATAATACATAGATGTATAGTTTATAACTATTGATCCAAGTTTTGTTTATGTTTAACTAAATTTAATAATGTACCCATAAGGAAAATTCTACCATCAATTGCACTTATATCAACTTTATCTAAACTTAAATCAATATAATTTGTTTCTAAATATTTTAAATTTAATAATCTTGATAATAAAAATCCTGTAATTTGACAAATCATTATACCACAATCACTACCATTAATTTGTTGTGGAGTATTTTCAATAATTTTAATTTTTAATTGATAACCTAAATATTCCATTAATTTTTTAATAACTTGAATTGCTTCAGTTTCATTTGCTCTCTCCATTGTATCATAAATAAATGCAGTTTGATCTAATAAACTAATAACAATTAAAGACCAATGAGATCCTGCAGATGCAGTTTCAACATCATCATTATCATTAACTGGTAAGAAAATAAATTTTGAATTTTCTAATGGAGGTAAAACACCTTTTAATTCTAATGGTGCAGAGGTATTTGCTAAAAGATAAACCATTGATGGACGTAATAAAATAATTGAATCTTTAATTAATTTATTAAAAGAATTCAATTGATATCTTTCTAAATATTCATATAAAAATGATATATTATTATCATTTAACCATTCATCATCTTTTAAATTATCTAATTCTTCTTTATATATGGAAACATCAAAAAATTGTAAAATTTTTTCATCATCATTAATTTTTGTAGATGCCAATTGAGATTTCAAATTTAGGATCAATTCTTTATGTAATTTATTCAATTGAGCAACTTTATTAACATCAGAAGGAATATTAAAATCATCAAGATCTGAATTACCTTTTTGTTTCTTTTTTTTCTTACCATATTGTTTTTTAATTTTTTTACCATTTAATTGTTTTTTATCATTAATTTTATCATTAATTTTATCAGTAATTTCATTTTTCAATACTGAAGGTTTTAATAAATCACTCATTTCATGATTCAAATGATTTTTAGATTCATTAGTATACATATCCCCATTTTCTTGTTCTTCTTCATCTTCATTATAATTTGTTATTTTAGAATATTGTTGTAATTCATCATCTTCCCAATTAAAGAAATTGAATCCATTTGTATATATAGTTTCCTGGCTATGTTCTGATTGGATACCTGTGTTTCCCTTGGGTATACAATAACCTTTGTACTGGTTATACACTACTCTTAACATCCTAACCTAGTCAATTGAACCAATACCTTTGTCTAATATCACTGTCTTCCAATTGCTATTAATGGCTTTTTGTCTTAAAATTCGCGATGTCTGTCACTATTTAACGTGTCTCCAAATTGCCATTTTGAGCTGTGGCGTGTGTGCCGTTCAGACAAATTTGAATTTTACAAGAAAAGGACAAATGTATGAAAATAACCACACAATTCAAAATTAGTTTTAATTTCATTTATATAAACTAAAATCGCCATAATAATCATTGATAACCCTTGATAATCTACTGATAATATAGAATATCATTGATATCATAGTATTGGTGATAATATTGGTGACAAAAAGTGAATAATTTGACAATGGATTTAAGGAAAAGTTGTCATGTTCAGAAATTTGATGGTAAAGATACAAAACATCGAACTTTGATAACAGCGGCGAATTCAAAAAGTAATTCAAAAGCAAATTCAGTTGAACCAGAACAATTAATTATTGAAGAAGAATTAAGTAGTAATGATGATGATAATGTTCGTCAACTTACTCCACAGGAAAAAGTTCAAGATACCAAACTAATACCCAGTGATAATTATCATAAATATTGTTATAGACATAATCCTGATGTTCAAACAAATAAAGCTTCAGATTTTAACAAGATGAATGAAATTCAATTAAATTTAGAAAGAATTCCTTCCAAGGATCAAAATATGATTAATTCTATATGGTCAAATTTTGGTAGTGCAAATTCTTTCCAAAGAAATTTAATCTTACAAGGTTTATTAACTCAATGTTGTTTCCCTCAATTATCATTTATATCACAAGAAATTTCTTCATTAATTAGAATAGATTTTATAAGTACATTACCAGTGGAAATTTCATCTAAAATCCTTTGTTATTTAGATTGTGCATCATTGTGTAATGCAGCTCAAGTTTCTAAAAAATGGCAAAAATTAGCTGATGATGATCGTGTTTGGCATCATATGTGTGAACAACATATTGATAGAAAATGTCCAAATTGTGGTTGGGGTTTACCTTTATTAAGTATGAAAAGAGCAAGAGAATTCACAGTGGAGACAAATAAACAAACTAAGAGACGTAAATTATCATCAAGTTCATCTGGATCATCATCTGGATCATTTGGTTCATCATCATCTGGTAAACCTGAATTTAAAACAAGACCTTGGAAAACTGTTTATTCTGAAAGATTTAAAGTTGAAAGAAATTGGAGAAAAGGAATTTTCAAAACAAGAGAATTTAAAGGTCATAAAGATGGTATATTATGTTTAAAATATGATCATAAATATTTATTTACTGGTTCATATGATACAACAATTAAAATGTGGGATATTAATACAGGTGAATGCTTGAAAACTTTAGAATCTCATCAAAAAGGTGTTAAATCATTGGTATTTGATGAACAAAAATTAATTACTGGATCATTTGATTCAACAATAAAAGTTTGGAATTATCATTCTGGTGAATGTATATCAACTTATAGAGGTCATACAGATTCAGTATTAAGTGTTGATTTTTATAAAAAATTTATAGTTAGTGGTTCAGCAGATCGTACACTTAAAATTTGGAATGTTGAAAATAGAACATGTTATGCATTAAGAGGTCATTTAGATAATGTCAATAGTGTTAAAATTCATTCAAAATCATTAACCGTATTCAGTGGTTCAGATGATTGTACTATAAGAATGTGGGATTTAAAAACAAATAAATGTTTAAAAATTTTTAAAGGTCATATTGCAGAAGTTCAAAAAGTTATACCATTAAATTTACCAGAAGATTATGAATTAAGTCAAGATATTAATGAAGGTGATGAAGAAGAGGAGGAAGAAGGTGAAGATGAATTAAGTGAAGATGCATCCGAATTTGGAACAATTGATTATAATGATTCAACAAGAGAATATCCAACATATTTATTAACAGCATCATTAGATAATACTATAAAATTATGGAATGTTAAAACTGGTAAATGTATTCGTACACAATTTGGTCATGTTGAAGGGATATGGGATATAAGTTGTGATAATTTTAGAATTGTTAGTGGTGCTCATGATAGATTTACTAAAATTTGGGATTTACAAACTGGGAAATGTATGAATACATTTTCAGGTCATAATAGTCCAGTTACATGTGTTGGAATTGGAGATTCAAGTTTTGCAAGTGGATGTGATACAGGACTTGTCCGTTTAACAAATTTTGATATTATGTGAAACATCTACAAGACGAAGTCTTGTTAATAACTATTTGAATATTGCTAGATACATATCTAACAAGTTTTGCTAATGAAATGTGCTATAATTTGTGTTTTTTAATTAATAATAATAATAATCAGGGGTTTTATATACGGTATAGGGATTAATGAAATGATATAATATAACATAAATGTAGTTGTATAACGTTTTTTTCATAGCCTACTATTCTTGTTCCACATAGCCGTTGAATTGATTGCATCGTATCTGAGTATATTGATTTACTGCATAAGAGCAGCCTTAAAGTATCAGATGATGCACAAATGTACAATTGATGTCAACCTCCACAAAGGTACAGATTGAGTAAATAACACCGTGAATATCCTAGAATAATGAGTTTATTTAATACACAGAATAATTATATAAAATGATGAATTTCTTGTAATTAAAGTATTTAAAATCAGTTCATTCTCAGGAAATCTCGGAAGTGTTGAAACGGTTATATACTAGTTACTGATCAAACGCGTACATTATCAATATACGGGATAACCTGGTCCATAGAAAGAGTAACAAAACAAGACAAAATAAAATAAAACAAAACTAAACAAAACAAATCCATTTAAACATATTAATTAGTTTCTCAATAATCACAATATTCCACTGAAGATCTCTTATTTAAACTTTTATTCATTGTTGGGTTTTTGGAGTGAAAAATAAAAAAACATCCCTGAGAAATTTATTATTTTACCGCTTCATTGCTAAAACAAAAACCATCAAAATTGAACCAAATCAACAACATCAACAACATACTATACTAGCTGATCAAAGGTTCACACAATCAATGATGCCATGTCTGACCAAAGAAAGAATTCCACTTCAAGTGTCATAAACCTAAACAACAAAAACTCATTATCACTTTCCTTTCTACATAAAAAAAGACATTCAGATTCTTCAATAAATAATGAAAATGATCAAGAAGGAGACAATGGATCACTTCATAAGACAAATTCAACATCATCAATACCAAAATTAGTTCGTAAAAAATCTGGTGAATTAGTTAAATCAAATTTAAAATTAAATTGTTTGATGAATGGTGAATATGTTTCAAAATCAATGCCAACTACTCCATTATATAAAAAAGGTGTTCATTTTGGTCAAGATGTTGATGTTCGATATTTTAATGAAAAGGATAAACCAACTGCTGTTAGTGCAAATACTTCACCTATTTTAAAAGGGAGATCTTATAAGTTTCATCATGGTCATGGTCGTGGTCGTCAAAAAGATGTATTTAATAATAATTTTGGTAAAGAATATGGTTATGGAAATTTAAATAATTATGATTATCAATATGATAGTATTGAAAGTGATGATGATTCAATAGGTTATAATTCTGATGAAGAAGATGATGATTATTTATTAAATTGGGATCTTGATTTAATAAATTTTGAAAAAATTAAATATAATGAAAAAATTCATATTGAAAAATCATCAATCTTTTTGGAAAGAATTTCAATTGATGAAGAAAATGATTGTATATTGGGTGTTATTGCTGTTAAGAATTTATCATTTGAAAAAAAAATTCATATTAGGTATACTTTTGATCATTGGAAAACTGTTATTGAAATTGAAAGTTTTTATATTGAAAATGAATCAATTCCCAAAGTTTTGAAAAGATCAAATTATGATCGGTTTAAATTTAAGATACCATTAATAAATTTTAAATTTATGTCTGAATCAAAAATTAAAGTGTTTTTTTGTATTAGATATAGATATAAACAAATCAATTTAAATGAAGTTGAAATTTGGGATAATAATAATTATAAAAATTATGAAATTGAATTAACAAAACATAAAAAGAAGAGATTTACCAAAAATCATAAATTTTCACTTGATGATTATTCAAATAAAACTAATAATAATAATACCATGAATAATATTAATGATTCATATTTCCATAATTATGAAATTAATGTTAAATCACCAGAAACTCCAAAAGTTTTAAAAATTAATGATGATGATGATATACCACCTTTAATTAATACTGATTTAAATTTAAAAAATATGAATTTAGTTGATGAAGATTATTTTAGTTTGAATCATTCAAATCATCAGATATTACCAACAACAAATTTAAAAAATGATGAAATTGATCCATTTAATAATGAAAATAATGAAAATAATGACCATAATAATAATATAAACACTAATAATAATACAACTAAAACTTCATCAATTGCACAAAATTTTAAATTAAATAGAAATCATAAACCAATGATTAATTCAAAATCTTATCAAGAATTATTAGATTCTTATTGTTTTTTTAAAAGTGATAATGATCAAAATAATTTAAAAACAAATACAATATCAAGTTATTTAGATCAAAATTTAAATAAACATTAATGAAAAAAGAATAAAATATCATACACAACATATTACATATACTTGGAATAAGGAATATAAGGAACTAGGAATAACACAAAAAGGGAAACAATATCAAAGAATAAACTTATAAACTATATAATAATATATTTTAATATATATAAATGGCTGGCCAGATTAACTTTATAAAATAAATTATGTATGTATGAATTCTTATATCTATATAGATTACTAAGCATGCACATACTTTAAATTTTGACATATTTTTATTTTTTTTAACATGCATTAAATGGCCGATGTTACCGATAACAATTTTTATTTCAAACAAGTGGTAGTAAGTTGAACAAGAACAAGAGCAAAGAATTTTATTAAAAGTTAAGAAGAATGGTGATTTGAATATTGTTTGTGGATCCTTTTATTTTGGTCAAGATTCATATCTTTATAAGGTTTTAATTTGATCAAAGTTGATTGTTGATATACCATTGCATAGAATCATAGAGATATAGATCTAAAGATCTAGTACATACACCTTAATATATGGAAGATTCGGAAGTTGGAACAGCTATGCACTTCCTAAATACCCATGGAAATGTATGTATTTATGTGTTTACATAATTATAAAATATTAATCTAGCATGGTCAGTTTAAACCTACATATTCTAGAAATTTATTTTATATTGTATGGGGTTTATATGGCTAGCTAGTTTATGGCTAGCTAGTTTTCAGTAATAATAATTTGAAAAGGGTTGCTTATTATCTTATTGTAGTACGATCTTCTAGTTTAAGACATGATTGTATTACAGAGTTAAAGCTTAGCTACGCTGTCTTAGCTGTATAAACGATTTTGATTTTCAGAAGTTAGATCTCAATTTAAACAAGCGAATGTACATTTCATTTGGAACATGTATAAACTAAAAACTTTGAGTTCCCATTGGTACCCATTGGTACCCAAAGTACTCCAATGATTTTCAATATAATCTTACATGTTAATTACTTGTTTTCGCTTAATTTGTATAAAACTGATTGCTTTATTAAGGGTTTGTATATCATTTTAGTGATCATGATTTTCAAAAGGGTATACATAATATACTAGATAACAACATACGAGAACATACTAAAGTTTAAAGACAATTATCTTAGTTAATTCAATGGATATTCCCCATTTAGAGTAAAGCATGACATGTGCATGTACATGTTAATTAAGTGCTTGATATTATCTAGAATTATATTTAATTTCCCTTATTTACCATATAAATATCGGAATACACGCAATTAGTTTTATACTTTATACTTTTCAGTTTCAACTCCGTTTATTATATAAAGTTAAAACAAATTGCTCAGCGGTTAATTTTTGATATAAAGGTAAATTTAAAGATATATAAACAATTTGAAATCTCAATTTTATATTCAAATTCAATTTCATTTCCATCCTCTTCATCAACTGGTATAACAATCAACACATCATGGATTTAACAATTATTTACATCTTTGCATTCATCTCTTTAATCTATTATTCATCTCATAGATCAATTCTTAGTCAAAGAAGATTAGATATTCCATTATTATAAATCAGATCTTTAACCGCTGGTGATATTGATAATTTTAACAAAAAAGATATTGTCCTCAATATAAATTTCATCATCAAATTATCATTTCAAAATTTATTTATTCTTTTATTTCATTTACTTCATCTGGTTCATTGGTTCATCAACTTCTAATTCAATTTAATTTCAACTTAATCAACAACAATATTGTTCTATGATCATAACCAACACTTTTGATTCAGAAATTGCTGCTTTTCATACCACTTTCAACAATTAATTTTAATGGTGATACAATTAATACTTATATCACATTTATTTCATGTCCTTTTAATGTCGGCGCTTATGGGTTCTTTTCTTTACAAAACAACAAAAACAAAAACAAGTTTATAATTTATTATATGTTCTTTTGCTTTCTCAGCACTTATGTAATCAAAGTGTATCCATTAGTTCCGTGATTAATTTTTTTGCGAAAAAACAGAATTTAAAGTTTAAGACGCCCTAATGCCAAACTTTCCTAAATTAGTAATTTTACGGTGGTAATCGGTCAAAAAATTAAAATTCGATCGATCGATTGCATGTATAATATGGATCGAATGGAACGAATGGATAAATATAAAATTGTTAACAACCGGGATTGTTTTAATGTTTTTAGCTTTTATATAAAAAGATTATTTGACCCAGAAATTGCAAGTATAATCATTTTTCTAAATCTTTTGATCACTGGAGAACCAATTAAACAATAAAAGTCAAACATCTATAATGACTTCAACAACAAATTTTGATAAAGTTTTCACAACTTTATCATCACAAATATCATCAGCTTCAAAAATCCTAGCCACAGCAAGTGCCAAAAATATTGTATATCCAGAATCAAAAACTTTAGCAGGTTTACAAGCTTCTTATGCTTATTATTCAAATCAAGAAATTATAGCAACAGCTACCCAATCTCAAGTTATTCAATCTGCAAGTTCAATAGCTGCTCAAGCTTCAGGTACATTACAAGAAATTTATGAAAGTAATAATTTATATGGTGGTATGACACCAAGTAAAGGTGGTAATTTAGCATTAGCTATAATAATGGGTATTTTCTTTGTTGTTCATTCAGGTTTAGGACTTTGGTTTAAACAATGGTGGTTTGGTACTGCATTTTTTTGTGGTTGTGGATTAGAAATGGCTGGATATATTGGTAGAACTTTATCAAATGATAATTATACTATATTAAATTATTTTCTTGTTCAAATTATTTGTTTAACCATAGCACCTGCTTTTATAATGGGTGGTATTTATATCCTTTTAACAAAATTTATAATGATTTATGGTATAAAATTTGCCCTTGTTAAACCTATTATGCTTTATTCATATATTTTTATATTTTGTGATGTTGTTTCTTTAGTTATTCAAGCTGCTGGTGGTGGTATTGCAGCTGTTTCCCTTGTAGAAAATGAATCAAGTTTAAGTGGGACTCATGTTATGGTTGCAGGTTTAGCTTTTCAAGTTTTCTCAATGTCAATTTATATTTTCCTTTATTTACATTATTTTTACAAGATTAAATTTTTCAATAAAAGGGAACATTTAAAACTTGAATCAGAATTTAATCCTAAGTATGCAGAATTAAGATCCAAGAGAATTTTCCAAATTTTCCCATTTGTTGTATTTTTAGCTGTTATTTTCGTTTATGTTCGTTGTATTTATAGAGTTGTTGAATTAGCAGAAGGTTGGGATGGATTTTTAATTACTCATGAAGTTTATTTCATGATTTTAGATGCATTAATGATGGGATTAGCAATTATAATTTTAATTTTTTTCCATCCAGGTTTTGTATTTGGTAGAAATACAAAAATTCCTGTTAAAGGTCTTGCAAATTATAATAAATCAAAAGATCAAGAAGAACAAGCTATTGTTTCAAGTCAAGGTGATGAAAGATTTAATAAAAATGATGAACTTGAAAATGAAAATTATAGTAATGATGATTCAAATGATGTTCATGATCATGAAACAAAGGGTGTTCAAGAACCTGATTATTATCATGAAGCTACAGATGGAAATGTTCAAGAATCAAATGGATATGTTGATACAAGACCTAATGTTGCAAATTAAACATAATACTATATAATACTATATATTCATTCGTTTTTCAATTCATTTATAAGCTTTGTTTTTATATAACTAGATTTTAATCAATAATAAAAGTTAATTCAAATTATTCATAAATCCATAGATCTATAGATCTATAAATTTTCTATTGTTTACTTTATAATTTCTAATCATGTATTTAAATCCGTTCCCAAATAGGTAATCGACACAAAATTGCGCAAAAAAATACAAATTTTATGATTTTCCATTATAGAAGTACGTCGCGCTTATAAATTGATCACAGTGAAACACATTTTGATGAGATGATCCATATTCTTACTTGTAACAAGGAACGTAATTAAGGTACACATTGCTCAACCAGCGTAATACATGATTATTGCTATTATGTGTTTTAATAGCTTTATGAGCTCCAAGGTATAACTGAATAACTTGGATTGAATGATCTGACTAAAATAAACACCCACAGTTTTAAAGATCACTTTTATAAATAAAGTTAAATTCTATAAATACGGTCGACGTTTTACGTAAATCAAAAGTTTATTAAACACACAAAGCTTATTTTGGAAATTTTAGTTCATATTTCTTGATTCATTCTTTTGCGCAAAAAGTGAATCACTAATTACGCGAATTAATATTTGATACCACTCAGCGTAAATTTTATAGATGTGTTCTCGACCTCATTAAATAATTTTTCAGTACATCTAGCTAACCATGAATTTCATAGCAATAACTGTGACGTTTGATGATTATTCTTTATTCAATTCAAGTGTAACATCAATTCCATTTCATTTTCATGAGATTCTCTTTACATTTATATAATTTCAAAAGTGTACTTGTTTATACAAATCTAGTTCCCTTGTTCTTGTTTTCTTGCGCAATTTAAAAATTGAAAATCAATTTTTCCTGCAAAAGGCGTGAATAAATCCTTTTTATATTACGGTGTTAATCGGGTATAAGAAATACAAGAACATTATTAAAGTTACGGATAACGGAAGTGACACTTTTAATATTGTTCTTATATTCATGTGATTTCTTGATAATTTAGCGATGATTAAATTGATGATGAGTGGATTTGAAAGGGTTTAAAGGGTGTTTTGAATAGATTGGTGATGGTTGTGGTTCAATGTGATTGTGGTTGTGTTTATGCGTTTGTTTGATCACATGGTTGTGGATTATAAGCGATGGATACCCTTATAATAATTAGTTATAACCGTGTCCGATATGAAAATTTATTGTGTAACTATACTGGTAGTTAAAGTTATGCTTGGTATAGATATCAATTATCATATAGTAGTAATACTAGTATAGTAGAATCATGGATATATTGTTTATATGTATCGAACAATCAAGGTCCAACCGTCAATAGATCTATATCTGCAGGGTTGTTAAAGTTAGATCTATAACTAATATAACTTCAACCAATAACAAACAATTAAACAAGTCCAATATGATATAACGGGAATTACTCATTGTAACCTAATTTTAGATCAAACCCTTAATCAACACATCAGCCATATTTGTCGCTTAATAACACGCTTAAAATCAAACAACATAAATAAATTTCAAATCTTGGCCATTTCAGCAACTAAAAAAATGCAATAAACAGTACAAAAAAAACAAACCACAACAAAAAAAAAAACATGGCAGTAAATTAATACATTAAGACAAGCGGTTTTACTCGGGCAGTGAATTGATTATTCCAAGACAATAAAATGATGATGATGATTGAAAGGTATATATACACTCTTGATTCCATGATTTAAAACAAAATGGACAAGTTAGTCATATGATAATTTACCAAAGATGACTTCAAGTACTACAAATTATGTCCCATTAATCACTTCATTAGGTGCTAAAGTATCTTCATACTCTGTTAAATTAGCTACTCAAACAACAACTCAAAAAGATGTTCAAGCTACTTATCAAAGTATGCAAGCCTCGTTTGGTCTATTATCAAATCAAGCTATAATTGCAACTGCAACTCAATCTCAAGCCGTGGCAAGTGCAAGTGCTGCTATTGGTGAATATCAAGGTACGCTAAAACAAATTTTTGATGCACAAAATCAATATGGTGAAATTCCTTCAATTGGTGGTAATTTAACTTATCTTGTTATATTTGCAATTTTATTTTTATCACAAAGTTTGATTAGTTCATGGTATAAACAATGGTGGTTCTTTGTTGCAATGTTTTGTGGGTTAGCATTAGAAACTATGGGGTTTTTAGGTAGATTTTTATCTCATGATGATGCTACCGTAGAGGATTATTTCCTTTTACAAATCATTGCATTAACAATAGCACCAGCATTTATAATGGGTGGTATTTATATTTTATTGGGGAAATTTATTGTTGTTTATGGTCCAAAATTTGCTGTGATGAGACCTATATTATATTCATATTTATTTATGATTTGTGATTTTATATCTCTTGTTATTCAAGCTATTGGTGGTGCTTTAGCCGCTAGTGCTGAAACTAAAAAAGATAATGAAACTGGTACACATATTATGGTTGGTGGTTTAGCTTTCCAAGTCTTGTCAATGTCTATTTATTCATCATTATTTATACATTTTTTTTTGGAATATTAAGTATTTTAATAGATCAAAACACAATGAATTAGAATATCAGGGGAAATTTAATCAAAATCCTGATTATATTAAATTAAGATCAAGAACATTATTTAAAATTTTCCCATTTGCTGTGGCATTATCTGTACTTTTTGTTTATATTCGTTGTGTTTATAGATTAATTGAATTGATTCAAGGTTGGTCTGGTTATTTAATTACTCATGAAATTTATATGTTTTTCCTTGATGCCCTGATGATTGCTTTGGCTACTTTTGTTTTATTAATTTTCCATCCTGGTATTGCTTTTAATAGTCGTAAAGTTACAATTAATGTTGTTGGTACAAAAAAATCTGGAAAGACTAAAAAAGAGGAATTGGCAAAACAAGATGATGAAGGAATAAATGATCAAAGTTTTGAAGATCAAAATGATTTTGAAAAACAAAAACAACAAGGTACAATTGAATATGATGGAACAAATCCTGGTGATTCTTCAACAAATCAAAATAATAGTTATGTTGATGAAAAACCTGATACTGATTATGAAGATGTTTCATTACAAAATAATAGTTTAAATTCAAATAATAATCCAACAAATCAAGATTATTCACAATTTACTAATGCTAGAGATGAATCATGGAGAGATATTAGACAAGCTAGTGAAAGAAGAGATTTTACACAGTCATGATGAACTTTAAGATTTTTTATTCATTCTTTATTCGTTTTTATGATTATACTGGTTATAATTATAAATTAACTTTATTCATATTTGATTTTAAATATAGTTCTTGTATACTCCATTAATGTTTATTGCTTTCTTAAGAAATACATGATATATTACGTACTTTACAAAACTCTTTATTTAATTTCATAACATTCATTAATAAAACTTTTAAATATAATACAAATAATCAATGATTTAAAACTTGTTCAACTTTAGCATGATTTAATTCTTCATTCCTTATCAATGGTTTAATTTCACCTTTAATATAATTTAATTCTGGTTCTATTTGTGATATTACACCATCATCAACACCTTCATTATTATTATCAATCAATTCAAAAAAAGGTTGAAATAATAAATTCCCAGTTTTATTATTATCTGCAATTTTCTTGAGGACATTACTTAATAAAATTTTTAAATTTGAATTAAATTTTTTTTGTTTTTTAGTTGTTGGTTTTAAAATTAATTTTCCTTCTTCTTCATCTTCTTGTTGTTCATGAGGATGATCTTGTTGATGATTTTTATTTAATATGAAAAATAATTGACGAGCTTCAGGAACATAACCAATCCAATTTATTAATAATGTAGTTAATTCAATTTTATAATCTTGTAATTCAATGATTTTATTAAGATCTAATTTAAAAATTAAAATACAAACCATCTTGATAGTTAAAGTTTTTTTTTCAAAATTTGATGCATTTATAGAATCTTGTTCTTCTGATCCTTCTGATTCATCATTAAATTTTCCAAAATCTTTTGAAAGGTGAACTAAACAATTATTTAAAAATTCATGTAAAAGCATTGATTTTTCAATTTCTGATAATTCTAAAAAACCTTGTCTACTAAATTTAAATTTCCTAATATGTTTTCCCTCTTCATCTATAGAAGAAGTACCACGTATACCTAATAATAATTCACAAATATAATTAATCAATGGGAATGATAAAGTTAAATGAGTTACAAACCATATAATAACTCTTCTATATCCATGAGCCATTAACATTTCATCAAGCATTGAATAAGCAGCCTGTGGATTAAATCTTAGTATAGGTTCAAATAACCATTCAAAACTCCATTTTTCATAAATCATATCAGGTGTTATTTCATTAGATTTGGAAAGATTATCACCGTTTATACTTTTATTTATATCATTTTCAAATTCTAATTTAACAGATCTTGCAATTGTATATATGACTTTTTGTGATAATTCATCATCTATTGTCTCGTGAGACATTTGGGTGAATGTTTTAATTAATTCATCCCAAGTTAAACAATTTGATTCATCTAATTGAACTTCTGTATTGAAAAAAATATTCCCACCTCTTGGGATATCTCTCCAATCTCTACCCATTTCATCAAATTCAATTTCATCATTTGATCTTATTGCAGTTGGTGCATTATTTTTATTAAATTCTTCAGGATCAATATCTAATCTTTTTTGAATCTCTTCAGGTGATAAATTTTTATAATCTTCAGTTTCATCTTCTTGTTCATCTTCATCTTCATCATGGAAAAATTCACAAGTACATCTTTTCCTTATAACTTTATGTAAATGACCATCTTCATCTTCATAAACTATAGGTTCTCCATTTTTAAATTCTTCTTCTTGTTCATTTTCATTAAAAATATCTTCATAATGGAAATCTTCATATTCATAATCAAACATATATCTAACATCTTCATCATATCGATCATTTGGTTCTAAATCAACTAAAGTTTCTACAACTTCATTCAAATCTGAACCCAGAGCTAACATGGAACCAACATACCATCTAACATCTGCATGTAATGAACCAACACCATTTTCACGAGCAAAAGGTGATATAAAATTTGAAATATTTACATGATTTAAATCATGAAATCGATTAGGGATATCATCATTTAAAATTGTTGCCAAGATGTATCTTATTGAACTTGAACCTCTTATAACTTGTTTAACAATATTTGGAGTTGTTGAATTTGGATTTGAATCTGATTCAATTCTTCTATCAATTTCTAAACCTAACAAAACAATATTTGTGAAAATTTTCCATAATTTTAAGAAAAACCCCAAGTATGGGTTAAGACATAAATCATTATTTTCCCAAAAATAAATTTTATATATAATGAAAATTGCCACTGAATTAATTAAATAAATTAATTTTAAATCTTCATCATTTATTTTATATTTTGGAGTCCATTCATTTAATTTTAATCTCCAATCAATTTTTAAATCTGAATTATTTAATCCACGTAATTTAACTTCATCATTACAATTTAAAAAGAATAAACTTGATTCAATAATCAAAAATAATTTTTTGGATAATTCAAAATTTGGTATTATTGATTTTTGATTATAAAAAATTCCAATTATAACATCAGAAATTAAATTTATTGACAAAATATGATTATCAGATTCCATTGGTTGAGTCATTGGATCAATAATCGTAGCCATTGTTATAAAAATTTGAATCAATTCATCATCATTATGATTCCCCAGTCTTAAAAGTTTAGATAATGCTTTATGTCTTTTTTCTGAATGAGATATGAATGGTATTATAGGTAAATCAAATGAAAATTCATGTTCAAATTCTTCTTCATCATCATCACCTTGTTGTTGTTGTTGATGATCATCATGATCAATTTCTTCAATTTCTAAAGGGGGTACAGGTTCATATTCTAATTTATGAGAATTTGAAGTTATTGAAGAATTTGAAATATTTCTTTGATTTGAGGCTTTTGAGCCTCTTCTTTTATTTTTCTTTGAATGACTAATTTTGAATGATTTTTGATGGATTTACTTTTTATTGGATGATATTTGATACTCTTATAATACTGCTTGTAATAAATATGATGAATAATTTTTTATTCCATTCAATTGTTATTGTTATTGTCTTTGTCTATGTTTCTTAATATTATACTCGTATATACAAATCACTAACTTTTTTTTTCAATGGGCTTATTCGGTGATTATGTAATGGTAGTATATAAAAATTAACATTTGATTTTATTAGCTAACATGGAAGTGAACTAAGATAATAATGATAGACTATATTGTAGCCGTCTTTATTATTAGTTATCTATTGCAATATCCTCAAATTTGGTATTAGTGTACTATAGATATCATTATTTTAATATTTTATATGTTCATGACTAATCACTGACATAATCACATGGCTAATTATACTTATTTATTCTATATTGAAGTCATTTTAAATATGATTCATTATTTAATTATACTGTATAGTATTTTAAGTACTGTTCTATATAATAGAATACTAAAACAAATGATTTAACCATTTTTCAAAATTGGAAATTTGAATCTCAAGATAATTATCAACCTCAATAATTTTAAATTTACTCTCAAATTAAAACATTTGGATAATGTTAAAATTTCAAACTTTGAATTCAGCTATAAAACATATACCATTATAATCACTGACTTCTACAATAGCTATTTAACCATTAAAAAGGTATATATACTATATAACTTTAATATATAAATTTAGATCTAATACTATATCATTACATAATCCCTTACATAACCCACATGTCACTACAATTTACCCTCCCTTTGTTAATTTTTAATTTTCCCACAGTGGAAATTAAATTTTGATCAAAAAGATAAAAATTCACTGATTGTAAGTGGATGAATTTAATGAATTGAATGAATGCATTGTAGATTGTTAGTAAGAGTAAGAATAAGAGAGGGTAGAACTATATATTTATTACTACTACAGCTACTTTATACACAAGCACTTCTATACTATACTAGTACTCTACTCTATACTCTATGGACTCTATGGATTCAATATTCATCATTTGACTCATTTGAATCACTTTCCCTTCAAAATTCTTATCATATCAAAAGAAAATGGGCGGTACAGGACACACAGAATGACTTTTTATAGCTTTCCCGGGATCGCAAGTGATATTAAAAGTAATGGTGATGATAGTAATAGTAATAGTAATAGTAATAGATATAATGATAATATATATTGAATAGTTTATATAATAGTCTAGCATCTAGTTCATAGTTATCTATCGTTTATTATTTCTTTTATTCCTGTTTACTTTCTTTTCTAATTTAAAGGTGTCTTTTCATACGTATTAAAACTGGTTCGCACAGTTGTCGTACTATTAAATTACTTTTAAATACAAAGGGGTGTCAAAGATTTATATTTATATTTTATATATTTTAGATCTATTATCTGTATTCATATATTCAATTATTCATATCATATATATCTTTTCATACTCATACACAATGTTTCAAGTATCCAAAAGATCCATCACATCCCCATTCAAACCATCAATAATACACCCATGGATTAGATATTCTTCATCAAGTTCATCATCATCAAACCCTTCATCAACTTCACCAGATGTTTCTCAAACTAAAGAATCAAATGAATTAGATAATGATCATACTAATGAAACTATAAACACTTCTATGGATACTGATTTGAAAGCTTCTATAAGTACTTTGAATCATACTTCAAATATTGAACAAACCACCACCACCACAACCACCACAACAACAACATCTCCAATAATAACAAAAACACGTAAAAGATCTTATAAATCATCTAAACCATTCCAAAAAAAAGTACCAACATCTTTTAATATCCCATATGTGGCAACAACTCAACATTTAGATTATTCTAAAATCACACAAGATTTATTTTATCAAAAATTTAGACCATTATTAACACCAATAAAAGATCAAAAAAAATTTAATTCCCTTTCAACAACTCTAACACCATCAGAACCAAAAAATAATAAAGCATATTGGAATACCTCGGTTTGTGATCAAGAACAATTCCAAGATTTAAATTGTGTACCAAAATTTATTGGTGATGGTATGAAAGCTTGGAAAAAACCTGGTCCTCCTGGTAATGAAATTAGAATTTGGTCTCGTGATGATGGGAATATGAAAATTTCAAATAAAGTTAAGAAAATTTTGATTAAATTGAATGAAAATGATAAGAAAAAGATTACTGCTTATAGATATTATCAAGATTTTAAATAAAAGTCGAGACGACATTGAGACGAAGTCGAAATGGAGTCATATCATCTACTTATATATTGTTTTAATTGATTATATATCATCATATGAAATAGTTATGATAGCGCGGTTATGTCTATATCAACGCGGTAAAGGTTCAAGGTTTTGGTTTTATAGGTTTTAGTTACTAGGTTATATACACAACAATTAATATTTATTAACATAAATTCTCATTTGTATTATACTGCATATTTATAAGTATAATATTTAATCAATCCATTATAACCTTTTAAATCCCCCCGTTTCAATAAATTTGAAATATCTATATTTAATGGACTATTTGGTTCAGGATCTTGTAATAATAAAATTATAGCCATAAGTGTGGAAAGGATAGACCATGCTGGACTCCATTGTGTTGATAGAATATCTAGACATATTTCACCATTGATAAATGAAATATTTGGATGACATATCTTTGTAATGAATTTTATATTTGGTGGTGATTTGGGATAATCTTGTGGTATGGAAATTTTTAATTCCCATTGACCTTTAGAGAATGGTGAATTTTTGGGGCCAATTATTATACTTTTCCAATTAAATAAATTATCTAATGGTTCTAAAAACAATATATGTTCATTATATTCATTTCTAGTTCCTTTTTGTAATTCTTTTTGAATTGTTGTATATTCTTTCATTAATCTTTTTGTAGCCATATTGTATTATTATCTCAATTAAAACCAAAATTACACCTATTGAACACCGAAAAACAACCAAAAAATCACACGTTGATTAAAAATATTGATAACTATCTCAAATGAACCCGAAACACTCTGAAAGACGCGTTAACAATTATCAATCAATGCAATCAATTGTTTTGAATTCTTTTGTTTAGTTCTCAATTCCTTCTGCGCGTATAGTCATTTAAAAATCAATATTACATAATCACAAACACAATCATTACATAATCACAAAACCCGCGAATTCATTTTTAATTTACTTTTCAAGTTTTTTTATGGGAGGTAAATTGAATGGGATTGCCACTTATAATAAAGAAAAGTATTGATTTGTTTATTATTTGATTATTTATTTGATCAATCAATAATATTCAATTTTGATTTAGGAAGGACTAAAAGATGTCAAGAGTTGCTGATTATCTTTCAAGTGAGTGAAATTGATGCGCTGAACATGATTCAATTAATTAAAGGGATGATTAAGATCTGATTAAAGAATTTATACTAACAATTGTTTCATAGAAATCGCTATTCCAGCTGGTTTAGCATTCAGTGCTGCACAATATTCAATGTATGATGTTAAAGGTGGTTCTCGTGCTGTTATTTTCGATAGATTAAGTGGTGTTCAACAATCTGTTGTTGGTGAAGGTACACATTTTTTAATTCCATGGTTACAAAAAGCTATAGTATTTGATGTTAGAACAAAACCAAGAACTATTGCTTCAAATACTGGTACTAAAGATTTACAAATGGTTTCATTAAGTTTAAGAGTTTTACATCGTCCTGAAGTTGGGAATTTACCTTTAATTTATCAAAATTTAGGTTTAGATTATGATGAAAGAGTATTACCTTCAATTGGTAATGAAGTTTTAAAATCTATTGTTGCTCAATTTGATGCAGCTGAATTAATCACTCAAAGAGAAGTTGTTAGTGCAAGAATTAGACAAGAATTAAGTGAACGTGCAAAAGAATTTAATATTAGATTAGAAGATGTTTCAATAACTCATTTAACTTTTGGTAGAGAATTTACTAAAGCTGTTGAACAAAAACAAATTGCTCAACAAGATGCTGAAAGAGCAAAATTCGTTGTTGATAAAGCTGAACAAGAAAGACAAGCTTCTGTTATTAGAGCTGAAGGTGAAGCTGAAGCCGCGGATTATATTTCAAAAGCTTTAAATAAAGCTGGTGATGGGTTATTATTAATTAGAAGAATTGAAGCTTCAAAAGATATTGCTACAACTTTGGCTAATTCAAGTAATATTACTTATTTACCTGGTAATCAAGCTGGTGGTAATGGTGGTGATAAATCTGCTTCAAATTCTTTATTATTAAATCTTGGTCGTTAAGAAAGTAAATCAGTTTAAGATCATTTAACATATTAAGACTTATAGTTTGTACATAGATAATTTTTAACCCATTATAAGTGGGGTTTAAAAACAAATCAATATTTATAATTAAAATTCAGATATAATTCTAGATTTGTAATTGATTCCAAAATATCATGCATGATAATATTATTCATATCAAACCACAACAATAAGATAATATCATGTATGAGCTCTTGATACAACGTACATGATACAAATTCCCACTCTCATGACGATCCTATTCCAAAGATTGTGGGATTGTGGATATTAAAGCAGCATGTATACCATAGACAAGTTCCCGATTTACAATAATTTATCAAGCGACGTTAAAGGCGTTGATGAGCCTTTTTTCGTTGTACATACGTACATACCTATACAATCGGTCTTGGTTACAGTAGATAAGGAAGGTGTCAGGATCCAGGATTTAGAACAGTGATGTTTAGGATTGCAGTATTGACTGCCTTGATTGTATCATATTTTATTTAATATTTTTGACGAGTATTAAGCAGCATCAATATTGTTAGCCGGGCCGATGAGGTTTGAATTTTGAATTGATCCAACCTGACAATCAGAGTTATGATCTGGTTAAGTATATGGGTCACCGGGTTATTAATTGATTGTTATTTGTAAAACTGGATCTTAGTAAGGGTTCGATTTACTACTTATCATCTTCTTATACATAGTTTGGTGTTCTTCGCTATTGTTTCATTGTGCACACATGTGTTGATGCTTAAAAAGATCACCGAAACTCTCAAATACACAACAAACAATCAGAGTCACAAATCCATTAAATTAATCAATTAATTAATTAATCAATATAATAGATCTTGTTCATACTACTCCCTTTTTGATCTTTTTGGTACCTCTATCTTTTATCTATGGCACCTTATAAATTCGCTACGGAGTCTTTTCCCCTTTAGGAATAAATCCGAATTCTATAGCACATATCATGTGTTCTTCAACATTAGAACCACAGTTTGTATCAATAACTCAGAATTCAAATTACAATTGGTCAAACCCGTCAAAGCGTCATATACACAGTTTATTCTAACATACATACGAGACCCAATTACAGCCATGGACTAGTAGTATCTACTATAGATGTTGTTATGGTACTTTTACTACTTCTACTACGCTTACGCATAGACGACCTGGAGATTCATGATGAGTAATTTGATTAGATTTTAAACCACAACTTAACCCAAAAAGGTAAAGATTGTGTAATTTTAACTGTGGGCCATGTTATTATGTTTGTTGGCTTAAAAGTACAAGATCGTATACAAGGAACCATAGTTTCACAATAGGATGAAGATCATTATAATTTGTGCTCGGAAAGTCTTTGAGACGTTTTGATTTTGGATCAGTCATAATTGATAAAAAAATTAAGGTTTCAAAATTTATACTAATTTGTATAAATCCTTTGCAACAGCTTTTTTTCAAAGTATGCACATGAGATTTGATTTATAATTGAGATCCCTTGAATATATCAAAAAGAAAAAAAAACGGTTTGAACTATTTAGATAGATAAATATCCCTTTTACAAAACTTGTCTATAAACCCCCAATCAATTGATCAATTGACAATATAGAGATGGCTAATAACAATATAAAGAAAATTGCTAAACATTCAAAAAGATTTGAAAGAACACAAACTGGCTGTTTACAATGCAGGCAAAAAAAGTAAGTAATTATGTCTTGTCAAAAAAAGGTTTGGCTCACTAACAAGTTTGATCTTAAGAAAGAAGTGTGATGGTAAAAGACCAACATGTCAAAGTTGTGAAAAAAGAGGAGTTTCATGTGATTTCCCTGCAAATATTAGAATATTTCAATTTAATAAAGATTCATTATCAAGAAAGAATAGTTTAAATGAATCGAAAAAATCTTTTAAAGAGATTGATTTGAAGAAAAATCAAGAACAAGATCAAAAAGATGAAAATGTTATTATAGATGATGATGAAGATAATCATGAAGTGGAAGAACATAATATTGAAATAGATGAAGATGAAGATGAAGATTTAATTGAAACTCAACAATCATTAAATTCCCTAGGTGAAAAAATTGAACAAATATTAGATGATAAAGAAATGAAACCTATAGACATTAATCATTCAAGAAATGATACTATAATAAGTGAATTAAATTCAAGATCAGATTCAATAACTTCATTAATATCAGATTCAGGTTCAGATATTAATAATAGTAATACAATAACTCAACCATCAACACCACCACCTTCAACAACTCATGGATTAATATTAAATTTATTACAACCATCAAATTATAAAATTAGTCAATCACAAAGGGCAACAAATATGATTCATGATGGTGAATCAATAAATAAAATTTTGGATGATATGACTATTGAATTAATTAAAAAATCAATAAATAATCTTCAATATATTAATTTTGATCAAAAATTAAATAATTATCAGAAATCAAATGAATCAAGTAATTGGAATTTAATTGATGGTGATGAAACAAAATTCAAAAAACATCATGATAAATCAAGATCTATAGAAGTTATTGGTAATGATGATGATTATTTTGATCAACTTGCTGATGATTTTTTAAGTTTTGATTGAATGAACTTTAATCCCCTTAAATGATCCAATTGATTTGGATCTTTATTTATAAATATTCTTATTGTCAAGTATCCTTTTATTGTTTAATTGACGTTGCTTTATTAGATCCATTTTAATTTATACATTCTCTATTAGTATGGTATACCATTTGTTGATCAAATGGATATTCTTATTAGATACATACACCTAAAAAACAAAATGATTTTTATATAGAAATTTCAATTCAAAGTTTTTCAAATAAAAATATTAGTAGTTACTTTGGAAAGTGTATACAAATTACGGATATTTGCGGACCCCGAGGAGGTAAATTGAGTAAAAAAATTCTTCCCCGCCAGGAGTCGAACCTGGAATCTTCTGGTTTCAGAAGTAACTACTTTGATAATTAATCGTAGCCAGACGCCGTGACCATTGGGCCACGAGGAACAGAATTTAATTTCAAAAATCTGCTGAAACACCGCATAATAAAAGATAATTTTACGTCATGTGACGCTGCACGTGACTAAATATTACCCCTTTTGATCACTCCCCTCACTTTAAAATTTCCCTTTTCAAATTCCCCTCCTTTGGAATTTCCCCAATCAAGCAATGTTTAACGCCATTTTTCCCAAAACCAACAATTTTTAAATTTGAAATTAAACGACGATATAGTAAAACAAGAAGTACGAATTAAAACAAAAAAGGAGAATATTTTTCACAAACGAAATTGAAATTATTTAAAATGGCTGTGAAAGATTAGTATAATAAGAGGGGATCGTATCAGATTATCATTACAATTATTGGAGAATTACAATATTGAATTGCGATTGAGTTATTTTAAATTGGTCAATTGAATAATTTAAATTTGTATTTAATTAACACAAAATTTCCCATTGATCCATTTCAAATTGAATTCTTGTTTTATTGTGCTTATATTAGTTTCTGTTATCGGAAAAACTGTTTTCTTAGCTTTATATTTATCCGGTCTGATCTATATTCATTGACACAAAACCAAATTTCATTATAATATAATATATTCCAAAATGTTACACAAATACAATAATTATACAAATTTACAATCAAATAATTATAAATTATATTCAAATACCAATTTTATTGATGAATTTGATCAAAATTTATTGTATAATTCATTATATGATCAATCAAGAAGATCTTCAATTAGTTCATTAAATTCATCAACTTCATTAAATTCATTAAATAACACTTGTGAAGTTTCAGATCAATTTAAAGAGAAAACTACCCCAATTGATAATAAATCATTAGATTATAGAGTTAAAGATCAATCAAATCAAATTCATCCAAAAAAGAAGGATCAATCTTGGTTATTATTGTTAATTTTAGGTGCTTGAAATTATCTCAATATTGGTTATAAACTTTTGTGTTTATTTGGTTATTTATTTGTTGAAGAAGTTATAGATATTAATATTTGGATTACGTTGTTGTTTTAGGGCGTTTATTGTTTATTGTTTTAGATTTTAGAGAAGTTTTATATAAAGGTTTACAAGGTTTTTTATCATGTCTTATCCACTTGAAAAGAAAGAATCTGGTGATTTATTTGATATTTCAGATGTTGAAGAAGAATCACAAGTTGATCAAAAATTAATTGAAAAACCATATTATTCATTTCGATTCCAATTTAATTATATTGATGAATGGGTTTCATTTCCAAATTGGTTGATTGCAATTTCCATGGAAATTCCATTAATTTTATGGGTTTCATTTATAATTTTTCTTGATGTATTAGTTGCACCAGATGCTATTATATGTTCAGTTTTATCAATTAATTTATCAATTTTAGGGATTTTTTTCAAAAAAATTTCAAATTTACAATCAATTTGGTGGTTAGCAAATTTTAATGGTATTGTTGTATCAATATTGGGATTAATTGTTAAAATTTATAGATTTGCAATGTTGGATATTTTCCAAATGATTGAAATTCAATTAATTGATGTTGGATCATTAACTGGATTAACAGATGATGATTATATTTGGGAAATGATTATTACTGTTGTAATGATTTTGATATTGATTATTTCATTATGTTATCATTTAATTATTGTTTATATTGGGAATTATCATGATGAGTCATTACCATATTTTACAATTGATAAAGATGATTATGGATTAGTTTGTGTATCATTTTGGTGTGGATATTATGGTGAAGATGGAGATGAAGATGATGCTAATATTGTATAAGAAAGACCTATTTATTAATGGATAGATATATACTAGTATTTTAATACCTTGTAGTTTATTGACTTTTATATACCTATCTATTGATGTTTTCGAGCCTTGTCTATATCTGTGATTTCGTGGAACATGGAGTTATTCCTAATTGGGAATTATAGCCATTGGAATATGGGAAGATATCGAAAGATAAGCACAAAACAGAACTAAAAAAGAAATTATTTAAACAGGGAGTGAACAATTTGATGAGAACATAGACAGCTTAACCAGTCCATAATATTCCCATTTGATTGGTCCATTTCCTACTCTTTTATTCCCATTCAATTCCTGGTATAATTGATTTCATTTTCTGTGGCTTCCATTCTTTTCGGATTTGAATCAATTCGTATATTTAAAGTGTACACCGAGTGCCGTGGAGATTAAGAAGATTTGTAATTGTAATTTCGAAAAGTATATAAAGTGTGGACATTTCCTTGAATTAGACAACTAGTTATTCCCAGTATTTCATCATTCAATTCAATATTCAATGTCATTAGAAACTAAATTCAATCATCTTATTAGTAACAGAGCCAAAGAAAGAAAATTCAAAGCTGGGTTTTTCGAAGGTTCTACTCCTGATCATGTTGTTAAACATCCAAATCCTTTACCTTTAGGTGGTGGTACACCAGATGAAGGATTTTTCCCAATTGAATCTATTCATTTAAATTTAATTAATGAACCTTTCCAACATTTATCTTATCAAGAGAAAACCAAGAATTTAAATATAAAAGATATCAATGTTAAAGAACAAATTCATAAAATTAATGATGACAATACAAATCATACTTATCGTTATACTGATAATGAAGATGAAGTTGATTTAGCCACTGGTTTACAATATTCTTGGGGTAATGGATTCCCACAATTAAGAAAATTTAGTAAAGATTTAATCACAAGAACTAATAAACCTGGTTATGATGATTGGGATGTTATAATTACAAATGGGTCTGGTGATTCACTTCACAAGATTTCAGATTTATTTGTTGAAAAAGGTGGTACGATCCTTGTTGAAGAATTTACATTTACTCCATTCAATTCCACTGCCCAAAATTGGGGTGGTACTCCAATCCCAATTAAATTAAACATTAGACCTAAAAAAGATGGTGGTGAAGAACCTGGTGTTGATCCTGAATATCTTGATGATTTATTAACCAATTGGTCCTCGGGTCCTTATAAACATCTACCAAAACCTTATGCATTATATACTATCCCAACTGGTCAAAATCCAACTGGTTTAAGTCAATCCTTAGAATTAAGAAAAAAAATTTATTCAATTGCTGAAAAACATGATTTTATTATAGTGGAAGATGATCCGTATGGTTATATTTCTTTACCAAAATATGGTACACCAAATGTTTATGAAAATGATGGATTAGATAATGATACTTATATTAAAAGTTATTTAAAACCTTCATATTTAACTTTGGATACTTCAGGAAGAGTTGTTAGATTAGAAACTTTTTCAAAATTATTTTCACCAGGTTTAAGATTAGGTTTTATTGTGGCAAATAAATTTTTCATTGAAAAATTAAATTTATATACTGGATTATCAACAAGAGCTCCTTCAGGTGTTTCACAATTAGTTTTCAATAATATTGTGGCCAATTGGGGTGGTGTTGATGGTTGGTTAACATGGGCTCAAAAAATTGCAAAACATTATACTATAAGAAGAGATTTATTCCTAAAGACTCTTTATGATTCTGAATCTTTCAAGAATAATGAATTTGAAGTTGTTGAACCAGATGCAGGAATGTTTATTATTGTTTATATTAACTTGGAATCCAAATTCCCAGATCCAAAAAATTGGGAAAAAGTTTTACATGAATTACGTTATAAAACTATAACAAATGGTGTTGATATTGTTTTTGGTAATAAAATGACTACAGATTTAAATTTTAAATTTACTACACCAAAATCTAATTTCTTAAGATTAACAATTGCTGCTGTTCATGATAATGATGAAATTATTGAAGCTGGTAAAAGATTAACAAAATCTATTAAAGAATTTTTCGAGGATTTAAATGCTGGTAAATATGATGATTTGAAATAAGATATTATTACAAGGTGATCAAGCTGGATATTATACATTATATAAACAATATATTATAAGTTAATCAAACTAATGGTTTAAATTTATTGTAAGTTTCATCAATCGCATTATTAATCTCAATTTTACGTTCTTTTGAAATCCATGAACCTTCAACCCCATTTTTAGCAACTTTAACCCAAGTTTCTAAAGACCAACCAAATCTTGTATGAACAGTAATATAATTATCCAAAATATAACCACCAAAATATGCAGGATCATCAGAATTTAAACTAAATGGAACCTGGGCATCCAAGAATTCATTTAATGGAATTTCAGAAACATCTTTAACAACATTTAATTTAACATTTGATAAAGGACAAATTGTTAACATTGTTTTTTCAGAAGCTAATCTTTCCATTAATTTTGGATCTTGAATTGAATTAACACCATGATCAATTCTTGTAACTTTTAATTCATCTAATGCTGTAATAACATAATTTGAATCACCTTCTTCTCCTGCATGTGCAGTTAATTCTAAATCTGGATTAATTTCTTTAACTTTTGAATAACAATTAATGAATAATTCAGGTGGGAATGGTTTTTCTGCACTATCTAAACCAAGAGCTTTGATAGAACCATCTTTCAAAAATTCAGTTGCACTATCAATTGTTTTTAAACCATCATTTGAAGGTAAATGTCTTAATAAACACATGATAAGATTAGTTGACATTCCATATTCTTGTTGAGCTTTTAAACTTGCCCTTTTGAACCCATTAACAACAGTTTCGATTTTAATTCCACGTTCAGTATGAGATTGAGGATCAAAAAAAGTTTCTGAATGCCATGTACCATCTTGATGAGCCTTTGTGAAATAAGCCCAAGCTAAATCGAAAAAATCTTCTTCATTAATTAAGACATTACAACCAATATAATAATAATCTAAGAAATCTTGTAAATCTTTAAATTGTTTATAGCGTTCATTTAATTCTTCAACTGTCTTGGGGAAATTTGATGGTAATTTAATATTATTTCTTTTAGCTAATGGGAATAATAAATTTGGTTCTAATGTACCTTCAAGATGTAAATGATGTTCACATTTTGGTAATTCATTTAAGAATTGTTTCATATGGTGGTTACATTCATATTTAGCCATTTTGATTGATTGTTTTATGATTAAAGCTTGGATATGATCTTAGATCTTGTGACTGAAAAGTTATAGGTTTGAATAAATTTTAAGATAAGCTTTTTTTTGGACGGTATAATTTGTGAATTTTTTTTTGATGTGTCAAGAATTTCTTTTTTTCAACGGTGTTTTTTAAATATCCGTCGGACTTTTTAAATAGGTATTGACAAATTAAATTGGATTATATTGAATGAATTGAAGGTGAAATAGTCGATTCAAGGATTTGATATTGATTTTATATTGTTTTTGAATGTTGTTTATGCTGGGGTATGTCTTTTCTTGGTCTGATTTTGATTAGTTTTGAGTTTTTTCATTGCAGATCTGATAATCAAGATCATTTTCAACGGGTACAATTGCTTTATATCTTAATCGTATATAATAGAGAAAGTGATCTCATGATCACTTCATCAATGGCAGTGTGCTTGTGATAACTTTGTACTCATATGTCATGTTGAATTGTAAATCTTATTATAATACCATGATCCTTAAGCAACAATCTACAAAAACAAATGGAAAAAGAGTGTAATTCATATATTCCAGGTCTCACATCAGATCCAAGACTACTAATTAAGTCAGATCCGAATAATGAAATAACCATTGTTTATATATGCATTGATTTATAGTTGAAAGATATCATTATATTCATGCTAAATTTTAGTGTTATTCTTTCAAGGGTATACAATTCCCTTCCACACCACATAGACAATTAAACTAAACCTTCCTATAAGATTAACATGAAATTGTATAAGATATCTGAAATGCACAGAATGCAAAAAAAGCATTTTAAAACTAACGATTCAAGAAATAAGTAAGAGTGTTTGTTTTAAAAATGGACGAATTTGAATTTTTTTTGCCTTAATTATATATGAAATTTAATTTTCGCGGATTTCCCATACGTACAGCTAATAAAAAATCAAAATTGTCGATTTCGATTTTGAACAAACTGAAAAATAGAGCAAAGAAAACAAGATAACTAAGAAGAAACATTATTCACAATGGGATTGGTGGGCTTTATGAGATAATTACTAATATTGTACCGGTTACGTACTGAGATAAAGTTACCCCCAGAAGGAGAAAATAAAATCAACTTGACAATTGCTTTAATTTTAAATTTCTGATTTCTAATATAGTAATGTAATCATAGTCATTCATTATTTGTCATGTTTATTGAATAATGGTGTTAATATCTCATCTTGAATTGTAAATCTGTAATGCCATAATCCTTCGTCTACAAAAACAACTTGAAAAAAGAGGTAAAATTCATATATTCCAGGTCTCACATCAGATCCAAGACTGTTAATCAAGTCAGATTTGAATGATGAAGTAACCATTGTTTATATGTTGATCTGATTGGAAAATTTTGTTATATCCATGCTAAATTTTAGTGTTCTTCTTTCAAAAGCAATGAATGCCCTTCAACACACTTTAGACAATAAAACTAAACCTTCATATTATATTAAACGGGAACAAACATTGAAGTGCAAGATTTGTAAAAAAGACGTTTTGAAGATAACTGCATGTTTTCACAAACAATTCCTGCTTCATAATACTGGAGCTGAGCAAAGGTGCAAAATGTCAGTGCAAAGGTAAAAAAGAGTTTTTGTTTGAATGGAAAAGTTGAAATTTTTGTTTTTGTTTTTTTTATAGGTAGTCAAATTATTCGCGAATTTTTAATATGTACAATAAAAAATCAATTTAATGGCCATTTCGATCTTGAACAAACTGAATGAAGAAAGAAGTAAACAAGAATTAGATAACTCATATACTAAACAATGGAATTGGTAAGTTTTATGAAGAATAGTTTTATGAAATAATATACTAACTTTACTATCAAAATAGCTCCCGGAAGGTCAAAAAAATCAAGTTGAAGTAACATTTGAAGATCAAAAAAAGATTAATGAATTTTCAAAATTAATATCTAAAAAGGATTCATTAACATTAGAATTAAATAAACAAAAACAAGAAAAAGAATATTTAGCTGATGTATCGTTAGAAATAGAATTAATTGATGAAGATGAATTAATAAATTATAAAATTTCAAATGCATTTATTAAATTAAAACAAAGTGATGCAGTGGAAAAATTAGAAAAAGATGGTGAATTATTAGATTTAGAGATTGGGAAATTAGATGAACAAATGGATGAAATTGATTCAAAATTATCAAGTTTAAAAACTGAATTATATACAAAATTTGGTGATAATATTAATCTTGAGCGTTGAAGAAAGATAGAGATTGTTTAATATAATACTACAATGAGAATGATAATCTTATTCATAATTCGTATTCAATATAAAAAACCATATAAAACCATATCCTAAATGTTATATTCAGTATTCTACCCTAAGCCATATCCTATAAAAATCATAACCTAACCTGTTCCCTTCCTTTCCTTCCTACCGAATTCACACTTAATTTTAGTGACCACCAAAAGCATAAACTTCGGCATCTCTTTCAATATGGAATGGATAATTTGAATCACTTAATTTATTAATTGAATCAATTAATCCATGATCATTTAAATTAAATGTAAAACCTGTAATTAATGTACTAAATTCATAACTAATTTCACCACCTAATGATTTGATTTTATCTTTAACAATGCTGATGTATCTAGTGAACATTGTTGTTAGTACTATTCATATTTATATAGTAGTATGGGGAACATCATTACTTACGAATTTGGCGTTAATTGACCTTGTTCAAATGAAAGAATATATTTATCTATAATACTGTTAGTTTATACCCTCAGAAATTGTGTAAAAAACAAGATATAACATACCCGCTGTAACAAATGCGAATAAAGTGAATAAAATAATATAAAATGATTTAATAATTTGCATATTTTTAGTTTGTTCCTTTGTTCTTTATTGATTTCTGGTTAAATTGGATGTTCAAATTCTGGAGATTTTGCCTTCTGTTTTAAAGGAGAAAATTACAATCGGTAGGGGAACTCAAAAAAATTCATGAATATTAATCAATTTTAAGGGATAGTCATAGTAACTATTCATTTAATAACAATCAATTCATTTGAAATATGAAACAAATAGAAAGGTAAGCCTCCTAGTTTCTTATAGAGTATGAACTGTCTAGAAATTCTAGGTATAATCTTCAAGCATTAAAGCAATTGATCATAAATTTAAATTTACAAGCGTGTGTCATAGTTATATATTTTGATTGCTTTGTTCACATATCAATGTTAATATAATGGTTGTCAATCCTAAGGTTATTCAAATACATCAAATTAAAGGTCCAAGGTGAATAACTTTGGCCATTTGAATGTTATTTAATACAAATTCTTTCCCATCAACTATTATATTGTAGACAAACTTAAAACAAATGTATTTAATATTATACAAAACAACCCACCCTATGAATCAGGATTAATAATAAATTTACAAAAATATCTAACAGCAGAATAAATTTCCCTCCCAACAGGTTTAATATAATTTGAAGGTAATAAAAATCCATGAGATCCAGTATCTCTTAATTTTAATTGGAAAGCCCAATGAGCTCTATTATGATACATATAATCTAATGATGAACCTGCCCCCAAACCAGGTAATAAATCCACACCACGATCTTTACAAGCTGGTAATACTTCATAATGTTTCCCACTTTTCAATCTTATAGATTTTGATAATCCATAACTTAATTCTAATAAATTTTCTAAATCTCTTGGTAATTCATCACATGAATAAGCATAAGGATATAAAATTTTTTGTGTATATGAATGGAAATCTAAAAACCCATAAATTTCATGATCATTTTTAGTAACATTAATATAATTATCTAAATTGGCAGCTTCCATTGCTTCAAATTCTAATTCTCCACTATATGATTCACCACATGGGAAATCTTCAGATCTTGACCAATGATAACCAAATGAATGATCAATATCAATACCAAAACATCTTGGTATATAAGTTTCTTGTCTATTTTTCCTCCAAAGACGATCTGTAGTCCAAGTATATTCATATCCATCAGGATTGAAAACTGGAATGATTAAAAAATCTAATTTATTTAAAAATTCAGTTTCCTTTTTATTGGACCCATATTTATTTAATAATTGATATATTGTGAATAGAACAGTTGATACACTAATCCATTCACGTGCATGAACACCAGCAGTCATAACAATAGTTTTCTTTGTTGGATTTAATCCAGTGGGGGAACTTAGATGAACAGCTTTTAAATCTCGACCTTCGTAACTTTGTCCTAACCATTCAATTTCAACTAAATCAGGATAAGTTTCTTTTAGGATATCTAACCATGCATAAATTGTTGATAATGGTCTATATTCTTTGAAAAAAATATCACTTTGGGTATGGAAATCTTGATCTTTATTGATTTGGAATTGGTCTTGTTTTTGGTGTTGTTGTGGTAATGATGGATAAGTTTCATAAATTGATTGAGCTAAATCATCAATAATTATATCAAATTTTAAATTTGGATAATCCTTAATGATTTGATTTTTGGAAATTAAGTCAATTTTCAAATCAAAAAATTCATTATTTATTTCCCAATGTTCATATTTTTTCAATAATTTTTGAGATATTTCAATATTATCAGAATTTAACCAAAACCTTATAATTTGGAAATCTTTATATTGTTCAAGATTTATTGGCCAATCTTGTTTATCTAATGTTGTATAATGTGATATAGATTCTTGATCATTATTTTTTCTAAAATATTCTTGTAATTTATTCAAAATTGTATTATAATTATATGATGATTCAATTGATTTTAATTCTTCAATATTTAAATTAAAGGGTATATTTAAACCATAACCAAATATTATAAAACCTAGTTGGAACACTAGAAGAGAGGATATAAGTCTCATTATGGGGGATCCTTGTTGATGAGATAATGAGTTCCAACGTAATACTTTATTCCCTTCTCAAATGAACTAGTTGAACTTGTTGAACTTGATTTACTTATTTTGTTAACCTGCATTGATGGTTTTTCGACAGGACCCAGGTACTAAATTGATTTCTTGATCGCGAAAAGGCTGCATTTGGAAATACGATACTGAAAATAAATATCCCAAAGAGGGAAATTACCGTATTGGGAAGTGAACTGATAAGTAAAATATTGATCAACTTTTGATTTATTCATTTTTGATTACTGTTGTTAATTGTATTTAAACGTATTTGAATGGTTTACATTATTGGATAATTGATATTCTTTGTTGTGATTAAAAGGGTATACTATATGTCTTAATATTATTGTGCATTATCACATCATGTGATTCTGGTAGTAATTGATTATCACCATATCTAGGTAAGATAGTAGCAATAATGTGTACAATATATGATCATTAGAAACATTGGTGGTTATACTTATGAGCTTATGGAATAGGCATTTATATATGTTTACTCGTATAATATATCACCATCCGTATCTCTTTAGATAGACGCAATCCTTTGGAATTCAAGCTTTAAACCGAATGTTAATAGATCTATAGTAAATAGCTTATACCATCAAAAGAAGTCAAATCACCACCAATTGACTCCTTTAAGCACCATGTAACAATACATAATAAATATATCTCCTTGACAGCTATCACTTGATTATAATTGGTGACATTTTTAATACCGATCCATGGAATTATGGTTTTTTGGTTCATTGGTTTACAGATTTGTTTTTCAACAATGGAACTATGGAACGATCTGGAAATTTAAAATCCACTTTAACAACATGAATTCAACTACAACTACAATAAAAGATGAATGACATGTACTTCTAATGGTCATTGATAAACTACTCTTATTCAACTTGTCTATCTTGGGTTCATTGAGCCTATTTTTGCAGTTTCTTTAAAGGTCTGTTTAGTACTTCCTCGGCCAAGATTCGGTTCAATGCAATTTTGATTTTAAAATGTCATCAAAAACGCTGTGATTTTGGTGGGGCAGATAATTATATTTAAACAAATTGAAATCCATTGAAATATATTAAACTAAACAGATGCTTATCAAGTATTATATCATTATAGACAATGGATGAAACAGACTCTTTGTTGGTGGAAAACGTCAAATCAATCATCGCTGGTGGTGTAGGTGGTGTAGCCGCCGTTATAACTGGACATCCTTTTGATTTGGTTAAAGTACGTTTACAAAGTGGTCAATATCCTTCAATGGCAACTGCTGTTAAATCAATATTATCAACTTCAGGTCCAACTGGATTTTATAGAGGTGTTGTTCCACCATTAGTTGGTGTTACTCCAATGTTTGCTGTTAGTTTCTGGGGTTATGATTTAGGTAAAAATATCGTTTCAAGTTTTAGTAATGGAACTCCAGCTTCAGAATTTTCAAATGCTCAATTAAGTACTGCTGGGTTCCTTAGTGCAATTCCAACTACTTTAGTCGCAGCTCCAATGGAAAGAACCAAGATTGTTTTACAAACTCAAGATGCAAATGCTCCAAAATCAATGATTTCTGCTGTGAAAAGAATTTTAGCCACTGGTGGTATAAGATCCCTTTTTAAAGGTTCATTTGCAACTTTAGCTCGTGATGGTCCAGGTTCTGCATTATATTTCGCAACTTATGAAGTTGCTAAAAAGGAATTAACAAAATTAACTGGTGCTAAAAATGGTGAATTAAGTTTAACTGCAGTTTCAACTGCTGGAGGATTAGCTGGTGTTAGTATGTGGTTAGTCGTGTTCCCAATAGATACTATAAAGACAAGATTAACAAGTAATGTTAATGAAAATATAAGTGCTAAAGAAGCTATAGCTTCAATTTATAAAAAAGCTGGTGGTATTAAAGGGTTTTTCCCTGGGTTAGGTCCTGCTTTATTAAGATCTTTCCCTGCAAATGCTGCTACATTTATGGGTGTTGAATTAACTCATCAAGCTTTTAAGAAATATAGTGCTAAAAAGGGTGAACCACTATAGATGAATTAAAAGTAAAAGTAAAGTATAAAATGAAATATAAAGTATATATATATTTAATTTTAATGTCATGTGTTTTATGAATTTATTTATTGGTTATACTTTTACGTAAGCAGCAATACTTATGTTATGTAATCAGTTTTGTGTTTTTTCGCGAATGTTTTTGATTTTTTTGGAAATTGGTGGTCCATGTAAAAATGGAAATTTGATTGAATGGAAATCGATTTGGTATTGAAGGAAAACTATACAAATCATATTGGGTTCAAGTTACAAGATGTCATTCTTATCTGTATCGAGAGTGAGTATCATGTTATTAGTTTTTCAAAGAACGTCATGTCTAACCTATTTTTTAGATTGGTTTACCAACAATTTTAGGTTTATCAATAATGAATATACCAACTTCATTAAATGATTCTAAAAAACCATCAAGATCTTTCTATGAACAAGAAGATGATTTAAATTTATCCCCTATAGTGGAAGCACCAAAAGAATCAACAATCAAATCCACTAAACAATCTGAACCTGAATCTACAAATGAATTAAAATCAACATTTATAGATGGTTATAAAATTAATACATCAAATTTTTTGGAAAAACATTTCAATTCAATTAGAAAATCAATTATAACTCAATTTGATATTGCCAATGCTGAATTAAATAATATTACCGCGGCATCAAGAAATGAAATTAATAATTTATATTCAAATTTAGTCTCTGTTTATGATCCAAAGGATGAATTCATTCCAGGTTTTATTTATACTCTTACATCAACATTAACCGGTTCCATTTTGGTTCATAACAGAGGTTTAACTTTAAGATTCTTATCACCTTTACTATTGGCTTCTTTAGGTTTTAAATTTTTCTTACCAGGGACTTTTAATAATACTTTAAATGTTGTTAAGAATTGGGAAGCTGAATTTCATCCAGATTTATTACAATCTCAAAGAAATTTAAAGAAATTTTTAATTGATTCTGAAAATCAATTGGAAGATTTTGGTAAGAATGCTAATCAATCTTTAATTTCTACAATTCATGATATTAGAACAAGTTTAACAAAATAAAAGAATAAAATGAAACATGACATGAAATACAAAATATAAATTCTAAACAAAATAACAAGAAAAAATGATCATGATTTGATAATCAATATTTGTAAACATGATGAATGAAATATAACTCTAGAGAAGAAATCATAACTAGATTGATTTTTTTTTTGGGGGTTGAATGTACCATGACACACTGTCTTTAAAATAACATATAATAAAATATTCAATTTGATATAACAAACATAAATTTCTATCTGTAAGTTTGACCAGCAGTATGATATCCATTATTATGATAATTATATTTCTCTTCATCAGAAACAACACCAGGACCATAATTAAAATTTTGAGGTTGTTGAACAGGTCTATAACCACCAGTATTCCATGAATTATTATCATAAATAGGTGCAGGTTTTGGAGGATACATATTTGGATTATCATATGCGGTTTGTTGTTGTTTTAACGGTACTTGTTCTATATCTCTTTGACGACGTCCAGAACCTGATGATGATCCACAACATCTAAAACAACAACAACATGCTGACCAAATCCCTTCAACACCACAACAGAAACAACGTAATAAAACCCCAAAAATACCAAATAATACTATAGCTGCAACCACGATCCCTACTATGGCGACGATTTTACATGTTTTGTTATCCATACATGTATCCCAATGTTTAAAAGATTCAGCTGTTGAAACCACGTCTGATGTGAACGCTCTTTTGGATAAAAGTTTTGAAGGACATAGATCTGATGTACTTGATGGTAATAACATAATGATTTCTTTGATAGCTTGTAATATATTTGTGTCAAATGACTTGATCTCTTTTCTGTTTCTCCAGAGTTTCCAAAGTGTGCAATTCTTGTTCGTTTTATATTGTTTCATAAAATTATTGTGTACCTGATTTCTGATTTGTGTAAATCAGGCGCGACTGAAAAAAATTTAGATTCTGTACAGCCTTTATTAAAACACGATATAATAAAAATCAATTTACTCAGCCAGAATGTGACAAAGTTATTTAAAGAAAGAATTGCTGGTAGACAGTGTGGATTGGGGCGTATGTTGTGGATCATTGCTCATGGCTTAAGTGTGAGCATTGTATGTGTGATAGTGGCTATCGTTAAGTCACTGATCTGTGAGTTTTAGTGGCTCGGTAAAATACGCCAGATTGAATTCATAACGGTTAATATCTAATTTTAGAAACAGTATAAGCAGACCCTGGTTATTACACAAAATTTTAATCTTAAATAATTACATTAACACTATTATACATATTAAATTATTAAATAAACAGAAAATCAACAAAAATCCCAATCATACCATAAATCATTAAATAAAAATCCATTTTTCAACGTAGTTTTGTTCTACTTTTTATTTTTGCATAAAATCAAACATACTACCTAAATCAACATAACGACGACCACAATCACTTAAATATTTTTGAACAATTGATTTACAAACATTAAAATTATCACGATTTTGTTCACTTAATGCATCAATTTGTCCTTTAATTAATTCTTGTGGTTTTGTAACATCTTCAGATTCATATAATGGTCTTAATGATTGATTTTTATTTTTTTCAACATCAAATAATGAATCAAAATATAATAATTGATTATATAACTCTTTATCACTATATTGATATCTCATAACTCCTTTACATCCATTTGATAAACATCTTTTACCATAAACTGAAATTTGTTTAGTAATCATACCACATGTTGAATCATCACATATAACAATACCTTGATAATATTTTGATATAAATGATCTAATTCTTTGTTCTAATTGACTTGTAACATTTAATGTATTTAATTGATTCATACATTTTTTACATTGAATTCCATTAAATGTCATTTGATAATCATTTGATGAAACAATACCACCAAATTTAAAATGTGATCCACATTTACAATTTAAATATAAATGTTTTGATAATTTAAATCTTTCTGCATCTGAAATTGTTGATTCTAATGGTTGTAAAATCCCATTAATACCACCATTGGTATTATTACTTCTATTGCTTAATTGTTTAGATCTATGTTCTAATCCAAGGGATTTAGCTAATCTAACAACATCAAATCCTTCAATTCTTTCTAATAATCTTTCAACTGGTGCAAAGATTTGTTTTTCTAGATAATGATTAGCATCTGGTTTTAATGTTGAAGTTTTTGGTAATAATTCTGCTAAAGCTCTTGCTCTTTCAGCTGGTGAACCTTCTTCACCTTCTGTAATAACAAATGTAATAACACTACCAGCTTTAATAACTTTACCTTGTTCTCTTAATCTTAATGCAACTTGAACTGCTGGCATGTTTTTAGCACCTGGGTATGATGATGGATCTTTTGATAATTTTGTATTAATCTTGAATTTATCAGCTCTAATTTCATTATTTTTAATCTTAGAAGTCATATCTTCTAAATATGAATAAATTTCATTTAATGCTAATTCAGGATCTAAATCTGATAAAATCTTCTCTAAGACATAAATTGAAATCTCTTTTGATAATGGACAATATTCACGACGTTTCATATCAAGACCTTTAACTTCTAACACAGAATTTTCTTGTCCCATTTTATCAAATGAAACATTCATAGCTGCATATTTCTTTTTAGCATGTAATAATAATCTTTTGAAAACATTATCAATATCAATTTCTAATAATCTATATCTTTCATTAACTTTAATTTTAAAATCTTCACCGATTTTAGTAGCATCTTTAATATCATCACAATTTGTATCAATCATAACAGAATCAGTATCACCATAAACAACTCTTAAACCTAAACTTTCAGCTAATTGTCTTGTATCCATTAAGATTTCTCTACCTTTATTTGTAACCAACATAGCTAATGGTTTAGCATAAAATCTTGAATTAACATAACCAAGACAACCATACATAGAATTTGCAGTTAATTTTAAAGCTTGTTGTTTAATATCGTATTGAGCTTTTTCAATCATTGTAGCAGTTGGATCTTTCATTAATTTTTTAACTTCACGACGACGATTAACTAAAGTTGATAATAATCTTGGTAAAACACCTTGATCAGATCCTGTTGGTGGAACATCTGGTAATGTTTCAATATTATTTAAATCTCTATCAACTGTAGTGAAACAAATATTAAATTCTTGAATAATTGATGGATATAAAGAATTGAAATCCATAACTAAGATATAATTCTTATGTAAACCCTTTTCAGGTTCAAAAACTAACCCACCTTGATATTTGGATTTTTTATTATTATTTGAAACTTGTTCATCATTACCATCTTCTGAAGATTGTTGTTGATATTGTTGTTGATGTGCTAATCTTTGTTGACGAGTTTCTTTATCTGGAACAATATAATCATTTCTATTAAATTCATGTAATAAAATAAATTCATTACGACCAGCTCTTGTACCACCTAAAGTATGAGCCCATGCATTACCAGCTAAATTAGTTAATTGTTTTGATAATGATAAAATTTGCATTCTAAATGCAATTTCTGCAGTAATTAATGAATTAACACAATTTTCTTTTAAAATCATGAATAATGAATTTGCATTTTCAGTATATTGAGGATTAGACCAATTAATTTCTAATGGTATATGTTTTTTCTTACAAACAACATCATACATTTCTGGTAAATCCCATGATTGACATTTTGTTGTTAATGATTGACCCATTTCATTTGAAATATCACATAATAATCTACCTGCAAAAATTTCTTTAACTAAGAAACTTGTGTTTGCATTATTTTTACCAAATCTATCAGGCCATTGTTTTCTTTGACGACGACCAAATGTACTAAATGTTGGAACTTTTAAATCATGCATACGATGTAATAAAATATCTAATGAAATATTTTCCAATCTATGACCAATGAAGACATCTGGATCTGCTAATTTAACTAAAGCTGCAAGACAATTTAATAATGGTTTTTCATTGTTGAAAACTCTTAATGGTAATTTATTTTTATCAGCAATAGCTTTTAAACCTGGTGGGAATGAAGCAGCAATTGGTCTTGTTAAAGTGATCAAATCATTTGGTTTTAAATTTTCATCAACTGGTGCATCTTGAGGTAAGTTTCTATAAGTAGCTAAAGTAACAGCAATAACTTCTTGTCTATTTTCCTTTTGATTCATCATAGTTTGAACAGAAATTGAACATGAAGTTAATGGAGGTGGTGCAATATTGAATTCTGGAGTTGATTTTTCAATTGGTGTAACAAAATTTGGATTATTAACTGAAACTTCTAATTTACAATGAGATGTATTTTTAACATCATCAAAGTTTGCATTTTTAATTTCTAACCAACATGGACCCATAATATTTCTTTGTAAAACAAAAGTTTCAAAAATATTTGCACTTGTACCGAAAACATGAGAAAAAGTTTCACCTTCAAGATCAGATGGTAAAGTTTTTTTAGCATTCTTTGGTGGTTGAAATGGTAATAATATTTTTAAATAATCTTTTTCTTTTGGAATACCTGGCATTTCAAATGCATATTTTCTAGTTTCCTCTTTTGTTCTTAATGAAGTAAGACCATATTGTTCTAAAATTAAAGGTTGAATTTCATCACGAACATCAGAGGGTGTAACTGCTTCATCAGTAGCTTCACCATCAACTAATCTATAATCTCTTGGTAAGAAAAATAATTCTCTATTGAAATTTTTAACTTGAACCATTGCAGAAACAAGTTGTTTATCTGTTGTTAAAACTTTACCAAATAAAATTAATGTGTTTTCAACTTCAGTATAATCCAACCAATACATTTTAAAAGATTTTGAATCATCAGAAACCAAATTTTGATCAATTTTATCACTTGATGGTATATATGAACTTGTTGGTGATGATGTCAATGAAAGTTCTTCTTTTGGTTCTTCACGTTTTGGTTCAGCTCTAGCAGATGCATTCATATTAACTGAACGGTTAACATTCTTAGCTGAAGCTCTTGGTCTCTTAACAACAACAAGTTCCTCTTCAGAATCTTCTTCATCGTCATCTAATTTCTTTGGTTCAGGTTTTGGTGCTTCTTTTTCAATAGTTGGTAATTCAAATGAAGAAGCAGCTGGTGATGGAGCAGCTGGTGATTCAGATTTCATATTTCTTTGTCTTGTTGGAGAATCATCCATATGGTTATCAAATGAAGTTTCATTAATATCAAATGATAAATCATCATCTAAATCAAATGAAGTGTTTTGTATTTTTTTCCTCACAAGTGGTGTTTTACTTGTACTTTTCGGTATAGAAAAGAAATCACGACGATTGTTGACTTTTTCAGTTGAATTGAATAATGGAGTAGCTTTAGTAGTTGATGAATTGAATAAATTTTTACTTTTCTGAGCAGGAGCCATAAAATCATCCAAAATATCATCAAATTTAGCATCAACTTTCTTTTTGGCAGGCATAGCAACTGAAGCACTTGGTTTAAAGAAATTGTTGATTGGAGCAGATTTTTTAACTTTTTGTTTCTTCTTTGGTTTTTGATCCATTTGTTCATCTTCACTTGAATAATAATGATGTCTTCCTTTACCATCCCATTCATCAGCACCAGTATCAACATAACCTTCACCATTATCATCGATAACGAAATCATCTTTTAACAAGTCATCACGTCTCTTAGCTCTATAATCATCTTCATCCACCATATCATAAATATCTTGAGGTTCTTCTTCCATATAGACATCTTTACTTGAACCAGCAGCTCTTGCTGCCCTCAAGGCTTTCAATTTATCAGCTCTACCCATTGGACCTTGTTCAACCTGTGATAAAGCAATGGACTAGTAGTTGTAATTCTAACAAAGTGTAGCTGAGAGGTTTAAATTGAAACCATTCAAAGAAAAGATTAAACGCATTTCAATTCTAAATTCCCTATTACCATTTTTTTGATGTACGTAAAATAGCGCGTCTTATAACCTGCAAATTTAAATTTTGGTGCGCGTTTCGCGTCATTTCCGACCATTGTCATGTGACTAAAATTTTGAGGTCGGAATTCGATAGTATTCACAAATGCTGGTTCATAAAATAAATAAAGAATGCATTGTGTCAACTGTTTTGAAGAGGTATTTACTGTTCTTTTGAAAGACGAAACTATTGCTAAAGAAGTGATAGAGTAATTCCATTGCTATAGATTAGAGAAGAAGCCGGGTGTTTTTTAAAAAGTTTGATTTCAGGGAGAAATGTCATTCTTAGATATTGATGTTGAAGCACAAAAGGGTGCTGTATTTCAAAATGCTAATGAAGAAAGATCAAAAGTATCACTAATAATAGGGAAGGCTTCAAATTTGTTGAGTGATTTTGCAAGTGGTGTCAGTAATCTTGAAAGACTGGTGGATCAATTGGGTACCAAAAGAGACGGTAAACAACTACGACAAACAATTGAATCTGCAAGATTAGTGGAACTAAATGAATATAAGCAACAATTGGAACATCTTACGAATGATATATCACATTTAATTGCCAATAATTCACAAACTAGTATTGAGGATAAGTTTAGTGAAGAAAAAGTGAGAAAAGAATTTGAAAGTGTCAACAATAATTTCAACATTTTGAAAAGACAATATAATGAACGTAAAAACTCAGTTATTATCAATGATAGAATTTCCAATCAAGAAGCTTTAGATAGTGAAGAAAATATTCCATCGTCATCTGCTACTGAAAATACCCCTTTGATTCAAAGACAACAACAACAACAAAATCAATATACTATAACACAACAAGAATTGGATTTACATTCTGTTTTGGCTGAAGAAAGAGCTGAAGAAATTAAAAAAATACATGGTGGTGTGGAAGAAATTAATTCAATATATAAACAATTAGGCTACTTAGTCCAGCAGCAAGGTGGTCAAGTCGATACAGTTGAAAACAATATGTCAAACTTAGCAAATCATACTCAAAATGCCGCTCAAGAACTTGTTAAAGCTGATAATTATCAAAAGCAAAAAAGGAAATGGAGTTGTATTATATTAATAGTCTTAGTTATAGTGGTATTGATTGCTGTGCTGGCAATATTTTCTTAAAGAGAAAGAACAGCAAGTCAACCCTTCTTTTTTAACGTCGCTAATGAGTTTATATAAACAGTTTATTTACACTACTTAATACAATCTAATACATTAATATTCATATAACAACACGTATATTAATTATGTAAAAAAAGACAATCCTTGATATAAACTCCATAATTAACCATCCTATAAAAAATCCAAATATACCAACCCAAACCAAATTAATTTCTCAAAAATCTATTATTGTTATTAAGTTGTGAGTATGAAGGAAGAGGTTCATCTTCTGGTGTTTCTTCCCCCGATGATGAGGTAATAATCCCTGTAGTTACATCTTCTGAAAATGAAGTTTGGACCTGTGGTGAAGCTGTTCTTCTGTTTCTTCTACCTCTTTCTCTGAATGTTGCTGTTCTATTATAGATTCCAGAAGTTTGACCATCATTGGAAGTTGAGCTTTTTGAACTATCCCAAAAATCGCCTTCGCTTTGACCATCATTATTATTTGAACGCTCTTGACTTTCTTCAACTCTCAGAGTGGATGAAGATTGTGAACCAGCAGTTTGATATAAATCATCATCATCATAATCACTTTCCCTTTCACCTGGTGCTAAAAATGGATTGTCATTTGGTCCAGTGCGGTAAGGTCTATTCGACACTTTTCTTCTCCGTCTCTCAGCAATTGCAGCTTCAACACCAACCTTGACATCTTCATATAATTCCCTTAATTCTTCTCTGTGTTCATAAGCTGCAATACCTAAGCCGATGGCAACTCCACCTGTAAGAATGTAAAAAAGGGGCACTGAAAACAAAATGTTAACACAATCACTTCATTATTATCAGAGATCACATTAATCAATGAACTTACATGGCATCTTCAACAAATAACACAATAGTCAATAAGTACTTTTGAAAGTGAACTAGTGAATCAACTTACGGGGGTATTAATTTCATGTGCTTGTCACAATTATATGAAATGATCCAAAAGGCCAACATTTGCCCGTGATCTGTCATTTTATCAAAATATTATTCTCAGCTCAACCATTATTAAAGACCAAAATAGTATCTAATATTCTGTGCCTGTGTCCAGTTACATATCTCCCATAGCTTCTCTGGTTCTTTCAATAATCCTTTCCAGTCTTTTTGTATCACGTCTTTGTTGTCTAATTGTGTCAAATGAAGATAATTCTAATATATGGCGATATCTATTACTTCGTAACAATGGTCTCAGTTCATCTATACTCATTTTAGGAGGGATGGGTACTATTGTAGTTATTTCCACATCACTTGAATCTTCTTCAATCTCTTCATTATTTTGTTGCTCTATTGAGTTGGATTCGTAATTTTTATAACTTGCACGTTCTTCCTCGTATGGTACTCCATTTCTTTGATATTGTTCTTCAGATTGTATAGCTGAATCTTCATCTTCTTCTGATTCCTCTGTTTCATCTACTTCACCTTCTGTTTTATTCTCTAGTGGTTGATTGATGATTGTCTTACTCTTCTTTAATGGTTGTTCTGTGGAACTTCCTTCATCATCTTCTAAACTGAAAAAATATTCTCTCTTATCATTCGAGCTGTCGGTTTTTAGTGAAGCAGTTTGTGATGTACTCCAATCATTAGAATCTGGATCAACAAACAAATTTGATACCACTGTTTGTTGACTTTTTTGTGATTGACTATCATGTTCAATTTCATCATGTTCTGTATCAGATGAGTTGATGAAAGGTGTTTCACCACGGTGTGTAACTGCATCAATTGATTTTTCTGTCTCTGAATCTTCGTATTGTTGAGATATATCAGCTGTTAAACTTCTGGATCCTCTTTCTTCTGGACTTTCACTAAACAATAAATCCATATCATCTTCGTCTTCATCTTCATTTGTTAAATCCAGAACAACCTGGGTCATGGGTACATCATTCAAGTTGAAAGCCACAGGGAATTCCTCCTTGACTGAGTAATCTCTAGGATCAAAATTCATATTCAGTTCAATGACTTAACATCTAAGTTTTAGTTTTGTTTTTAGTGTTGAATGCAGGGGAATGATATCTCATGAAAATCTTCAGCAGCGAATAGTATCCGAAACAGCGTTTATCACTATTCTGACCAGACACTTAAATGATCCGTGATGATTCGTACACTATTGAGCAGCCAATAGAAAAGTTAATGGAGTAAGTCTAAATGGTTTCTTTGTTCTGTTTATTTTAACAATAAAGCATCTCAAAATATCAACAAACTTTTTCGTAGCGTTACTAGAGCATATTTTGGTAAAGGACACATAAAACCTGTTGAGCCAAAGTAAGCCAAAATTCAAGCTCTGGAATGACCTTAAAACAATATTTTCCGTGAATTTGGCATCATTTACGTATATTCTTCATCTAACTACTGATATCTGGCCTATTTATCTTGAAATAATCGGCTGTTCAAATGCAGAATCTATATTGTACCCGAATAAAGTGTACGAAAGTATTGGCCAGAATTTGTTAAATGGAAACACCCTTATGACAAAGTAAGAAAGGTATCCAGGTGTCACTAAATCATCTTAGCCATCATTTCAATTCCTAACTTGGTAAAAATTATGAAGCTTCTGGCGAGCTACGACAACTATATAATAGAAAAGCTCCATTACTTCGGATTTTGAAGGACTTCATGATTAATATCGGGGATACCATAAGAATATCCAAATAACATATTGTTTCTTTGATAGCTCAATTCTTTGGTACAACATTTGAAACAAAGTTTCTATAAAAGCTCAAGCTCCAACTATTAATTTTATATTATTTATGGCCCAATATTCGAACCTTTAAATTTTGACATTTTTCAGGTTATCAACTTTAAATATTTTTTGGCTACTTTAAAAATTAATTTTTTAAAAATTTCCAAAATTTCCAAATTCAAATGACTGATAATTTCAAGCAAAATAAACATCAAGATATGATAATTGGTGCTTCAAAACCATATTGAGCTTATTTCAAACTCATATTCTGTTATTTGACGTTAAACAGCTTATGATTACATAGCTAATTACATAATCAGTATACATATAAAATTAATCATAATGTATACACTCTCAGAAGAATTAATTTTGGCTATTCAAATAGATAATTCAGCCTACAACGATTTGTATTAGGAAAGATAAACGACAATTAATGATAATATTAAAACATGATTATATATATGTATATATAGATGTATGTACTCTCCAGCAATGATTTTGTATAATCATGAAAAAAATAGAGTAATAAATGTAATGAAGAAAAAACCAAAAATAAAAATTGAAAAGCATATAAAATAGTAATATTGAGTTCATGAATCTTAACTTATAGCACATAGTATAAATGGAAATAATAATGCGTCCCTTCTATTAAAAAAGCAAAATATAATAGACATAGGTAATGATAAATTATAAAAAAAATTGGTAAAGCAGCAAATAAACTCCTTGATAATAATTTGACACTGAAATAAAAAATCTGAAAATGGTAATAATAAAAAAAGAGATGAGAAATGGAGAAATGGAAAAATGATCATATAGAATCAAACTTGTATCAATATTTCTTGAGGATTAATGAATTAAAACAAAATTAAAAGCTAAATGCAAAAAAAGTCTTTAAAAGTTTTGGCCTAAAATGAAAATCAAAAAAGCACACATAATGACGACCAAAATTTATTCAAATCATAGAGAATTGTAAACATGGCAAAAATTGAAAAGCAACAACAGAAAACACATAATGTTCAATATTTTAACAAATAAATTAACCTTTAAATCCTTGGTAAGCAAAACTACTACTTCTTCTTTGACCAGGACCTCTAACACCTAATGGATTTTTAGAGAATGATAGTCTAATGCCACCTTTGCCTGGAACACCACCAGGTCTTGGCAAAGTTCTACCATATAATTCAGCTAAAGCCCTTGTAGCATATGCGACATCCTCAAATTCAACAAAACACATAGGACCATGTGAATGACTTGAACCTGCTGAATTCAACTGACCATTACCATTCAAAGGTTGAGTTTTGGTTCTAAAACTTAATCTTCTGAAACCTCTTTGTGGTGAAAATAATTGACGTAATTCAGCTTCAGTAGCATCTGGTGGTAAATTACCAACATAAAGAGTATTACATGGGGGATTTTGATCAGCTGGATTAGCCGGAGGTGGAACTCTTGCTAATAATGATAAATCAACTTGTGATGATTGTTGAGAGTTTGTTAAAGTTGGTGGTTGAGAAATTGAGCTTGCTGTTGAAGGCTGTGATGGATTTTGTGATTGTGATTGAGGAATTTGTGAAGCTGATTGTGTTTGTTGTAATTGAGGATTTTGTAGAACTCCAACAGGTGCAGAACTTGGAGGAATTGGAATTGAAGATTGACCCAAATTTGGTTGTGCTTGTTGATTTGGATTTTGTTGAGATAATGACAGTTGGGTCGGTATTTGAGATGAAGATAATTGACCAGTCAATAATGGAGATTGATTATTAAAGAAAACAGAGCTTTGTCTTCTTCTATCCCATTCAATATTTGGTGTTTGTGGATTTGAGTTTGTCGAAAATTGTGCACTTTGTGGTGGAATTGAAGCGGGTGGGATTGGAAGTTGGGTTGGACCACCTTGTGAATGATGGTGTTGTGGTTGTTGTTGAGGTTGTTGCCATGGGTCTCTCACTAGTTGTTCATATTCTCTTGCATCTTGTTGAGATTCAAGAAGTAACAAAGATTTGCCCAATCCATTTGAGTTCCCATTGTTATTTTGTTGTGTAGAATTATTTTCTTGTACAGATTCAGGTATTGATTCATTTTGGAAAGGATCACTGAACAAAAATCTTGATCTTTGGTTTCCTATACTTGGTCTTTTAGCTGATGAACCAATATTTAAATTCACTTGCTGAGAATCATGGTTTACCAATTCTGATTTTAAATAAAATGGATAAGTTGGACCAAATATTTGATTTGAGTCTAAAATTTGGGAATATGTTGATGCAGCTGATAATGATGTAAATTTAGCATAAATAACGGGAAGATTATTGGAATCAATTATCAAATCTGATCCAATAAAGTCCTTAGCAAATGCGAATATTAGATATGATTCTCTCAGAGAAATATCAGTAGGTAAATTCTTTATCTTTAATGTGTATATCTGTTGTTGCTGTTGTTGCTGTTGTTGTTGATGCTGCTGTTGTTGATGATTTGAGTTCTGTAATTGTTCTTGTTCTTGTGTTGATAAGTTATTAGTTGGTCCCAATGACAAATTATTCAAATTTGACGAAAGATGAACAGGTGACGTTTGGAATGATGATCTTCTACCACTTTCAGCAAGACTCGTTGGGTTTGCAAAGCCTAATGTTGACGAATTTGGTGAAGTTCTATTGGTGGTGCTTGTCAAAGATGGAGGTTGTTGAGTTCCCAATGGTGGCTGTATATTACTTTGAGTAGCCATGATGTAAATAGAATATGATGATTATAAATTAATGATAATTATGTTGTTCTTGATGCTGATTATTAAGTGACTTTTGTTTGTAATAATTAATATTAATTGTATGCAGGGGGTTATAAAATGCCCGATAATGTAACCTTTATGACAAAAAAAAAAAGACCGTTTTCAAAACTAATTTACAATTAACCGACTTTCAAAGTCCCAGTTCAGTGAACAGCGATAAAATATTGCCCCTTTTAAATACCTTTCTTGATTGTATTTGTTGTTTAAATGTAGAATTTCTTTTCTTCAACCCCAAATTTTGAGTAAAAGCCGGAAAATTAACTGCACTATCTTTTTTTTTTGATAAGATACGACTTCAACGTTTGTAAATTATAGACAATCTGAAAAAAAACAAACTGAGCACAATTGGATTAGCTTTTATTTAGTGATGATGTCTAAGCTTGAAACTGGGTTTAAATTGAGAGAAAATGAGTATTTTCTGGTGATATAGGTTATGATTTTCTGTGAATAATTCACTTGTTTTTTCTCAACGCCACGCGTAAGATGGACCAAATTGATATTATGAGACCTTCTGAAACTCCTTTGAAAGATTGGTTTCTTGAAAATCCAACGTCTAATTGTAGCTAGCTGAGATGAGTTTATATATGAGGACTTTGCTCAATTTGTTGTAGTTGTTGGTGTTGTTTATCAAGTTTACAATCTTATTCACTTCTATGTGGTTATTGTTATTAACCCAATTTTCAATTCAGGAGATTTTCGAAATCGTTGTCTGGGAATCCAGCAGTCTAAATCCAGGGTAACCCTTACCCAATGAGGAAATATAATCTGCGCTGGCACCATTTGCAACTACACTTAATTGTGCAAAAAGTCATGTTTTTTTCTAAAGAACATATCAAAAGACAAAAATATTTTATAGTTCATGCTGGATGTTGCTATTTTAGAACCTTTATCAACAAATTTCCATACATTATTACTACTTTATTCACGCTTTCTTGAATTTCTAATTTTCACTTTCCTAAAAGGGCGTGAATCCAGCCGACGTTTTTTTTTGACTAAAAAATTCAATCTTTGCGCAATTTCCAGAACTACTTTTGCAAAAACCTCGACACCAAAAAAAAACCGCAAATAATTTGTAGCGCACGTTGAGAATTCGCGAAAAAAAAAGAGATTTTGTAACCTGAAAAGCTCAAATACACCTTAAATCACCACAAAGATATGATAAAACAGTTAACGAACTTTTGAATAATAAAATTTGGCAATAAAAAAATTGCTTTATAGTGCAAAAAAGAAGCTTCCGATGCGGGGAGTCGAACCCCGGTTTGCCCGGTGAAAGCGGACCGTGCTAGCCGTTACACTACATCGGATTGATTTATAGGTTTTTGATGCGTAGAAAAGCCTGATTCTAGAATTACATATCACGTGATCGAAATTTCCACGGCAACGCGTTTTAAGCCTATAAGTATTAAGCTCCAATTTTTATAACTACTTTTTATATTTAAAATTATTATATAAAGATTTCAATAAATATTATTATACGAAAAAAGAAAATTTAAAGCATAAAATTATACATGGTTCATTACAATCAAGTTTTCGCAGTTCGATAAATATTTATAAAAGTTATACAATAGACTGAGTATCAGAAACTTCTCTGATTTCAACAGATGACTGTTCCCTTCTAGATTCTTCACTATCAATCAAAGCTAAGACTTCTTCAATTGTTGAATAAAATTTCCCGTCAATTAATGCATCAATACCAGAATCTTTAATACGTCTCCTTATACCAAATTTTGTTGGAACTCTTATCAAATAAATATTAATATGTTTCTTCCTATAAGAATTTAAAATTTCATGGAAAATTTGTGCCGCTGATGAATCAAAATATGTCATCCCATTAAGATCAAATATTATATGTTTATTCATCAAGTCATTCCTTGTTCTTGGAGCAGCTGGATGTGTTTTAGCAGATCCATATCTCTCGAGTCTCATTAAACGAAGTTTCAAGTCTGAGGCATTAGAGAAAGTTAATGGTTCTGCAATTTTAACAATCATACATCCTTCAATTTCTTCTAATAAATCACCATGTTCTTGAGGCAATGGAGCATCTGCATTGACATATGTGTTTGTATTTGGAATTCTTCCTAGAATTTGGATACCCGATTTAGCAGAATTTTTGATAACACGAATAACTGAATACGCAACACCTAATGCAACACCAGCTTCAACTGAATATAATAATGTTGCTGTAATTGTGATGCAAAATGTAATCAACTCACTATAACCTCTTGCTCTAATATGAAATCGTAGATCTGCAGGTGTTTCTTCTAAAAGTTTCAAACCAACAATAGACGTTATGACTGATAGAACACAATTTGGTAGAAAATAAATATATTTCAGAAAACAAAAAATAATAACTAAAGTTACTGAACCCATTACAAATCCTGACATTGTCGTTTGTCCACCGCTAATAGCATTGATTCTTGATCTACCATAACCACCAAAGGCAGGTAATGCACCAATTATACCACCACAGAGGTTAATGGCACCTAATGCAACAAGTTCTCTATTTGATGAAATTGGCAAGTCATAAGCTGAACCAAGTGATTTAGATGCAGTTGTAGATTCAAAAAACCCTAAAGTGGCTGCCAAAAAACCCGACGACATTAATTTATGATATAGAGGGATTGTTTCTTTAGAGATTGGAAATTTATATGAGAATCCTTTGGTCTTGATTTTACCAACCACTGAAACACCTAACTTTTTCCATCCATAATGTGCTGAGAATATAGTAGAACCAACAACAACGATTAGTATTTCTGGTAAAAAGACCCATTTTTTGTGACCTTTGGCTATTAGTCTCTTTTTGATGTTTTGTGTAATGAAAATCAATACGAATGAAATGATACTAATCAATGCAGTAGGTTTATGAACTTTGTTCAAGTTTTTGAGCATGAAGACCAGTTTCAACACTGGGGAATGGAAATCTGTTTGAATGTCTTTGATTAGATTTAAACCTAATTCATCAAATAATGAGTTTATAATCATAACAATACCAACTGCTGATATGAAACCTCTTAATAAAGCTCTTGATAAAACATTATCTAAAAATCCAAATCTGCAAAGACCAGCACCTAATAAATAAAAACCACCGATACATGATAGGACACTGACAAGATCAACTGGATCAAGTTTTTCATCATGAGCCATTAATGGTTCAACAGCTTGACCTATAACTAACGATATAGCACCTTCTGGGCCAACAATCATTTGAGGCACGGATCCAAATACAGCATAGATCATTGGTGGAATGGCTAGTGAGTATAAACCACATAAAGCTGGAACATGAGCCACTGAAGTTGCATAAGATAATGCCAAAGGAATCTGGAAGGAAGCCAATGAAAGACCCGATACTAAATCACCTAAAAATTTTTCGAAGTTATAAGCTGGAATCCATGAATAACAAGGCAAATAATAAGGTAGTCTTTGAGACCATTTCAAGTCATATTGGTCTTGATATGGTTGATAACTTTCATTCGAAAGAGTTGATGAAGATTTATGTAACGGTTGTGGACTGAATGACCTTATGGTAGCTCTTGAAGGTGATTCTGAATATCTTAAATTAGAGACTTTAGTTCTTGGACGACGTGGAGATGGTAAGCTTTCATAATTTGAATGCTGATTTGAGTTGGTGTTCCCCTTCTTATTGATGAGATGAGACGTTTCGTTGGACATAATTTAAATTAATGCTCTTGTGACCAAAACTATATCATAATGTTGCTTCTGTGAACAATTTTTTTGCTAGTAAACTTGTGAATTATTTCAGTATTAAAGTAGACTCTCTATTATAGATCAAAAAAATTTCTGGATTATGTAGTATTCTTTTGAAATCAAGAGACTTAATTATGGCTAAAGGTTGAATGGCGATGGATTGTTTATCTTTTGTACTTATCACGAAAACGCTGAAGAATGCCCGAAAACGTGCTTTTCAAGCGTATCAATATTTCTCTGTTAAAACGAATTGAAGCAGCCACTTTAATAAGCAGCTAAATGTGTGATGCCTGAAGCTCAAGTTCTAAATAATGTGTACCGTGTACACTGTACAGTCTTAAATTCCACAAAATAGATCAGCAATTTTCTTTGGTCTATTGTTTTTTTATTTTATCCATACAGAAGCAATCTTTTACCACTTACTCTTGGCCCGTCCGTGGTGGCAAATGAAATTTGGCATGAAAAGACGAGATAGCTGCATACTCATTACAATATCCATATTAATGCCACCAAGAACCAAGATTAATGCTTTACGCGTTGAATATTATACAGTCATCTACAAGCTGCAGGAAATATATTGTCTAATACATTATTTTAAATCACTATATTCGTTATACTACTATAAAAGTGCCTTAATTGCAGCTTTCAAAGCAGAAGCTTTTTCTTTGTCTCGTTTCTCATTACTATTGCTGATTGCATCTTTCGTATAAGCATTCAAATGTAATTCAAATGATTTAACCAGTTCTCTAGTCTCTTTGCTTTTAGTCTCCCTTTGGACCCATTTCTCAACCAATCGATCAATATCATTCTTTATTATTCCAATTTTTTCATTTTTAGATAAATCAAGGTTACCAGATCTTTCATCAATCCAGTTCCATAGTAAAATTTCTTCTCCTCTAGCTAAAGAGTCTCCAGTAGATTTATCAAAACCATCTAGTAATCCAAAAGAGAATGTCTTCTCTGGAATTTTCCCTAGCGATTTGAACATCCCTATTTGAACAACTAAGATCGCTAGTAATAACCCTAAAAAAGTCAATTGGATCCAAGTAACTTCTGACAGATTTGGAATGGTTGCTTGTGATTCAAGATGTACACTCTTAGCATCAGTATCAACTTTTTGTAGTTTAGCAGCCGCAACAGGCTTTATATCATCTTCAACTGTAACTTGCTCTGTTGATTCATAAACATTTTCATCAACAATCTTTCTTAGCATTGGAATGAACACTTTGGTAGCTTCTTCTTGACCACTTGCACAACTTTTTTCAATCATACCTTTGACCCAACTGGATCCAGTCCAATCGACTTTAAATGCAACAACTAGCCTTGTTGTGTTCTCAGGACCCCATGTCATTAAATATCTCGTTTGGACACTAAAAGCATTACCACTTGGAACATCAGGTGTTCTAGTTATTGATAAAACGTTGATATAGTCATTATAATCAAGATTCTCAATTCTTTCCTCCACTAAACATTTAGTTGATTTTGGCCCTATAGAGTAGTTCAAAGCTTTGGTATAATTGTAAGTTCTTTGCTTGAAACCCTCATTGTTTTTCTCGTAATCTGAGAACTGAGAAAAATCACTAGAACCTTGAGCGCCTAAAAGTTGTAGCGTCAAATCATTATTCGGACCAAATAAAATTTCGAACAACAGACCGGGTGGACATTTCAATGTTTCTTCAGACAATATAGTTTCATTATTCTTTGCAAAATCATAATTTGAGACGGTTTCATGATGACCTTCTAATCCAGTATAGGCATAGACTGAAGTATCTTTGAGCTTATAAACAGTTTGTTGCGATGAGCTAATAATCTTACCAGATTCACTAGCTGCACCAACTGAAGATCCCAACGAAGATCCATCGTCATCATCCTCTTCAGCAGAGCTTGATAAATAGTCACTGTCTGATATTCTTTTCACAGCAGGGGTGTCACCATCTATTGACAACAAAGCATCATTGTATTCATCTTTATCATATTTCTCTAGATCTAAAGATAGCTCTTTGGCATCAGCACTATCATTTATACTTGTACTTCTAAATGAATTGGTATTGACATTTGCAAGATTATTGATTTGATCATCTGAAGCATCCCAGATATCTGACAACAATGTATATGTGGAGTCTCTTGAAAGAAAGCTCGCAAAATAATGTTTATGACCATTAGTTAACTGAATTGCAATACCATTTGGGAACAGACCAGCTGTTGCAGTTTTCTCAAAATTTCTAATATCAGAATACGGAATCACAAGATTTGTAACCCACCCAAGCAGATTCGAATTAAAACAGATATTTCTTTCAGACACATAAAGCCTTCCTTGTAATAAAATCTCACGACTCAAAGCACAACTAAAATCATCGAGAAGTCTCTCATCTTCTGGTATTGACTTGAATAATTTATGGAAATTAGTATTTCTAGCAGCTGTTGAAAACCTATAATTTGTACCTTTAAATTTATCGTTAATATATAGATTCTTGTCATATGTTTCTTCTTCTTCATGTTGTGTTGATAAAGTTGGTTTCTCGCTTTCAACCAAAGGTGATTTTAAGCTTTCCATCGAGCTTGAACTCGTGTTTCTTCTTCTTGTTTTTGATTTCTTTCTATAGCTCATCATACTTGGTGACTCTTTAACAGATGTTGCATTACTCTTTGTCCTTGAATGAGAACCTATTGTCACATCCACATTCCCGTCCTCATCGACATTATGTGTCTCAGTCTCTGAATTTTTCCCATTTTGACCTTTTTTATTGAAAGACATTGTGGAAAACATATTGTTGAAAAAATTACCATTTTGAACAGGGGTTGATGGTGGTGATTGATTTTGAATCAAAGCAAGGTCTAACGCTGGAGCATTTAAGCTTGACGAGCTGCTATTATCACCTGGGACAGCTTCTGCATCATGTTTAGTTGTATGGGGATCAGCTGGAGCAGACTTTGTAGGATTGCTTTGTGATAGACTCAATGATGAGTTTTTATGTTGAGGCACAAGTGCTGCTTGTGGAACAGCTATTGGTTTTGATGTTGAGCTACCCGCAAAGTTATTCTTTTCTTCTAACAACGAATTGCGGCGCAAAGTAATTGGCGATTCCAGTTTGATCTCTTTGGGTTGTTCTGTAACTATTGAATCCTTGGTACCTGGTTTCGTGTTTTCATCTTGTATTGAAGACCCTGGAGCAATCACATCATTTGTGGAGGATGTACTATCAGGCAAAGGTAAACTATCCAGGGATGACGGATACGAGTATGACCACGCGTCATCCATTGTATCCAGTGATGACATTTTCACAGTCTTATAGCTTGAATTCTTCGTAACTCTTAAGTATACGCCCAAATCAAATGAATTAACCAGAAACAGTATGAGATGATATCAAAAAGCTTTTAAAATTGAAGCGCTAAATTCAATTCCATGCTTGGGGAGAACCGGGAACTCAACATATTTTTGAAGCCGGAATTTACCTTATCGGGTAACTCATCATGCTGACAGATAAATTTGATTCAATTTTATACGATAATCAAATAAGCTACGAAAGTATACGATGAAAAAAAAGTTGCTTCCATCTATATTTATCAAGTATTTACCAAAAAAACATTAACTTAACCTCCATTTCTTCCCTCAACAACCAGTCTTGCAAGTCTCTCTGTTGCTATACTTTTGGCAATTTTTTCTCTTTCCTTTAAACGTCTCGCAACAAATTCCTTTTGATCTTTTGTGATTAATACTCTGAGAATAATGTCTTCTGTGAATATCTGGAAATAACTGGTATCCTTATCCGAGGAAGCTATAGCTTGTTTAGTTTCAGCTCTTCTTTTAGCTGAACCATACGCTAAAACTGTCTTACTTCTGGCAATAGTATTTGATCTCTTCTTAGACTTGGATTCAGTGTCATCATCCACAAAATTCTTTTCTCTTATAGCTTTAAGAACAATAGGTGTTAATCTTTCAACCTCTGACTTTAGATCATTGAATCCTCTGTCGTAATATATTGGAATTAACAGCAAAGTTTGATAATGTTCGTTTTTCAAATCTTGAAGTGGAGGACCAGCACCGTCATTATGGAAAAAATCATAGCATAAAGAATTCAACCAAATGAAAACTGTATCAATTTCTGTATGTGAAAGTGCTCTACCAAAACCTGGAACTGTTAAAGAATTTGTAACGTTTGCCATAGCACTTGATATTGAATTTTGCCAAGTAGCATTTGATTTTGCTAAGATGTTTGAATTTTTAACACTTGCTAAAGCTGGTAGTAATAAATTGTCAACTGTAGCCAAAACCAATTTCCAAGCTTGGACCATGATTTCTAAAAGAATATCGTGGTTTAAAATTGTAGCTAAAACTTGTAAATTGGAGTTTAAATAATCAAATAATGGAACAATAGCATCATTTGCATCATCGGGCGTTGGTTTCCTAGTACCATTCCCACAAACAATTTTCAATGTATTTCTTGAAAGTGAATAATTGATAAACTTAGAAAATTTCTCAACGATCAATGCATATGATCTTTCCATTGTACGATTTAAAGATCTATGAGCTCTACCGATACTGAAAATTGCATCATTTTTTTCACTTTCTAATGATATCTCAAAGGTGATTGTACCTTGTATATCTAAATCTCTATTCACTTCTTCTGGTATACCATCTTTTCTAAACTTTTTAGGATCTAATTGCAATAAAGTTCTACCGCATAAATCTTGTGAACCAAATCTTGAGCTATGATCCCAAACAGTAGCTGACACCACTCTAGAACTATCACCCGATGCTTCAATTTCAAATTCCTCATCCCATATTGGATTCAATGTTTTCGGAACAATCTTTGTCTTACCAATTTCTTTCTTCAAATGACCATCAACAAGTGCAACAGACGTGCTTGAAAAACCATCACTACTACATGCTTTAATATTTTCTGCATTTTTGACTCTGATAGTAAAAATATTAGAGAGTGATCTATCGTTTTTGTATTTAGAAGCAGATGCCTTCTTTGATATTTGTTCTGGATCGACTTGATTTTCAAGTTTTGTGAGCAATTTCAACATTTCCGAAAGATTATTTAGTATAACACATGTACTACTTTGGAAATTGAATGGTTCTGGAACTGATTCTCTCGTTGAGTTCGAAACAGCAGCTTTCATTTCACTGAACAGCCAAGCACCACTCTTTCTATTTTGATCTTTTGTAGCAGATGATGCAGTGGCTGGAACTTCTTTCAAATCATCTATAACCAAATTCATAGTTCTAGCAGCATAATATACTAGTGAATCTGACACAGACTTTAGTAGTTTTGTATAAATTTCAGCTAATTGTGTTTCATTTTGCCAATCATAATTTCTAAACATATTGAAAGATTCATTGATCATTTTGAAAATGTCCAGCACCGATGAACTATAACCTTGTCCAGATTCAATATCTAGAGGTTCGAAATTATCTTGTTGAATAGCTTGTTGAACAACTTCATGCATTTTTCTTGAAGTAATAGTGCACAATTCATCAAGATATTTGTAAAAGAAATCTTCCAAATTAAGTGAAAACTTCAAATTTCTAGGAGAAACTTGATCAAAGAGATCCTTCAAGTACCTAAGTTCTTGATATGTCTCTAAAGCATCTGCATAATTAACAGCTTTTCCACTTTTAACTGAATAATGTTCGATATGCGCCAGCATGTTGGAGACATCTTCTGAAAACAATTTAATAAATAAAAAGCTGACTTCATTAGGAATGTAAATTTCATCAAAAAGAGGTTTTGGGAATTTCTTTTGTAGTGTTTGTGCTTGCTTGTAAATATTTTCAGATACTTCTTTAACATGAATCAGATCTAAGCTGCTATCCGTGGGTATGATTCTCAGCAACTCAATATATTTCTTTTCTGTAGACGCCAATAACGTATTTTTCAATCGTTTCATCCATTTCTGCGGTAGTCCTGATTTTATAATTATTGGATATAGTGGATCCGGGGCAACATAAGTATAGTATACTCTTAATATTGGTGTAAGTTTTGGTGCCTTTTGGCCAAACATTGTAGGTATTAAAAATCTAATAGAAGCCATGATTTGAATATAAGTGTTGGATAAATTTGTGATCCACAACCTTTTGTCAGGTTTTGACCAGCTGGGAATATCATCGTTACCTAACAATCTTGAGAAAACACCAAACAGATATTCTGTAGTATCAACAGGTAAATCATTGTTTGGCGTTTTAAGAATTGACATATGTGCTGCTTGATATAATATACTAGCTTGTGAAATTGGATGGATTCTCCAATATCTGCAACATTTTTCCACTATATTTTGACATGTATTAGATATCAAACCTTCTTGGTTATTATCTCTTTCATATTCCAATATTCTAGCTAGTAATTCTTGCAAAGCAGTTCTTGGGGTTTCCGGAATAAATTTGAAGTCTGAGCCATGTTGAAGATTTTTTTGAACATTGACCAATGGTATGCTATTTATAACGGTAGTTAACTCTTTCTCTTCAGATTTTTTCCAGGCGAAATACGCATCATGTGAGTCAAAACTATCAGGGTTAAAATACCTTTCATTCGATTTCAATTGTGACAGTAACTTATTCAAATCAGAATACAAATATGTCTCTGTGGAGATATCCTTCAATCGAATAATGTCTTGTTGTAATCTAACTTCATCAATTTGAAATAATGAACCTAATAGTTGCGCACTTGAAATTTCAGTTAAACGATATGATGGCTTAATATATGTGACTTCATTACTTTTAGTTGTTGCAGATTTGGCTGAAGCCTTCAATGAGCTTCTATAATCTTCCAATTTCCTTATTGAGACTTCACTGTTTTTTTGAGTTCTTAGTATACTCATAAGAATATTTATGAATACATTTGTCTGGTGATAAACATCAGTCTTGATATCTGATTTTCCAGTAAATAATTGAATTTCTTTAGTAGCAAGTCTTACAAACAATACCGTCAATTCTTCAGCTTTTGCAGGGGGTATGGATTTTGGATTCAAAAGTTCATTATAAAGATGCAATAGACACCTTTTGGATAGAGGGTCAGTAATTGATTTATCTTTCCCAACAGCGATATCACCAAGTTGTTTCTTCAATGTTGAGATTGTGTCCTTTGGTAAGTATTCTGGATCAGCATCTTTACCACTGCTATGGAACCAAGAATGTTTACTTGGTGATTTGTCTCTTTTTGCTGGCGCTGATGATTTAGTTGGTGTACTCGGAATTGGCGATAGTCTATCAGCACTTGATGGCTTTGATCTAACTGTGAAACGCGGCTCACTCTTGTATTCAAAAAGAATAACCTTCAGAACAGCTTCATAAACTTCTTGTGGGTCTATTTCACTGATTTTTGGCTCAGTTTGGTGATCAAGTGATATGGTGGACCCTAAAGAGAAGTTGGAATTTGTAGAGGCGACACTAGCCACTCTGCTATTAGTGGGTTTACCTCTAGCCTCTGCCTGAACCCTAGCAATGTCTCTTGACTGCATTTCAACAGCTCAATCTTTATATAACAAATTATCTCTTGTTGAGAATGTCTTTAGCTTTGGTGTCAGATGTCACTGATATTGTTTACACATTTACGCTTCAAACATTTGTTAGCGTTTCCTGAAATTTAATAAATCCGTGGTATTCGCACGTAAAACTGACAGCATTGGAGTCTACAAAAATGCGTAAAACAACGACAAAAACACATTATTCGTTCATTATAAAAGGGTTGATATTGACATCTGAATGTTTTGGGAAAGAATTCATTTGAATTCTATTTCTATATAAAATTAAGCTCATTAACTCTAGAATATTTGTCCCGTAAAAAAACTAAAAAATTATAGCAGCTTACAGAATACATTTGATTCAACTGGAAACTATTCATCATCTTTGTATAAATGTTGACTTAACACTTTGTTTAGCTGAAACATTGTGACTTTTTTCCCGAATACACCTTGCATCTTATCATCACATAAAATTTCTCTTTTGTCATTAGGATTCTGCAAATCATTTTCTTTAACATATTCCCAAACTTTTTTAACAACTTGAGTACGTGGTAATTTTTGTTCTCCTAGAAATTCAGCCAATTTTGGACTAAGGTTCAATGATAATGCTGCAATAGAGTTACCAGACGGACTAACCGGTTTACGTGGTTTCTTCGGTTTTGTGACTTTTGAGGAACTAGCGTTACTTTTTCTCTTTATTCTTCCTGAACCACTTTCTTTCTGGAGTTTAGCAGCAAGTTCAGCATCATCTTCCATCTGTTTTCTAGTGGAAGTTCTTTCATCCATTAAATTATGATATCTTTCCAATATTAAGTCACTCATCTTTTTTTTATCATCACCTTCAAATTTTACCACAAATAACTCTTGTAATGCATTTCTTATTCTTTTGATCGAAACCTGTTCTAAATCTGCAACACTCAAAATGGCCTTTGTACATTGTTAGTATAACTAAAGATCCCATTCACGAACAGTAATATTTGGATACATACGTCTATTGTTGGTATATATGGTTCCCCATCAAAGTCAGTCATTTTGTATCAATTCTTTTTCTTGTTTCAACTATATTTTAACCAAACCCAAGTCAGTTAACATCAACAAATGTAATTCTACTTATTCACTAGTTATAGGATCCGATCTAGCCTTCTGATCACCAACTCGTTATCGTTTTTGATCCTGAATATTTGATCGGTCACTTTGGTGATAAAAGCACTAAGCAAAAAAAAGAAAATTATACCCGCGAAAATTTTAATGGGTACAATTAACAAATAAAGTACACTACAAAAGACTTTAAAACAACCGATTGAAATGATTTATTATATCCCTATTTTGAGTAGTGAATGCAAAAGACAATTTAATTAATATACAAATAGTTTATTTATGTGTTTATTTAGCGTTTTTCAAGTTACGTTTTTGTTGTAACTCATTCTTTTTGATAAGTCTCTTTCTTTCTGCTCTGTGTAATGATCTTGGATCAATTAATTCATCTGTTTTTGGTTTTTTGGTCTTGACTTCATCATCTTCAACTAACCATTGATCTTCAAGAGCTTTGTTTTTACCTTTGTAACCCCATTTTGGAACCCATTCACGACTTTCTTCATCATAAACCAATTTACCTGATTTTTCTTTAGCTTGAATACCTTTTCTGGCAGCAAATTGTTCCCATTTGGTTGGTTCCTTTGGTTTTGGTAATGGCTTTTCTCTTGGTAATTCTGTAGTTGGTGGTGGAAGTTGAACTAATGTTATACTTGAAGATTGACCATTTGATCCATTACTTTCAGTTGTGGTTTTGATTGGTAATGATAATATTTGATTTATAAGAAGTTGAGCGTTATCTCTTGAGACTGATTTAATATATTCTTCACGGTCTGGATTATTGACTGATAATTGTTCATTCTCTATAGCATTTGAATCAAAAACTGCTAAGTTACCTAAATCATATGTAACTGGGATTAGTTTTTCAACAGTGACTGGTTTACTAAAAGTTCAGTTAGCTAATGTAAAAACGTAAAATAAAATGGTTATGACAAACTCACAGTTTCTTTTCTTCTGACATCATTTCTAATTTATTATGAAGTATCTTATTTACTTAAAAGTATGAATTCTTTAAAGTTATCTATTAATCTTTTGCGATGAGATGCAAAATAAATTTTTTATTAGGTCGCGCGAAAAAAAAAAAAAAACTATAATTGGTTCGAGCAACCCAAATATAAAGTCAAACTCCAGGTCAAAATTCTTAGGCAATTTACTAAAAGATGTATTCTACTACAGTTGTCTCGTAATTAAACAAATTACATATTCATTAAAAGGTTTCTAATAAGTACCAAAAAGTTTCCTAATAACTCTGCTTGGATAAATCCGTATAGCAGCATCGATGTTCTTGTCTTTATATTCAGGGTGTATAGAGGATAGATGATCAGTTGTAAATTCTTCCAGGGCCTTTCTTGTATGATGTCTAGCAATTGTATGAAGTTCTATTATATCAAAATTATCACCAGGCTTTAATGCTCCTTCCGCAACTAAGTCTTCGTATTGTTCAACTTGTCTTTCACCAGCCAACATCTTGAACCATTGGGTTATGGTTTTATGATATGATAAGACTATTGTATGTAAAAAGTCATCTAGATATTTGATCAATGAAGGAACTTCATCTATGATTTGATTTTCAATTAAAATATACTCTTGAGCTTCCTTTTGTGTAGATCCTTTGTTCTGTATTTGTTGAGGCATCTTAAATGATGATTTTTCTTTATTCATATAGTTAATATATGCAGCTCTATAGGCACTATGTTTGTTGATATTGGTTCTTGCCGTTTCACAAAGCTCCAAAGCCATATCCAGAGCCTTCAATATTCCATTTTTTATTTCATTAACTGTCAAAAGTGTTTTTGATCTTTGGTCTTTCAGTTTACTGCTATAAGATGAATAAATTGATTTAATATAATGATCATCCACCGTGGAGTCACCATATTCCATGAAAACTCTCCAACTTTCAGCTAAAATCAAATGATCATCTAGGAAACATGATAAAGTAGGTAATGTTTCAACAATACCATTTTTCAGATTCTTCAAGTTAGTATACTTTATTTTGAAATCTTTTATAATATTCAAGTATTCATCACGTCTACTTGAAGGAAGTCTTTCTAGAGTAGAGCTAGTAGTTGTAAAGTCTCCAATAGTTTCAGCACCATCTTGTGATCCAGGAGATGTCGAAGTAGCATTGTTTATAATTTCAAGAATTTTCTCAACATGTTCTTTAGCATCACATAATTTTTGAATATTTTCAAATGAAACATCATCACAAGAATTGTTGATCAAAGCATCAATCATAAGTGGATATTTAGCAATTCTTTGGATAGGTTTTATTAATAACGACTCAAAATCCCAACATTCTGATTTAGATTTTGCAAGAAAAGCACATTCTTCAAGCCATTTGCTAACTTTTGGACCATTAAAGTTGGTACATCTATTAAGTTCTTGCATTTGAGTTTTATGATTTTGTGCATATGATAAATAAGCAATCTTCAATCTGTTTAGTTGGTTATCAAATAGTTCACCAATATCAATGTTTTCAACCAATGAAGATGAGATTTGTTCACCAGTTGTTCCATCATCATTGAAAGCACCTTGAGCTTCCCTTTTAATGGCCTTTTTCAATTCCTTAACCAATAAATGACTCAAGTCTATCAATGTATCAATGTTTGCAAATATAACAGCTTGTTCTTGTTTATTCAATATATTTTTGTATTTTCTAGAGTTGTTTAACAAAGATCTGTAAACACTATTAATCAAACTCAAGTCAGAATAGTACTTGATTTCTGTATCTATAAGCTCTTTCAGTGCTTTTCTATATTTGCTATCTGTAATTTCCACATTCAATAACCCTTTTTTAGCTTTTGACTCATCTAAATATTTGTCTTCAAATAAGTCATCGAAATGTTCATTTCCAATAGGCGAATCAACTTTCTTGTTACTTTTATCTAGCGATTCAAGTCTTGGAGGTGGTAAAGCTAAGTCATCAGCAACTCTTTTTCTTGATTTGTTTACTCTTTCTTGAATCTTTCCAATAGCGTTTGTACCTTTATCACCAGTTGCAGACCACCACAAAGAATCTGCATAAGGATTAGCAACTTGATAATATTCAACTGGATTTCTCTTTGGGAACTCAAATTTAGGGTCTAGAGTTCTATTAATTTCTTCATGATCAGTATCATTTGACGACAGAATGGTGGAGTAATACGATGAAAACTCAGACTCTGGAGAGCTTGGAAAATCATAAGGTGCTGCATTCATTAGTGCCATTTTGAGCTTTTGGAGAGCAAGAATTTGAATTTATTGTTCATTTTAGACGATTTGAAGTGGATTCATTCCAATTTATACCATCTTTAGTCTTTCGTTTGGCTGGTTATCATATATTCTGATGTTTGTTTCGTATCTTCATTATTGTCGGAAATTTGTTTCATCGTTTTTTAAGCAGATTGAAATCTCCGGTACTTAGACAACTCGCATATTGGCACAAAATTAAAGTAGAAAGAAACCTATGGAGAATATTTCAAAGTTGGCCAGAACTAAACCAGTGATCTCATCGTCATGAGTGATTGTAAATCTAGATTGGGAAGTGGTTACTGTGGTTAAAACAACCAAGATCCATGAAAACACAAACAAAACGAAGTTAAGAAACCTATGGAGAATATTTCAAAGCTGGCCAGAACTAAACCAGTGATCTCATCGTCATGAGTGATTGTAAATCTAGATTGGGAAGTGGTTACTGTGGTTAAAACAACCAAGATTCATGAAAACACAAACAAAACGAAGTTTGTTTCATTAGCTATACAGTGTACATTATTAATCGTTTGAGATGAAATAGTTAACGTGATCCATCGCACCTTTACCAAAAAAGTCAGTAACGACCTTGAATCTGTTGTCACTATCTTGTAATGTAGCGTTGAACAAATCGTTTCTTTCACCAATAACTCTTTGACCTTCTCTAATATTTGACACAGTTTCTCTTGCTGGCGTACATTTAGGACATTTATCAACTTCAGCCAAACAGTGCTTATGGTAAGAGTGATGACAAAGGAAATAAACAGTTTCAGAATCTAATTTATTTGAACATGAATCACAGTTGGACGGTTGAATAGTTGTTGGTGTGGATTCTAATACATGAATATCATTTCTCTTCTTTTCTGCTTCTTCTTTATATGATTTAATCAATTTTTCATTTATTTCAATTTCTCTCTTTTCTGTTTCAACGAATTCTAAGATGTAATCTTTAACAAGTTCAATAGTTGCAACTTTATTAACACTTAATGCTTGTATTATTTCCAAAGGTGTCAATATTCTATCATTCTTGATCTTATCTAGAACAGCTTTAAATTTTTCTGGTCCAACTTTCTCGAGAATTTCTTCATCTGATGTATAGAACATCAATGCTAATGGGTATAATTCAGGTTCCTTTTCACCATATTTATTTAATACATCAACAGCACCAGGGACATCGCCTTGTGCAACACAAGATCTGAATAAATCAATTTCAAATCCAGGACCATTTCTAGCAGCGATTTGACCTTCGTCGAAATCAAATATATTTGAGATCAATAGTATAGTCGTAGAGTCAATTAAACCTTCATTTTCTTTGACCAAACTAACAGCTTTGTTTTCCCATTCTTTTTCAACATTTTCATCTTCTGAACCATTCCCTAAAGTTAAGTACAATTCGTACAAAGTGTTTAAAATGTCTTTCTTGTCTTTAGTATCACCTTCAAACTTGTCAAAACTTTCAGCACATGCTTCCAAAAAGATGACAAACTCATTGGGTCTATTGACAAATGACGGGAAAATTATTCTTGGTTTTGGTGGTTGATAAGTAGGTTCATCACCATTTGAAAATTTTTGTGGTAAATGATCATCAGAGCTCGAGGCAGTCAATGTATTAGCGGCACTAGACATATAACTAACAAATGTTTTATAACTCTGAAGAAGAACTGGTCTTTCACTTGTATCAGCATCAATGACTTTGGTATTGGAAGAAGTATCGGGCTTATATTTTCCTGTGAAAACATCAATAAGAAGAGCAGTGGTGGCATTTGGGATTGATTCAAGTAATAATCTTGCATATTCAACCAAGATTCTTAAAGTCTCCTCAACAGGTAATGTTTTGATATATTGAATAGCAGATTGTGAATCATGAAGATCCCTCAATAAAATATCAACAGCTAATGATGAATATGATGAATTTTGTGCTAATCTCGAGGCATGTGATAATAAGTTTGTTTCCCTGCAAAGTTCAACAACTATATCCAAGTCAAAATCAACCCTTGCAAAATCATTTGAATCAGTGTCATACTTGTCAATGAAAACATTCAACTTTTCAACATCTTTGAGTTTACAATACGTGCATAACAACAAAGTAACATGTTCTTTAGTTGATAACCTTTGATTCAACATTTCTTCTAGAAATCTAGCCAAATTTTGTACTTCTTTACTGTCTTTATATTTCTTTATAACTTCACTTGTGTTCCCCAAGCTTAAAGTTTGAATATATTGATCCATTGCTTCTGTTGTTTCATTTTTGGAATATAAGTAATCTCCATATTTTCTCTTTATATCAAGTAATGCACTTTCACTAACGCTTCCTTTTGCAAGATCAATAGCAACCTGGTATAAGTCACGCTTCACAACTATTCCTAATTGCTCCTCCAAGTCCTTTTCATGGAACTTATACAAGATACCATCTGTTGATAATATGAAAATATCACCCCATAATGCAAATATATCATTAACTGTTGAAGCAATCGTATAAGTAAATGAAATCAATTTTTGTTCAATATCAGCAATGATGATCTTTGTAGGCTCAGAATAACCATTCAACATAAGACTTGAACTTGTTGAAGTATTAGAAGTCACAATTAGAATATATTTCCCAAACTTATGGATTTTTTTCTTCGGCATATCTAAAGATATAGTATATGAAGCACCACTAGTATCATAAAATACCAAACCTTCAGTTCTACCAACAATCAAATTATCGTTTTCAATATCTACTGTGCCCAAATCTGCTCCTTTTGATTTTTCTAACCATCTTTCTGCTTTACTATGATTACCTCCAATCGTGGGTACTGTTATTATCTTAGCTGTGGTTGTAATATATAGTAAAGGATCATAATTATTCCCAGGAATGATTTCTAAGCCAGTTATAGGATCAGATGATTTGTATGCAATTGTTTGACTTGATCCCCTATCTCTTAGCAAATCACCTCTTACTAAAACAACATTCCCATTAGCGTAACCAAATGCCAATATGGAAAAATTACTAGCAAATGTGAATGAAGTTAACGGATATGAATTATTACCATTTTTAACATGAACCATGGTATGATATGAAGCATCATCTATTTTATTTGATGGTCTTGTGATGATTTTATTTATTGACCAAAGTTTCATTATTGATGGCTGGCCTTGTCTTTCGGCAACAGAAACGAAAAAATCTGTACCCTCAACATATCTTAAGTAAGTTATACTCCATCCTTCTTGATAAGCACTAAATGATTTGATGAGTTTAAGATCCTTATCAATGAATTTTATGACATAGTTGCTTGTTGATATTAATAAATAATCTGGAGTTGGGCAAATAGCTGTTAAACTTGGATCGGAATATAAAGGTTCTTCAGTACCGAAACTTGGATCCCTAATGGGTATTGATTCAAAGAACTGGAATTGCCTCCAAGACATTGAGACCTTTGCGATAGACGGGTAGTTAGATTGGATAATGTATTGGTTTTAATCAAACTGACTTCAAGTGACATTTACATTTCCTTGATTACTAGCGAAATCTCGGTGTCAAAAACAATACATAGAACTTAGTGACACGGGATCATGACAGAGCAGAATTTTGGGATATGAGATAAAATTATCGATTCACTACATTTATATAAAAAGGTTTATTTTATTGGACATATTATATTGAATTCAGTTAGAGCAGCTATACTTTGAACGATTGTGATCTCTCCATTGACAAGTCATTGAACTCAAAATCCTGATAACTTTTCCCAAATCTATTTATCAGCAGATAGACTAACAGCAGTACTTTATATCTGAAAGTACATTATAAAAACCTATTTTTCTAAACCAAAGATTCATTCAGCTTCTCAGATCGAACGCTTTGTCGATTTATGCTTGTTTGAGGTCTCGATCTCGATGGATGGTGTGATGCTATTGAATGTCTCGATTTTGGTGGTGAAGGAGATCCTGAAGAATCCGTTGACAATGACAGGGATGAACCGTTAAACTCAATATCACTAGCCCTACTATCGTAATCATAGTCATTATCTTCTGGTACTTTCCAAAATGAATGCTGCCCATTCTTTCCACGATTCCCAATTCTTCTTGGAGGTAATGCCATACCAGCAAGTGATAAGTTTCTGAAATCTGGGAAATACATATGATAACCAAGATATCCACTCCCTAAACCGATTAATGAGCCGATAAATATATCAACAAAAGAATGTCTATTGTCTGATATTCTTGTAGCAGTCATGAATGTTGAAATGAAAAATGGAAGATAAGCACTAATTGTTTTGAAAGAGTTTCCTCGTTCATCAAAAACTTTTATACGACTTGATGTAATGAAAAAACTGAACAGTGCTGATGCAAAGGATGTGGATGCATGTCCTGATGGGAAACTTCTAAAACCATCATTTATGTCTCCAATATTTCTATTCCCACAAATACCAACATTTGAAAGATGACCATAAGGTGGTAAAGCATAATTTGTTGGTAAACAACGCTGTAGAAGATCCGGTCTTGGTGAACCAACAACATTTTTCAAAATAGAAACAATAACTGCCTGATATGTATGTATTGCTAATAAAGATAATAAAGCAGAATGAATATTCCAAATTTTTCTTGCAGAACTTTTTCTTGCAAAACCAAACATCAAAATAACTTGAGCAATTGGAACAGCAATAGAAACCACCATTAGCAGCAACCTTCCGACAAGATTGTCTTGTTCACGATAAAAGGTGAATGATATTTTATCATCAGCTAATGAAAATTCAGTGTAACGTGGTGCTGTGTCCAACCTGTAAATTAATGAGCCTATTGTGAGCACACTTATATGATCATTAGTAACTTGAACCTCCATAAAGAAAAAATTAAAAAGCATATCACTCACGTATAAAGAATCCAATCCAGTAAATAAGAAAGGGTACTAAACCCTGAAACCTTATAATGATTAACTTTAAAGAAGAAATCCTTCTTGAAAACCGACATTAACCACCGTAAATTCTTGCCCCTTTACTTCAACACTTCAAATAGCTCACCTTGGAAGTATTCAACATCATGGTAATGATTCTTTGTCATCCAAGTTTTAGGGTGTCTTTCACTAAACTTTCGATCGAATTGGTTTTGTGTCAGAAGTAATTTAAAAATCTGATACATACTGTGTACTTTATTAGACTACTTTATATTGACACGTCACGATCCTATACTAAAAATGACAGTCTAACCCGCAAAAGGGTATAAACTGGGGAGGAACTTCAGAATTAACAATACCATGAACTTTTCAAACATAACAACATAATTGGAAACATTCAAAGAGGTCAAAGAGATACTAATCAAAATGGTTGAAACTAAAACTTATGCTGGATGGGCTTCCGTCGGTATGTTCTCTTTCTTTTTTTTCCCATTACATTATAATGCCCCACTCATTTTGGTGATTCTTAACTAACTTCAACTAGGTGTATTGGTCAGAGCTTTTCAACTAGGTATCCTTCGTAAACCATTCAATTACAACAACATGGGATATGTTTATTCTGCTGCATTATGGACTTTTTTCGGTCATCTGTTCACAAAAGGGGTTGAAAGTCAAGATGCTTTATTACAAGATCGTGTTGATAAATTGAAAGCTGCTAGAGCTGCTAGAGCTGCTAGACATTCAGCTGCAACTCCAGCATCTGAGAATTAAACCGAATAGAATTCTCTACTGCAAGAACTTATTTATTATTTATTTATTCATATTTATTTGAGTCTATTTATTCATATACTTTATTTATTTTTCTTTGATCTTTCAACCGTAGCTTTGAGATCTCGGATAGCCTGACGCCTACAAAACATGTTTTTCAAAACGTTCCCAAAAATTCGTGTGATTTTGACAAAACGAAAAATGAGTTGAAAATGGCAAATTCTATGTCCATTTTGTCGAGAACACCACGGAGCACTTATTTACTGTTCCTATACATTCATAACAGAAACCAATCTAAGAAACAACACAAATAAAAGATGTCTTTTGTTGATCAATTACCAGCTGAATTGAAGACTGATATTTTGAGAATATCAGGTATGTTTTACTTCGTTTTATGCTTCGATTTTCAATTGTTTTGTTTAGGTGAATACGAGTTTCAATGTTTCGCGTCACTTTAGTATATAAAACATTTGGAACCTTTTGATGAAGAATATCATAACTAACTAGAACTATCAATAGAAACAAATGATGAGGCATTGAAAGTGTTTCAAGATTTATACGATTTTTTAACAACAGATTCCAACAAAAAGAGAAAAGTTCCACAACAACAACAAGATGATGATGATAAAGATATTTATGAAGTTGATTCAATAGATCCTGGTACTATAATATTTCAAATAAAGGAATTATCATTCCAATCTCCATTAAGAAAGAAGCTAAATCTAACGTTTTCTATATCTCCAATAACCCAAAAACCAATTCTTTCTATTGGAAAATCAAATCAAGATAAACCAGATTTAGTTATTGATGAATTAAATAATAAAAACATTAAATTTTCAACATTTTTACCAGTACCAGAAAAGAAAAATTTGTTATATTTTGTTATATTTTATGAAAAAAATTTAGGTGATTCTTTTAATAATGAACCTATTGTATTGACATTAAATCAAGATCAAGTTAATAAACAATTGATTAGTGAAAAAATTATCAAAGAGAATGATGATTTCAAAATTTATATTCAACGTCAAGCTGCTGTTTCAGGGTTCAAAATCGTTGATACATTCCAAAATGGATTGAATTCATTTTTCGTTTCAGCTCATAGAGGTACAAAAGAAGGTCTATTATATTTCTTACCAAATCATATATTATTTGGTTTTAAAAAACCAATTTTATTATTTGATTCCCAAAATATTGATTCAATTTCATATTCATCAATTACAAGAGTTACATTCAATGTTACATTAGTCTTAAAAGATGGTGAAAAATTTGAATTCAGTATGATTGATCAAAGTGATTTTGCAAATATTGATAATTATATCAAGAATAAAGAAGTTCAAGATAGATCAATGAGTGATGAATTGAAAGCTAAAAAACTTACAAAGAATCAAGATGCATTTGCATTAGCAGAAGCTGAAGGTCAATTACCTGAAGGCGTTGAAGGTGTCGACGACATTCCACATGAAGAGGATGACGATGATGAAAATGATGAAACTTTCCAAGGTGGAGCAGAAATTGATGATACTTCAGATGTTAGTGATGAAGGTTCAGGTTCAGAAGATGGTGAAGAGGAAGATGGGGAAGAAGATGAAGACGATGACGAAGAGGGTGATGAAGATCAAGAGATTGATTTGAACAGTGATGATGATTAGAATAAATTTTATATCTGTATATTATAGATTGATGCATGGTACTTTAATTTTTCAAGATCTAAATTATGCGTTTTAAGTACGACTATACATGGATCACGATGATCATTATTCTACGTCAATTGTTCACCTAACATTGTTTTACAATCTAGTACCCTTTCTTGTTGTGTATAAGGAGTAGGACTCAAAAGCTGCTTAGTTCTAGCTTACCATATGGTTAATATGATTCCATGATTATGTTTCAGCCTTTATTAATGTCGATGTTGCTAGTATTTAACCGTAATCGGGGTTAGAAGATAATAACTAGATCCAGTGATTTACAAATTTCACTTGAGATTGAACACTTATCCAACATTGAACCACACAATTGAACCCTAGCTCTAATTTAAGATCCCTTCTTCACATCACAATTGTATTTACTGGTGACTGTTGTACTTTTCTGTGCCTTATTGTGTTAAAACTTAAAGGCTTAGTTCCTGAATCAAACTTGAGTTTTGGCACTGCTGTATAATTTGTAGGTGAAACGGTGAAACGAGCATTGGACACTTCGAGAAGGCTGATAAAACATCATGATTGGTGGTAGTATTCTGGACAAAGACAAGTGCCCAATTCCGCAAAATAATACACGTACTTTAACATGACATAGAACTAACTCAATTGATCGAATGTTCCATTGAAAGCTAGAAATTACTCCTTTAATTTAGTATCTATAACATATTTGTCCATGTGTTTGTCCCCAAATCTGATTTCAGTTCAGGGACATTTCTTGTATTTGTCTACAAATTAGTTTCGCCTGGATAAATCATAAAACGCGAAATGACGCATGGAAAACCATCACACAATTCGGGGACATTTGGGACAATTTCAACTTGCGGAATTTTAAGTGTGGGATTGAATTTTGTCTTTCATGATCTGTTAAGTTCGAAGATTCAAAATTATATAAAGATGAATTATTCCAGATTTACAATCCTTTCTTCTTCAATTTGGTTTCATCTTCAACTCAATTGAATTTGAATTAGAATTTTAAACAATGTCTGCTAACGATTATTACAACTCAAACGACAACGGTCAACAATACAACTCACAACAAAACCAAGGCCAACAACAACAAGGTGGTGATGGTGAAAGAGGTTTAGGTGCCACTTTAATTGGTGGTGCTGCCGGTGCTTATGGTGGTGGTAAATTAGGCGGTAACCACTCTACTTTAGGTAAAATTGGTGGTGCTATTGTCGGTGCCATTGGTGCCAACAAAGCTGAAGATGCTTGGGAAGACAGAAGAGATGAACGTAAACAAGATCACCAAGGTGGTGGTGGTTTCTTCGGCTTCGGTGGTGATAAAAAAGAAGAACATCATGGTGGTCGTCGTAATGATGAATACAGCTCAGGTGGTTACGGTGGCTCATCAGGTAGAAATGAATATGGCTCATCAGGTAGAGATGAATATGGCTCATCAGGAAGAAACGACTTTGGTGGTTCATCAGGTGGCTACGGTGGTAGAAACGAAGGTGGTTTTGGTGGTAGAAACGAAGGTGGTTTCGGCGGTAGAAACGAAGGTGGATTCGGTGGTCCTGGTGGATTCGGTGGTCCTGGCGGTCCTGGTGGCCACGGTGGTAGACACGAAGGTGGTTTCGGTGGAGGTCGTGATGAGTATGGCGGAAACCAAGGTGGTTATGGTGGTAACCAAGGTGGTTACGGTGGTGGTAACCAAGGTGGTAGATGGTAATCAACTAAAACGTTAGTGTTCTAATTATACCTCAAAACCCAAAACCCAAGATTACCAGCATAATTAATGAATTTATATGAATTTCTCGCCAATAGATTAACAAAATAATGTATATTAGCCAAATCTTTCAACTCTTGATGAGGAGAAGGAATAATTATAATATTACAAAACAACTCCTTTAAATTATATTGGAGATTTTACGATTGAATTATTTTACTAAAATGTAGTACAATTGATCAACTTATTAATTATTTATTCTGCTTATTTACATGATCCAATTATTCTTCTATTATATAATTACCCAATTTATCCATTTTAAGATTTTCGACACCATTTTGCAAAGCATCAATAATTCTTTCATTTTCTGAATCTTCAGCTTCACTATCTTCTTCACTTGTATATTCATCGTCATCATAATCTTCATAATCACCTTCTGAGTAATCATCTTCTTCATCTTCATCTTCGTCTGCTATTTCATCTTCTGCCTCATCTTCAACATCACCACTTCTCATACTTTCAACAGCTTGTTCATAATCTTTATCTTTAGATTTCTTTTTACTAAAACCTGAAGCTTCAACTGCAACATCTAATTCAGCGATTCTTTTAACATCTCTTTTGAAATCTGGATATAAATATTTATAACCTTCACCATAACCATCGGTATCAACCATTGTGGAATCAGTTTCTGGATCATAATTTAGCTTTTTCTTGAAAAATCTTCTAATACAATCAACATCTCTTTTAAAATAAAATTCTGCATCTTGATGTTCAATTGAAATACATTGTGGGAAATCAATAACAATAAAATTATCTTGATATTTATCTAATGCATCTTCATTAATTATAATAATATTAAATTCATTAAAATCACAATGAATTAACCCATTATTTGCCAATTTAACAATAAATTTCATTAAATCTGAATATAATTTCTCTTTGTTTGAATGTTTTCTTAAAGATCTCATTGGGAATCCATCAATCCATTGCATCAAGACAGAATGACGTGAGTAATCATATGGTTCTGGAACCGAAAACCCATGAGTAAATAACGTACTCATAAATTGATATTCTTTATTAGCAGCTAAACTTGATAAATAACTCCAACTACCAGATGATTTATTTCTTAAATAATCACGATTATTTTTAATTGTTTTAAATGAAGTTCTACCAAGACGATGAATTTTTAAAACTTTTTTATGATTTGTTTTATCAACAGCAGAATAAATATCAGATTCTTTACCAACACCAATTGTAGTACCTAATGAATAAATAGTACCTCTATTCAACATTGATTTTAAAGCTAAATAATCATAACCAGTAAATGATATTCTATACCCATCATATTTGGCATTTCTTAATTTTTGAATCAATTTCAATTTAGCAAGATCTGAAATACATCTATTTGTACCACTGATTGATCTTAATCCACCAATTTGATGAATTAATTGCGTTGGAACAACTTCATGGTTACGGGATCCCATTTCAACTGCTGTTAGCACACGGAAATCATCCGGTGTAAGATATCTCATATGTGACGTGTCTAATTTCATTTTGATCTGTTTATATCTAAGATATTCGTTATTAAAACTGAGAGTTATTGATTTGATGTTTTAGTTTCTAATGTTTGACATGTATAATTTTTAGATAACTACAACAGCTCGAAAATTTTTAAATTGATCCTGCCCGAACCGATGAGCTTCAACTTCAAGTATGGTATAAGTATAACAGAACAAATATATTTTCCATTAGTATATATGATTGACTTATATTTTACACATTTATAACGTGAACGAAACATACAGGAGAAGGTATAGCTGATCATCAGCTTCATCAATGAATATCCCGGGCTACGTCTTTATAATATTCAAAACGACAGAGCGAATTAGCAGCTTGAATATATCTCTAACACACGAGGAATATCGCAGTGTTTATAGTGTTGTTTATGTGAAAAATCAATAAGAACAACATTTACAATTCTATAATGAAGAAGTATCTTAATTAGCACAATTTTTTTGATTTTAGAAAACTATATAACGAAACCTATTAATAATGAAAACCGTATATCAGATTAAATTAAATGGGCTTTATGCATTTTAACGAGTAGACATAGCTTTGGTAACAACACGTTTCAAACCAACTTCAGCTTTTCTGTAATCTTCAGCTGATGATTCTTCGATTTCTAAAGCAGCTAAAGCATCAGATAAAGCAGCTTCAATCTTATCTTTTGAACCACGTTTTAATTTAGATGATAAGACTGGGTCAGTAACAGTTGATTCAATTGATGAAACGTATGATTCTAAACGTTGTTTAGCTTCATGACGTTTTGAGAAAGCTTCATCAGATGATTTGAATTTTTCAGCTTCTTCAATAGCTTTTTCAATATCAGCAGTTGATAATCTACCAACAGCGTTTGAAATGGTAATGTTAGCAGATTTACCGGTTGATTTTTCAACAGCAGTAACTTTTAAGATACCATTAGCATCAACTTCGAAGATAGCTTCTAAGACTGGTTCACCAGCTGGTAAAGGTGGGATACCTTTTAAGTCAAATTCACCTAATAAAGTGTTTTCAGTACAGTTAACACGTTCACCTTGGTAAACTGGGAATTGAACAGTAGTTTGGTGATCAGCAACAGTGGTGAAAGTTCTTCTTTTAATGGTTGGAACAGTGGTGTTTCTTGGAACAACTGGAGCGAAAACGTTACCTTGCATAGCAACACCTAATGATAATGGAGAAACATCCAATAATAATAAATCTTTGGTGTCATCTGAGGTAGATTGACCAGTTAAGATAGCACCTTGAACAGCAGCACCGTAAGCAACAGCTTCATCTGGGTTAATAGATTTTTCTAATTGTTTACCGTTGAAGAAATCTGATAATAATTTTTGAACTTTTGGAATACGGGTAGAACCACCAACTAAGACAACTTCATCAACAGCATCTTTTGAGATTTTAGCATCTTTTAAGACTTGTTCAACTGGGTCTAAAGTAGATTTGAATAAAGCAGCGTTGATATCTTCGAAACGAGCTCTTGAGATGTTTGAAGCGAAATCTTCACCATCGAATAATGAATCAACTTCAACAGTAGTGGTAGCAACTGATGATAAAGTACGTTTAGCACGTTCAGCAGCAGTTCTTAAACGACGTAAAGCTCTAGCATCACCTGAGATATCGTTACCAGTTTTCTTTTTGAATTCAGCTTTGAAGTGTTCTAATAAGTTGGTATCGAAATCTTGACCACCTAAATGAGTATCACCAGCAGTAGCTTTAACGGTGAAAACACCACCAGCAATGTGTAATAATGAAACATCGAAAGTACCACCACCTAAATCGAAAATTAAGACATGTCTTTCTTTGTCAGATTTACCAGCACCTAAACCGTAAGCAATAGCAGCGGCAGTTGGTTCGTTAATGATACGTAAAACGTTTAAACCTGAGATGGCACCAGCATCTTTGGTAGCTTGACGTTGAGCATCGTTGAAATAAGCTGGGACGGTAATAACAGCTTTTTCAACTTTTTGACCAATTTTAGCTTCAGCAATTTCTTTCATTTTGGTTAAAACCATTGATGAAATTTCTTGTGGAGAGAAGGTTTTTTGTTCACCTAAGTAGTCAACTTCAATTAATGGAGCACCATTTGAGTCGACAATTTTGAATGGCCATGATTTAATATCTTTTTGGACAGATTCATCATCGTAACGACGACCAATTAAACGTTTAGCATCGAAGACGGTGTTTTTTGGGTTTAAAGCAGCTTGATTCTTAGCAGCATCACCAATTAATCTTTCTTCTGGAGTGAAAGCAACGAATGATGGAGTAACTCTGTTACCTTGTTCATTGGCAATGATTTCGACAGCATTGTCATAAGTAGCAACACATGAGTAAGTGGTACCTAAATCGATACCGATAGCACCTGCAAAAACACCTTCAGCCATTTTGAATAATAAAAGTTTTCAATGGGGTTGTTGAATTAAATCAAAAAGGTTTATTAAAAGAGAGAAGGGAAAAGCTTTTATAAAATTTTCAATTCGTATGGAAAAATTTTTTTTTTCAACCGGCTCTCAAAAAAAAAACTGAACTTTTTTTTTTCACTGCAGTTAATGAGCGTTTTACTGCAATACCGCGAATCTGCTGCTCTTACCGGGTTCTGATGTTTACTTAGCGTGCTCTAGTTTACGCGTGGAAATTCAATTTTAATTAGATGGTAAATTTGAATATAAGATCTATACTTTCGAGCTTAAATTAAATGAGAGCTTCAATAATCCACAATGGCATCATTGATAAAAGGTTATTCCACCTAGACGGAACTGGTAGATCTCATCTTCAATAAGTCTCTTAGCTGTCTTGATCTGATGAGCTGTACCACTAATTCTGATGTATTGTAATAAAGTTTTACCAATCAATGTATCTTGATTCATAAGGCTATTTAATGGTATAATCTTAATGGTTGCTTGACTAGTTTTCCTAAGATACTCAATCTTAGTACCCCCTCTTCCAATGATGTAGGTAACTTCTTTTCTAGTTAACTTAATGTGGGCATATTTAATTTCATCTTCTGTTTCTGTGATATCTTGAAGAACAGATTTAGAAGATTGATTTGTAGATTGTGATTCATTACTTTTCTCAACAATTGATGCTATTCCATTAACTCTATCCGGTTTTGGAATTGGTGGGTGGTTATAGGGACGTCTTATCTTGAATTTATCATTCACCTCACTTGTGTACTTTGACGTAATTATAGTGGAAATAACTTCAGGATCATAACCTTCAATTAAAACATGATAACCTTGAGTAACAGGATTTGGTGATTTAGAAATTGATATATCAACATTTGGAAATTTTTGTTTATGGAACATATCATATATCAGTTGATCTCTTGTTATAACTAAAGTATGCTGATATCTTTCTTTTCTATGACTGAATTGTATAAACTTTTGTAGAAGCTAAAAACTTGTCAGTATATGTAATCCAGTACAATATGGATTCGAATACTCTTGATAACTCACTTGAACAACATTTGAAACTTCACCTGTAATTGTCATACATAAATCACCAGTGACTTTACCAACCCTTGACACTTCAAAGCAACAATGATCTTGATACTTGACCGATATTTCATCTCCATCATCTCCATCATCATCATCCTTCATTATTTGTGTAAGATTTGGTGGGAAGGCAAACAAAGATTCATGGAGATCAATCAAAGTTGTCATAATTGTAACTGAGACCATATCACAATCTGATAGAGGATAATCATCATCTGTATTTCTAATTGTGAAACATGTATATTCCTGGAGTTCTATGATATCTATAACTTGATCTGCAAATGGGTTATCTCGAAGAACTTCAAAGTCTGGCAGCCCATGTTCATGCTTAGCTAGCAGATCAGATCCTATGACTTGCTCTAGAATAGAATACCGTGATGGTGATGATAATGCCCATTGATTTGAATCTCCAGCTGCCATTTCTTGTAATCAACAGATCCTAAGCATTAATCAAAGCCATTCAAATAGTTGCACCAATTCATGTATGAAAGAATGAAAGTTCATTTTATTTCAATTTAAATAATTCAAGAAATTAGCCGCTGAACTATGAACCACCAGTAATTAATATAAATTAAATTATTAATCTGTCAAATTTGGTAATTTAATTGTATTGAAGAATTAGCCGCTGTCATCAATTCCTTATAATTTCATCATAATCACTGGTAGAAACCTCATTTTTAGAAGGAAATTCAACTTCAACAACTCAAATTCCACCAATAGAAAGCATTGAAAGCACTATTCTTTAGATTTCTTCTTAATTCAATTCAATTGTGATAATTTCTCATATGGTTTACGCGCTGATATGGATAAATGTGATTTGGTTTTGACACCTTTCCAGCTTCACGAATCAGAAATATTCCAGCCGCCCAGGCTCAAGCCAAAGAAACATGGTTAGCTAGTTGACAACACAATAAATCAAAAGATCCAAACCTATTATTGAAGATGGAAGCACTTCAAAAGCTCAGGACTTGTCAACGGTCCTTGATCAAATCAAACCATCATTCTCATTAATTTAGAGTGCCAGATATTTATCGCTTAGAGTTGAATTTTTTTGGATCGTCACGTTGTGCGATTGGCTGAACCCTGGCAAAACAGTGTGTCAAATATTGACAATCTCATCTGAACTGATACCATGGAAAAAAAAATTAACGTTTAGTGCCAAAATGATTTGACAGATAAAAAACTTTTCTTATCCATTCTCATATAAATTAGCCGTCAACTCACCTCAAAAAACTTTAGTGAAGAAAGATTTTAAATACCAGCAACATCGCTGTTAATCAAGATACATCGTCAACGCATCACATACATCTTTAATACTTTGGTGTCAACAGTATTTACCAAAATATAAGCATGCCATCGTATAATGAAAAACAAGAAAACACAAGCCCCATTAAGGGTCACTCAAATTCACATCCAAACTTATCAACAAATGATTCATTAAACAGTTTAAAGAAGACTTTAGAGTCATCAGGCCAGTTCAAGAAGAATAACAGCACGAACCTATTGAAACAAACATTCAAACTGGGTGCTAATGCACATTCAGATCCAAATCTGAGACCTAATCCAAGAACTTCAATGTCACAGCTCAAATTATATCAATTGACAGATACTGGAAAGAGCAAAGAAATCGAAAGATTTGATTTAGAAGAACTTAGAAATGGTTATTTTGATCCATTATATGTCAAACCAGAAAATGTCATTTCATCATCACCAGATCATAACACCGACCATACTAATAAAGAAGGAAAGAAATCATCATTCAAAGATTCTATAATAACTCATTTAAAAAAGTCATTCAATGAATATAAACAACATAAAATTGTTTTATTCAAATTTTTTCTTGCATATTTTATTTCAATTATCTTATGTCTTATTGACAAACCAGGTGATTGGTTTGGAATATATAGAGTGTTTTTACCAATATCAACCTTAATAAATCATCCAGTACATTCAATAGGTGCACAAATTGAAATAACAGCCCTTTCAATAGCTGGATTAGCTCTAGGTTTAGGATGGAGTTCTTTAGCATTGTATATATCAACAGCAACTCAACCAACAAGAAATCGTCAAGGTGGTATCATTGCAGGCTCATTATTCATCGGTATTTTCTTCATGGGTTGGTTTAAAGCTTATTTCATCAGATTTTATTACATGTTTTTGGCTTCAGGTTTTGTTCTTGTTTTCTTATCTGCTAATTTGGATTTGAGTACATCAACAATCAATTGGAAAGATACATGGAACATTGGTATTCCTTACCTTTTTGGTTTATTAGTTTCATTATTTGTCTCGTTGGTGGTTTTCCCTGATGTTGGTCACACTAAAATTATGGAATCAATCTTAGATTCAACGAAAAGTATCAAAGATTTGATCATTGCATATAAAGAAGCCAAGGAAGATGATCCAAATAGACATGAAAATTTAGCAAAACTACAAAAACAATTGACTTACAAAACTTTAATCCTTTCTGAAAATTTCAGAGAATATTTAAGTGAGATTAAGCTATCTGTGTTTAATGATGAAGACTTGAAGAGAATGAGAAATCATTTGAATTTTGCAATTGGTCCATTACGCGCTGTTCCTACTTCAACAAACATATACTTCAACCAAAAATTAGACATAGTTTCAAGCTCTGATAATACAAAAGTTCATACTTCACAAGATGTATCAGGTTTAGGAACTGCAATGGTCTCAGGTATTGCAACACCGCTACCAAGAAGTACAGCACCATCCAATTTTCTTCAAAATTCTCAAAAGGATAACAAACAATTTTATAAATCTATTGTTAATAGTTCATTCAACGAACCTCTATACAAGCTTCTTTCACAGATGATTGTTAATCTTTCAACAATTGAGTCTACATTGAGAAAATTCGGAAGATTAAAAGATGCACCAAATGATTTGACGAAGGAACAAGCTCTCAGTGAATTACAAGATTCTGCTGCTTTGTTGAAGAAACGAGTTTGGCAATTAGATGCTGCATACAGAAAATTCAGTAAGTCAGATAATTTTTGTCGTGACTTGTTAAGTGAAGTCTCTGTTATTGATATGTTTTTATTTTTGAGATATTCAAGACAATCTGCTACAATGTTGATTAGTTTTTCAGATATTATTGAAAATTCCTGTAAAAACGTGAAAGGATGGAGAATTTATGGTTATAATTATCCATGGAGAAGATCTCTTAGAAGATTACCAAAGCAATGTCTTAGAGATCAAGGTGCTGATTCGATTTTTTATTATTTCGAAACAAAACTTGATGTTGATGATGCCTTTGAAAGGATCTATAATTTAAACACATCAAGACTGAAAAATGAAGCTGGTCAATATCAATCCAGTGAATCACATCCTTTAGCCTCAAATGAGGAAGATGAAAAGACAAGAACAATTAGAGCAATAGATCATAATGATTTCAATTATCACTCAACTTCAAATCCACTACGTTACAAACTTTGGAAATTATCAAGAAGAGTTGCTGATACTGAAACTAAATATGCATTCAAGGTGGCATTTATGATAACGTTCTTATCTTTACCTGGTTGGTTATTTGAATCTTATGAGTGGTATTTTGAGTATAATTGTTTCTGGGCTCCGTTACTTGCATATTTCTTTCTAAGTCCTAGAAACTCAGGTAATTGGGAAAATTTAGCAACTAGAACCATATCATGGTTTATTGGATGTTTTTGGGGATGGGCTGCTAATCAATCCCATCATTTTAAGAATCCAATTGTCATTGGCGCGTTCTCTGCGCTAATATGTATTCCATTTTCATTCGGGGTTCTAGTTAAGCCTCATCCAAGATCAAGTCTTGTTGCTTTAATGTCATTTACAATTATTGGTATTAATACTTATACTGAAGCATCTCCAGACACAGCTGATATTTTTAAAAATACATGGATCACTTCAGTTGCAATTCTTATTAGTGTTATATCTGCTATTTTAACCAATTGGTTAGTTTGGCCATTTGTTGCAAAAACTGAATTTTACAAGTCTTGTTCCTCATTGCTCTCACATATAGCTCAATCTTATCAAACGGTCTCTGAAAGATACTTATATAGAGATGAAAAAGATGACCCAACGGAATTGACTTTAGAGTTAGCCAATATTAGGGAAGTTAGAATGTCTCAAAGTATTTATGCAATCAAAGAATTGCTGTTGAAAGCCAACAAAGAACATGATTACCATCATTCATTCAAAAATGAGACATTTGAAGAGCTCTTGAACTCATGTGAAATTATTATGGAAAAGATCATAGAGGCAAGAATATCTGGTGTTTATTTTCATGTTTGGGAACAAGATAGAGATGAAAAAGTTACCAGTGCATTATTGTCAGCTCGTCGTGATTCAGTTGCTACTGTGATTTATTTGTTTTATGTTCTTTCAAATTCTTTCAAGATGAGATCGAATGTTCCAAAATACTTACCATCTGCAATCACAATTAGAAAGAGATTATATGATTTGATTGGTAAATTAGAACAACAAAAAGAAGAAGAAACAGTTTCAGAATTCAATATAGCTGCACAATTAGAGAAACGTTTAACTTCATTGGTTAGTAACCAAGAAGATTATGGAAAGAGTCACTGGACAGAAGTTCATGGTATGGCTTTTGCAAGAGCATTCACTACAATTACAGAGGAGCTTGAGAACATTATCAAGTTTTCAAAAGAAATCCTAGGGGAGGAGACACTTTTTTAAACAATGATAAACCATCAATTAACCATCCCTTGTTTTATCATTTTAGTTTTTAAAGCACTAGTTGAGTCATACAAATTTAATAAATAATTTTAATTCTCATAAACATTCATTATAATCTATCCAGTAAATTCAAAACTTTTTGCAGCGGAGTTCACAAGCCTTAACATATAAGCACCAGTATCTTCATAAACATAGCATATTATAAGTTTCAACCATTAAACCATATCTCATGAATAATAAACATTCATACTGAAATTATTCAGATTTAACAACCTTTGTACTTGAAGAAATTGTATGGTACACCACGATTAAAGTAAAAGTTGCAAGACCAAAATAGATGGCGATTTGATTCAATTGGTCATCGGTAATCATTTTGTTCTCGTGTTGATCTCGAGTGGAGTTTTATGGATCTTTTGATGATGTGGGACTGAATCTAATTCATTGTAGATTGTGCTTGAAGTACGTGTCAACCTTCAATATCATGGGAATTCCCGCGAAAATGACCCGGCCTATGCGTTAGACTTTAATAAAAGTTTCGCGCTTTTCTATACTATAAGATCCAATGCTTATAAGCTTAAGTAGAACTATTTAATTTGACAATTTTGACAATTACAACCAAATTTCTCAACAAGATGCCTGGACCTAGAAATCTGGAAGAGCTTCTTTATATGAAGGTATGTGTCTCAGTAGCACTCTTATCTAGATTCATACTAACCTTATCTTAGCTTATGAAAAGTCCTGCTTTCCATAGATTTGTCAGAAATATTTACAATAAAGTGAACGGTATAGAGAATCCTATCCATCATTCTCGTGATAATCATGCTACTACTGGATTATGTGCGTAACTTTGAATACCATCTTCTCACCCTGAGCTTCATACTAACATTAAATCAAGTTTATCCTACAGCTGGTCAGAAATTCAAGGCATATAGATTATTGTTTTATGATGAATGGAGAGCTACTTTTGGTCTACCGAGAAAATATTAATTTTCATTAATCTAGAATTTTTAAGATAATTATTGTTCATTAAAATTAGCTACATACTTCTTTAAAATAAATTATAAGGGGAAAAAATCACACAACACTCAACAATAAACTGAAATCAAAATAAAAACTGGAAATTAGATGAAACACAATGTGATTCACCAATAATGCGAATAAAAAGGGTATGGAATAGTTGCTGAAATATCCAATACTTGAGTATACTTCAAAAAGCACCTTTACGTGGATTATAAGCCAATGATTGTCTATCTGGCTTACGGAAAGCTCTTTTATTGACAATACCAACATCATCTTCCAACGCAACAATAACGTTTTTGTCGGTACCAAACTTGAAACTATCAGCAACAACATTAGAAGAGTATCTCAAGATCTTATAAGGTTCAGCATCACCACGTAAAATTTTGTTTAGTGACCATTGGATAGCATATGGACCAGAACCAGAAATAATAGTTTGTTCTTTGACATTGAAACCTGTATTGAATGTTGCCTTTTTGAAATCTAATGGCTGACCACTTAACTGTTGCATAGAAGCGACATGCTCTGGTGATAATCTCAACGTTCTGTATTTTGGAACACCATCTTTACCAAATGATTTCTTAAATGCCAATTGACCAGCGTTTGCACCATCTTTGATCATTGCATCGATTAAGATCAAATATGTTTTACATGTGGCCAAGATCCACTTACCATCTGCAGAAGTTTCAACATATTTAATGGAATCACCAATAGCTGGGATCAATGACTTGGCTCTGATACCTAATCTATCGTATAATCTTATATCACCTTTATTGGAAGCAACAGCAATGTGACCGTTTTCTGTAGTACCAAATGCACTGAAATCGTTCTTTGTAGCATATGATTTATATTCACTTTCAACCAGTTTATTACCATTAACCCTTGGATCAATTTTGAATAAACCTTTATCAGATATACCCAAAAAGGTTTGTTCACCGGTCAATTGGTTAAATTTCTTTGATGGTCCAAAATCAACAACTGATAGATCATCTTTAACTTTCCATTCATCAACGATTTTACCATATTCAAGATCCATTCTATAAAGTTTATCTTTATCTTCTCCTTGCATAACCAAAGCACGATCTTCAGTATGTAACATCATTTTGGAAGGATTGAACGATTTTTTATCACCAATAGATAAGTTTTCAATGGCAGTAGCAAACTCAAGCTCATCATCTTCTGTAGTTTTGAAAACACCAATACGATCACCTCTAGTAACATATGAACGGTCATTCTTATAAGCAACAGTCAAGTTCTTATTATGTGAGCCTTTAAAGTAATCCTTATTTTGCTCTTCATCCTCATCTTCAGAATCAGAAAAGTTTTCTTTTCTCAAACCGGTACGGAGATTGATTGGTTTTGATATTTGTTCTTGTTCTTCATCATAATCTTCCTCTTCTTCTTCTTCTTCTTCCTCATTGATTGTATAACCATCCATTTCCTCATCTTGATCATTTGTTTTGAAGGCATCTAAGACGTATTTTCTTTCACTTTGTTCCGCTTTAGACCATTTAATTTTATTAGCACCTTCATAAGCAGCTCTCATATAACCAGTCTGAAATGATAACAAGGACTCTGGCGAGTCAAATCTCAACAACCACGAGAATACTTCATCTTTAGCAGTTTCATAGTTGAACACAAATGATAATAATTCATAATTGAAAACTGGATTCAACTCTGAGGTGATATTTGTACCTAATTTTAGTCCAGATTCACCATTTATAGATAACCAATAATCAAACTTTCCCAAATCTAAGACTGAGACGTCCGCTTTACTATCCTGTAATGAGAAGCTTTCCGTAGTTGGATCATACAAACGCAATTCACCTTTAACTTCAACAATAGATTCTCCTGTTGGTTCTTTGACATCTTCCTTGATTTCCGTCTCTTCAGCTTCAGCTTTTGATGACCCTTTTACTGGAGAAGAAGGAGTGAGCTTAGTAGCACGAATTGCTGACTTGGATTCATCTGCATCTTCATAAATAGAATCTTCAGCTTCCTCTTCATCATCAGAAACAGCTGTCACAAGACCTTTCTTAGTGATGGATTGTTCAACAGTTTCTAGTTCAGGATCTATAATGAACTCCTGTAATTGTTCTGTTAAGACACCCGCGGATGACTTGTTGTACTTTCTTTCGTATTCACATGAATACACAGTTTTCATGAATTGATCAACTTCACTTGATTTAATACTTTCATCAACGACGAATTCAAATCTTTCACCATCATCACCGTCTCTGTTTAGCCAGGAGACAACTATGGAACCACTTCTATTTGTTTGATATATTTCTAATGATTTATCAAGTAAGAACACTCTTTCATCTTGTGATTCAGCGAAATCATCATCTTCTTCATCATCATCCCCTTTCAATTGTTCCTCTCCTTCTTCAAAGGCCCTTTGAACAACAAGTTGATAGTTATGTGGTGCCGAAGTTTCACGCACTGAAGCCGCAGCATCAGTATACAAGCACTCGCTTGCAGACTTTGGTGATCCCAAGCTTCTTTTCAAAAACAATTGACCTGATGGAATAATTGATAGATCATCCTTAGGAGAAGAACCTAGAAATTTCTTCAAAAAATTCATGATTTCACACTCCAGAACTTAAGCAGAAGACAACTAGTTGTATGTATAAGATTGAAAGTAAGACTTAATCAATTTCTTAAAGAATGCTTCCAGACGGCGTCGTTCGAAGTAGTAGATAAACCTGGCTTCATTAAAGTTTCCAAATTATATAAATTTTGCCATACAAATCTTAAATCAAAACAAAAAACATTGATGTTACTAAACCGGAAATACGAGGCTCATCAAGTCATGTGATAAACCGGAATTAATTTTTTCAATCATATAAATTTATTTTGTTACTAGACGTATAATATTTTAGATCTATAGTGATGTTGACAAAGCACAGTTGTGGATTGTTTGTTGGCTCTTTTCAATAAAGGAATGCTAGTTATACAGAGGCTTATACGCTGTAACACATTTCAAAGCCCCAACCTGTCAGGCATAAAAGTAAATAGAAGGTGGATAAGCCAAACTAAAGCTCTATTAAACCAAGATGAATCACAAGGTCCTAAAACTATAAATGATACCACCACCATAAAGTCAAAGAAGAATAGAATAAATAAACTCAGTGATCTAGTTCAAATCAAAGCTGATGGGCCTCCAATATCTGACCCTAATCAAAGATTATCACCTATAAGTTTTATCAATCAAGGTAAATATAAAATACCCAAAGATTGGCGTAAAGATAAAGAGATGCCAGAATGGAAGAGACAAAAATTTGCACTTAATGAAAAATTCGAAGGAAAAACATGGAACCCAGCAAAAAGGCTTTCTAGAGAAGAAATGAATGGTGTACGAATGTTAAAGCAAGAGTTACCAGATATGACAACCACAGATATTGCCCAAACATTTAAAGTTTCACCTGAAGCCATTAGAAGAATTTTGAAATCAAAATGGACTCCAACTTTGAAAGAAGAAGAAAATATGTTTGATAGATGGAGAAAAAGAGGTGAGAAGGTGAAAGTTATTATGTCCAAAAAAGAAGGATCCTCTTCAAAAAAGATTTCAATTTCAGAGAAAGATGGGTATCAAGTTATAAGCAACACCAAATCTAAGAGAAGAGAAATTGATCCCACCACAGGAGACTCAAAGACTATGAGATTCAAGCATAAAAAACCTTTCAAGAATGCATCAAAACCTGTTAAAAGGCTACAAGACATTATGTTTTGATCTAGGGGTTTCAAAAGAATTACAGTCTCCTAAAAGTATACCCTATTTTGGAGATATACAATTAATGATACAGAAGCATGTATATTTTTGTTGAAAAATGCCACTTATTGCTTCATTTAAAATGTTACGAAATTATTTAACGCCATTGCTTTTTTTTTTACAATTTAATTCATTTCAAAAATATATTACGTTCATATTGCACATAGATACACAATTTCCAAAAGAGATGATACCAATTCACTTGCTTTGCATTTTAATCCAAGGATTAAACATTAAACTTGTATATAGATCAATTAGAATTTCATTAGCTCTTAAATCCAGTATATCATGTAGTTGTTTTACACTTGACCAGTCAAAAATAAACCTTTAATATCTCGTATATCTTGTTTTAGTTGCTGTGTTGATGATAAACCTGTTATTTGACCTCTAATTCTCAATAAATTAGCTTGACTATAGGCATCGATTCTTCCTTGAAAATTTCTAATTTGGAATTTTAATGGGTTTACTTCATCAATACCAGAATGATATCTATTATAACCTTCAAGACTTTCTCTAAGAAGTTTCAACTTAGTGTTAAGTATGTTATCATCTGAACCATTTGTGGTTTGCTCTTCATCATAAAATGATACCAATGAATGTTTTGTTTCTATAGTTTTTGTTTGAGTTTGAGCATCAGAATAGAATTTATCACCTCTTTTGAAAACAACAGTTGGTAATTTTGAAAATCCATTTAATTTTTCCAGGAGAGCTCTAGTTCTTGAGAGAACATCTGATGAGAAATCCAGTCTTCTTTCGTATTGTACTTCTAATAAGGGTTGAATGATAAATAATAGTAGTAAATAAGTGATTGATAATGCAGTTCCTGATCCATATAATAACTTGGTAATGAACTTTAATGCGGGTGGGATTTCCGCTCTTTTATGTACTTTGGATATCTCATTATCTTCTGGAAATGTGATATCTGAGACCTGTGACATCTTAAATAGTGAATGAAAGTTCTTCTGAAGTAGAAACCTTAGTCAGTATAATTCATGTTATTATAGTCTTGATTTCTTCTCCAGAAATAGTTATCATTCAAGTTTCGCGGGTCCTGGAAGTACCATTAATCGCGATCGTGCGCGGCCGCGGTATCTTTATGGGTCAGTGGTCAGTGGTCACCCTATGTGTTTAAGGTATAAGGTATAAGTAACTCTACAGATTTTAGTCCGAACTCAAAAATATAGTACGATATTGAATTTTATTTTTATTTGAAAACAAACATTATCACTAATAAACGAGTCTATAACGAGTGTGGATGTAAAGAACTGAACAAACTAAATTATAAGTAAAAAAAGAAATAGAGAATTATAAAACATGCATGCTTTTTATCTTTTGATTTGTAATGTTTTTGGAAGCTTGATTAACGTTTAGCTTTTTTATTTGACTTTCCTGGATTACCAGTTGGTGTTGATTTTGGACTATCAGCAGTTGATTTTGGTGACAAGCCATTGTCCACTGTAGACTTTCTTCTTCTCTTTGTTAAGGTTGATTGTGAAAGATCTAATGAAGGAGTTTTACCAGACTTTGTTAGAGGAGATTGGGCCATATTCAAAGGTGAATCTTTATCCTGATCCTTAGCGGCAGTAGAGTTGGAATCTTCCTTAACGTCACTTTGCTTGTCCTTTGATTGATTGACAAATGCGTCTAAAGAATTTAATGGACCAGTTGGGTCTTCTGAAGTGATTGAAAACAGCATAAGACTTTTCAAATGAGCCATAACGTCAGATACCTGCATCACTCTCATAACACTTTCCTGTAAACCAAAATTTGACATACTGTGGAATACTTTATAATTTGATCTGAATTTTGTTAGAAGCTGTAGTCTTCTGGCTTCAGGATTATCAGCTTTCTTATTGTTCTCTTGATTCAAGAAGATATCTTTCACTTTTTGTTCGTCACTCAAAATTTTCTCAAGTGATGGCCATTCAACACCAGGTATGAAGACATGGGTTTGGAAATCTAAGTAATCCAACTTCAAATTTTGATTTAAGATCCCTCTGATATTTCCATGAATATTCACATAAGAACCATCAGAATAATAATGTGTAAAACAACATCTTGAGCTTTCTAAATATGTTGTACCATTTGCTAAGACTTGTGTTCTTAATAGATCAGGTTGAATATCCATCCTTGTGACACCACTCTGTATGATTGAGAAGAAAAATCTTGGAATGATGGGTACACTAAATTCAAATTGGCGTGAGTCTACCCCTGATTTGACACTATATCTCAAAACACCAATTTCACTGAAGTAATCAGTAATGATTTTTCTCCAGTATAGAATATTTTTGTTACTATCTGTCCTTACTCCAATCAACTCACAAAAATCAAGAAATTTCAATGTGGCCAAATTTGACATTTGTCTTCTGAAGTTAATCACATTCATCATTGATGGATTCAGAGCAGCAGCAGGGTTTGAATTCTGAATGTTATTCATACCAGATTGGGCTGCTTGAGCTGCTTGTGCTGCACCTTGAGCGGTACCATGTGGTAAAGCTGCACCCCTAGTGCCATTAGGGACGTTTCCTTGAGGAGCATTAGCAGTACCTGCTTGAGGAGTGCGATTCATAATCAAAGAACTTGCATTCATTTGGTGTTGATGAGGTATTTGGTTTGGTTGACTTACACTAGGCATTCTTGATAACTTAGGTTGATCAGGTTTTGAGCCTGCATTTTGTTGAGGATCTTGTTGCTGTGGAGGTACTTGAGGATGTTGTTGTGGTGTAGGAATTGAATGTACTGGCCCACTAGCTGATTGTGGTTGTTGTGGTGTGGGTTGAGTTTGCGTTGGATGTGTTTGTTGTGGAGTTGGTATCTGGCCTGGACGAGCTGTTTGTGGACCTGGTACTTGAGGTTGTTGTTGATGCTGCTGCAATGGTGTAGGTTGTTGAGATTGTGCATGGGGGAAAGCTTGTGCCGGATGTTGGGAATTAGCATTTTGGTTTTGACCAGGTTGTTGAAATTGAGGTGGGACTTGTTGAGGTATTTGGCCTTGAAATCCAGGAACTGAATGTTGATGTTGTAGATGCTGTTGTTGCTGCTGTTGATTTTGCTGCATCTGTAAGAACATCTGATTTTGTTGTTGTAACTGTTGCAAATATTGTTGATATTGTGGATTATTTCTACTAGGATCTTGTTGTAAATTTGCAAAATGCGCTTGAGCCTGAAAGGCTGCCATTTGTTGTGGATGAAAGCCAGTGTTATTTGGAATAGATCCAGGTACCCCAGCACCATTATTCTTAAAATTTGGGTTGAAGCTCATATTATTCATCATTGGTATGTTTCCATTAGCTATTTGTTGTTGTTGAGGATTTATTTGTAAAGGATTTTGATTAGCACCAGTGGTACTTGGGGCTGCATTTTGACTTTCCTCAATATTCACTGTACCACTTCCATTAGGTGTAGAAGCCTGTGATCCATTTGATTTGGCCATGGGGTTGATTTTTTGAGCCTTCTTTGTTGACATTTATGGCGTGTATTGTGTTTGTAATAAGATCTTAAGGGGTCCTCTGCCGTGAACAGGTATACGTGAATATAAAAACCTGAAGTCTGTGGGTGATTGAAGTGAGCGATAGTTGGTGAAATTTGGTGAATTTCTACTCAATTATTTATTGAGCGCCGTGGTCAGCTGCTATACTTTTTAATTGTACTTGAGCGCTTGGTCTAAACTTATAAAACAGGTCCTTGATTCTTCTGTTCAGTAGATGTTCGTTCCTTGAATCTAAAATAATAATTTTGGATACTAGCACGAATTGAACCTTCTCAATATATCTGTAGCTATGTACTTTGAGTACTGCACTGAGTATATAATTACCAATCTTCAGTTCAAGCTTTCAACAACTTGTCAGTTTATTCACCATTGACAATTCGAAAAGTCCAATCTCGAATTCCCAGTCAAAGAACCGCGAGCGCCAAAACTAAAAGCGAAAACTTAAAATTGAAAAGAAAGAAAAAAACTAAAAGAGCGGAGCGACGCACTACGGGTTAAACTCAGCACTGAAACGTTGAAGAAGGGAGATGTTGAAGTAAATTTTAGGCGTATTGGGTTAGTAACCTCACTATCAAACACGGGAGACATATAAAAGACAAATCAGTCAAATCTGAGCCTGTGTTATCGCTGAGTTTCTTCATGGTGGCATTAGCTTGAGTGTCGAGTCGTCAGGTCTTGTTACATGTACTTCTCCGAAGATCTTTCGAGATAGGACATACTACATAGTACAGATGATGAAGAAAACAAAATGTAAGATACAGTCCAAAAAAGTAATATATTGAAGTCAACATCAGAAGCATTGAGTCATTTATTTAGTCTACTTATTAGCAGCTTTAACCTCATTGATCAATGGCCCAGGTACTCTCAATTGTAATCCATCACGTTTGGAAACCCATGAAAATAATGCTTCATGTTGAATTTGGGGTCTTCTTGGCTTATCCTTGATATTATTCACTTCCTCGTCTTCTTTTAATTGAGCTGCACTGGCTTTACCTGCTCTTCTCTTCAACAATTTGTTAATAGTATCTTGTTTCTCTTCTTCTAATTTCCGTTCAGTTAAGTTCTTTCTCTTTCTTGCAATTTCTGCTTTTCTTAATTGATTCTCCTCCTCGGTCAATATTCTTCTTTTACTAACCTTATTACTTAACGATAGAAACTTATCGTTTTCTGTTTTATCTTCATCTAAATTATCATTTTCTAATTTGGCACGCTGTCTTTCGGTCATTTTGGTTATATCTGGTGTATACTCTGTTTCTTCATCAGTTAAAAGGAGCTCGTCATCTAAAGCGGGTGTTGGTATAACATTTTCACTATCAGATTCTAATTCATCATCTATATCATCTTCTTCATAGCTCACCACCTTTTTAGGTCTTCCTCTACCTCTTTGAGATGACTGAGGTGGTTGTAACAAATTTTTAGATGGTGTTGATTTGGTATGGGATTTTTTAGACTTGCTTGGTCTAGTATCTTCGAGGTCTGTATCATCTCTGCCAGGTGTATCTTCTTTTGTTGATGTTAATTTGATTTTCAGACTTAATCCACGCTTTTTAGGAGCTGGTGTGGTTTGTTCCTCTGGTTCAACGTCATCATCATCTTCAACTTTAAAATTTGCATCATCATCATCATCTGAAGACTGCGGAAGATCTACATCATCATCATCTGGTTGGCCGTCACTTACCAAATCATCATCTTCGTCTTCATCATCTTCTTCTTCATCCCCCAAATCATCATCACCTTCACCTTCATCATCACCATTTCCATTTCCTTCACCATCGTCTTCTAAATCACCACCATCATCTTGATCTTGATCTTCATCTTCATCTAATGAGTCATCAATTGAATCATCCATTCCATCATCTTGCCCCTGTGCTTCAAAAACCATGTTAATCACTAGTAACGTTTAAATTATCAACATCAAATCATACTCACATATACTTCTTTCTTTAGCTGTGCGTTGTTGTATTTCAGTATCACTTTCAATATCACTCAAGTCTGATTCGTCACTCATCATGGATTATGCTTCCAATACACTTTAATGGGATGTGAATTTACTTTTTCCACCGTACTACATTAAAAGCGTCTTCCTTTAATTAATTAGTTGTCAAATCCAATATACCAAACAATCACATCCACACACCATTCAAATTATCAACAAATTCTGAAATCCACTAAAAAAAACCTTTAAAAATTGTCAGATTTTTACAACTTTTTGCCTTCCAAAATCAAAACGGTATTTCTTGACACAGCAAAAATTGACTGATTGTTTACATTTTAAAGTTGAAAGTCTGTTCCACATAAAGTCCAAAAGGAGATCCAAAGCTGCCGTAACAACTGATTATCCATGTCTACTGAAGCTAAACCAACAGCACCCCCAGCTGCCGAAGCACCTGTTTTCAAAAAGTGCTCCCGTTGTCGTGTTAAAAGACAAAATGAAACTGAAGAACAATTGGCTAAATACGCGACATGTTTGAATTGCAGAACAAAGAGAAAGGTTGTTAAAGCCCCAGTTGATGTGTGAGTATAGATACCATATCGTTTAGTGATGATTTGTTATTTGAAGTGCCTGAATTCTGAGTGTTAACTCTAATGGAAAAGGGGTCAGAAAGCCACCGCTTTCCGTACCTCATACACTGTTTGTTTACATTTTGATATTTCAACCGATAATACACCATCAACATCATTGAATACGTGACTAAAAAAACATATATCTAACAATTCATTATAGATCCCATCTACCTAACATGTATACAAACTATATTGCATTTATCAATAAAATCAAAACAAACACTTCACAAGATATTTTAGATCACCGTTATAGAGGTCAAAGTGATCCAGATGTTTTCAAACGTTATGACGTTAATGCGGATATTGACCCTGGTACTTATCAATACATTGGGAAACAATTGATTGAATTTTATATTCATCCATTAATGGTAGCAACTGGTTATAGGTTCCCAGTTCGTGATTATCACAAAGGTGGTCGTAAAACCAAAAAGATTACATTCATGTTCATTTGTAGTCAAGATCAGGGAAAACAAAGAAAATCAAGATCAAATAATGAAAGACAAATTCAAAATAAATTAAAAGTTGAACAATGTGAATCTAAATTATCATTGAATTATAGTTTACCAGATGGTTTAATCCAAATTTTATATAATCATAAGACACATCCTCCATATGCATGGAAAAAACAATCACTTAGAGATGAAGAAGATGAAGAACAACATCAACATGATGCTTATGCAAATCCAGAAGCACATTCACAAAATGACCCACAAGTTGTAAATAATGCTTATGCTGATGCTCAACATCAAGAACAACAAAGAGCAATTCAACAAGCTGCTATGAATTTAGTTGACGTTCAAAATCTTGCTCAATACAATCAATTACAAAATTTGGCACAATATTCACAACAATTACAATATCCTGCTCAACAACCTCAACCTCAAGTTGTGGCATATGCCGTTCAACAGCAACAGCAGCAACAGCAACAACAACAACAACAACAGGCTCAACAGGCACAGCAAGCTCAACAGGCACATGGTTCAACTCAAGCTCAAAGCCCATCCCAGGAACACACACCACATCCTGACCAAGATGCTACACAACAACCAGCAGATCAACAGTATAATCAAAATTCTTATCAACCACAACAACAGTCATATACACAAGAATCTCCCTATCAGGAAGCACAAGCTTCACCTTCAAGAGAAACTAATGAAGATCATTCATCATTATTACCACATCAACAAGCCTTGAATCAAATAATACCTGATAATATCAAAAAAGAGGAAAAAATTTCTGATGAAAATATTGATAAAGAATTAATTGGATTAAATAAGGATGATTGAACTACAGTTTTGGTTTTAGCGTTAAACTTGTATGTTGTGTTATATTGATTGTGTTGTTGAATATTAGTTTGTATTTTGTGTTTTGTATATGTGTTTCAATTGTATATTAGTATAAGAGATGTTTGAGTTTAATATTATATGTTTACTATATGGTTTATTAGTTTATAAAACTATAGTCTTGGTGGTGTCTGTATTCGCCTTTACATTTACTTTGAGAAGTAATTTTGGTAGAATTATTTATGACACATTTATTTCTCTGTGTCCCTTACCATTATTTTACTCTCATGTGCGCGAATTTTATTATTTATTGTAGAGAACATTGACCAAGTTATATTGCGCCCTTAGTTGAGAAGTTCAAAGCTCATTTAGTATTTAAATAGTTCAATTCCCCAATTATTTCTCAATATTATTTCACTTTTCCAACCACAATATATCAATCAATTTAGAATTATCACATATTCAAATCATTGGTAATTATTTATAGATAGATCAAGTTTGCCATAATGACGTATCCAATTGGGAAAGTTAAACTATTATATGTTAAATCAAAAGTCTATGTTCATCCATCTAAAAATTCCAAATTAGAAAATATACCAGGATATTTATATTTCACTCATGAACAAGGGGCACAGGATAAAGATATCTTGTTTGGTTGGATACCTGAAAGTATCGTATCTGAAGATGATAAACCAATTTTTGATAAAGTTGATTTAGATAATGTAACAGATGATAAGAAAAATTTTGTTAGAAGACCTTCATTACTTGGATCTTTTGCATTTGGAATCACTATAAGGAATTTGTTTTCAATTCAAATTAGACCTCCTTCCTTAGGTTGGTGGTATGGTTCAATTGTTATCAATACTAAAACTTCATCAGATAGATTACCAATTTTATTCTTTCATGATGATGAATGTCCAAGTACCAAAAATGAACAAAATAGAAAAAATAAAGATTTTGATCCTTTTAGTGCTGATAATGGATTATTTTGGGGTGGTTTACAAATGTTGGAATTTTTAGGTTCAAGAGCAGTTGTGGAGAAGAGTACATTAGAAGAATCAATCTTACTTATAAATCCATCATTAACAGATTTAAATAATTTCAGTCCAACAAATGTTCAAAATCCTACTAAATCCAGTAAATCTGGTGAATCTTTCAATTTTAATAAATTTATAAATGATACAAGATGGTCAGTATTAGAAACATTAGCAAAAGTTACCAAATTCACCAAAAATTCAGTTGATACTGTTCTTGATGAATCACCAGCTCCAATTAAAAAATTATTAAAAAATCCAGAAGTTCAAAGAGTTAATGAAGATTTTGATACCGCAAGAGTTTATCTAGCTAAATGGGCAATGGGTGTCCAAGAAGAAGCTGCTAAAACAAGAAAACAAATCATCTTGGATCAAAATTCAAGAGATGTGTTGGCAAAAGAATTAGGATTGAATTTTGATAAATTATTACCAGAAGAAGTACTTAATGCACATGAACGTCATAGAGAAGTTGGTAAAATTGAATGGGATTCATTTTTCGATAAATCTGGAAGATTAAATATTACTGTTAATGAAGTTAAAGATAGAATATTCCATGGTGGATTAAGCAATGAAGTTAGACCTGAAGCATGGTTATTCTTATTAGAAGTTGTACCATGGGATACTTCTTCAGAAGAACGGAAAGATATAATTGAAGTACTTAGAGTTGAATACGAAGCAATCAAAATGAAATGGGAAAGAAATGAAAGATTATGGAAAGATGAATATTATAAAGATCAAAAATTTAGAATTGAAAAAGATATTCAAAGAACTGATCGTCATTTAGAAATTTTTAAAAATCCAAATCATGAACCACAAGAAGGTGAAGATGATGATGATTTTGATGTTTCAAATGTTAAAAATCCACATTTAAAAATCTTGAGAGAAATTTTATTAACTTTTAATCAATACAATGATAAATTAGGTTATGTTCAAGGTATGACTGATTTATTATCACCATTATATGTTGTTTTACAAGATGATGCATTAACATTCCATTGTTTTGTTAAGTTTATGGATCGTATGGAGAGAAATTTCTTAAGTGATCAAAGTGGTATGAGAGATCAAATGAATACATTGAATGAATTAGTTCAATTTATGTTACCCAATTTATATGTTCATTTAGAAAAATGTGATTCAAATAATTTATTCTTTTTCTTTAGAATGTTGTTAGTTTGGTTCAAAAGAGAATTACCATGGGATGATGTATTAAGATTATGGGAAATTTTATGGACAGATTTATATTCTTCACAATTTCATTTATTCTTTGCCCTATCGATATTACAAAAAAATGAAAAAATCATTATTGATCATTTAAGACAATTTGATGAAGTATTGAAATATATTAATGATTTATCAATGACTTATAATTTGAATGATCAAATAACAAGAAGTGAATTATTATTCTTGAAATTTAGAAAAATGGTTGAAATCATGGATGTTCAAAAAGATAAAGATGGTTCAATAAGTCCAGTTAATGATAAATTAAGATTATTATTGAGTAAGAAGTTGGTGATTCAAAAAGAGAAGGAAAGAGTTCAAGGTTGAATTTAGATAAGATATATTTGCTAATTAAATATAAAGGATTAAGATAGACAACTTGGGTACAAACTCAGCTTATTTATACGTATAACATATATATGTGATATTATATTTATTACTGATACACGTAATCATATAGTTTAAGCTTGATCTTGATGTAAAAAGTTCATTGTATTTACGAAACTAGATATTGCATTGACCGAGACATGTAAACATCAAATACGACAAATTTTAGTCAAAACTGTGCATATATGATGAAAAACAAGTACACGTATTCAAGAAGTTGAGTACGGTATAAGGCATAAGTTGGCCAATACTATTGTTATTGTTCACCTGTGTGTTGATTGTTAAGTTTCAGTGCTCTCCACACTTGAATTGATCAGATCTCATGTGTACACAGTTTCTTAAGTGTTCTCGCTAATCTGAATCGGTGAATGAATTTTAGTGTGAATGGGTACATAACAGTCTGGAGAATACAATAATTAAGTAGGTTATACATCAATAAGATCCAATCAACGATCTTTCATTTCAATCTTTCAGCTTTAATTTAATCACTCTCTATAAACCAATAAACTATAGTGAATACACCCACTATTCTGTACACAGTCCAGACCGGCCTCCACCCACATAGATCGCGATCACTCCATACTTCTAGAACCAGCCCATCCAGTAGCCACTTTTAACAGATCACCTTTGTCCAACTCACAACGTACGATGTCTACGATGTCTTCAAGTACCCAGAGGAATATAGAGTATAGATTCTGTAGTTGCCTATGCCTACAACGTCTCTAACATCCCATGAATTCAAAGACAAACACGCTCAAAATTGAAATTCATATTCATTGTTTGTACAATAAAAAAATTCAATTTGTATTTATGGCCATTACGTAACTACCAACGCAAAAAAAAAACCTTCGAGATCAGAAAAGCTTTCAACTTTCATGACAATTAAAAATCAAACAAGAAATTCTCAAACACATAGAAATTTATATTAATTATACTTGATTTTTTTCCAGTTATAAGCTGTCATTTGGTTATTTATACTACATTGTGCTCTTCTCAATTGATTGAAACTCCTTGTGTTTTTACCCAACCATCGTTTATATCTCGTGTTAAACTTTATCCTTTCTTGAAACATTCCAAAAGAGCTAAGAATACCCTACAGGATAAAGACAAGTTTCCAAAAATTTCAAAGATATATATTACAAATCCATACTCTAAACAATTTGAACTTTCAACTTGCATTCAATAAACTCAAAGACTTCACAATCGTTTAAATCTTTGGTTTCCAAACATTAGTCAAATTGAATTATAAATTACATAGTTCCGTTTGTGTTTTTTTTGCCCCATATACATTCTATAAATAATATCATATACAACATATAAACCAAAATGTCAGATTCAATAGAAGAAACAGATATCCTAAACTGGACTATTTTCAATGAATTAAGAACAATGGATGAAGATGAACCAGGCTTTTCAAAAGAATTAATTCATACATTTACAGATCAAGCTGAAGGAATTTTCTTAGATATGAATACACAATTAGATAAAGATGAACCAAATTTAAAAAAATTATCAGAATTAGGACATTATTTAAAAGGTTCAGCAGCATCTTTAGGACTTGTGAAAATTCAAGAACAATGTGAACGTATACAAAATTATGGATTACAGAAGGATTTTGATGGTTTATTAAATGATAGAAAATGGGAAGAAGGTATAAGAGAAGCACTTTTGAAAGCAAGAGATGAATTTGAAAAAGCAATAGAATTCTTTGACAGATATTATGAAAAAGAAGCTGCACAATGAATCAATCATATACCTGCTTTTTTATTGATTTGAAATTCAATTGTTTTTAATGTTTAGAATAATGATTGATGTTGCTGTTTTTTATATATATATTTGATCTTGTGTTGATTTTTATTCAACTTATTCTATAATTATTTTCTTCCCGTGATATCAAAAGATTGAGATATGTCGTTTCTTCATGATTTTTTTTACCTTTTATATTTAAACCATTCACAGATATTAATTAATGCCATTTGATTTATTTTATTAAGCGCTGTGTAAGTTTTGTAATAATATTAAATCTATATATATATATAAATAACAATATGGCAGCTAATCAATAAATATAAATAAGGTGAAGGTCATGGTGGTAATTACCAACTATAAATCTGGATCAACTATATCACCAAGATGTTTCCCATCAAGAAATTTCATATCTTTAATCTGTTCAGGTAAATAATCTTGTCTAACTTTCCCATTTTTATAATTTGGATTATATTTATATTCTTTACCATAATCCATTTCTTTCATTAGCTTGGTTGGAGCATTTCTTAAATGTAATGGAATAGGTAATCCAGCTTTTGTTGGTTCATTTGCATAAATAGATTTGATATAATTCCAAGCTCTATAAATTTCAACAGATTTAGGAGCTTTAGCTAATTTAACTGCACATTGAACAAGTGCTAAATCAGCTTCTGGTAATCCAACAAATGTAACCGCTTGATAAGCCGCTATAGCAAATGGTAAACAACTTTCATCTAGGACACCAACATCTTCACTTGCAATTCTAATCATACGACGTGCTATATAAAGAGGATTTTCACCTCCTGATAACATTTTACCTAAATACCACATTGCAGCATCTGGATCTGAACCTCTTATAGATTTATGGAATGCACTTATAGTATCATAATGTTGATCTCCAACACGATCATATAATAAATGTGTTTTCTGTAATACAGGTCTAATATCTTCAACTTTAACTGCAATGTTACCTGGTGTTTTAGCATCAGGTTTAACATTTGAATAATGAGAATCAATTAATTCCATTAAATTTATTGAAATTCTAGAATCTCCATTACTTAAATCTGCAATATAATTTATAGCTTCTTTATCAAATGTTAATAATGATTTATTGAAAACTAATTTCCTAACTTTATTTATATGTAATATTCCCTTATTTAAAATCCTATGAATTTCATTAATTTGTAATTTATTTAAAGTGAAAACTTTACATCTACTAAGCAAGGCATTATTCAATTGGAAACTTGGATTTTCTGTAGTAGCACCAATCAATACACATTCACCTTTTTCCACAAATGGTAAGAAAAAATCTTGTTGAGTTTTATTATATCTATGAATTTCATCACAAAAAACAATGGTTTTTCTTTTAGTTAAAAACCATTCTTTTGAACAATTTTCAAAAATTTTCCTTAAATCTGATATACCACTACTTGTTGCATTTAATTCAACAAATTTTTGTTTTGTTCTAGCTGCTATTATTCTTGCGATTGTTGTTTTACCAACACCTGGAGGACCCCAAAGAATTAACGATGGGATAGTATCATTATCAATAAAGCCTCTCAAAATCCCCTGTGGACCAATAAGATGTGATTGACCAACGTATTCATCTAATGTTCTAGGCCGTAGACGTTCACTTAATGGTAATTGAGCCTGTTGACGTAATAATTTAATTTCTGAATCTTTATCAGGAGTTGTAATTGGTGTTTTAAGTGATGTATTTGGTTTTTTCAATGGTGGTGAGTTTGATTTTTCCTCCTTTGGATCATCATCTTCATCATCATCATCATCATCTATGGTTATTGGTTCTTGTTGTGTTGATGGTTTTTTAGCTGGTGTACCTAAATTTGATGGTTTTCTACCTAATGAAGATAATGTTAATTGTTTCTTAACTGGTTGAGATGGTGCTGATATGATATTTTCACCATTTTCACATTGATCTAGATGGGTGTTGATCTTATCCAGACTAACACCTTTCCCACAAATAGGACATGAAACCATGGTATATATAGACTCGAATTCCTGATAACTTCAGAGGGAATAGTTGGCTAAGTATTGTTCTTAAAGCCCTACGCGGTTATGTATTATAAATAAAGACCGCGTCTTTTTAGTATTCGCGTATAACGTTATACACGAAGATCTGGATTTTTTATCTACAAATAGTTCAAAATCAACAAAAAAAACTCTATTAATATTACTTTATGATATACCCAGTACTTAAAATCTAATATAATTCACCAATAACACCTAAACCATCAGCATAATATTTTGGTGCACCAGTTTTCAAAACATTTTCTTCAGTTTCAATACCAGTTAAAACTAATAATGTACCTAATCCACCATCATTACCAAATTTAATATCGGTATTTAAACGATCACCAATCATAATGGTTCTTGATCTATCCAATTTTTTATCTGCAACAATGGCATCCAGCATGTTTTGACTTGGTTTACCACAAGCAATTGGTGTACGACCTGAACTATAAGAAACAGATTCAATAATTGAACCAGCACCTGGAAGGATTAAACCCTTTTGAGGGAATGTTGAATCAATATTTGTAGCAAGAAATTTCACATTAGGATCTTGTAAATATTGTAAAGTGATTGCTAATCTATGATAATTGATATTTGGATCTAAACCTGCAATAACTGCACCAACTTTTGGATCTTTTGGTAAGAATGGTGTAGTATTTGAATCAAATTTTTCATTTAAACGAACATCAGTACCACCAATAGATTCATAACCTAATTCTTTTAATTCTTCTTGGATACCAGATTCACCTAAAACCCAAACTTTTTCATCTTTTGGTAATTTTAAAAATTCTTGTAAATAAGTTGCACTTGCATAAGCACTACCAAAAATTTCTTCTTTACTAATATTTAAACCAAATTTTTCAAATTTTTTAGTATAAGCTTGTCTTGATTTTGTTGAATTATTTGTAACAAAGATAACTTGTTTACCTAATTTTTTTAATAATTCAATACTTTCCACAGCACCTGGAATTTTATGATCACCTAACCAGATAACACCATCACAATCAAAGACAAAAGTGTCATAGTTGTTTAATAATTCATGGACTTGTTCCTTAGAAGTGATTTTACTTGGAGCCATTGTAATGATAATGTTTTAATGATACTTTAGTTCAAAATCTACTCAAAATAATCACGCAAATTTGTAGTTTCCAACTTGGTTTTATATACTTTGAATATAATTCTCATTGAATTGATTTCTATGACAATTATTCGGTTTCTTGATACCCGCACTTATTTTTTTTCTCATAACCAGCGAAAACCCTCAACTGACTCCACAAGAATAAAACTAATCAACTCATCAAAAAGAGAAGAATATAAGCTAATTAAACAAAAATGCCACAAGATTTACCACCAATTGGCGGGTACGATCCAATCCAATGGAAGAGAAACTTGCCTACGAGAGGGTTCCGTCCTAAAATTGTTCTCGGTGTCGTTTTGGCAATCACAGGTTATGGATGGTATGAAATGGCCAGGGGTATTAGTGAAAGAAGAGAATTACAAAGAGAGAAGATTTGGGCAAGGATCCATTTGATGCCACTTTTGATTGCTGAGTTTGACAGGGACAGTGTGAGAAGATACTATGCTGATAAGGCTAGAGAAGCTGAGATTATGAAGGATGTTGAAGGTTGGGTTCCTAAGCAAAATGTTTATAATGATGGGAGATTTCGTAATCCAGTGTTTGCCTGGGGTGTTGAAGACTCGTGATTATGCTGGCTATTATATTTATTACTATTTATTCATTATTTATTCACTATTTATTACTTATTTATTTATTAAGATACACATTCTGGTCTTTTCTGGGTTCTTCTGGTGAGATCGAGATTCAATTGTACTATTTATTTGTAGTTTTGTTGACATTCACGAAAAAAAAAAGATCAAGTGTCAAATCTTAAACATCAACAAAGCATCAACACAGAACAAAAACACAACCGCTGTGATCAAAAATACCTTCTGCTATGCCACTGGTGGACACAAAGAACCCATTGGTCCATTTGCTACTGCTAATTAGACTCATCTGTGTGTTTTATTCCATCATTCCAGATTGTGATGAAGTGTTCAATTATTATGAACCACTAAATTTCCTATTAAGAGGCTTTGGTAAACAAACGTGGGAATATTCACCAGAATATGCTATTAGATCTTGGGCTTATTTGATACCCTATGCAATCCCAACTTATCCAGTAACTGTTGCTATTGATTATTTCAAAATTTTACCTCCACAAGCTGCTTTTTATACAATTAGATTGAGTGTTGTTTCATTCACTTTATATTCAGAATTACATTTATACAATACATTAAAACAAAAAGTGAATTTATCCATTGCTAATTATTATCTGTTCTTTACTTCAGTATCAACAGGGCTTTCACATGCTTCTATTGCATTATTACCATCAAGTTTTGCAATGAATTGTACTGCATTAGCTACAAGTAATTTGATTCAATATTTCCATTCAAGAAATCTAGGATATGCCCTATTAGTGACTTTTTGGTTCATAACTGGTGGTGTTATTGGATGGCCATTTGTTCTTGCTTTAGCTGCTGTTTCTACACTTGTGATCATTGCACAAAATTTGAAATCTTTCTTAATAACAAGACGTTATATTGGTTGGTCATTCTTCATAGTTTTAGTTATAATAGGAACTTCTTTACAAATTGATTCAACTTTTTATGCAAAGACTGTCTTGGTTCCTGCAAATATTGTCTTGTATAATGTCATCTTTGCTGATGAAAATGCTGGTCCAAATATCTTTGGTGTTGAACCTTTAAGTTATTATATCATTAATTTGTTGTTGAATTTCAATATTATTGCAATTTTGGGTTATATTGGTATCATTGCTGTACCTGTGCTATCATTCACAGGTTTGAAACCAAATAAATTATCAAACTTAGAAATTATAACTATTTTATCACCAATTGCAGTATGGAGTGGGATTTTCTTTAGTCAACCACATAAAGAAGAAAGATTTTTATATCCAATCTATTCCACAATTAATTTATCCGCTGCTTTTACATTATGGTATGTTTCCAAAACCATTAGCTGTATCACTCAATCAATTACAAAATCTTCCAAATCTTCATCAATCTTCAAATCAATCATTGTTTCCACTATCTTAATATTAACATTTATAATTTCATTATCTAAAACAGCATCATTATCAAATAATTATAGTGCACCATTGGAAATTTATAATTCTTTACCAAGAAATGAATCAGGTAATGTATGTGTAGGAAGAGAATGGTATAGATATCCAAGTTCATTTTTCCTTTCTCAAAATCAAAGATTAAATTTTATAAAAACAAATTTTAATGGATTATTACCAGGTGATTTCAATGAAACCATTGGGAAATTTCAATCAATTAGAATAATTCCAGAAAATATGAATAATTTAAATAAATTTGAACCTTCAAAATTATCCAATTTTGAAAATTGTGATTATGCTATTGATATTTCACAACCTGTTGATTCAGAAACTGAAGAAATTGGATTTTTAAATGAACAAGGTGAAATTAGAAAAGGTTGGGAATTGATTAAATCTGTTCCATTCTTAAATAATGATGAAAGTGAAGGTATTGGTCGATTATTATGGATTCCAAAACAATTTTTTCAATTAACAAAGACAAAATTAACTTATCATAGTTATAATTTATACAAAAAAGTCGAATAGATAAAATATTGGATCTATACTTCATAGTAAAATATTAATGTACATAAATATATTTAAAACAATTAAACAAGGATATTTAAATTTATTTGTTGATTGGTTTTGATAACATTGAATCTCTACCTGGACCAGTACCAACCCATTCAATTGGAACATTTAAGTAATCTTCAATAAATTTCAAATATTTTTTAGCATTTTCTGGTAAATCTTCATAATTTTTAATTTTAGTAATATCAGATTCCCAACCTGGTAAAGTTTTATATTCAACATCAACTTTACCTAATCTAATTAAATCTTCAGGGAATGAATTTAATTTTTTACCATCAATTGAATAAGAAACAGCAACTTGAATTTCTTTAAAAGTATCTAAAACATCTAATTTTGTAATGTTTAATGAAGTATAACCATTAATTAAAGTGGAATATTTTAAAACAACAAGATCTAACCAACCACAACGACGTTTTCTACCAGTGGTAACACCATATTCAGCACCAATATTTTGTAATTTTTCACCATCTTCATTCAATTGTTCAGATGGGAATGGACCTTCACCAACTCTTGTGGTATAAGCTTTAACAACACCATAAACATTTCTAATAGCTCTTGGTGGAATACCTAACCCAGTTAAAACACCACCAATACCAGTTGAAGATGATGTAACATATGGATAAGTACCAAAATCAATATCCAACATAAGAGCATTAGCACCTTCAACTAAGATTTTTTTGTTTGAAGCTAAAGCTTGATGCATAAAATCAATTGAATCAACAACATGAGGTTTTAATAAATCTTTATATCTTTTATATCTTGCTAATTCTTCTTCAGAATCATATAAAAATTCACCATATCTTTGTTTTCTTGTATCAACTAATCTTCTATATCTTGCTTCAAATTCAGCCCAAGCATTTGGATCATCATTAACTAAATGATGAACTCTAATACCAGATCTTGAAGCTTTTGTTGAATAAGTTGGACCAATACCTTTACCAGTAGTACCAATATCTTTTTTATTTTCAGATAATTCAGCTTCTTTTAATTTATCAGTTCTTTGATGGAAATCAAAAACTAAATGAGCTCTTGAAGAGATAAATAATCTATCTCTGCAATGTAAACCTTTTGCTTCTAAATTTTCTAATTCTTGAAATAATGATGGAACATGAATAACAACACCATTACCAACTAAATTTTGACATTTTGGATTAACTAAACCTGAAGGTAACATATGGAAATCATATTTAACACCATCAACAACAATGGTATGACCTGCATTATTACCACCTTGACATCTGGCACAAACATCAATATCTTCACATAAGATATCAACTAATTTACCTTTACCTTCATCACCCCATTGAGAACCAAGAACAACGTCAGTCATTTTGTTATTGTTTAATTTATAAGTTTTTGAATGTATATCAATTAAGATAACGAATTGAAATTGAAATGAATTAACTCGAAAAGTATAGGATACCTAAGTTAATGAACGATTGCACGTTACCAGCACAATAGAAGTATATCAAAAAAAAGTTTTTAAAAATTTTCGAAACTTTTAAAGTTTTTTTATGACTCGAAGAGCTAGTCCAAGAATCCAAGAAAGTACGAATTATAATTTATTAACTGCCTATGAACAATTCTTGATTGAGTACGCGTTTTGCTGGAGGTTCCCGAAATTTGTGAGACTACGCAGGGAGGGACTTTTAAAGAATATGGTGATGCTGCATGCACGATACTAATTTATGAAATATATACTTAATCTTAAAAAGTGACTCCAGTAAACGTAATGAGATGGTCTGGAAAGGGGACTAGAACCCTAGAAATATGGTCTAATTTATAGATGAATACATTTTTAAGGTATGAAAGAATACTAATATCATTTCAAGACAGAAATTTACCAAAATATAGGATGGAAATATGTGAATTTGTATTCATTCATCCCATGTGATGCTTTATTTGACTCCGAAATCGAATTGCAATTTGAATTTTGTATCACTCAAATTTGTGAAACCGAACGGAAAGTTTGAAAATAAACTAGAATTCGCGTGAAAATCTCTGGCGCACGTCAAAAATTGGCAGATTTCAGAGCACACCGGGATAAACACGCGGATTTACCCTCTTAACAATTCGGCCGTGTGGTCTAGTGGTATGATACTCGCTTTGGGCGAAGATTGGGTTCACTCAATCTAATATCCACAAGCATGCGAGTGGCCCAGGGTTCAATTCCCTGCTCGGCCCAATTTTTTTGCTACTTTTTACCTAAATTTTTGTCGACTAGAGCTTAATTAGCCATCTCTTTGATGTAAATAGCTTTGAAAGTTCCACTTCTGTGTTTTTCTAACCTTCTGAATGCTGTTCTAACATAGATAATCTCCTTTATAAGTTAGGGATTTGTGTTTACCAGCTATACAATTTTATTGGTTTTCGGTTTCGGGACACACCATAGTAAAGTTTTTCAGATTTTTTATTTTGACTTAAATTAAATATGGCATAAAAGAACCAAAAGATTACTAGATCAAGATAATTAAAGAAAGGATATTTCTGTTGTACAAGATATCTGTATATCATGTCAAGACAATTGGGTAAAGGTGCCGGTGGTGGTGTTGACTCCAAAACATACAGAAAATTGAAGAAGAAACAATCAAGACAAATAAGAACAGAGATTAATGATCCAGCGCTTAATAAAGACGGTGTGTTGAATGTTAATGATTTCCTTAAATCAAGAAGATATGAAATCAATGAATTAGAAAAGGCTCAATTGAATTCAAAATTCTCTTCATCAAGTAGAACTTTTCAAAGCTTACCAAGGAAATTAAGAAGAAGAACTGCATCGCATAATGTTAAAAGAATACCCAAACGTATGAGAAATAGAGCTATTAGAGAAATGGCAAATGAAACTAGTGGTATTAAGAAAAAACCATTAAAGGGTAAACAGTTGTACAGAGCTAGAACTTTGAGAAATCTTTTAAAGTTAGCCGCTAGAGCTAATTTAATGAGACTTGTACCTGTTGACAAAAGACTATCAGCTGGTCGTTTAAGAATAAGGCAAAGAATTAAGACTTTAAATGAACAATTACAAAATAGTAAAGATTCTGAAAAATTCATCAAGATTAATAATAATATTGGTTCATATGACGTATCAGCATTAAACCAATTAGCATCACCACCAATTGGTAAAATTAAATATATGAAAAGACAAAGAAAGTTTACATGGTTATCAACCCATGTCTGGCATTCAAAAAGATCACATCTAGTTAAAAGATGGGGGTTCCAAATTCCTTTGAAACCAACTCAAAAATCATTTAGATTATCACATAGAAATTTCAATTTAACTGGGGCTATAATTTGGGATAAGAGTTATATTAATACAATGATTATTCAAAGTGATAACATCCAATCAATTGCTGATACATTATCAAGTCTAACAAATGGTAAAGCTATAGGTAAGAGATATTTGCAAAATGGTGGTATATATGATGGATTAATTTATAAAAATGATGAAATAATAGGTACTGGTACTACTATTTTTTTCAAAAGTTCTGACGAAGAAACAAAAAGATTAATTGTTAGACTTCATCCAGCTATATATCAATCAGTTTTTGATCATTTATTATCAATCAAAACAGAAGATGTTGAGATAATTGACACAAGATATGCTATTGGAAGTATTGATGTTGGTGGTCCAATCGCTTTATCAACATTGGGTACCATTTTGAAACCAGCTAATAAATCATCAGAAGAATCAAAACTTTTCGGTAAACTATGCACAGAAAATACTCTGCCAGATAATACAGTCTTTACATATCAAGCTATTGACCCAAGATTGGCAAATAGAAATAAACCAAGACCAAATAAATCAACTAATATCATTGATACATTGATTGATATGAAAGTTACAAAAGCAAATATCAATACCAAAATTGTTGATAATCTATTAACATCTCAAGGAAGAACAAATTCATATGAAAATCAGTTATCATTAAAGCAAATTGCTGCTCAAAAGAATATTCAATCTTCAAATGAATCAAAAGATGTTACAAGCTTCCCAGTAATCATTTACAAAACAAATAATAACATCTGGACTGTATTATTACCATGGTATTGGGTCTTACCAGTATGGCATGCAATGAATCATATTGCTCATATGAATCATGGTGGTATTTTACAATCACATCAATTGAATTTCGAACAAAATAAATTATTTTTCCCAGACGATTATCCATTTACATCTGCTGGTTTTGTTGATCATTTGATAGCTGCAAAAGAGAAAGAAGAAAAATGGGAAAAGAAACCAATTGCTAAAAAAATTAATTATGATAAGCTTAAAATTCGTAATGATGATTATGAAAAGGGTGAAATTGGTAATCCATTTACTGCTGATTGGAGATATTTACAACTATTGAAATTTGGATTAAATCAAGTGAAGAGTGATAAGAATACAAGAACTTCTGCTTGGACTGAAAAATTCACTAGAAAAATCGAAGAACCTCATGATGTTTATAACTTTATCAAAGATGTTAAAAACACTGATAAAGAATCAGACTCCCGTGGTGAAAAATTAACGATCCCAGTTCAATTATATGACCCAAAGAAAGTACCAGGTCCACCTTCATCTCCTGATGATCCATTATCAATTTCACCAATCAAAATTGAATTAGTTTCAAGAGGTTTTACATCTGATAATGCTAGAATTTATTCCATCCCAGAACCAGAGTTAAACAAATGGATCAAATCAACAAATACTAAAAGACCAACAGGTAAAAAACAACATGAATACCCAGAAGTTCCAACTTCTAAAAATTTGATTGGTTTCATTACAAGTGGTTCATATAATTTATCAAGAGGTTTAAACACTGGTGTTGGTTATATTGATGCAACTTATTTGAAAAAAGTGACTAGTGGTCAAAAACAACAAAAGAAGTACTGTGTCATTCGAAATGTTGGTACTGATTTTGGTAGACTAGCCTCTTGGGAATCAATTGATATTTAATTACAAGTGTTTGTACCAAAAGGAGCTCTAGGTAATAATATATAATAAACATAATATTGCATTCATATCTATACAAGAATTCATACGTATTCTCATTTAGTATTATAAACAAATTGAAGCCCTTGATTAGAAGCAAATTGTCTTAGAGTATCATCGTTAACATCTTTATCTGTAAGACGTAACACGTATAAACTTAATAAATGGGTTAATTGATCATTAGTATTATCCACGGCTTTAACTAAATCACCTAATAACACTGGATGTGAATTCAAGAATCCAGCAGTTTGTTTACTAATTTCTGATTGTGATTTTTTTCTTAACCCATATTGATAAATTAAACTTTTAACTTTAGATAACCCATTTTGATTGAAAAAATCTTGATAAATTTTTAGTTTTGATGAAACATTTGGATCTGATTTCCATAAAATTTTAAATTTACCCATAATATTATCAAATGAACATTCATGATTTTTATCTAAAAACGTTATAGAAGCTTCTTGATTTGGATAGACTGTGGCTTTCAAAATGATTTTAGCACATGTATGACAATGATATTGACAAACACCACCTTTTGATAAATCTGTCTTCTTTGCTGCTAATAAAACTCTATTTCTTAAACAGAAATGGTAGTAAATATGATCCAATAGAGTATCAAGGTTCTTATATCTCTTATTTTGATTCAATTCTAGCGATACCACTAATGCATAATCTGATGAATGTAGAAAATCAAGACATTTAGAAACAGTTTCATATTGTTGATATGTTCTTGGTTCATTTGGTTTGGATCTCTTAGGATCAGGTGTTGACAACTCATCTTCGGATCTCTTTTGAGGTGTTGAAGAACTTTGATCACTGTTATCATTCGTGTTTGTAGAATGCTGTATTGGGTTTGATTGTGGTGAAGTTGATGAACTTGGTTGCGTAGGCTCTCTAGTTTGTGGTTGTTCGGATTCTTCAGGTGTGGAAGCTGTAGTTGATGGTTGTGGTGCATGAGGTGTTTGATCTGATGACTCTTTAGATGGTACTTTTGATGAGCTTACAGCTTCCAAGTTTTTTTCATTTGGAGTATTTTCATTTTCTGAGCCTTTTTCAGGTGTAGCGTAAGCACTACTTCTATCACTTGATGGTTCAGTACTTACCTTTGGTCTAGAATTATCAAAAGAATCGGTGTTTGGTAAGAAAAATAAATTCCTTGATTTGGTTGTTGATTTAGGTACATTAGAATCATTATTTGGTTTTTGAATATTCAAAACTTGTGAATTTTTAGTGGTATCAGTATTAGTTGTATCCACAAATGGTGATCTTGAATTGGTGATACTTGGTTCACTATCCTGTGGTGATACAGACCCTGGGCTTAATGAATCTTGATGTTGTTGAAGTCTTTTGATGGTTTGTGCCTGTAATTTTTGTAATTCTGGAGATGGTTTATGATTTGGTGGATTGGAGATTTCTTTTGATGCTGTTACTTCTTGAGTTTTGCCATTACTTGAGCTAGTATTATTTTGTGCAGGTTGTTGAACATTTTTTTGATTACTGATCTGTGGTGAAACCTTCATAGAAACATGTGAATGTGCTCTTGATGGTGCTTGTGATGGCGCTTGTGGTTGTGCTTGTGGTGGTGCTTTTGAAGATGAATTTGAAGATGAATTTGAAGGCGCCTTTGATGGGGCTTGGGATGATGCTTTTGATGACACTTGAGGTACATTTTGAGGTGCAACCTGTGGATTAACCTTCCCAACAACTTGAGGAATAAATGTTGTTGCATATTGCGGTTGTACAGGATTTGATGGGACATTACTATTAATTGGGAAAGCAGGAGAACCAACTATCGGTCTATTAGTGTGAATAATAGGACCAACTGTACCTAAAAAGCTTGAGTTGACCAAACTTGTATGTTCAATACCATTAGATAATGTAAATATCAATCCATTTTCACCTCTTTCAATTGAAACTGGTTCATATTTGGCTACCAATTGTATAGCTTTTTCTCTAACGATTTCACTACGCTCTAAGCGTCTTTGAAGTGCAATTTTATCAGCCACCAAACTCTCGATGAGTACTTTATTTTGTAAGAACTCTGGACTTTGAATACTTTCTGATCTGAATTGGGGATCCATTTTGACTAACACACCATCTGTTTGTCTATTTTCTTCTGGTGGTATAGTTAATTTAAAGTAATTTTTGTATATAACAATTTAATAACGCGACGCGAAAAAAAAAAACAAAACGAAACCATCACGAAGATCAATGAGGGTATGCTGCTAAACAACCAGGCTTGGTTCTAGGTATTTTGCTTCTTTTACTGTGAGTATATTTTCCACTGGCTCAATAATGGCCTATATACAATCATAATTTTGACTTAACAGGTCAATAGCAGTCAACGACAATCAATCTTGTCTGCCCTATTTAAAGCACACCGGTTCGTGTGTTACGTGTCCAAAACATCCGGGTAAAGTTCGCTAAACCGCGCCTAAAATTGAAAACTCCCAGCAAAGTTCGCTCTGGAAAAGTATTTAAAGAGTTGAATTCCCTTTGAAAACTTCGTTTTCTATTTTACTTTTTTCCTTTCTTCATACTTACCTTAAGACGTCATCAGAGATCAAGAAGTCTTGGTGATCAGGTATACTTGTTTGCATTGCACAGCGCATCATGTATACTTGCTGACACTTCTCTTCATGAGAGGTGGGTGGGTCTTATAATTTTTGATTTCATCTTCTCCTCGTCCTTGTGACTTGGATATTTCTTTAGAGGTTGGTGTGTCTTGTTAACAGTTTTCAATAATTTTGATAACCCAGTTTTCAAATTGGTGACGCATTTGAACACTCTTTCCCACAAAAGTGTCTGAGAGGAAACCACAGTAGTGGTGGAAACCACAGCAGTGGCCGTTCACAACCGTTGGTTGTTTCGTTGAAGAGTTTAATAAGGAATTCATAACTACGTTATATTACTTTTAAACAAGAGTTCTTCGCACCCATAGGGTATGCGGGCAACTGACATGAGGTCTTGTACCATATGTGGTAGAAACTACTATAATTGGGCAAGAACTCATTTCCAATTTTTTGATAATAATCAAAAGGTTGGTTTTTCATCTTGACTTTATCAGTTGATGGAGCTGGAAGAAAAACCACTATGGAACTTAATTTTAGTTTTATATATACATTTTCTCAAGCTATATTACTCTGATGAGTACGTAGTACGTACTACGTGTAATAAATCATAATCTCGTGAAGCCATGATCATGTTATGTCTATTAACCTGGTGATGTTTTACAACAACTTACCTACTGAAACAAATTAAATTAGTTAGTGACTCTGTCCATAGTTATTCTTTCCGCGGGCCGGTCGATATATTGCTCTTTACCGACGGGATCTCTCCGGACCGAGTCGATTTTCACGGCAAACGCAAATTATGTTATCGTAAAAAAATTGAATGTATAAAAAGAAGATAATATTTCAACTTTTGATTTCAAATTTAAACCTCTTTTGAATGGGGTTTTTTCGGTTATTATGACAGTAGGATTACGTTCTGCTTCATCTTCACATACTGCTGCTAACATCAAACGTGTTTTGTACTATGGTACTTTCATACACACACCAAAGCTAGGTTCACTCCAGGTTTTCACCGATACTGGGTTTGTTGTTGATAAGAATGGGGTCATTGATAACATTTATGAAAACACGTCAGTTGAGGAAATCTTGAACAAAGAAACAAATATTGAGGAAACTTTTGATATTTCCAAAAATTCAAATTCATTCTTCTTCCCAGGTTTTATTGATACACACATTCACGCTCCACAATATCCAAATAATGGGATCTTTGGCTCATCAACACTATTAGATTGGTTAGAAACTTATACCTTCCCATTAGAATCAACTTTGAAAGACTTGGATAAAGCACGCTTGGTTTACAATAAAGTTATTTCCAGGGGAATTTCACATGGTACTACCTGTGCTGCCTATTATGCTACTATTGATACTGATGCTACAAATCTTTTAGCTGATTTGGCTCTTGAAAAGGGTCAAAGAGCTTTTATTGGTAAAGTTTGTATGAATAACAATTCACCAGAGTATTATTGTGAAACTTTTGAACAATCCAAAAAAAGTACATTAGATGTTATAGATCATATTAAGGAAATAGATCCTTCAAATGAAATTGTTGCTCCTATATTAACTCCAAGATTTGCCCCATCCTGTACATCTGAATTATTAAATTGGTTAGGTCATCTAAGAGAAGAACAAAATCTTCATTGTCAAACACATATATCTGAAAACAAGAATGAAATCAAATGGGTACAAGAATTATTCCCAAGCTCCAAGAGTTATACAGATGTCTATAATGACCACAATCTTTTAGGGGATAAGACAATCTTAGCTCATGCTATTCATTTGTCAGACCATGAGAAAGATTTAATCAAATCTACTGGTACTGGTATTTCACACTGTCCGATTTCAAATAGTTCAATAACTTCAGGTGAAGCAAGAGTTAGATGGCTGTTAGATAATGAAATCCCAGTTGGGTTAGGTACTGATGTTTCTGGTGGGTTTTCTATCTCAATTTTAGAAACTGCTCGTCAAGCTTTATTAGTTTCAAATCATTTAGCTATGAAAACTTCGGATCATAATAAATTATCAGTCGAAGATGTTCTTTTCTTAGCTACACTTGGTGGTGCAAAAGTTGTTGGGTTACAAGATAAACTAGGTTCTTTCATCAAAGGTAAGAAATGGGACGCACAACTTGTTGATTTAGATTCAAAGGGGTCACCTGTTGATGTCTTCGATTGGCAAACATCACCAAAATCAATGAATACATCTGATGATTTAACAAAATTTAAAAACTTGGTTGCTAAATGGGTTTTCAATGGTGATGATAGAAATACTCAAAAGGTTTGGGTTAATGGTTTAAAAGTTCATGAATTATAATAAAGGTGTTGTGTATATTTGCTAGACTTGTTGTTTATTTAAATTAGAATTAATATAGTTATTTATCAGGGAATGAATTTTTACTTGTAGAAAAAATCTATATTGACATATATATACGTATAATACATTAGTTATTACAAGCAGTAACTTAATAAAACAACGGAGCGTAAAGTAGTGGTAAATTTGAATGATTTTCTTGCCATTTAGTTAAAATATCCAAGATTTGATCTTCAAATGGTACACTATCTTCATGAGTTTTTGATAATTTTGAAGCTTTTGCTAAGCTTTCAGCTAATTCTAGTATCCCTCTACCACCTGATCTTGCATTGTCGTCATCATCTTTAATATCAACATTAATAACATGAACAATTTTATTCAAATTACCACCTCTATGTAATAAATCTTCACAAACTGAATCGAAACATCTTTCCTCACATGTAAACACGAAATCAAATGTTTCTCTCCCTTCATGCCATCTTTGTGGTGCTTCTTTAATCTTTCTATTTCTATCCAACATCCTTAGAATACCATTTGCTTGATATAATTTGGGATCTTGTGCTTCTAATTCTTTATATATTTTATCATATGGTGTTCCAAATGGGTAAACATTTGGTCTATCTATACTCGGACCAGGAAGCCTCACTGCTGAACCTGTACCATATGATGAAACTTGATAACCATGTTCTTTCAATATTTTATGGGCTGCCATTGAACTAAATTCCAATTTGTTAGTCTTTATTCATCTTTTGATCCCACGTCAATTAAAGTCAAAAAAAAACTTTTGACCCTGACATACCGATTATTATTGACCGCACACACTGTACAGAACCTAAGATCACTCATGATTTCCGCTCTCTTGATTAAAGGTTGCTTTTTCGAATGTCTTGAAGTTATCTAAATGATAATTGATCAAATATGTTTATAATTTTTATGTGGTGAAAATTGAACGTATACAAATGTATTATGTAATCGCCACCGTATAATATAATTAATTATTATAATTAAATTATATATAACCATCACAGCTGCTAACGTATAAATAAGCAAAAACTAATAATGAGATATCTTATTCTATATAAGTGGAAAGATCCAGATACGTACGTCTGAAAGCCTACATGCATAGTTGAAATCAAAAATTAAAGCCTATTAGTTATATAACTCCTTTTCCCTATAGTCAAATATTCCGAATAAATAGTAACTTATTAAAGCTGATAACATATGTAAAAGCCTAACCGAATCTTCTATATTAATCATCATCTTGAGAATGACCAGCATTCTAAATATCAATCATAAACCTTGATCATGAGACTTATCTTCCAACTTTGACTCTGATAAGTTTGAGGCCAAAGATCTCATTTCTGGGCTTTCAATCATGAGAGGTTCTTCATATGGTCTATTGTTAAAGTCTTCATTTTGGCCACCTGGATTTTCATTTAAAGTAAATCCAGTTCCTATATTTTCATAATCATCCTTGATAGATCCTGTTCCTGTATAGTTATATGACGGACCTGATGATTCGATAACTTCTGGTGATTCCTCTTGTAAAATCTCTTTTGCTGATGATTCGCCTTGCCCTTGAGCTATAAAAACGACAGAATCTTCTGGATCTCTATCATTTGGAATCGCTGCTGATGCATCATTTCTGGTTACTTGTTCGAACTCTTCACCTTTTGTTTTAGTAGTAACATCATTAGATTCACCAGTTTCGTCTTCAGGCAGCTCATCAAATTCTAACCCAACATCAACGAAATCATCACCATCTTCATCATAAACAACAAAAGATGGCTTTCTATTTGAAAAATCACGAGGTGTATGATCTGGTGAAATATGGATGACGCTGGTCTTAGTAGGTGAATTTTGTACCTTTTCTTTCCACTGGATCCATTCATTTTCGTCTTTGATTAAAAATCCCAGTAGCATTGATGGATCAACTTCAGATAAATGAATTTTTCTAAGCTTTTTAGTATGGACTGAATTGACATCTAATGATGAAACTATTTCCGTACTCTCACTGACTGAGGTGTCTAATTGATCATCATGGAGCAAAGCAGGTTGAGGTAAATGTGGATCCAAATAAAATAAATGATCACCTTGAAATCCAAAAAAATAATGTGATGTTGATGGTCTCCCGCCAGCTATTCCAATACTTTCTTTCGAATTCAAAATTGCCTTTAAACTATCCCAATATACTGGATTAATATTATCTATACCGAGTCTTAACCCCAAAAGTATCAAAATCGGTTTAAAAACACCATTTTCGTCTTTGGCAACTTTGAACACATCATTTTCATATATATCACCACTATCAGACCCAATGTAAACTTTAACACCACTATCAAATTCATTACACAGCGATTGTATACTTCTTGCAGCTGCAGATGGACCAAACCATTCACCAGGTTTTTTGTTTGAAAGTAATTTACCTTTATCAACAATTTTGTGAATAGAAAAGGGATGTGAAGGACAATCAATGAACCAGGATACAATCTCATTGTGCATTTCATTCAATTCTCCTGTGTAGCGCCAGTCCCTTCCAATATGTAGGTTTAATAATGCATTTGCTAATAGTGACTGTGAAGTTCTTATCATACAACCCCAACCACAATCTGTAGTGAAATGTTCATTATCTAAATCATAATTTTGACCTCTGAGAAAGAAGTTCAATGATAAAGGAGAAGGTCCTTCAGGATCACGATCTATTGGTGAAAATTTAGTACGATAAGTTAGCCATATTCTTGTATAAACATCATCAATGAATTCCTGTGGCCATTTGTTCAAATCGTCTTTTTCGTTATCTTCAGCTGTATGGAATCTCAATGTTTGCCATATATCTTTAAGACCTGAAAGTCTGCTTTCATTGGCCCTTATATCATTATCATCCTTTCTGATCGTTTTGTCTATATCACTTCCGTCTTCCCCAGTTGATTCTGATAATATTACAGACTCTTTGATTTCTCTTGAATAAGTCTTACCAAGCACTGTTATGGGTACCTCTGGGTAAATATTCTCCAGTTCTTTATCCCAAAAGAGTTCGATTACTCTTTGAAAGCTACCGGCAGTGGTCATTGAGTTTAAATATTATTGTTTATTTGTGAACAGAACAAATCAAATGACGAAGGCGTTGCGTTAACAAACCCAGAATCTTCTTCTCTAACAAAAAGAATACACCACAATCTATTATAATAATTTGATTTCTTGAAATTGAATGAAGCTTGGGATATTTATAGATACCACACTGTCAGATCTGGATGGAACCCTCGACTTTATACTATTAAATTGATGCCCTGAATGTCTATTCTCCAGAGTTTATTGAACTAATTGCGCCTGAAAGCGTCAAAACAAACGATTAGATAACGCGAAAATCAGTCAGCTGACGCATCATGTGCTTTTCGCGGATTTGAATTAATTGGTAGGGGAAGTACGCGATGCGTAAAGTATTGATTTTTTATAGTATACTACAATTTCATACACATGTATTAGATTTATACCTGAGGTTTTCTAAGTATCTAATCCAATAATTCAAGGTTAGAAAATTTTATTATGCCTAAAAGAGGAAGAGGAAGAGGTGGTCCAAGAGGTGGCTCAAGAGGTGGAAGAGGTGGTAGAGGTGGACGCGGTGGTTTCATAGGTCGCAATAGCAAAGCACAGAAGAGAAGAAGACAACAACAACATGCTAATGGGCAGCCAAATAATGGTGAACTCCCAGAATTATTCGATTTGAACAATCCAGATTTCATTTCTGTGTCGCATCCAGAACGCTCAATGAAGGCTGCTGCTGCAAGAGGCTCTAAGAAAAAGTTCAGATTACAAGATGAGGTATTCAACACTGAAGATAACAGGGAGAGTACGATGAAGCTCCCACTTCGAAAAAGACCTGTTGAATTCGTTAAAGCTGCAACTTTAGACCCTTCAAAGGATTTAGTGAGGAAATTGAAGGAAAAAGATCAATTCATTGAGAAAGTCAAAGATAATGAAGTGACTTTCGTTAGCAAGGAGGCAAATCTAGAGATAAATGGAGATAAGAAGGATTCAGATGAAGAATTAATTGAAGTCGATACTACCGGTCAAGATGAAGAACCAATTGAAGTTGAACCTAGTAATCAAGATGATGAACTAATTGAAGTTGAACCTAGTAATCAAGATGACGAAATTGTTGATCTTACTGAAACCAAATCTACTAAAGAAAATGAAACATCTTCAGAAACTACAGGGACCTTCCAAGAAAAATCCAGAAAACCAAAAAACACTATACAACAGATTCCAGATAACCTTTTATTTTTCCAAGACGATGACGGTGATGAGTCAATCACAAAGCATATCAAACAAGTACCAACCTCAACACACACATCACAACCAATAAGAGCTAGTAATAACACAGAATTCACACCATCACTAAGTATAGGTCAGACTCTTCTTTCTACAAACTACGAAAATAATTCTAAAGATTCTTATGTGCAACTCCCAAGAACCAATAAAGATAAAGATGAAGATATTGAAATTGATTTGGATCAATCTATTTACGAGATCGCTGATGATGGTGAAGATTACCATACTGTCAATAAACCAACCAGTCAAGAACTTTACCGCTCATATAATCAATACATCTCAAGGGTTATGCAAAACCTGGCAGACGAAGATGAAGATGAAGACGACGAGGACGATGAAAATAATGATGATGAGAAGGTTTTTGGCAAGAAAGTTGACAATGAACAGGACATATATGCAGAACTTGATGATGATTTTGAAGAGGAAGCTAACTTCATTGCAAACGTTGACGACGAAGATGATTTTGACTCTGAAAATGATAAAATTGACACTGATAGTATTCACGATGAAAGGGCTGCAGAACAAATGAATAATTTGAAGATCAAAGAGTCCAGTGAACCTCCAAAAGAGGTATCATCCGATGGTGACCCAGAATATGGCTTTCTTCCCGACGACTATGAATCATTTGATCATTCTCTTGTTGATGTTATAAATGTGAGGTATGGTGCTGGTACAAATCAATATCATATGAAAAGCTTTAGACTTACAGGATCTTACGATTTCTTGTGGATTGACCAAAATTTATTTGAAGATTTTTTGGTCGAAAATGGTATGCCAGATTATAGAGTGAATGCTTACTTTAAATATGTACAAGCACAGCTTACGCCTGAAGAACTCAACGAAGAAGATTTTGATTTCCAATTTATTGATGATTCAAGTGCTGAAGAAGAAGAAGAAGAAGAAGAAGCTGATGACCATGATGATTATGATGATGAAGGTTTAGATGATTTAGTCAAATTTACGTCAAAATATGATGGCGTCAGAGATTTGGAATATGAAACTAAAACTCTTACAACAAGAGGTAAAGGTCGTAAGAAAGAACTTGACCTCGACCATGTTGCTGATATGGATCTGCGTCAATCGCTGGCTGAACAATATCAGGCACAAAGACGTAACAAAAAGGAAAAGAGAAAAGAAAGGGAAAGCAATATCGCAAAAGAGCATTCCACTTCTAAAGATTTATCACTAAAATACCCATATACTATCTATGTCAATGACTTTAGAAATGAATTTGAAGAGTTCTTACAAGATTCAAAGAGAAATGCGTTGACATTCCCACCTCTGGATCCACATGGTAACAAAGTTGTTATGAAATTTGCATTTCTATATAACATGAAGTCAAGAAAATTTGGTGCTGGTAAACAACAACACGTTGTCGCTGTTAAGAATAAGAGAACTTTCCATTCAATACCAGATTATCATTCGGTTAGTATGCTATGTAAACAAAGACCTATATTTAACAGAATTGATCAAAAGAGACCAAGAGTTGAAATTGAAGCCGAAGAAGCTAAATCTTCCAGAAGAGGGAAACCAAGTAATGCACATGTCAAAGAAGGTGATATCGTTGGTGAAAATGCTCCAGAAATTTCAACTAATAATATTGGTAGACGTTTACTAGAAAAATTGGGTTGGAAAGCCGGTCAAGGTTTAGGTGCTGAAAACAGAGGTATCCCCGAGCCAGTTGTTGCCAAAGTCAAGAAGACAAAGCTTGGTTTACGTTAGAATGTTTAATTACATTACGTTGGTTATTGACTTATGCATGAGACATTCATATAGAATCTATTTACACTAATATAAATGCCGATAACTAATATAATCTATATCGTAAAAATATTTCAATATGCAATTTGATTAACGTTTGCCTTTCCTTCCTGCCTTCTTCTTTGGTGGAGCAGCGTGTCCTGTAGTATTGACGTGTTGAAATAACTTATTTCTTGAACTAAAATTTTGATTACAAACAGAACATTTCTCTCCCCCTACAGGTTTGTTATTTTGTTCTTTTTCTGTATCACCGCCTGATGGTCCAGGTGTAGAGCTCTCAGATGTGTTTTTGGCTCTTTTGGCTTTTTTCCCCTTATTCTTTTTGGAATTACCTGTATCCCATTCATCATCTGAATCATCAATATCTAAAGAAATACCTTTCTCTAATTGAGCTGCTAGTTTTGCAAGTTCGTCTTCTTCTTCATCATCTTCTTCCCCGGCCTCTGATTTGGACTGAGACTTATCTTTATTGTATTTTTGTTTTTTCTTTTCTTTCTTCGATAGTTTCTTTTTTGGTATCACTTCTGGTTTTGGTTCTGGTTCTGATTCCAAATCAGATTCAAGTGAGTCATCAACCTCTAATTCTTCGGCATTTACCCCTGATATTCCGTTTGAATTAGGCTCTTCTTGGTGATGTTTTGATGGGCCTTGCTTTATGTTCTTATTCTCATCATCTTCAACTTCAGACACATCATCGTCATAATCATCATTACCAAGACCTTTAAGTTGCTCCTCGATCTTCCTTATTTCCTCATCTATATCATTTCTAGTTTCATCCTCATCTATTCCATCTTCAGAATCTTCCACGTCCAATTCGTCATCTTCTTCTGGCTCAGAAAGATCATCAGCGGTATCAAATTCACTTTCATCAGAAACAGGGTCTATACCTAAAGATATACCTTCTTTCTTCATTTCCCATCTTAATTTAGATATAGCTTTCTTATGTTTATTGCTACTTTCATGTGCATTGAATTGTTTTTGTGTCTTGAAACTCTTATTACATACAAAACATTCAAAAACTTCAATCTCCTCTTCATCTTCCTCTTCACTTTCTGAAGATTCTGCAAAATTGTTTTCCATCTCTTCCAATTCAGCATGACTAATCTTTTGCCAGTTCTGTGCTTCATATTCACCTCTTTTCTGTGCATTAGCTTCTCTATCTTTCGCAATCTGTTTGCGTAATTCTTCTTGATTTTTACGTTTCTTCTCTTGTTCAAAAGCAGCTGCACCTTCTTTAACTCTTGGATCTCTTTTCTTTATGAATGCAACGTAGCTTTTAACAGTCTCATTAAATTCACGGCGTGCAGAATCTCTAGCTTTTTTGTTTTCTCTCTCCATTGCACGTCTTGTACGACGATCACCAGCTGTTGAATATCTATATTCATCTTTCCATGAAAAAGTTTTCACTGTTGAGAATGAAGACCAAACTTGATAAAACTTTCTCACTTCTGATCCATAATCTGATTTGCTTCTACCAAATTTTGGATATAAAATATTTGTAGTATCAGATGGATCATCATCTTGATATGATGCATATTTATCAAGACCTTGTTGACGACCTGATAAAACTTCTTCCGCTGCAAGCTTTTCAAATACACGACTAGCCAATACATAAATACCAGCCATAGAATCATCAATTCTTGTGTATAAAGTTGGATCAAAAAACTTCAAAAGTTCATCTGTTGTTGTACCTGTGATATCTGGTGATAGATCATCTTCATCATCGTAACCATAATCGTCATCATCTCTTAAGATCGAAGACTTATGTGAATCATACCATGCTCTCTCCTGTGGGTCTGACAAAACTTCATAAGCGGACCTTATAAGATCAAAAACTCTGGCGGCTTCCTCCACATTATCAAGATTTTTATCAGGATGATATTGTAAAGCTTTCTTTCTGTATGCTTTCTTAAGCTCTATATCAGACGCAGACGTTTCGACTCCTAACAATTCATAGTAGTCCGTTTTCATTCTGTGAAGATCCTCTCACGAGTCAATGACTAATCTGTTCGTTCTTTATGGTTTCAAACAATTATAATTGACTTTTCCCGAGTATAAATTATTCAGTTTATTGAAGGTTATACCAATTTTTTTTCGTATATCCACCCAGACACCACTTCATAAGACAATATAAATTTCTAACACATTTTGATTTTATGTTCTTGAAAACATTCAAATCTTGGCTTATGAAACATCAATGAAATGCTTGTGAGATTCTCAGCTATTTAGTCACATTCCCTAAACTTATAGCTCAAAGATATGGTTGTATGGCTCCACGCCTAATGGTTGTTCACTAAGTGCTGAAATAATGTTTTATCTCCATAAACTCCATTCGAATTCAACATATTTACACTTTGTAAAAATGAAAATCTGCATTATACCAAAAAGATTCAACTAACGCCGTTAATTGCTTGTTACTCAGTACAAATATATGGACTATAATGGATACAGACTGTTGAACTAGCTGCCTATTTAAAGAGAGGTAAAGTCCTGCTTCATAGGATTACAAAAGGTTTTCATTGGTGGTCAATTTCGTGTTCCTCTGAGAGCTGATAATTGGTTTGATGGTAATTGAATATGGCACATAATTATATTTCAAAATTTGAAGTCTTTCTTAGAAATACTGTATTTGGTCGCTTCGTTTACTCTTTAAGTAGAGGTAAATACTTCAAGTCTGCAGAAGAATATGCTGATTATCAAGTTCCTTCAAAATACCTTGACCTTGAATCCAAAGAGCCAATATTAGTTGATTGGGACAGTGAGGATGACCCACAAAACCCTCAAAATTGGCCTTTGTCTCTGAGGCTATTCTTTGTGCTTTTGAACTCATTCATTTGTCTAACAGTATATATTGCTTCTGCAATTTATACTCCTGGGATTGAACAAATTGAAAAGGATTTAGACATTTCATCAACAGTTGCAACATTACCCTTGTCTTTATTCGTTATTGGATATGGTATTGGTCCATTAATTTTTGGTCCATTAACTGAAAATGCAAAGATTGGTAGAATGCCAGTTTATTTTTGGACAATTTTTATGTTTATTATCTTACAAATTCCAACTGCGTTGGTGAAAAACATTGAAGGTTTCTGTGTCTTAAGATTCATCACTGGTTTGTTTGTTGCAGCACCTATAGGTGTCGGTCCTGCTGCTATCGCTGATGTTATTCCTATGGCTTATGTTCCTTTTGCTATAACATTCTGGTCTGTTTTCTCTGTTTCTGGCCCAGCATTGGGTCCATTAATCGGTGCTATTTTTACTGTTAAGGCTACTTGGAGATGGGTTTTCTGGTTCTTGGTGATTTTAAATGGGGTTGGTTTGGCTCTTATGGCATTCTTTTTCCCTGAACCATCTTCAAAGGCCCTTTTATATAAAAAAGCTTTAATTTTAAGAAAGAAAACTGGAAATGAAAATATTACAAGCTCAGGTGAAATTGAATTGAAACATATGAGCACAAAAGAAGTAATCATTGACACACTATGGAGACCTTTCGAAATTTCAATCAAAGAACCAGTTGTTCTATTAATTCATCTTTATATTTCATTGATGTATGCAATCACTTACCTATGGTTTGAAGCATTTCCTATCGTGTTCTTCCAAACTAAAAAATTTACATTAGTTACAATGGGTGTTACTTATATTTGTATTTTTGTTGGTTGTGTTATTGGTGCTTCAGTTTATATTCCATGGTCTTACAAAATATTTACCAAACCAATGTTGAATAATGAAATGATTAGTCCTGAAGTATTTTTACCTTTGACAATAGTGGGATCAATTATCATGCCTATAGGTATGTTCATCTTTGGCTGGACTTCATCTCCTGAAATCAATTGGTTTCCTCCAATTTTAGGAGCTACATTGTTCGTTTTTGGATCTTTCTTCGTTTTTCAAACATTATTCAATTACTTGAGTATGTCATTCTTCAGGTTTCTTGCTTCTGTATTTTCAGGAAATGCAGCAATCAGATCAATTTTTGGAGGTGTCTTCCCCTTGTTTGGAAGTGCATTATTCAAAAATACAGGCTCTGAAAGATTCCCTGTTGGATGGGGTTCAAGCATCTTAGGATTTATATTTATCGGGATGATTGCAATCCCTGTGCTGTTTTATTTTAATGGTCCCAAGTTAAGAGCAAGATCCAAATATGCTGGACTTGGTGATATGGGTGATATGGATGTTGATACCCAGCCAGAACCAATTTCTGATGGAAAAGAATCGATAATAAGTCATGTTTAACATCACAAAAATAGCTTATTAATGCTTGATTTTTCAAATAATACATTTTTTCTACATTGTTTTTCATAATTTTATATGATCTCTATTACAATGTACACAGCTGAACTAATATAGCTGATTTCTCATATATAGAGTTTACCTTACTAATTTTAAAAATCTATTTGTCTACCAAAAATTTAAACATAAGAATGAATATGTAGTATACAATATTTACCTATTAAACTTCAAATACGACATAAATATATAAGTCAAAACTTTTAAACCGTGAATCCTTTAATAAACCCCCCAAAGTATTAGTATTATAAAATTAATATATAAAAAATTCAAATTGTGCAAGTGTATAAATAATTATAAGTGTAAAGATCATATTAAAAGTGATATGATTGTGATTAAAAAAAACTGAAGTAAAAAAATGAGATTACACGTCAAACCATTAAATTAAAAGTGTATCTATGCATGTTGTTTCGGCCAAATCTAGAAAATCCATCCATAAATGGATTGTAATATAGTTGGCTTCTCATTGTATTTGTTGCTCTTCTCCATTCTCTCTATGTAACGACGTTCATGTTCTGTCACTTCATCAAGTCCCGAAACCAAATCTGCTTCTTCAGGTTTAACAAATTTTGTTCTCTTAACCAATTTATAAACAATGAAAATAACAATATCTAATAAGATCATTAAATAGTTTGTCAAGAACCCACCAGCTGTAAAATTACCTGGAATAAAAGTAGCATAACCAATAGTAATTATCATCAAAGCAGTCATGATCATAGGGAAAATTGTTGTATAAGGTTGAAAATATGATTTGTAAAGAAATTTCGATCTGTCTAAACCTTGCTTGTTACATGCTCTCCAGAAATGAATATAAGTAATTGTCATGAAGAAATAATTGGCAATTTGGGCACTGGTAACGACGTTAATGATCCAGTTCAAGACTTTGGCTGCACCATCACCTAATTGTAATAATGATAATAATGAAAATAAAAATGCAACACCAACACAGAAAATTGGAACACCATCTTTAGTACAGTATTGAAAGAACTTTGGTGCAAAACCTCTTTGTGCCATTGCTAATAAAGCTCTTGATGAACAATACACATATGAATTACCAGCACTGAATGTTGAGAGGACACAGAGTACGTTAACAATATGTGGTAGAACTTGAATATTCATATTTTTCATTGCAATAACATAAGGTGAGAAATTACCATTTGAAGCAGAATCTGTACCAGCTAATTTTAACAAAGTTGGATCATTTGAAGCTAATAAAATACCAACACTTAAAGCACCCAAAATGTAAAAGACTGCCATTCTATAAAAAACTGTTCTGAATGATGAAGCTAAAACTTTACGAGTTTCTTGACCGGTTTCACCTGCAACCATTGCAAGATACTCTGGACCAACAATTGTGAAACAAGCTCTTGTCAAAGCATTGAAAAAACCGGTAAATTCACCAAAAGTACCCTTGTGTAAATATTCAACAAATGGTCCTGGGTTGTTCCAGTTACGGAAACCAAAAGCATCATGTTGAGGATTACCACCAACCATTGTAACAAAAGTAAAGACGATTAAACCAACAGCTAATACCACCTTACCTATTGTTAAGTAAAATTCAGATTCACCAAACCATTTGACTGCAAACACATTCAAAACGGTATAAATGAAGATTTGAATACAGAAACTAATAGCTGGGGAATAATCATCTCTCCAAAAATGAATCATTGAATTAACAGCTGTGATTTCAAAAGGAATATAAATACTAATCATGACATAATAATTGAATCCTGTAACAACTTCAAAGGCTTCATCAACACAACGACCGGCCATTTGAATAAAAGGAGCATTAATTGGTAAGTAGGTAACCATTTCACCAATTGAAACAATGACACAAAAAGTTGTCAATGACCATATCATATATGACAATAATAACCCCAACGGACCACCGTACATTAAAGTTGAAGAAATAGTAACAAATAAACCTGTACCAATACTACCACCAAGAGCAATTAAATTGACCGTTCTTGAGGTTAAAGTACGATGTGTTGAATGAGTTTCTGTAGATTTGATTGAGCTTTGATCATCTGATGAAGAGCTTTCATGTCTTTGTTGCTCATATGAAGAATCTCTTTTTTCAAAAGAGTTTACTTCAGCTTCAGATTTAACATTTTCAATATCAACCTCTGGTTGTCCATATCTTGCGAAAACCATAATGAATTAAATAATTGATGTTCCCAAATATAAAGTTTTGTGTCAAATTATAGCCTATGACTTATTTTTTACCTAATTTGGTGAAGACGAGCGTGAAAAGTTAAAACTGTGAACAGGTAAATGTGAGATCTGTAAGATAAAAAGTTGGAGATGTCCTTCGTGATTAGGCAACTTGTTTGTAATGGAAATGGTTGAACTTTAGTGTCAAAGCTGTATAGTCTATTTGCACAGATTGGTATAAAGGGTTCAAAGCTTTTTATGAAAGGGTTTCAAACCAAGATGGATTTGGAATTGTATTTATACCAAAAAGCCATAATTAAATTTTTTTTTGCAGGGTAGGACCGTACCCTAGACTCTACGGTTTTGAAAAAAATTCTACTTGTATCTCTTATATAAAGAGAACCACTACTTCATTTCTCGCCTTTTTTTCAGATTTCAATACATAAGATTTCAGTGCGATTCTGCAAGTGTTCCAAATGGTGTTATTTTATGCCAAAACGTTTGCTATTCTTCTCTTTTGTAGGAGTTTGTTTGACACTTGAGCCAGACTATTGGCCAGTATCTGACGTAGTTTTCAAATATATGGCATGAAAAAAAACCTTTTCTGAGGTCTGTAGTGCGCACTGCGAAAACTAGTATATCGGCCTGCAGGGCTTGAACTTTAGGCGTTAAAAACTTTTCATTGTGAAGTACACGCTAAAATAGCCGCAAATTTTCGCACAAAGAAGTTTGAATTTCAGATTCCATAATTTGCTGATTTTCAGTATCTATCAATTATGATGTTCATTGCTTAATCGCAGAGAGAGGTTACGGAAATCCAGCTTTTACAAACTCATGCACTAATGCCTTCCACCAGGAAATTGTTGCACTCTTAGGCCGTTGACCATAGGCCATATTAATGATCATGAGAGTCTAATATCTATAGGCTCGCTCATCCCCTGGGCCCTGGCTGACTGTAAAAGAAATTTAAGCCCAGTCGTCTGTCGTAAATGTAATTTATGTTGCAGCTCGCGGCGCTCTCATATATTTTATTCATAATTTTTGAAATTATTTCCGAGTTTGGGTTTTCAAGAGATTTAAATTGAAAAATTGGCGTGAATTGGCAAAAATTGGCAAAGTTTGGCAAAAAACTTAAATGAAAAAAAAAGCAGGAAAATATTCCTAATTTAGTAATTTGCTAAACTTGGGGTTTATTCATGCTTAAATTATATGATCGCGTGAACTTCGTACTGTAAATTAAATTGAGTGCTGATTGAAATTTATATTAAGTGGTCCAGTACCAGTAGACTGATAATTCGTTATAAAACATAAAATGTACTAGCTGTGTTGTAACTTGTACTTGTACACCGTTCAACCTTTTGATTCCAGGTCTCACACTTTAGACGAGGCTCAGGTCCCAAGGCCCAGGGGCTTAGTGAATTCTGCGTATTAAATATGATTGCAGTAGATTGTGTCAAAAAAATTTATAATATTTCAACACCAGCTTGCATGTTATATATCAGCTAGGTGTGGCGAGTAAAGCTCATATGATTAATACAAAATTGATATGTATTCCATATTGATTACCTCTAGTTCATAGTTCATATACCATAAATACAGTTCAAAAGTATTATAATAACTAAGGATATTGCTGTTTCTGGTTTGGAGCTATTAATAAGGTTTGAATTGACTACAACATGACCTTACACAATATTCCAATATTCAAATTTTTATTAAAAGTAAACAACTGAATGTATATTGTATATCATTATTAACGTCTAATATCGCATTATCATATAATCTAAAATCACCCCCATATGTATAATATAATAATTCTAAAAGCCCTGATCACCCAATACTCTTGACATCAGCTCAATATTTTCAAACATACTGGTGGTACATTGGTGTAAGTGTTGACCACCTTCTTTCTTCCGTTGAAACTTACTCATATTGAGCTTTTTATTGTATAATAACAAATGTACCCTGTTGGCAAAATTTAACAATATATCTTCACTTTGTAAGAGGTTTGCAATTTTTGGAATCATAATATGAGCTTGAGATAATGGAATTTCCAAGTTAATCAATATATTTTTAAGAAGTCTGTGTGATTTTGAAAGATTCAAATCATTAATTTGGTCAATTTCAAGGTATTCTTGAACAGTTTTTCCATTGGATTCTGTTTCCTTGAGTGATGGATATTTTGACTCTATAGCGGCTTCTTCAAGATCACCTAGTACCGACTTGAGTTTTAGCTGAATATCCATCAACTCTCTTTCGAGTTTCTCATTTGATAGTTTTAAGTTTTTCAGTTTCTCTGTTGAATTGTCTAAATCTTTCTTCAAATCTATATTTGTTTTAGCTTTAAAATCTATATCTTTCTTCAAATTTTCGTTTGATTTTGTTATTAAATCAATTTCTTCTTTTAATCTATTATTTGAATCTTTATAAAGTTCTATTTCTTCATTTGATCCTTTGCTTTTTCTTTCAAATTCATCAACTTGTGCCTTCAAATTACCAATTTGCACGTCTTTCTCATCAATACTGTTCACTTTATAAATACCATAGGTCACTTCTTCTTGATGTGAGTTGAATTCATCCAAAATTGAGAAGCCATTTGGTAATTTTGAAATGTAGTTCTTTAAATCTCTTAACTCTTTTAATTCTTTTATTTCTTTATCATAGTTTGGAGTTGGATTCGAAACTTGGATTGGATTGGATTGAATTTGGACGTTTGGAGATGATTTTTTCTTGCTTGACTTTAAAGGTGTATCCTGAAAACTTGTATCTTGAGACATTTTTTCATTTGAGCCATCTGATTCATCAGAAGCATCGTTTATTGAATCACTTAGATCTGCAGAAACTGCCAGATTGGACAGTCTTGATTTGGCCTTTATTATATCTCTTGGTTGTACTTTTGTAGACGAAATCTCTGCTGGTGTAGACTGTGACAGTGGAGTCCATATCTTTTCTGCTGCTGGACTTTGATAAGTATTTGTGTTTGGTTGTTGGTTGTTGTTGTTATTGTTGTTTTGATTTCCGTTAACGCTCGTATTAACTGAGATGGACCTCTTTTTGGTATTATTCATCTTGGAATCCAGATACTCTGCAATTTGGGTAGCACTCTTCTGATCAAACTCAGGCATTTCTAAATCTGTATTTGATTCTTCTGATGAATTACTGTCATCATAACGATATGAATCTGATTCTGTGTCTGAATGATACCTAACCATGTCTGATTATCCTAATCTTTAAAGCAAATAGTTTGTGAGCAGATAACAACAATAATATAATACAAATTGAAAGAGAAGGTAGTCTCTTTGAGCTATAGTAAACAACACAAGATCTCTAATTTGATGGTAAAGATAGTCCTTTTGTTTCAACTGGTAACGAATGCACTTGGTCCTCAACACCCACTTTCCTTTGTTCACTTACGGTAATTAGCTGAGCAGCTGTCTTTGATGTTTGTAGAAAGGTTGCTTGTACGATTTCCTGCTATTTTTGCGCCTTTTGTCTAATTATTTAATCTGACTTCAAGCTTTTAATATTTAATACTTGTACACAAAAACGAAAACTAGAAAAGTAAACAAAGAAAACCGCGACAACGCGATTGCAAGATAATGGTAAGAGCACTACATCACGGATTTTTATGTAATCAATATAAAGATTATAGTACACGTAATCGCGACGAGCTACATCTTCAAAAATTGAATGAATTAGATAGAAGAAAACATAATTTTAAATGCAATCACCATACTGAATAGTTTACCAAATCAAACACTTCTACAGAATTTTTAAAACGTTAATAATGATCTATTAGCTCAGGAAGTAGAATTCAAGAGTTGCTCTATATACAAATAAAACTAATTATTAATAGTGAGACCATGATATAGCCAGCATCATAGCAGCATAAAAATTCGTGAACATATTCAAATAAGAACTTGGATGAAAGAGATAAAAAGGTGAAGAACTGAAGTTTCATGATAGTCTTTTTTTTTTTTGAGTTATACTATAGCAAAAATTAATTTAAACACTGTCTGAAATTGAGGCAGATCTGTGTTCAAGGAGAGCACCAGATTTTGTGTCTTCAATGTTTTGGAAATCAGCTTTGGTTTCATCATAAACTTGGTCACCAGCAATTGCTCTTGAAAATTTGTGTTCAACAGGAACATAATGTTTGGATTTCCAAGCTCTTGGAATTTTTTCATATAAATCATCAACATCTTCCAATGATAAACCTTTGGTTTCATAAACAAGGGCCCAAGCAAACAAGATACATAAGAAGTTACAACCACCCCAAATGAAGAAAACATTAGACTTTAATCTAGCAGAACCTGGTGCATCATCAACCAAATATGGAGTAGCAAATGCAATGGCGAAATTCCATAGCCAATTTGAAGCAGTTGACATAGCAATAGATTTAGCTCTAGTTCTCAATGGGAAGATTTCACCTGTAACAACCCAAGCACCGGTACCCCATGTTGAAGCAAAGAATGCAATGAAAGTACATGTGAATGCAATCATACATTTGTTAGCAGCATCTGAGTTTGTGGTAGCACCAATTATTGCAATCAAAAGTTCACTTGTACTCATACCAATAGCACCACTGATTAAAAGCTTACGACGACCAATAACATCAACTAATAAAATACCAGGAATAGTACAGATAACATTGACGATATTTGTGATCAAAGTGATAGTAAAACCATTTTTAATACCTGAATTTTTGAAAAAGGTTGTACCGAAATAAAAGATAAAGTTGATACCTGTTAATTGTTGGAAAGCTTGAATGAAAATACCGGTCATTAATCTTTTGAATTGAGAGTTTGAGAAACTGAAACAATCAGCCCAGCTTGAAGAACCTTGAGATAATTCCACTTCATAATTAGCAACAATTTCACCTAATTCATCAACCAAAGCTGGATGGTTAACTGGTAATTTTCTTAATCTTGACAATGAATTCATAGCATCATCATTTTTGCTTTTAGAAATGTAAAATCTTGGTGTTTCTGGTAAAAAGAACATACCAAGTGATAAGAAAATTGAAAACACAAATTGGATAGCAAATGGAACTCTGTATGAAGCTGAACTGTTCAAGTCTTTGGTACCTTGATTAACACATGAGGCTAAAAGTAAACCAATAGTAATTGCAAATTGGTAACAAGAAACAACAGCACCACGAATCCATTTAGGACTTGCTTCAGATTGGTATAATGGAACAGTAGAAGATAAAAGACCAACACCAAGACCAGCAATGACACGACCGGCAATCAATAATGGAACACTATGAGAGGCAACTTGTAATATAACACCAATGTTGAAGACAACGGCACAAGAAAATATCAAAGTAAGACGACGACCGATGGTATCGTTCAAGAATGGAGCAAGCATAGCACCAACGAATGTACCAACAGATAAAATTGAGACAATTAAAGAGTGTTCACTAGATGTGAAATAACCTTCACCACCGTTGATACCTGGATGATCTTGAGGAAAGTGTTTCAAAACATATGGCATAGCAAGAACACCATTGATAAGACCTGTATCGTAACCAAAAAGTAAACCACCACAAGCAGCAAATAAACCAACGAAAACAGCCATGAAGGTTGAACCTTCTGTTTTTTCTTCAGTCTTGAAGATTCTTCTTAATGGATTTCCCATAGTTGAAATTTGATAATATAATTAAGTTTGTATAATTAATAATTGTTTGATAATAATGAAGGAAAATTAAGAAGGTATATCTGTTGAAATAATGGAGATTTTCAATTCCTTTTATACATGGGAGGTTATATGGCTGATTAATTTGATCTGGCTTTGGATTTGAAATTTTAATGTAGAACATTGGGGATTCTCGAGATCTGTTGACTCAATATTCGACAAAAATACGACTATCTGGGGTAAAATGTATTTATTTTCCAGGAGAGTACAGTAACTTGTATGTCAATTTCATGAATTTCTATTTTTATGGACAAATAAACCAACGAACAAGTCATTTAATGCAGGTTGTTTTTCTCAAGATCACAGAATCCAAAATTTGAACCAATCAGATTTTGATGCGGGACAAATTTGTAGAGATATATGCAATCCCCGGAAAATTTATTTTAAAAAGAAACTTTATTTTACGACAGATTAAAAAAATCGGACAAATTACTTAAAAATAATTGCAACTTTGTTACTTAAAAAATATTCTTCCTTAGATACAAAATGAAAAGCCGTAACGAAACCCCACAAAGTCACTTTTCACAGTAATTTTAGTCTATATTTAACATGGCTTTCAAGTTTTCGGTGATGTGTAGCCTGTGGGCTGTCATGATTTGAGAGTTGATCACGACTTCATTTCCCAGTATGACTTGTTCCGTAGTATAGACATATAGGGCACTAGACTGATTCTAGGTATTTCAAAATCAGCTACATCGTGAGAATTCGAAGTACATGTGCGCTGTTTCATCAATTTGTTTTGTCCGATTTTGATCCGCTCTTCCATTAAGGAGTCATTTCTTTAAGTAATTGTCAAAGATCAGAGGAAATGATTGGTCAATCTTTCGGTTACTACTGCAGCTGGACAAAATAGAATCGCCAAGTTTGAGGTTTTTCCATCTTTATTATGTAGTTTTTCCCCAATATTCAGTGAATCACGTTGCTGCATGAAGTTCCTTATAAGGATTTTTATAGATACTATAGGACGTGACGCCGGGGTAAACCAGAATTTATTGCTCAATTGACAGTTCAAAGAAAAATAAATCTGTTAGTTTTACAGAGAAAGCAGCAATATGAAACAAAGTAAATTGTTAATTGTAATATGTCAGGCATATAGTACAGCTCTCGCGATTATTCGCTCGTTTCTGGACCCTTATTATACGGCTGAATATTGTACGCGATACTAATCAATATTAGTCTATATATATTGTAATTAGTCACGCCGTAATTTGCAGTGTTTTGGACATTGCAGATTTTCAAACGTATTCTAGAGCAAGCTATATGTTTTAAGTAGCTAATTGTGGATTGACTAAACAATATATTAAGTGTAATTGAGAGCTATACGTGATATAGTCACCTATTTATCTCTTGTGTAACTCACTTCAATAACAGTTCTAATCACCAAAACTTTCAAGAATGTATAATCTGGGGTGAATAACTTGAAGTTGCCTATAACAAGTAAAATACCGCTCCTTGGTAACTACTACTTGGGCTTCTAATTTTCTAACTCACAATATAGCATGTCTCCCCAAAACATCAGACATATAAATTTATCCAACAATGACAAGCATGATACGAGACAAAATATCAAAACAACATGACAAGGACCTTGATTGGACATGACTGGGGTCTAAAGAGTCATCATTAATCTGATTATAGATCAGTTTTAGCTCATGGATTTCAACATGCTTCTATTTAAGTACTAAGTAGTAAAAGATATTCGAGGGAGACCAAGTTCAATATAATTACGCCTGGTATATCACATTACAACTTGGGATCGAAGCTATACAAATACTCAGCATAACATCAATTTAATTTTATAATTATAGCTGGTAGCTCTTGCGCATGATGCTCATGATAATCTTATATGCTATTGATATAATTAATATATTATAGTCGATATTATATAGGAACTTCTGATATATCCAAGATCCAAATACCCATATGTTTAGCTGTGTGGATGTACAATTAATCGTGATATTAATTATTATAATAAATTTACACCATGTCTATATGTGATAACTAGTATAAAAGTTTAATGTTGTATACTTTACAGCTAGGCATGACTAACGAATCCTGGCTGCTTAGTACTTACTATAATCATTATGTATCATACTGAAAAACTATGATTAATGGTAACCAGCTTTGAAACCTAGGATGTAATGAATAAGTATACTGATCATATATCATTGAATAATTATATCTAGCTGTATAGTATTTCTTAATTGTGCATGTCAAAATGGCCAACTTATACGCCAGTAATTCGTCGCCCAAATAAAATCCTATTGTTTGGTGTGTCAATAATTAAAGTCCATAATCTAGATCGTCGACTTCTATGCCCCAATTTGTTCAGCGCTTATCTTTTAAGAGAACCATGATTCATGATTCATAGTAATCTATAGTATATCTCCACATAAAGTGGCAAATTGTGATTAATCGTAATTTCGTAAAGCTGTTGAGGTAGTCATCCAAAAATCTGGGGTGAAAACTGAAAAGGCGATACGGAAAAAAAAAAAAAAATATCAAGCGACGTGTTTTTTCTTTATGCATGCTGCAGTGTCAAAAAAAATAAACAATTTTTAAGGTAAGCTAAGCTTATAAGCTGGTAAGTAAAAATAATTTTTCCACTGTGCTTTAAGCTTGGACATGCGGCTGGTGAGCGAGTGGTCTATTCAGCTAATTATTTCTTTAAATGAGGAGATGTATATTTTTCTGAAATTAGATCTAGATGACTGATTCATCATGAGAAGCGTTTGGCCGTCTATTAGTATTCAGTATATTAACGAATCACGATCTGTAGTATGTACGCTTAAATCTTTCTCAATTGATTCTCGAAATTAGATCTACCAATAATTTATGGGGAATGGAATCGCGATTCGCAGGTCTTGAATTATCTGAAATTCCAGCACTCCAGCGGTGGGCTCCGATTCCCAAGAATATCCCTAGACTGTAGAGAGAGATATTCAGGCTTGTGGCCCCAGTAAGTCGCGCCGTGAGCTAGGTTGAGTTCAGAATTCAACTATTATTAGAAGTTAGGAAGAACATTGTGGTTCTATGAAGTTGTACGTGAACAAATGGTGTGATGTTGTGGTGAGTTGTTGTCGCCATGGTATCATTTTGTTAAATTTGAATGAAAAATGAAACTCAGGTTACCAAATATTGACAGCAAATTTAGTAGAGTGGAATTGGAACATGAACAGCTACGTGTAATTTATGACGTTGTATTTATATTTTCAACTACCTTGTAAGTTGGATTCTGGGCCTTATAGTAAGCCGTTTTGAAACCCAAATCAATGGTAGCGAAAATATCAAAGTAACTAAATACTACAAACTAAAAACTTTAAAGTGGGCTAAATCAATTATAGCCTATAGTATAACGAAATCATTATAATTGCTTAATTTTACCTTTTTAGGCGTACTTTTGCACGCTGTCTATAAAGTCGTTTATTTTCGATGGATTTAGTGATTTAGCTGTGCTGAAGCTATAATTTACTTGAATAGGATAAGGGTTCCTTATTGAAGCACTACGTCAAACTAGTCGATCACTAGAAGACAAAAGATGATTGATATATATTGACGCAATATATGGGGTCAAACTATTAAATGAATAATTATATATATCATCGAGTTCTCTGCAATTAATGGATAAACTATATTGGGTAGATTTGACCCTTAGCGCGTTGTCTGATCTCTGAACTTTAAAGTATGAAGTCATGATAAAGCTCATAATGATAATTCTCGAGATCTCAGATTTCCAATATACACAGTATACAAGATCCAGAGGGCTAGTAACCAACCTATAGGAATCAGATAAACTGTCATCAGTGACAAAAAGTCAACACCGCGTAGAGGTTAATATACTTCACAATGGATCTTTACGGACAATTTTCTATACTTAATATTTAATTAACTTGCAGTACTTCTATTCATAAAAGAAACATATTTATTCTAAATAACAGACCAGACCGTTGAGAATTAAATTACCATACTAGGGCTCCAAAACTAGCGTTGGTTAGTCAGAATTAGCACGACCATCAGGATTCAGAAATTACCTAGAAATTACCAACCATTTTTTGAAGAACGGCTCGTGATGTTCATTATTAAAATCAACTCTAGAGTATCGTCATTAACCAAATTTTACTCACTTTGTGTATCATTTCTCGTAGTTACATTTACTCGGTGTGCTTTACTTGTTTCATATAATCTTATCGCGCATCTTTAGAGTTGAAAGACATTATTCTCTTTTCTATTGTTCACTGAGAACCATATTTAAGACTTGAAAGTTGAACCAATGAAAACCTTTAAATGGAAGGTAATGATGGAGTTGACATGATACATTAATACCGCTTCAAAGCTCTTGGACATATTAATTATCAAGCACTGAACCCTGACTCCTCATCACCGAGTTTGTTCGTCATACTTATCAAAGGCCCGAATTGTATAACTTTCCCTCCATGATGGTATTGAAATTTGAATATATATGCGAAAACTGGTAAAATAAACAGATTTGTACTGCGCGCGCAAACTAGTTATAATTTATAAAGCTGTAACGCTGTACCCATGTATTCAAGTCTCGACATAGCGCTCATCATCAGCTGGAACAGCATATTTCAAATGTATATATGCAAACTACCTATAAATACATTTCCAAATCACTATTTTATCAAAACATGACGCTTTTGATGAGATGATTTGGAGAAGTTTGAATACATTTAGACTTCATTAGCATTATTTGGTCTCAATAATCAAGCTCTAATGCTATAAGAATAATCCATATAGTCATTCATAATTCAACTTAGTTTCTAATCCCCATTTTTTTAACAAAACCAAAACAAACCTTCAAATAGTTAAAAAACTCAAGAAATATAAGATCAAAATGGGTCTGTTTGCAAATAGTAAAGATGATAGAAAACCAGAATCCATAGATTTGGAAAAGAAAATAGATTCATCCAGTTCATCATTACCAGGAATTGGTAGCTCATCGTCAGATACTGCTCATGGAGAATCCGCTAGTGTTGAAGAATTTGAAACTGGTGGTGGTGAAAATGGTAGTGTTAAACGTACATTGGCTCCAAGTACAATTTATTTCATTGCAGTTGGTAGTTCTATTGGTACAGCATTATTCGTTACTATCGGTAAAGGTTTAGCTTTCGGTGGTCCATTAAGTTTGTTAATGGCTTTTTGTTTATGGACTGGTGTTATTGCAATCGTTGTTGGTGCTGTTGGTGAAATGGTTTGTTTCTTACCTGTTGCAGCTCCTTTCCAACAAATGGCTGGACGTTGTGTTGATGAAGCTTTTGAACTTACTGTTGCATTCAACTATTATATTTTCACAAGTATAGCAATTCCTTTTGAAATTACTGCTGTTAATGGTATGATACATTTTTGGGCCGACAATTATTCACCAGGTATAACGTTTGCAGCTCAAATTGCTTTGTATGTTGGTTTAAATGTCTTTGCTGTTAAATATTTTGGTCAATCAGAACTTCATTTATGTGCTACAAAATTACTTTTAGCTGTTGGTTTAATCGCTTTCACATTTGTTACAATGGTTGGTGGAAATCCACAACATGAAGCTTATGGTTTCCGTTATTGGAATAATCCAGGTCCATTAGCTGAAAGATTTGTTGGCGGATCTATGGGTAAATTCCATGGTTTCATGGGTGCTATGAATAGTGCTTGTTTCACAATTGTTGGTCCAGATTATGTTGCAATGGTTGCAAGTGAAGCGGGTGGTCAAACAAGAAAAGTTTTATCTAAAACTTTCAAAATTGTTGCATGGAGAATGACTGTTTTCTTCATTTTTGGTGCTCTTTGTGTTGGTATTTTACTACCTTATAATGATCCAAAACTAGATGCTATGGCTAATGGTAGTGGTGGTGAAAGTGCATCATATGCTCCTTATGTCATTGCTATGACCAACATGAAGATTAAAGTCTTACCTCATATTATCAATGTTGGATGTTTATTCTCTGCTTTAAGTGCTGGTAACGCATATTTCTATTGTTCTACGAGAGCTTTATATGGTGCTGCAAAGAGAGGTTTTGCTCCAAAATTCCTTACATACTGTACCAAAAGTGGTATTCCAATTTATACTGTTGGTGCTGCTTTCTGTTGGGGTTCACTTGCATTATTACAATTAGGTAGTGGTTCATCTCAAGTTTTAACTTGGATTGTTAACATTTTATCAGGTGCTCAAATCATTAACTATCTTTTTATGTTGATTACTTATTTAGGATTCCACTATGCATGTAAAGCTCAAGGTATTGCAAAATCGGTATTCCATTACAAAGCTTTCTTGCAACCTTATCTTTCATATTTTTCAGCATTCATAATTTCATGTATGGTTGGTGCTTTAGGTTATTCAGTTTTCATGCCAGGTAAATGGTCAGTAAGTGATTTCTTAACTTACTATTTGATGCCTTTATTAGATTTAGTGATATTTGTCATTTACAAATTAGTCAAACGTACTAAAATGGTACATCCATCAGCTGCAGATATTTATACAGGTATAGAGGAAGTTGAACTTCATGAACAACAATATTTGGAGTCACTAGAATCTAAAGATGAAAACAGTGCTTCTGAAAATTCTTTGGTTGATAAACTTGTCCATCGTTTCCTTTAATCAGTTCTCTCATTTTAATTAGCTCTTCCTTTACTTGAATGACTTTTCTGAAAATATATTTATGAATTTGTATAAAATATAGTATGATACAACTGTTACATTATATATATTATAATATTGAAAGTAAAATGTGTACATTATTGATTTTGAATATTTGCTTTAGTAGTATATTTATTATGATCCGGAAAATATCTGTGAGGTACAGAAACAATATCTTTGCAGCAACTATATATATAATCCGTTATATGCTTATAAAGTTTAAGTTAAGTAATTTTATTAAATATATTTGATATAAGTTTTTCCGAAAACAATACATACGGAATAATAAATTACATTCAAAACTATATAGTTTGTCCGAACTCCGTATCATTATACTTTCCTGTCAGCTCTTATATAAGCAATAGTGATTATATAATCAATTGAATTAAAGACTATTTTAAGCAAAAATGACTTAATATTAGTATTTTTTTGGATAAAACTACAATAATATACACCTATAAGTCTGTACATTATTAATGTATTATTATATTGAGCAAAATCGAAAAAAAAAAATTAGTTTTTTCAATTTATTCAATTTTAAACCAAAAACAAAAATTTTGAGGTACACTTTATGCAAAAAAATTAAAATTCAAAAATTTAATTACTACTTTAAACTGAAAAATGAAGCCAAAAATAGATTTAATATATGATATTTAGTCATTTTAAGGTTTTAAATCTACTAGTTGTTTAATAAAATTAGCTTTTAATCAATGTACAAGAAAAAAAGTATTACATAATACATAGTACAGGAATGACATAAGCGAGTTTTGAATTTTTGGAACTAAATTCAAAAAAACCAAAATATATCCTTTCCTTATAATCTATCCTTAAAGATTAACTATCAGACAGTCCCAATCCATCGAAATTCATCAAAAATCACCCTTTAAAGTATCAAAATATATTAATCAAGGCTACCGCCCTGATAATTTAGTTGAAATAGTACATTATCATTGAATTGAAGGCTTGGAAATCATGTCTAGACATAAGCTTAGTGATTCAGATATCAATGATTTTATTGATAACGTAACAACCAAGAAACAAAGAACAAATGGTCTGTTGACCGTTGATGATGTTGCATCAATTGGTGTTAATGCCAGCCAGCTTGCTGATGCTATCTCTCGTATCATTGAGTTTCCAACAAGAGATGAAATTATCCGTTTAAAGAATACAAATATTGAAAAAAGAATACTTTATCTATTACAAAGTCCAGAAGTTGCACTTGGTTTGGAATTGAAAGATAATTATGATCAAGGTAAACTAGATGTCTTTGAAAGAATCTTACATTACAATTGGAAAGAAGGTTTAGATACCATTAATGATTCGAAAATGATCAAGTTTTTCCAAGAGTGTGAATATTATTTACCTGATTTACCTCCAATTGAAGATGAAGAATTGAAAACTCAAGTTGAATCAAATGAAGGCTTAGATAATTTGAGCCACTTGGGTGAACAAGTCTATGAAAGTATTATCAGTACTTATTTATATCAAAGATTCCCAAGAGAAAATATAAAGGAGATTTCACGTTATACATCAAATTATAAAGTTTTATCAAGATGGGGAAGATTATATGATTTATTAAGAGATGAAAGAACTCCTCCTAGAGAAGTGTTTTTAGCATATATTGGTGCCATTGTATCAAAATTTCCTACAGATGAAAATGCAATTCGTGACATAGAGAAAGTTATTTATGTGTTGGTGGAGCCAATTTTGATGCAATTTGAGCCTGAAGTCACTATCAAGGGACAAGCAAGTAGTGAATTAAGCAATCAAATTTATGATCTTGAAATTGTGAATGCCTATGAAACAACTCATGCAAGTCCATTGTATGTTGTCCAAATTTATGTTGCTGGTACAATATTAATTGGAACAGGGGTTGGTAGAAGTCCTATTGAAGCAGAAAATTTAGCAGCTACAAGGGCATTATTGAATCCAAAACATCTTGAGAAAGCGAAAAAGTTTGCTGAAGAACATGCAAAAAAAGCTGCTTTTTCACCAGAAATTGAACATAGTACATTTTCAGCTCAACCTCAACCTCAACCTCAACCTCAAGCCGGTTATACACAACCTCAACCTCAAGCCGGTTATACACAACCTCAACCACAATCTCAGTATAATGGCCAATCATCATATCAAGCTTCATATCAGGCACCATATCAAGGATCATATCAAGCACCACCACCACCACAACCTCAACCCCAACAACAATGCAACCAACAATACTCTTACAATAATAATCAATACTCATACGGTCAAAATTTTCCAACTCCTCAACCTTCTGCAGCTTCAAATCCAGCTGCACTACCAGTTTCACATACTTATCAAGATGATCCATATAATAGTGCACTTGTTCATCAACCTCAAGCACAAAGCGCAAGTTCTGTTTATCCACAAGAATTTATTAATCAAGAATATCAAGCTCAATTACAAAGAGAACAAGATGATGTTATTCAAGTACCAGATGTTACTGATGAATCTACTGTTGAAATGTCAGCAAAGGCAAGATTAAATGAACATTTGAATAAAAGTAGACTTCCAGTTGCAGAATATAAAACTGATAAATTGAATAATTCAGATGTTCAAGTTACTTGTTCAATTGGTGCTATTCCAATAGTTAAAGCTACATTTGCTAATAAGAAAAAAGCAGGTCAAATTTGTGCTCAATATATTTTAGATCATTGGGGTATGATTTATGATGTTTGGTTGAAAAAGAAAGAAAGAAATGGATTTTAATTTAAAGCATATTTATAATCAATTTTATTGCTCAAATTATAATTCTGAATTATATTTTTTTTCCCACTTTTGTTTAGATCAACTATGTTAATGATTGCACGATAATTTCAAATTAATTTAAATGAAATGATTATAAATATGTAGAAAGGTTTATTATTAACTATTATACTACAGGAGAACATACAATATTATTCAAAGATAAATAAATTAACAATTATATTATAAAGACAACTATTTTCAATCAAATCATTTCATATACAAGGTTTTTTTTTTTTTAAAATTAATATGAACCAGTCAAATATAGAAAAACCAAAATTTGAAACCAAGAATTTCAGCTTTAACACCAGAAACGGTACCATCTATAATACAATGGTTTTGAAGCAACAAAAGCTTTTTCTTCAGCAATTTCTTGTTTTAATAAATCTAAATCATGTTCAGCTCTACCAGAATCTATATCCATATCTTTAGCTCTAACAAATAAACTCCAATTTTTTTTCCAAATTTTATGGAAAATATAAAATGCAATAACAACAGGGAAGGCTAAATAAGCTTTAAAAAATCCATCAGCTGTTGATTTATCACCTAATGGGAAAGCAGCAACCCAAAATTGTGCAATAAGAATTAAAATATTTAAACCTGCACCAAAATAAGAACCAATAACACCAGCTTGTGAAGTATAAGCCAATTCAGTATGAGGATCACGACCTTGAACCTTCATTGCACGTCTAAATCTAATATGAGCAATACAAGCAGAACCCCAAGTGAAAACTGAAGATAAACCAGATAAAGCTAATAACCAATCAAAAACATCACCTTGTTTTGGAGAAGCAGAAACAAAACATAATAAACCAACAGTTAAACTTAATAAAGTTGCATAAATTGGACGACCTTTTCTATCAACATAAGTGAAAAAAGATGGTGCAAAACCTTGAGCAGCTAATGAAGTAACGGTACGAGAACATGCAAAGACAGCTGAATTACCAACAGATAAAACTGCAATCATAATAACAACGTTAATAACTGAAGGTAAACCTGAAATACCAGCATTTCTAATTGAAATAACAAAAGGTGAAGCAGAAGCATTATAAGAACCTTGACCTAATCTTTCATCAGTATAAGGAACTAATAAACCAATTAAAGTTAAAGAAATGACATAAAATAATAAAATTCTCCAAAAAACTTGCTTTGTAGCTCTTGGTAATGATTTTCTTGGATTTGCAGATTCAGCTGAAGCTAATGCAACTAATTCAGTACCAGCAAATGAAAAAGCAGCAGTAACGAAAACAGTACAAACACCTTTAAACCCAGCAGCAAAAGCACCAGGATCTTTCCAATATTTACCACCAATATAACCACCTTTTGGACCACCACCACAATTTAAGATAATACCCAAAATTATAAACCCAACAACTGCCACAACTTTAACTGCAGAAAATATAAATTCAGCTTCACCATAACCTTTAACACCAAAAAAATTAATTGAAACAATTAAAACATAAAAAATTGCAACCCAAGCAACTGAATTTATATTTGAATTCCAATATCTAATAGTTATAGAAGCAGCAACCAATTCTAAAGGTAAAACAACAAGCCATTGTAAAGCATAATTCCAACCCATTGCAAAACCCCAAGAAGGATCAATAAATCTTGTTGAATAAACATTAAAAGCACCAGAAATTGGGAAAGTAACAGCCAATTCACCTAAAGCTTGCACGGTACAATAAATCATAATACCAACCAAGATCCAACCAATTAATAAAGCAGCTGGACCACCAGTTGCTAAAGCACCACCAGAACCAATAAATAACCCAGTACCAATAGCACCACCAATTGCAATCATTTGTAAATGACGATTTTTAAGAGATTTATGTAATGGAGATTTTGCAGTTCTTGCAATTGCTTTTTCTAAATCAGTCATATCAGAACCATCAATTTCATCATCTTCCATTGGTTTAAAAGAATCTTTAAAACGAGTCCATCTTGATTGAGAAACATGTGGTTCATTATGAGTTATTGAATAAGAATCACCTTGTTCAGGATCAGTTGAATTAACAACTTCTTTAGCGCCTTTAGAATAATCGTCAGACATCTATTGTGATATGTGTTTTTTGTTAGGATGAAGTGTGTATTGTAAAGAATTATATACATGGAAAATCAAAGGATATTTAATGATTTAAATACATATCAAATTGAAAATTACGAGCAACGATAAATAGATAATGAAATGATCAAAATACCGTATTTTAATTTGATTATCGATCGACCCATAATAACCATGAAAAGAATTTTGATAATTGATAAGAAATGTAACAGCCAAACAGGGGGTCTAAGTTTACGGTACTTTTTTTTACAACGAGTTGCATATGAATAATAAAGACATTGCAGAGTTTCAACTCAGCGTGTAAAATACTTGTATGAAAGTGGAGCATGTGTAATTTTGATTAGCAGGATTCTTTAATTTAATTGGTTAAGCAGCCTTTTTGTCTTGGGAATTGATGAGATAAGTCATGACGATATGAATCTTAAATTTCTTAATACACAGTATATAATACCAGCTGCTTTTAAGCCATGAAATTGAACTTCTTTTTAGATCAAGATTATAATCAAATGGAGCCGTGCCCAGGACTGAATATTATTAGTGAATATTAGATTCTTTGCTTGTCAAATACGCTGTAAAATATTGTTTTAATTCGATATGGAATAATTGTGATGATCAATTGTACTCAAAGATTAGATACCGGAAATAAGCTGATAAGAGACAAACAGGGAAGTACTACGTAACTTTACTAGTTAATTGATGTCCAATGTCCCTTTTGAGCTTCATGAGTGTCCCATGTCCTTGTACGGTGTAACGTGTTGCCACATTTCGTTTGTACTGATACCATGAGCTTCTACTATTCTCTTATGCTCTTATATTGATATCTGGATTCTGTGTACAAAATTACGCGTTTACCCCAGTTTTGAAGAAAATTAGCCTGGAAGTCTGGAAGTCTGCAATGATATTTATTTTGCGAATCTTTCGGTGTTTCAACTTCTGACAGATTTGACATAACGGTTTCTGAATCAGGTACCACTAATTCCTAGTCAATATACTTAGATTTAGAAACATTCATCAGTTAAAGGATACGTTATACAAGTGATTAAACTAAACAGCTATTGTTAATTGAACCCGAGAAATCTGATTCTCAAATTCCTGATAAAAATCAAAATATTTTCAAAATATTTTCAAAGGCGATTTTTGATTTTTTTTTTTTTTTTTAAAAATTGGAGATAAAAAAAATTTGGTGCCGTATGAAAATTATAAGACCGATTATGTAATTGTAGACATGGTGATTACGTAAAAGTATAGATATCAGAAATATATACTATGTACACTAATATTGATTGAATTTACAAAAGAATTAAAAATGAAAAGCATATAATGATTAACTATACAGTTAAGCGTCTACCATATCTATCAAATTTACCGGAAAGATCCCACATATTTACTTCGTTCAAGTGCCTAAAATCATTGAGGAACTTTTTATTTATATATAAAGTTTTCAACGTTGGTAATTCAATTTTGAAAGGTGGATGGGATGAATGATAAGACATTTGAATCATTAAATCTTCAAGTTTGGGATAATATTGATGATGGAAACAAAATTCATTATCATAGTGAGTTGTAGCACGTAGTAACTCCATCTTCTTAATATTTGGAATCTTGAATAATTTTAACAAATCAAGATTTCCACAATCTTGAATTTCCAAACACTCTAAAGATTTGAGAATAATTTTATGACCAGCTAGTTCATCAATATTTGAAATTTCAGTAAATTCACCTATTTTCAATGTTTTCAAATGTTTATACTTATGACCATTACGTATGAATGTATTGAAATTTATTTTACTCAATTTAACATGTTCAATAAACTTTAAATTTGAATTTTTAACAAGTTGTTGGAAAACATTTGTACCATCATTAGTATCCAATTCAATACTTTTAATTTTTTTAAATGAATATGAATCAATTGTAAACTCAGTGAAAGACCCAACCAAAGAAAGCTTCTCTAAAACAGGGAATTCAATCCCAACAAAATTTAATCTTGTCTTCGACTCCGTAGTCATTTTTAACGTCTTTAGGTTTGGAAATATAGCACTTGAAGAAGCCCCAAATTCAAAAGGGTTAAGTGTATAATGGTAGTTACAAAATGATATTGACAAGTTCTCTAAACGTTCAATAACTTCATCGAAAAGTTTTGCAGACATTAATAATTCAAATCTTCTTAACATTAAACCATGAATTGACTTTATGTTTGGTAATTTGAAGAAATTCATAAAATTTTCCACATAGATATCATTTTTAAAGCTAATAATAGTGATTGTTTTTGAAAATAAGCTAAAACCTCCAGCTTCCATAATATTATTTGTTATTGAAAATTTATGGTTAATACTTTCAGGTTTAGAAGGATATTCTATGTAGTTTGTGTTTTTTAATAAGTATGGATAATTTACCTCAGATAAATCACCATCAGAACAATCTTTTGGACAATCAAGTCTTAAATAAATTGCCTTAGAAGGAAGGCACTTAATAAAATTGTCCTTATATCTATGATTTGTTGAAAGTGTATGTTTAATCCTCGAGCATAAATTAAATCTAACAAGATCAATTTTACAACTTGAATCCCTTTTCAATGAATCAAGTAATAATAAGCATCTATTTAATTAAGCTGAACTTTTAAGATTTTGGTCTTCAAATATTATATAGTTGAAGTTTTTGAGATTTTCTTTGAGTTTTGTCTGTGTATCATCTGAACCGTAAGGATCAATTTGAACATGACGATTTGCAATTGAATTGAAAACACCACTTTCTTTTGAGCTATCAGAAACAACCAAAATAATACATTTAATTAATATTTGGAAATTTTTGCATACTCTTGAAAGTCTAATATAATCGAATATATCATCAATTGGGACTAGAATCTTATGAAACAATAATTCTTGTGGTAAATCAGCTATACTCTGCATCTTGTAGATATCCTGTGAAACGACAAGCTCATTGAAACTCGAGAAAGTTTTGATCTCATCAACTTAAGCCATTTTTATATAGTTCCCTTGAAAATCCTCTATCCCTTTTCCCGTTACAATTAACAAAAACTTTAATTAAAATTTGAAATTTAAAAGTTTATTACACTTCTATATTTACACAATTAGAAATGACAGAAATTACCATTTTAAGCCCATATAGCGCCAACCCTGCCGCAAATTTCGCAAAAAATTACGAGTAAGTGTAAGTTTGCGCAAATGTTTTTCTCTAGCCGATTAATACAGAACCATTTAATAAAGGAAACGAAATCAATTGATATAAATAAATATAATATACAGTGAATATAAAGGTTGTCTTCCATTTTCGAATTCAAGGTTTCCGTTATATTGTTCGTAATACAACACCCTCCAAGTTTAAAAATTGATCGTGAAATCTCTTATTTGTATAAACAGTTTTCAACGTTGGTAAATCAACTTGGAAAGGTGATCCAGTTTCTGACATTCTTGCACTCAAGAATCTCAATCTCAAGAGTTGAAGCTTTAAAGTTTTAATTTGAGGAAATTGTTGATGATGGAAATAAAATTCACCAATATCATTAGCTTGTTTATCTTTAATTGTTAAATTCATGTATCTTATAGATGGTATTTCTAAAAAATGTAAATGATCAAAACTTGCAAGATTTTCAATAGTGATTCCTTTTAATGATTTTAAAGTTATTAGCTGATTTGAATCGTTAGAAAACTTTGACGAAACCGAAAGTTCACCGATCTCTAATGTTTTCAACTGATCATAATTAAACATTGAAGGAAATGTTTTAAAATCTAAGTAATTTAGATGAACGTAATCTATAACATTTGGGTTCATATTTTTAAAAACACAATTGACAAGCTCATTACTGACATCTTTTTCAGTCCATAAAGTCAATCTCTGAAGCTTTGGAATTGAATTTGAATCAAGTACCAATTTAGGACGAGTATTATCTGTATGATGGTAACGTTTAATTAAAATACTTTCAACAGATGGGAGGTGAATTCCACTAAAATCCAATTTCTTATTTAATCCGTAATCATCACAACTTATTATCAAAGTCTTTAATATTGGAAAGCAAATTTTGGAAAGTGAATTTGAAATACCAATTAAATCACTATTATCAGAATATAGTCCAATCTCTAATATCATCAATTTCCTAATTCTTTTGAATAGCTCAGCATTCTTCAATTCTTGAATATTTGATAAAGATAGACGAATTGTTGCTGGTATATTTGGTACTTTAACAAAGTGTTTGATTAAAGCTTTAGCTGAAATATCATAAAGGCAAATGTCAAATATATATACAATATAAACGGAAGTTTTGAAAATTTTCAGGCTCGTTTGCGAGCGCCAATGGTCCACCACCCATATAAGTTTCATTCCCAATATAATATCCATTTCTTTTATTACTGGATAGTTTTGTCTTTATTTGTTTTCCATTATTATCTTTTGTTCTCAAAAAAATTGATTTTGAAGGTCTGTGATTAATGAAATCTTCTTCCGCAATATGACACTCTGATAATAAATGATTCCTTGACAATAAATTAAATCTAACAAGATCAACTTTACAATTTGGATTTCTTTTCAGTAGATAAAGAAATGTTAAATACCTATTCAATTGAATTGAATTTTTAATGCCATGTTCTTCAAAAATAATATAACCGAAAGGTTTAAACTTCTCTCTCAACATCATCACATGCTTTTGATAATTAGGAGCAAGTTGAATATGATTATTTGAAATTGATTTAAAGACACCACTCTCTGTTTGACTATCAGAAACAACGAGAACAATACATTTGATTAATATTTGAAACTTTTTGCATACTCTTGCTAGTGAAATATAATCAAATATATCATCAACTGAGACCAATACCTTATATATCAGTTCTTGTGGTAAATCAGCTAAGCTCTGCATCTTGTAGGTGTTGTCCCAAGGGAATCAAGTAATTAGTAAAGTATAATTATCCTAATGAGTTTAAGTCATGTTTATATTATTCTCCTAAATTCCTATATTAATTTGCTCATTTCAGTTAACTAAAACTTTAATTACTTGTAACAAAAAGTTTATTACTTATTTATTTACACACAGGAAATGACAGAAATCAATTACCCTCTTCGCGCCAAACTTTTCCGCAAAAATTGCAAAAAAAAAACTGCAATTTGCGACGCGTAAAAATTAAAAGTGCCAGCCATTTTTTCTGTACGCAATTTAAAAAACTAAGGAAACGAAATCAATTTTATACATTTAATACATTTGATACATTTTAAATCAAACCTCAAAACTATCAACAAAAGCAATCTGGATTTTTTCAAGAAAGGCTCTGTTCTTAACTATTTATACTGCTCATATATTCCAATCACCTTTGCATCAATCTTATAGATTATCATTTATTTCCAATTAGCTTATATTTATTCATTTTTGTGTCTGCAGGTCCATACACGAAATATCCCATAAATTTAATTTAAATCATCAACACAAATAGAGATTCATCAAATCAAAAGAATAGTTTCAAATGCAACCATTAACTCCTCCAAGAATACAAAAACCGTCAAAATCATCAGCTCTTCATACACCAAAAACTCCATTTGGTAAAAAATTGGATAAAATTATTCAAAGTCCTCCATCAACTTCAAATCAAGAACATTTATCAATTGGTAATAATCCATTAACACCAGGTCCAACTCCAAGACATTCTTCACGTAAGAAGAAGGAATTAGGTGATGCTATAAATTTCAATTTAAGAGGGTCTTCATCATCTAATACAAATAATTCTTCATTAGGTATACAAAGAAGTTTATTTCCTCCAACTCCATCAACTATTGGAAGTGGTCGTTCAAAAGTTAATCATAGTTTGATTTCACCAATAAGGAAGATTGAATTAGAAGATCATGAACCTACAAATACAATGACAACTAAAAGAAAATTAAAATTTGATATTGATTTAGAACAAGATGAAAGTGAAGAAGAGGAAGAACAAAACGGAAGTGGATTAACTCCTGGTGGTCAATTAATTACTGAAAAATTAGTTAAAGAATGGAATAATGAAATTCCTTCAAATGGGTTTGATAGTGATGATGAAGAATTTATTAGTCGAAAACCTTTAATTAATCCATTTTTAACTAAGAATAATAATAATAAATCTGGTTCAGTTATAAATAAAAATTTACCAAAACAAACTGAAATTACTTTAATTAATAAAAAAGGTGAAAAAATTAAAAGAACATTAACTGAAGATGAATCAAATTATAAACCAAAAAATTTATTTAATGATTTATTAAAAGAAAAAACTAAAATTGATGTATATAATGATGATAATGATGATATTTAAATATGGTATAAAAGAATAAAGAAGACAAGAGAGATTTTTATTTAATGAATAAATGTGATATTTAATAATAAAATATTTAAACAAATTGTCAATATGTAGATTAATTGTGAATATATATATAAGATAATTTATTCGATAACTATTGGATTCTCAGGATTTGATGGTTCAATTGGTGAATTTTTTGTACTTGATTTCGTACTATTTGGTTTTGATTTTGATTTTGAAGGTGATGGTAATGGTTTTTCAACTTTAGTTGGTTTATTTTCACCTTCATCTTCATTTGTTGTTTCTAATGTTGGATTTGACTTTATATGATTATTTGATGATTTTCTTGTTGAACCAGATCTAACAGCTTTTTGTAATTTTGTTTGTAATTTTGAGTTTTGTCTTTGTAATTCATTTTGTTTAATTGAATTACCATCAACATGACCAGTTATACTTTTATTTTTCCTAATTGAACCTGCAGTTGGTTTTAAATTTTTAAAAATTTCTTGTTTATGAATTAATAAATCTAAAATAAATCTAAAACTATGTTTATCACTTAAACTTAAATTTGTTTGATATCTTGGTCTTAATATACATGAAGAAAATTCTTGTGATATACCATTTTGGAAATTTGAAGCTAAATTATTTGATTCATCTCCATTTTTATTTTCTTTTAAAATTTTAATTAATCTTGAAAAATGTGTACAAATTGCATTTAAAGTTGATATATTTGATCGATCTAAATTTTTTAAAATGGTTGTTAATCCATTAATTCTTTCCTTTGTTTCAAGATCTGAACCATATTGATTATAAATTGATCTAATTAAATCATATAAAGAATTTGGTACAATTGAATCTGGTAATTCTAACAAATAAAGTTTTAAAACACTAACAATAACTTCAGGTTGATATTTAGCAAAAAATTCACGAGTTAAATTATTTGAACCAATTTGTTCAATTTCATTTCTTAATGCATGAGTACTTTGTAATCTAACAGGAACTAACCAAGTTTTTGTACGAACATCATCATTTGGTAAATCTGGATAAATATTATCCATATATGATAATATTGAAGATATTATTAATGGAACAGTTTTATTATCATTTTTACATCTTGTTTCTAAATCAACACCAAATATTTGATCTTTAAAACTATCATAATAATTATCATAAAGTATAACATTTGGTACAAATGAACCTGTACGATAATTTTGTAATAAAAACATTAAATCACCATTTGGATTTATAGTTTCTTCATAAATTAAGATTTTATCAATTGTGGCTTTTATATTTGATAATTTATTTGAAATTGAAGCAGAAAAATCTAATAAAACTTTTTTTAAAGCTCTAAGACGATCTAATTCACATTTTTCCATAAATGATAAATGATCAACAATTAATTCTTCTAATTCACATCTTATTTTATCTAATTTTAAAACTTCTTTTTTATAAGTTGAATCTAAAATTTTCACATCTTTATCAACTTTTTTCAATGATGGTTCTTCATAAGAAATTGCGTTTTTCAATTCATCAAAATAATTTGAAACATTAACATTATTTGATGAAAGATCATCATCATCATCTAATGTACTTGTATTAGTTGAAGATCCATCACCATTCCTCGAATTTTTGTTACTATGTAATGGTAATTCAGCAATTTGGAAAGCTGTATTTTTCCATTGATATTGGAAATTCCCACTATTAACAAAATTTGAACCAACACCATTAACATGTCTTAAAAACCCATTTGTTATTAAATCTTTACCAAATTTTTCACATTTATCAATATTTGTAATACCTAAAGTTTGTTGTAAATAAGAAACGATAGAGGACCCAGTTGAAACATTTTCATAAACACCTAATATGGCAACTTTAAATGAATGTTGTGGAACTTCAGTTAAAATTGATCTAAATAATTCTTTCAGACCAATTTTCCCATATTCAATACCACCTAGTATAACAACTGGTTCATATTCATCATTTGTTGATTCTTCAGCAGTATCTAAATTTGTCTTTTGATCATTCGAATCATTTATATCTAAACTATTCAATTCTTTTGAAATTTCCTCTTCAGTTAAATTTGCCTTTAGAGATTCTAAAGTACGACATTTATTAAAATATTTCTTTTGAACTTTTTCCACAGTTTTCAATTTATTATTATAAACTTTTAATGTATTTTTCAATATTTTTTCAGAATAATCAATTCTTTGTTTATGTTCTTCACTCCATTTTGAAAAAGGATCCAATACCATTCTTTGAATATTGAAAGCAATTTGTTCATGAGATTCACCTTCAGCACCCATTTCTAAAGCAAGACCTTTAAAAGCATTTTTCAAACTAGCACCATCATCTTTATCAAATCCACCTTTCATTGGAGAATGAACATCTGGTAAAGTTTCCAAACGTTTCCCATATTCCAATTCATGATTCATACGCGATGTGAAAAGACCAATGAACTCATCATTTTCGACACAACCTTGGTGTAATTTGGTGAATAGTATTTCAATACCTGGTGAATAAGTTAGTACATTTGATTCTAGTAACCGCCATGAATAATACTAACCAGTAGAGTAATCTGGAGTCCAAAAACTGTCTGCAAACGAGGGCATTGTGTGGTTTAGCAAAGAGAGCAGTATAGATTACTTGATACTTGTTCTTCTGACAGATTTTTCTGATTGTTTCTTCTTGTCTTTAGTTATTTGTTCTTTAACCGCTGTGATTCAATTTTAAAATGGTTCCTGAATTTCTCATTGAAACGAAAGAAAAACAAAAAACAAAAATAAAATTAACGTGTCGCGAACAGACGAACATAACCATTGGTAGAAATACAATCAATTAGTATCAAAGGACTAGTCAAGTATCAAGTAGTCAATGGTTAGTATCACAATCAACAATGTCACAGGTCATCTACCCTAGAGTCACAATCAAGTTTTGTACCAAGTGCAAATGGAACCTAAGAGCTGCATGGTATTTACAAGAATTATTATCAACTTTTGGTGAAAAACTAGGTGAAGTCTCTTTAATACCTTTTGAATCCGGTGTGTTTAGAGTTGAAGTGCAAAAAGATCAATCATCACCATCTGTTCAGATATGGGATCGCAAAGAGAACGATGGGTTCCCAGACTCTAAGATACTTAAACAGAAAGTACGTAATGAAGTATTTCCAGAGGAAGTTCTGGGTCATGTTGATAAGTCTAATAAGAATGAGGGAAAGCTCATCGCTGAGGAAAAAAAAACAGAGGATGATAATGATAATAACAATCAAAATGAATGCGTTGAATGTAATGAAGCTGCCAATGAACAACAATAATTTGAACAATCAAACGACTATTTATACTTGATTTCACTTGATTCACTTGTAGATGTTTCTTCAATTGCTTATATGTGTAGTCCCCTGACCAAAAAGACAACGTAGCGTTGTTGAAATCAATATGGATTTCCAGAACTAAACCACACTTGATCTATTGACTGAAACAAGCACAGAAACTCAATTCAAAGACTTTGATCAATTGCTAAGTATTAGATATGAAGCTTGATTGGAAATATATCACTGCATCCATTTTGCTGAGTACGTCAGTATGGGCTCATACTGAAGCTGATGAAAAATTGGTTGATGAAGACCTTTCATTACCTGATTTAGCTCAAATTGAATCATTATCAACTCATAGTAAGTTTTACAATTGAAATATTATTATTTTGAAAAATACTAACCCCTTGTTTTAAAAAGACTGGAAAATCACTGGTGATCCAAAATTTGAAAATGGTAGATTCATTTTAACACCAAATCAAAATTCAAAAGCTTCATTATCAAATGATTTACAAGTTTCTTATGATACTTGGACTTTTGAAACTATAATTAGAAGTGTTGGTAGTTTTGGTAAAACTGGAAGTGGTATTTCAATAAGATATGTTAGAGATCACGATGAAAAAGATACTTCATTCTTTGGTGGTTCAGGAAAATTTGATGGGTTAAATGTTATTATTGATAGTAATGGACCAACTGGTAGTACTATTCGTGGGTTTTTAAATGATGGATCTGATGATTTATCTGGGAAAGGTGAATCATTATATGATCAATCTTTTGGTTCATGTCTTGCATCATATCAAAATTCTCAAGTTCCATTTACTTTAAGAATTATTTATTATAATAATATATTAATTGTTCAAATTGATAATAAAATTTGTTTTAAAACTAAAAAAATTAATTTACCAAAAAATTATAAATTTGCTATAAGTGCAATTACAAATAATGATCATGAACAATTTGAATTATTAAGAATGAAAACTTATGGTGGTGTCTTAAGTGAAGTCTTGGATAATGAAAATATTCCCGCTACTCAACCAAAAGTTGTTACAAAATATGTTCAATTAGATGATTCTGGTGAAAAAGTTGCAGAGACTACAAAGGAAACTTTACAACAAGAACCAATTCATGAAAAATTTGATATTAATGATAAATCATTAAGTCATTTATTAACAAATATTGATAAAATTCAATTATCAAATAAAGAATTATTAGAAAATTTCCAAAATATTGATAATAAATTAACAGGACTTTCTATAAATACAAAATCCGGTAAAAATGCAGATTTATCATATCTTGAAGAATATACCAACAAGATTAAAAATTTAAATGAAAAAATTAATAATTTAGAATCAAAAATTTCCAATTTTGAAACAAAAATTGAAACTTTAGAAAGATTAATTAGAACTGAAATCAATTCATTAACAAATTCAATAACAAAAACAAATAATGAAAATATTAACCAATTAAGAGAAAATGAACAATCAATTCATGAATTAAATAAAAATATTCAATTTTTAGTTTATTCAGAAAAGGAAAAACAAGAAAATCCAATTTCTGAATTAGTTTCAAGTTTAAAAATTTTAATTATTCCAATTTTAATTTTAATTATTGTTTTAATTGCATTTACTTATAGATTACGTCATGATATAAAGACAAAATTATTATAATACAATTTAACTTGAACACAGAAAAAAAGAAATAACCTAAAAAAAGACACACACATCAATCATTTGTATATTATATACCAAGCTTTTGAATATATAAAGAATATTCACTAAATATTCATAAATATTATTTGTAAAATTTCATCTACCATATTGACCATAAACATTTTGTTGTGGAATACCAGTTGGTAAACCTTGTGGAATACCACCTTGTACAAAACCAACATGTTGTTGAGGAATTGATTGTGTTGGGAATCTTGTAGTTTGTTGAGGATCTGTTATATGATAAGGTTGACTTATTGGAGTACCACTTGGTATTTGATTTGGAATTGAAGTTGGTTGACCATTTGGGTTTATTTGTCCAGAGATTGATGGTTGTCCATTCAAAGATTGTGGAATTTGTTGTTGTTCATTCTGTGGTTGATCTTCAATTGGCTTTTCATAATATGGAGGTTTTGGTGCTTCAATATTACCATGTTTAATATAATTTGGATTTGGAATTTTTCTTTTTTTAATAATTTGATCACAATATAATAATTCATTATATATTGTTTCTTCTTTAATTTCTTTTAATGATTCTTCTTGTTCTTGAAAATATTTATCTTTATCCTTTTCTGTTAATCCTAATGGTGTACCACTTTTAACTTGCCAATAATAATTCCATTGTTTTTCTCTTGGTTTTCTTGCTAATGCAATATAATTATTTGTTTCAACTGTTCCATGCAAATATTCAATTTCTTTAATTTTTTCAGAATCATCTTGATTTATTCTTTTAATAACTGAAGAATGATAATATAGTAATCCACCTGGAGATTTTTCTCCAACTAATGAATCATTTATAGGTATTGTTGTTGATTGTGTGGAAAGTGATGGAGTTGAAGAACTTGTTGATAAAGTACTCAATATACTTCTATGTTTAACACCACCTGTATGTTCATTTTTATATTTCGGTATTGTAGCAACTGAAGCCAATTCTAATCCACCAGTTATACCTTGACCTGGTAAAACTTGAATTGGATTTCCTTGACTAAATGTGGTCAAATAATCTCTTCTATCTTCAATAGGTGGTAATGGATTAATAAATGTTACTTTTGGAGCTTTTGGTAATGGTTTTGGAGCTGGTTTGGGTTTTAAAACTTCAGGTTTTGGAACTGTAGTATTTCTATCCACTGGGAAAACTTGATCAGTTTCTTTAAAACCTTGTTCTTTAGCTGAATCTTCCCAATAATCATCAACAATTCTTTTACCTTTCTTAAGGATTCTTGCACCAAAAACCATATATAAATTTCTTGCTGATGTAAATGCCACTGATCTTGATTTAATTTTTGATATACTAAAATTACATTTTTCTAAAAATTTTCTTTCTTCATCACTTGCAGTTGATTTACATAATTGTTTATATTTATTGAATAAAACAAAAGCATCTCTACTGTTCAAGAATTTAGCAGCTTCTGTACCTAATACGAAAAGTTTTTTACCACGTCCCGGTAGTGTAAATGTTGATAAAATATATTGACGACCACCTAATAAATAACCATTTTCTGTAATTTTTTCCTCACCTTTTGGATCAGTCTTTGTAACTTCATAATCAACACCGTCTTCAGTTAATGTACCAACGTTTTGATAATCCTCTACAATTGGTGCTTTAACATCAAGATTTTTTGGGAAAGTTTTAGTATATTGTGTATGTTCATAAAGGTCTGCCTTAGTGACTTTAAACAGTCTTGGTTGAGGATTTTCTGGGGTGTTTTCTGGTAGGTTTTGTTCAATTTCAGATATAAGAGGATTCTGGCTCTTTTCCTGTTTGCTATCTCCCGACATGATGATTGGTTATGTTGATTTTAAATACTGTTTTTGGAAGACCCCATACAATGCTTTTGTTCATTTTGATATTTTGGTTCTCAGTTTTTCATTACTACACGTAATTGAAATTCGCGGAATTCTATATCACATGACTTTGGGTAAAAACTTTGAAAAACAGCAGAAGCCGACAAATTTTGAAAAGAACTATATTAAAATTATATCAATTCAACTACATATTTAAACCATTTGTGATGAACTATGTATATTTAAATCACACAAAAAAAAGATAATACATATCTAAAGACAAAACTGCATTAACGCCTATAACATAATATAACAAAATGGGAAATTCTTGAATTAATATAGATAACCATGATCAATTGATTATGGAAATAAACTGAATGATGTGATTGTATTAAAAACAAATCAACTCATATATATAATATCAAACATAATATAAGGATTAAATATTGCTTCACAAAATCAATGGTGACAAAATGAGCAGAAAGGAAATCAAAAAAAAAGATAATTGGATCATATGTGAAAGCATTAAAAAGGGGACGTAAAAATCAAAACAGAATCAATTGAACAGTTCAAATCTGAATATTAATCAATATAAAACACATGGGTATTCTATCTTCTTTGTTCTATGGACTTCCATGAATCATGGACAACATATGGTAAACTGGTTCCCAAATCACCACAAGCTCTTTCAGATGGTAAACGAAATAATTCTCTTGTTTTTTTGCAACAAGCAGTTGAAGTAGCTCTTCTACCTGAGACATTGGCCAATTTACTAGCAACATATTTCCATTTGACTTTTTCACCATTGAATAATAAAGATTTTAAAATTTGAATGTCATCATTTGAAAAAGTTTCAACTTTTTGAATAGCTGGTTGATGTTGATGATGTTGATGATGTCTTGAATTGAAAGGATCATTGAATGCAACTTGTCTTTGTTGCTCATCACGAGAAACAACTTGTGGGAAGTATGAATTTTGTTGTTGTTGGTAATCTTGGCTGTAAATTGGTGATTGATCTGAAGGTCTATGTTCATGGTGGCTGAAGTTTGAACTGTATTGGAAATGTGAGTTAAAGTTACTTTGTGGTATCACATTATTTGGTGTTGTAATTTGTGAATATTGAGTTGGTGGCAATGGTGAGCGTAATGGTTCAGCTTGTTGGTAATGTGGTTGATATTGTTGTTGTGGAACTGGTGGCTGATGTTCAGAACGGAAGAGATGTTGATTTGAAGGGAATTGAAAGTTATTCATGGATGCATAATCCAGTTGTGATTGAGTTATTGGTCCAGATCTTGGTTGATTGTATTGTGTACTACTAGTGAAGTTGCTGTTACTTGATTGATCAGCTTCTTGTTTTATGAAACGATTATTTTGAGCATTTATGGATCTGAAAGATGAAGGATCTGATCTTGATTGTTGATCAATTGAAGAATGAGCTGGGGTTGATGATTGTTCATTATTCAAAATATTTGAATTATTATTGATTGATTGAAAATTGGATGTTGGGTAGGAAAATGTATTGAAGCTGCTATAGTTATTAAGATCATAGTTTGAATTTGCCTCTGAGTTGGTAGAATCTTGTAAGTGATTACTATTGTTAAAGTAACCTGAACCACTGGATGGCATAATAATCTCCATATTTGTAAAATTTGAATCTAATGATAAGACTTTAATTGTTTAAGATGTGATCTCCTGATGTATATATATGTTGATAAGTCAAATTGCAACAATGCCAAAAAGTGATGTATATATACGTTTGAATTGAATGCGTTATGATTGAAGTAAGCCGCTGTAAATTTTGACTTCCGAGTTTTAAATTGATCTTCTGTAAATCCTTGTACAAACGTAAAACACAGTTAAAGTTTAATGTTGTCTGAGAAGTACAGCTCTTTAAGATCAAGACAGATTCTTCTGGAGAAATAAAATATGGAGGGAGAATTGATTGATCTTATACATTTTTACAAACGGAATCCATGTAACACCAAACATTACGGTTAACTTCAACTAATCCAAAAACTAACCCAAATTCTCCATAATGCAAGTAGTGAATAAACAGAAACTTCACTTTTTGAAAAAATTAGAACAATCGCCATGGCTCCAAAAAAAAGTAAATTTTAGACTTTTGCAAAAACAGAGCTGACTTTGATGCTAAGATGCTTTGTGTCCCGGCATAATAATACAGATCATGCATTTGAATGTATCTTATATGCATATTTCTCGCATCTTACTCACCCAAGCGCCTTCAAAACTCTAACGGTCGTTTGTATTTTGGGACAATTCAGCCTAGATTGCAGAATTTTCACTCCGCCAGAAAGTTAGGGGGGAAGTTAACCATCAAAAGAGCCTTGTAAAATATTTGCTTATCTTCAACTTCAAGGAAAAGTTTCAACTTTCAAGCCCAGCCTACAGCCTACAGGTGTTTAGGAAAGGATATATAAACGGGCAAGAGCTGGCTAGGCCCCAGCTAAGGAATTAGCGGATGACCTTATAGGACAAATTGTAGAACTTGCAAGTTCTAGTACAGTCATTATTTCGCAGGATGTATATACTGTGCCATCGACTTTCATTGTATTTGATTTTTAAGATATATGTGCAACTTAATTAGCAGAAATATCCGGCTTGAACTATTCATGATATATCAATCATTATATATGAGGGTTTAAGTTTAGGTTTACTGATATCGATATACGCGCTAGTTAAAGCCAATTATAGTTATAGCTAGCTCTAGCAGATTCAGAATTAGTTGAAGCATAGCGACTTCCTAGCTGTGCAATATACGTTGTAATTGGCTAGAATTGTCATTGAGGTGTGTTGGTAGTGCCTATTTATATGGCTTAGCTAGCGAATTAATATTGCATGTTCAAGATTCAAAGTGTTCCTGTCTAATACTACTAATTTGTACCCTTCACAAATAGCTTTCAATTACAATTTACTATCGTACCAAGTTACCAACCACTTTTAAGCCCATTTCGTGTATCAAAGACGTTTATATCTTCCTAAATGTCATTGACAGCTGTGACTCGTGAATGAGAATTATGAATATTTTCTTTGACTAGAAAACTCCGTTACGAATCTTGCATCGCATTTAGATAAATTTGGACAAAAGATGACAAGCGCATGTATTAAACTGACCACTTTTATCTGTTATTACAGGGAGTGGTGCACTTTTGATTTTACGATTTGGAGAATACATTAGCTTTGTGCTATACGTTCTACGTACTGGCTGCATAGTCTAAATAAATTGTGTATTTTAATTTTTAAGTTTTTCACCCTGGGCTTGTGCTTAATTTGCAAGTACATGAAGCTATAATTCTGATTCACGAATCACTAGCCTGTTCCCTGGAAACTTTGTGGGGTTGATATGAATTATATTTGATCATTCGAAGATTCAATAAGCTACTGCGTAGTATGTACTGACTTACGTCGTCGAACTCTTTACGTTGATCAGTTAGTTGACTAGGCAAGTGACCAGTGAGGACATATATGATTAAAGTTCATATGCCGCATGAATCACCGTGGGTTATCTGTGAAATATATTAACGAAACAATTGCTAATATATACTGTATTTCTTTTCGTTGACACTGATGAGTGCCAATTACAGATCAAATCAGTGAACTTTGAACTTAGGAAGTTTGAAGTTTGAATATAATGATGCTAATTATCATTCAAATTATTACCTTTCGCAGCTGATATTCAACAGTTAAAGCGGACATATTTAACTTCTTATACGTAAAGAAAGCTGCAACGATCAAGATATCTTTCAGCTTTCATCTATACGTAGCTAGTCGAACAATTAATCAATGTTGTGCTTCTCTGTCGAATTCAAATTTTAATATGATAGCTATTAGCCTGCGTAACTTAAGTCGAGATCTGGGGTACTGTAGTACCTATAGTAATAGTACTGTAATACCCATCATCCATGTACACGATATTAATATTAAACTCAAAAGATGTTGATATATTAATAGCTGCATATAAACTGCAATTCATGATCACGATTCACCAATTAAGTAACCACATATATGAATTGATTGATATGACACTAGAATTATATATTGTCTCATAATGTAGCACATCACAGTAGCATATATAAGCTGTCTTGCACATGTGGTGAACAAATATTAATAGACTCAGAAGTATTAGCAACTAGCGCTGTGCGATGAAAGCAATTCTATCGTAATTTTTATCAAGGGTCAAAATGTATTATCGAAACCTTCTATCGTATGAACTGATGATATGGTAACTTCTTTTGACTTTCAACGAGGTCCGCAAGTTTCCCTTAATTGATATTGACAAGCTGCTTTGATTTACTTCCCCAGCTTGCAATTTGAAGTCAATCATAGAATATATGCAATTATATTAATGGATCTCGATATACCAGAAACATGAGCTTATTAGTCGAAAGTTGATTGGACGTGTTATCAGCGCTAATACGATCAATAGAAGTACCTTCATTTACTATATTTAATGTCGAGATATTATATAGAATCATTGCATGAAGTCATACTGCAATATATTAAGTGTACTAGACGTCGGCCATCTTGTAGATGTACTTATTTAATATCTAGGTGTTCATATAGAGCTATATAGATCAGAAATGATCATATATAAAGACTATAAATGATATATTGATCTAGACGTATATATTATGAATATATCCTATTCAAATGTTCTAGATTCAGCTTATATTAAGTATCACCATTTATAATAATTGAAAGCCTATTATAATTGCATGATATATCGATCCATCGCCTAATTTAAGGTTTCCGCTATATATTGAAGTACTAATATCGTCGTCTGCATGAGCTAATTGAGGAAATGAACTATAATATTTATATCAATATAGAATTATATATACCTCTAATCATGACCTTCACTTTATGGACACACCATTATAGATCACCCTAGCTATACATACAAAAGTTGTAACGTATATAATACTATATATAAATATTAATATATGTATGACTAGCTAGGTTATTATAAGATGATAGGACATCGAGACACTGAAATATCATTAAAGTTTACGACGTCGCCGGCATCCTTAATTATGAACAATAATACATCATACAGTTTTAATTTTTGCTTCTACTAGTAGTTCAATCATATCAACTGTAAAAGTGCCAAACCTCGTCTACAAATAAATTAACGTCCATTAATTATATAAATTTATATCAAAGGCCTAGCGATTAGAGGCTACTAGGCTCGAGCTAAAAGCTAAAATTAAATAGGGCGTGCGACGTACGTTGGTGAATCGTGATATGCCACAAGAATTGCCTCAGTATCAATCAAGCACATACGGCTGTAGCTTGAGGTTATTGTCTCTTAAATATTATAATTCAATGTAAAAAATGGCTTCATCGAAGGACCAGATCTACTCAATTGAAGTCAGTAATATTTTATAGAAGCTTAAATGGTTTCGTCGTTAGCTTTACTAGAATGATTCTATACATAAACTTGCAGATCTCCAAAAAAATCAGCATGACTCAACCGACTTCTTGCATTTGTCCACAACGTACAGGAGACATAAAATTCCTGAAAGGAAATTTTGCAGATAAAAAAACTGTTAAGCTAATGAATCATGATAATAAACTTTTTCATCATGGTGACATATATAAGTCCCACGACTATGAGGTTTGAGCCACGTAATAGATAATTGAACACTCAATACGAATAGAACAAACATCAACATTTTAGAAGCTGATGTCAAGTCATATCATGAACTATTATCTAGTCGAAAAAGACTTTACTCATAAGAGCAACTGTTTGATTAAGACGACGTAGTTTCATGAGAAAACTTTAATTTACGTCCTAGTTTCGGTCAATCTTGAGGTCCATGAATTCCATATGTAATTTCCAAACGTTTTTGTTGGGTTATCAACGCTATAACAGTTAGTAATAATTCGGTATGATCGCTAGCTAATAGCTGGTTCCAACTTCCAGCTATGTAAAAGCCCTATACACTTATTATTGGATGTTGACTTTATAGGAACTCTTGAATATTGATCTTGTATATATGCCGAGGGCTAATCGTTCTCATGATATTATAAAATAGCATATATTATATAGCTTTATAGAATATAAAATTAGCTAGTAGCCTCCTGTTGAAACGTTGAAACTTGAAACCAAAATGACTCTTGAAACGACGGGTAGAACTTAGAAGTACTGTACCTCTGATCAAACACCAAGTTAGGAATACGTTATACCTACACGCTTATAATATTGTACAACCTTCGACCTATATAGCACTGTTCTCTTGATTATATATGGGGTTGAGCGCTTGTGATATTCTCTTACGTTACACGTAATTATCTCAACTGTAGTCGACTCCTGAATCCACAACGTCTTTCGAAATACCAGCTTTCTAAAATTAAAAATTTAGCTGGTAACTGGTAACAACTTGTTAAGGTATAAAGTCTATTTTCCAGCTCAACAATTTTGACTTATACGCCCGTTATGTAAGCGCCAAAGCTCAAATTAATTGAGTCTAGCCAGTGGACCAAATGTTCAGTGCAATTAAATCTTGAGTGAACAATTAGCTGGCCAACATGAAGAAAATTGGATTATATGGAGAAGACTGGAATGTGCTCTCTATAGTGCTTAAAGATTTTGAGCCTCTAGTTGACAATGTTAATCCACTTTAACGGTTCATAATATTTATATATACGCTAAATAATATAAACTTATCAACTTGTTGAAAGATCTCTGATACTGTATGTCTCGGATTTGTAGAACACCTTTGGCAGATCCTTTCGAAAGACGTGGCCGAAACTTCATGATCATCCTGTGATGAACATCCAGCAGCTCGTAAAACTTCATGTATAGTTAATTATTGAGGGACAATAGACACTTTCAACACGATCAAGCAAATTGTCAAGACATGGCACTTTACTTTGTTACTTGACCACATTGTTGACCACTTACAAGAATCGTAAATACACAAATCTCGAATCATTTACTTACTGGGAAATTTGTTTCAACTAGTAAAGCTTAAATATATATGTCTCAAAGTACGTGGGGGTTCAACTTTAAATATGGCAGAAGTTATCAATTGTACCTTAATTGCTGTCATGTTCATAGCTGATGTTCAAAATAAAAGTCCCATGGGGTAGGCTTCAGGCTTCATTTAGTAGCCCTATATATATACTATAACAGCTTATAGTCTATAATGATATGCAGATAAAGTATTATATTAAAAATGGAAGGCCGCCATAATATATGTAAATTGAAGAATATGTCTTTCACTAAAATATATCACATTAAACGCAGCCAGATCTCAAGAACTCTACGTACCATTGTTTGTAAAATTTGATTGTGGAATCATGATCCAGCTAATTATTGATGTTAGAGATCAAGAGCTGCCATACAAACTTTTGGTCATGTATATAGACGTCGACGTCGTCTACATCCCGGTTCCATGAGTCCTATTATAATTAGTTTCGTCTTTGAACTTTAAATTATATTAAGCTCATTGAGATACATGTACAAGCACGCCTTTAAGTTTAGAATAGCTTCATGAAGAGTATTAAAATTCATGACGGCAAATAAATAGGAAATATACTTTACGAGTTACATTAAGAAATTGCTACTTACATTCATATAGCAACAGGTATTCCGCTCATTTCGAGTATTAATAGAGTTACCATAATTATGTTGTCTAATTTCCAAATGGGGTTCTATGTTGATAAAGCTCAAAACTTCCATACAATCAAGGTTGAACGGCCATGTGTGTTGACCTGTATATGAATTATACTTGATGTCCTTTAAGATTAGCTTTGAAAAGTCAGGGTTTAAATGAATTATCGCATATTACTCTTTTTGTTGAAGATTTATGAGAATGTTAAGTTAAACAATTAGTAGCTATAGCGCTATACATTTGCAGACGTAGCTTGTAAATCTTTTAATTGATCTCAAGTACATGTCCATAATCATGAAGACTATATATATATGTACGTTTTCCAATAATCATCTACGTATAACTTGACCATATTCACAATTATGTTGAATATATAATAAAGCATAAAAAGATCTACTATACAGCTAGATATCATACTATCATCATGCTGTACTTTTTATCTGAATTCTATTTGCACAATCACATCATGTACAAACTATTAAATTACTAGATCTTCGTAGTAAAGAGATTGTAGTTTAAACTTTAAGGCTACATGATATCATGACTCATGAGTAGTATATCAAGGGTCCAAGAAATTTTATACCGATAACATGATCTGGTTAATTGACATGGAATTTAACCGCTGACATAAGAATGTACTCATAGACATGATATACGCAAAGTTGGACAAATTTGTATATTATTGTGAATATAACAAGTTATATCGATTGAAGGATGTTGGTACAAATTCTGCTTAGAATGTACCTTTCCATTGATCTGTAGAAGATCACAGATCCCAGTTTTATATTAATTTACGATAATATTATTATCATGAAGAACGTTAACATTATTATGAAACATATTACATTGTACTTATCGGGAATGATATTTGTTAAACAAACTTGTCACATTTTCACCTTACAGCCAAATAATTATAAAGAATATATGGAAATAATACATTGAGACAATTATCAAGTTCCTCGTAAATATTAATGTATGTATCATGCATAGATTTATAAAACCAACTTATAGTTCATCATCCTTGAACATTTTTACCGAGGAACATATTCATATGTCTTCATTTCTTTCAATATAATCAATCAATACATCTAAAGTTTCTTTTGGTTTTTCAGCCATAACCCAATGACCTGCTTCAATATCACGAATTTCAAAATTTGGGAAAAATTTACCAATTTCTGGAATATAATCATCTGGTACATATTTTGAAGTTGTACCTCTTATGAATAATGAAGGACCCATCCATCTTGAAAAATTTGAATCAAATTCCCATGCTGCAATTTCACCTTTAACTAATGCATTTTTCATTATATCTAAAGGAATTCTACTTTCTAATTGACCAGTTTCTTTATTTTTTTTAATATTTTGTAATAAAAATTGTCTAACAACTTGATCTTTTTCAAATTTGGCAAAATATTGATCAGCTTCTTTATTTGTTTTGATATCTTTATCATTAACTATTCTTTCCAAGATTGAAACATATTTAGGAAATAATGAAGATGGTTGTAAGTTAACTGGTGAATTATCAACACTAACCAAAATTTCAATTAAATCACGTCTTCTTAAACTTAATGCCATAGCAGCTTTAGCACCCATTGAATGTCCAATAATGATTGGTTTTGGTAATTCATTATCCTCGATGAAACGTTCAACATCAGCAGCTAAAGCAGGATAATCATGTCTTTTATTATGAGGAGAATCACCATGATTTCTTAAATCTATTGTATAAACATCTCTTTCTAATCTTGAGTTTAATTGTTTTGCTATACTTCTATTATTTGATTTTGATCCAAAGACACCATGTAAAATCAATATTGGTGCACCTTCTTTTAAAGTATTTGTTTTATCATTAATTAAATCATAAGCTAATTTAACAGTTGGAATATCTCTGGATAATAATTTATCATTGAATTCATTCTTGGCCAAAGACGATGCTGTACCATCATATAGAGCAGATTTTAGTGGTCTTGCAGTGGAGAATGTCCTTCTCAAAATGTTCATCTTGTCTAAAGGTATAGAGATCAACTAATATCTAGCAATACCTTAGAGAATCTATACTTAATGGTATCTGCTGATTACGATCTATACTACAACTTTTTCTCGAATTCCGAGATTTTCTTAGGTAACAAGATCCGGCTCTTATTTACCTTTACCGGTTATACGCGAATTACTGATTTGATTTGACACTTTTGTTTACGTTTTTAAGCGAAGTTGTTGATATTTAAATGAGATGAGAAGGTTGATTATTGTATGAGGTCTTGACTCTTCTGATAGAGGAATATTTGTCAGTTTAGCTGTAGCTTTTTATGAACTTAATCACAGACTTCAATATTGATATTGGTGTCTATATAACCATTGAGGTTTCAGGTTTCAGATTATTAAATCACCACAGGAGTCGCAAATTCGAGAAAGAAACCATATTAACAAAGCATATAGGGTAAATATACCTCAAAAAGTTGGTTTAAACCATCAAATAAACACCAATCGTACTAATTACACCAGCAACCCTCCGTCTAAACCTTTTAAAGCTAGACCAAAATTGTTGTAAACATCGCGAAATTTTTGGTTTCAGATAAGTTGTGGTTTTTTTTACAAAACGAGAAAATTCGTGGTTCAAATTTCCATTTCAAATAACAAAGATTCAACACGAACCTACTAAAACAAACAAAACATCACCAACACTCCACAGATCAAACATTTCAAAGGGAATATATACCTGTCACACTACAAAGACCATCAAAAACAAATAAAACAAAACAAAACAAGATAGATCCTATTATAGAACCAACTACTACGCGGCCAAGTTCCCAAAATTTCATTCATATAAGGTTTACACAATTAAACCCAACAAACATCAACATCATCAAAACCCTTGGGAAAAAATCACAGGTATAAGATATTTCTCTCCCTTGCTTTCAAGATCACTATTTTACCTTTAGCTTTCTCTTCACCATGTCAAATCAAAATCAAAATCCTCCAAAATACCCCTTATTAGAAGCTGAAAGCCCCTTCTGTTGCAAAATAAGGGAAGAAGATTCATACATCTTAACTGATGCTCCAGGATTAAAAAATGTATTAACTTTACCATCTGATTTGAATACTCAAAAGAAAAGAAGAAGTACTGAAGAACCTTTCCAACAAAAGCAACTTAATAATGAAATTAAACGCAGGCTAACGCTAAGAGATGAAGATATTCAAGAAGGTATTATAAAAGAATATCAACATGATATCGATGATAGAGCTGATGAAGAAATCTTAGAAGTAACTAGAATAACACCTAATGAGCTATTAGAAGATCCTATGTCCAATATTGAAATAGATCAACAACCTCAACAAACACAACAGCAACAACAACAACAACAACAAACACAAACCCAACAACAACAGCAACAACCAGTCACTAATGGAATAAAAGAATATGAAAATAGTGAACTGCCACTTCCATCACCTTCTGCATCCCCAGCACAATCTGCATATGATGAAACTCATTTATTAACCCCTGAACCATTATTAACAACCTCATCTGATGTTGTAAATTTTATTGAAAATTTTGCTACAACTTCTTTATCCAAAAGTTCTGTCAATAGTTTAATATTTAAACTTTTAAGCAGTTGTGATAGAAGTGTTTTAAGTGATTTTAGAAATACTATTGATGAAGGATTGAAAAGAGATATAATATCAAATTTACCATTAGAATTATCTTATAAAGTTATGAAATTCCTGGATTATAAATCTTTAAATAACATATTATTGGTATCTAAGAAATGGAATAATCTAATTACAGGTGAATTTTGGAAAAATTTATTAATTAAAGATAATCTTATAACACCAGAAGAATTATTTTCTTCAAATTTCAAAAAAATTGAAAATCCAAGTTATTATCAAAGTTTATATATTAAAAGATTTGAACTGCTTAAAAATTGGACTGATCCAACTTTTGAACCTAAAAAAATCACTGTAGCTGGTCATGGTCCAAATGTTGTTACTTGTTTACAATTTGATGATGAAAAAATCATTTCAGGTGCTGATGATCATATGATTAATATTTATAATCCAGATACTGGTGAATTAATTAAAAGTTTATCAGGTCATGAAGGTGGTGTTTGGGCATTAAAATATGTTGGTAATCAAATTGTTAGTGGATCAACTGATAGAACTGTTAGAGTTTGGAATTTACAAACAGGGAAATGTACACATATTTTCAAAGGTCATACTTCCACAATTAGATGTATGGAGATTGTTACAATTGAAGAAACAGGTGAAAAATTAATTATAACTGGTTCAAGAGATAGTACTTTACATGTTTGGAAATTACCAAATGAAGATGATCAAGGTGAAGATTTTAATGAAAATGATGTTAATAATCCATATTTTGTTTGTGTCTTAAGAGGACATACTGCATCTGTTAGAGCTGTTACTGGTCATGGTAATTTAGTTGTTTCAGGTTCATATGATCATACTGTTCGTGTTTGGGATTTAAAAGAACGTAAATGTAAATTTACATTACAAGGTCATTCAGATAGAATATATTCAACTTTATTAGATCTGGAAAGAAATAGATGTATTTCTGCATCTATGGATTCTAGTATAAAAGTTTGGGATTTATCAAATGGTGAATGTATTGCAGATTTAACAAGACATACTTCACTAGTTGGATTATTAGGATTATCATCAAATTATTTAGTTAGTGCAGCTGCAGATGGTACTTTAAGAGGTTGGAATCCAACAAGTTATAAAAATGAATTTACACTTCATCATGATAATCATGCAGCTATAACAACATTTCATGCATCACCAAATTTACTGGTTAGTGGTAGTGAAAATCAATTTAATGTTTATGATTTACGTCAAAAGGGTAAATTAATAAGGTCTCATTTATTACCAGATGCTGGTCAAATATGGTCAACTAGATTTAATCATTCAAAATGTATTGTTGCAGTGGAGAAGAATTCACAAAGTTTTATTGAAATTTTAGATTTTAGTAAAAGTGCATAGTTTATACAGATATTATTATTATTATCATTTATTTTTATTATACCCTATTATGAGGTCTACGTATATAGATCTTCTTTGATGAGTGAAATGCAACGTTTATTTTAGATTAATTATTTTGTTGTAAATGAAATTTAGTTTTAATAGTTTATGAGTCGTAAAATTGATGTCTATTATGATTACATAATCAACAATAAACAAAGCGTTTCGCGATTTTTTAAAAACAAACGCGAATTAATTTTTGGTGATTTAAATTAATTAAATTTACGCGTTTTAAATTGAATATCCTGGAGGCGAATAAGACTAAATAATATCATCGATTAATTATCATCAATTCCAAGAACACATACCAACAGGGGAAAGATCAGATACAATGGGTAGATTAGTTGGATTGGAATTGCACAATTTCAAATCATACAGAGGAACAGCCTCTATTGGGTTTGGATCAGCAAATTTTACTAGTATTATTGGTCCAAATGGTTCTGGTAAATCAAATATGATGGATGCTATTTCATTTGTTTTAGGTGTGAAATCTCAACATTTGAGATCAAATCAATTGAAAGATTTGATTTATAGAGGTCGTTTATTAGATGGTGATATTGAACAATTACAAGATGGTGAATTAGATAATGAAGATTTAGATTCTGAAACTGCTTATGTTATGGCAATTTATGAAAAATCTGATGGTGAAATTTTACAATTGAAAAGAACAATTGGTTCAAGAGGTCAAAGTGAATATAGAATTAATAATAAAGTTACCTCTGCTGGTGAATATTCAAATGTTTTGAAAAAGGAAAATATCTTGATTAAAGCTAGAAATTTCTTAGTTTTCCAAGGTGATGTTGAACAAATTGCCTCACAATCCGCTGCTGAATTGAGTAAATTGTTGGAAACTGTTAGTGGATCACTAGAATATAAGAGAGAATATGAAAGTTTGAAAGATGAACAAGATCAAGCTAAAGAAGATACAGCTGCTATCTTATCTAAAAGAAGAACTTTAATCAGTGAATTGAAACAATATAAAGAACAACGTCATGAAGCTGAAGAATTCAAGAGTAAACTTCATGAAAAAAATAATTTGACTAAACTTTTAACACTTTGGAATTTATATCATATTGAACTTAAAAGAGATAATTTAACAGATGAATTTAAAGAATCTAAGAAAAAATTAAAAGAATTGAAAAATGATATACATAAAGCTGAAAAGGAATTTCAATCAGTTAAAGCTGAATATGCAAAAGAATCTTTAAAATTAAATAAATTTCATAAGAAAATTGATTCACAAAAATCAGATATAAATTCTAAAAAGCAAGAACTTTTACCAATAAATGCTCAACAAGATGTTATCAATAAAACAATTTCAAAATTCAATAAACGTGTGAAAGATCTAAGTTCTGATTTTGAAAGACAACAAGAATATGTCCAGGGTGTTGAAAGACAAATTAAAGTTGTAACAAAAGCTAAATCAAATGCTGAAAAGGAATTTAATGCTAAACATAGTAATTCTAATATTACATTAGAAGATCAACAAGAATATGAAAATTTAAAACAACAATATTTAAGTCAAGGTGGTGCATCAGAAGAAGAACAATTGAATTTATTAAATGTTGAAAAAAATGAAATTAAAGCTATATTGGCAAGTATATCAAATCAAAGAACAAATGCTGATGTTAGAGTTGAAGAATTGAAAAGTCAACATTCAAAATTAAGTAATGATTTAACAACAGTATCTACTGAATTGAATGAATTAAATGAACTTTATAATCAAAGAAAAATTGAATTGAAAAATTTAAATATTGAAAATGAAAATTTTTTATCAAAAGAATATGAATTAAATTCTAGATTAAGAGAAACTTTAATCTCATTAGAAGAATTAAACGCAAACCAAAGAGAAACAAATAAAGAACGTAAATTAAGAGAAAACGTTAATACTTTAAGAAGATTATTCCCAGGTGTTAAAGGTCTTTTATCAGATTTATGTCAACCAAAGCAAAAAAAATATGAAAATGCTATATCAACAATCTTGGGTAAGAATTTTGATTCAGTTATTGTGGAAAATTCTGCAATTGCTCATCAATGTATTACATATTTAAAAGAACAAAGAAGTGGTGTTGCAAGTTTTATTCCCTTAGATACTATTGATGCTAAACCAATTGATTCTCGTTTACGTCAATTAGATCCTCGTGCAAGACCAAGTATTGATATTATAGATTATGATCCAGTATTAGAACGTGCTATGCAATTTGCATGTGGTAATTCAATGGTTTGTGATGATTTAAGATTAGCTAAGGAAATTAGATGGGGTAAAAAAATTGATGTTAAAGTTGTTACATTAGATGGTTCATTAATTCATAAAGCTGGATTAATGACTGGTGGTCGTGCAAAAAATCAAGAACGTAGATGGAATAAAACTGAAGTTCAAAATTTAACAAGATTAAAAGATGATTTATCTTATGAATTAAATCAATTACAAGAAAGAAGACCTGATCATATGAAGATTAGAAATTTAGATTATGAATTAGGTAATCTTGATTTACAAATTGTTAATGTTAGAAGAAAAAGAGTTGAATTAGAAAGATCAATTTTAGATGTTGATGCTGAGATGAAATATTATAATAATTCAAATGAATCTGAAAAAAGACGTCAACAAGAAGAAGATAAATTAAATGATGTTAATAAACGTATTTTGGAACAAGAAAATAATATTCAATTATTGAAGAAGGATATTTTCAAAAAATTTTGTTCCAAGTTAGGATTCAAAGATATTAAAGAATATGAAAATTCAAGTGGATCTGAAATTAGAGAACAATCTAAAGAATTAAATCAATATCAAAATGAATTATATAAATTAGGTAAAAAATTAGATTTTGAAAAAGAACGTTTTAATGAAACTTCAAATCGTATTACTAAAATTGAAGCTGAAAAATCAAGTTATGAAAAAAGTTTAACTCAATTAATTAAAGAAAAAGAATTAACAAATGATCAAATTGATAGATTAGAAAGTGAATTAGAAATTACAACACAAGAATTATTAGATTTTGAAAAATCAATTGAAGATAAATTACAAAAATCTAAAAATTCTGAAGATAATTTACATGATTTACAGTACAATTATGAATCATTTAAAAAATCTTTAGAAATTCAACAACAAGATATTGAAAGATATACAATTGAAAGAATAAGTTTCTTGAAGAATTGTAAAATTGAAAATATAAATATCCCATTAAAACAAGGATCTTCATTAGATGATTTACCAATCGATAATACCGAGGAGATTTTTGCAATCGCAGATGAAATTTCCATTGATTTTAGTACATTATCCACAAGATATAAAGAAAATGATAATGAAATAATATCAAATGAAATTACAGAAAAATTATCAGATATTACAAAAGAATTAGAAACTTTATCACCAAATACAAAAGCATTAGAAAGATTAACAGAAGTTGAAAAAAGAATGGAAGAAATCGAAAAAGAATTACACAAGACAAGATCTCAAGAACTTGTAATTGTTAAAAAATTTCAAGAAGTTAAAAACAAAAGATATGAATTATTTATCTCAGCTTTTAATCATATAAGTGAAAAAATTGATCCAATTTATAAAGAATTAACTAAAGCAAATAATACAACACTTGGTGGTGGTGCAGCTTATTTAACATTAGAAGATGAAGATGAACCATATTTAGCAGGTATTAGATATCATGCAATGCCACCAATGAAGAGATTTAAAGATATGGAATTTTTATCAGGTGGTGAAAAAACCATTGCTGCATTAGCTTTATTATTTGCAATTCATTCATTTCATCCATCTCCATTTTTTGTATTAGATGAAGTTGATGCTGCTTTGGATAATAATAATGTTCAAAAAATTGCAAATTATATTACAAAGAATAGTGGACCAAATTTTCAATTTATTGTTATTAGTTTAAAAAATGGATTATTTGAAAAATCTGATGCATTAGTTGGGATTTATAGAGAACAAAGAGAAAATAGTTCCAAAACTTTAACTTTAGATTTAAGGAATTATCCTGAAACTGCATAAATGCTGGGTAATGAGATGATTATACGTGTGTGCTTTTTCTTGATTCTGCTTTTTTATGTTGCTATGTTTATGTTTGTATAAGTATAAAATTTGAATTTATTTAATATTGAATATAAATATGTAGATCAAGACCAGCTTAATCAGGAAAAGACAAAAGAATAAATAATATATATACCTAATGATAGAGTAGTTTATAATTTGTTAAATCTTGAACGGTTGTTGAACTCCCACCACAAACAATAATAACCACAATATCATCAGATTTTAAATCATCAAAAAATTCAATATTTTTTTGAATCAAATTATTATAAACACTGCACAAAGCAACTCCACAAGCAGGTTCCACTATAATATTAAATTCATTTGCAAAATTTAAACAAGAATTTGCAGCATCAGAATCACTAACTAATAAATTCTTAGTCTTGTGAGAATTATAATATTCAAGAGTTTTCAAAGAGACATAAGGACAAGCTAAAGAAATTGCAATTGTATTGGTTTTTTTAATGAATACTTGTTTTTGTGCTTTAATAGATTCATGGAAAGTTGGACAAGTATCTGTTTCTAAAGTCATTATTGGAATTTTTGATAATTGATTTCTTTGTAAACCTTGAACTAAACCATTATAAAGTCCACCACCACCAATTGAACAAACAATACCTTTTAATTTTGATAATTCATTTGAAGAGGCCAATTGATCAACAATTTCATCTATAATAGAAGAATGACCATGCCATATAGCTGGGATATCATAAGGATGACAATAGATAGGTATAATAGAATCATCTAATGAAGGGATTAAGACATCTTTTAAATAAATTGCAGCTTCACCAATAGTTTCACCTTGAACAATTATTTTTGATCCATTTTTAAAGATTTTTTGCTTCATTTTATCACTTGTAGCTTTTGGTATAACAACTGTTGATTCTAATCCATAAAATTGAGAAGCACAAGAGACAGCATTACCAGCATTACCACCAGAAGCAGCATAAACATGAATTGTTTTACCCAAATTATTAGGATTTGATTTAATTTCTTCAATTGAAGTTCTAATTAAATTTGAAAGTCCACGTATTTTGTAAGAACCCGATGGTTGAATGAATTCTTGCTTTAGGAATATTCTACATGGTGATTGTTCTGATAGTTCTTTACAATCAACTAATGGAGTCTTGATGTATGGGACTTTATGATCTTTTGTGATTGTCATTTTGGGTTAAGCCTAAAAGACCACTACAATTTCAAAGCAATAAAAAAACCACTGAAATCATCTCCTTTATAAACATTTCACCATTCTATAAATATTTAAGCGCTTAAAAGTTGGTTTGCCGTGTGGATTGTTAAGTGAAAATAAAATTTGTTAGTAAATTTTTGTATTTTGTACTCAGATTTTCAGATTTTCAAAAGATCGGTTATCAGTTGATCTGAGCAGAGTCAATGGGCAGAGTTAACGGAGTCAACAGAGTCACTTTGGAAAGATGGACACTTTTAATTGGTGAATTTCCCAGAATTACCCCAATTATTAATGATTGTATTCTTCTCATTTTGTTGATCGCTTCTTGTTGATCTTTGTATGTTTTTTTGGGGGTTGAAAGTGTCAAATTTGGAGTATTTTAACCAAAATTGTGACATTTTGTGACAATATAAATTCTCAATTGTACAACATATTCATACTATTCCTAGACTCAAAAACACACTCAATTCATATGATTCATATATTCCAATCATTTGTTGATTAACTTCCTCAACAATTTAGAATTCCATAAATGTAATTTAAGAAACAATTCATCATCTTTCAACATTTCAATTAAACTTTTAGAATGTTGAACTTTACCTCTTAGATAAATCTCATGATTCTTGGAATTCTCTAATTCAATCTTTAAACTTGATTTTTGTAAATATTCAATCATCACAAGAATACTATCTTTAATAAGATCCCAATTCTCTAAAACTTGATGTTCCTGATCACAATTAACAATGAATGAGTACCTTCTTTCTGAACCTCTAGCTTCTAAATCTTTAATCTTGAAACTTTGAGTCATGGAATATCCTCTATTTTCATCTCCAAAAAACATTGGTTTTGAATCATAAATTGTAGCTTCTTCTGAAAGACATTTCCTTACAATACTATTTAAAACACGAAATTTAATAGCTGAATATTGAGTTGAAACGAAAGCATGGTTTGTCTTGGTATCTTCTGTCCTTAGAGTTGTAACATTTTCACCTTTTGTTGATTTAGGATATATCAATAAACATGATTTACAATATGATTCTTTTGAGAAATCTGGTAATGTTGATTGATCCATTTGACTTAATTCAGTGGTTTGTGTGCACATGATGGAACGAGGACCGTGTTTATCACAGAAGTGAGCCAGAGTGATTGTGAAAGCCATGATCTTGTGGTTATTTTGTTGGTCTTTTGTTGGTTATTTTGATGGATTTTGTTAATATTTGGTGATGTTTTGGTGATGTTTTTCAACGGTGATAAAAAAAATGTAAAAACAAAAGCATCTTATCAAAACCAAAACATTACCAGATCAAAACAAAGCAAAGCAAACAACAAGTCAATTTAAATGTCAAGCACGCTCAATGTCAACGTGGAGAATTGTATTCTTCATCCCAAAAGAGTGAGTTGATTATTATCCCTTTTTAAATGAGTTCATACTAACACTTTTCAAGCGTCGTATAAGGCATCTTACTGGTGTTTACCTCAGAAATTTATCAACAGATTTAAATGAACATGCAAATGAAAGACACCATCACAGAAGATCATCAACTACTACAACTACAACACCTACAAAGCATAGAAGAGATACTAAGGATCAAATCATTGGGTTTGAAACTCCATTAGATCGTCAATTACATTTACAAAAATTAAATAGTTCAAAATTTTTAAATTGTTTTATTTCATTACATTATTTAACACAGGGGAACCAAGGAGATCAATGTTTTTATGTTAGTGAATTGAAAGAACGTTCAATAAATATAGATTTCCAAGAATTTAATGTTGAAAATTTAAAAAATTCAAATAATCAAAGTTTTAAATTAAAAATTTGGATAAGTAATTATGATTCACCTAAAAATTGGAAATTATTAATGGATTTAGATATTAATTTATCAAATTTATTATATATAAACAATTCAATTGATTTAATTCATTATGATTTCAAGAATAGTGTCTTTATATCATTATTTGATGGGATTTATCTTTTACCAAATGAAAATTTTAATCTAATGGAATATTTAAATAATGTTAAATCAACAAAGATCCCCAAACCAAGCTTATATTCATTTAATTATGATTTAGTTATGAAATTAAATAATTTACAATTAGTTATTGATGATTTATCAAAAGTTAAAAAGCAATTATCTCAAAAAATTTCATTAAAACTTGAAAATACTCAAATTTTAGAATCTTTTAAATTAGATCAATTGAAAACTAAATTGGCAAAGCAAAAAGAAGTTAATAATATCAAGAGACAAAAATTAAATGAATTATTAAACATCAAGGAAAAAAAATTACAATTTTTAAATAAACAAAATTTAAATAAATTATCAACTTTTCAAAAATTCAATTCAATAAAAGAAGAATTTAGTTCCCTCTTGATCCAAAATGAAACTATAACTCAAGATTTAATAATTGAAAGATCCAGAAAAATTAAAACCATATCTTCAATTTTTCCTCTAGGTGATATAAGTGAATGGTTAAAAATCCCCAATTTCCAAACCTTACCAGATCAATTAACACAATCTCATTTAACCCAGCTATTAAACACAAATGATTTCAATACAATAGCACAAATTAATTCAAGTTTTGGATATCTAGTTCATATAATTTACTTGTTATCACATTATTTGGCAATCCCTTTAAAATATCAAATTTATTCATTTGGTAGTACATCATATATTATTGATAAAATTAGCCCAAAAAATCAAAGAACTATATTCCCATTATTTTATACTGCACATTTTTATAGATTTCAATATGGTGTTATGTTATTGAATAGAAATATCCAAGATTTAACAAAAGAGATATATAACTATTGAAAATTAACAATTTGTTTCTTTAGGACTAAAGTTTGTTCATCAAATGGAGTCTGAGGGTCAGTTTCTAATTTTTTAAAAGTCTTGATTGTTGCTTCACCAGTATCAACTTGGAAAATTCTTAACCTTCTTGTTGTACCACCATATCCAGCATACCCACCTTCCCCCACAGCACCACCATAACAAAGCCAAATTTTATTTTGATCTTGTTCATTCGAATCTAATAAACAATAATCATTACAATGATCATGACCAACAGTTACAATGGAAACTCCAATCTTGGTAAAGAAATCCCTAGCAAAGGAATTATAATTTGGTGACATTACAGATTCTTTATAATTCCCAATATATGGTTGATTTAAATTTTTATATTCTGGTAATGGAATATGGAAAAGTGCAAATGATAAATGATTTTCATGTAATTTTCGTTCACTTTGTTGATAGCTCTCTAAGAACGATAATTGATTTGGTTTAATCCAATCATAACCTGGATTAACTTTTGGTGCAGTTGAATATTTATGTGAATCAAGTACATAAAAAGTTAATAAATCTTTTTGAGTTTCTGAATCTTTGATTGTAAATATATAATTCCCAAATCCATCAATTTCTTCAGGTCCCGATTGAGCTAATGAATATGGTAAATTTTCAATAAATTCCATGAGTTCCTGACGAGATACTGAACCTTCATCATCATGATTTCCCATCATCAAAGCATATGGTATTTCACGAGTTATAAAAGGTGTTAATGCTTTTAAGATTGTGGTATAAGATTCAAATGAATCATCACCAAAGATTTGATCACCTGTAAGCAAGACCAAATCAGGTTTTTCTGAATCCAATACGGTTTCCAAGAATTTTAAAGTTCTTTTATCTGCTTTACAATCTTGGATTTCAGGGTATTGATCACGACATGTACCTTCATTTGTACTAAAATGTAAATCTGCAACTTGTAAGATTTTATAATTTGAACCTATTGGAATTTGGATCTTTGGGTGTGATAAGTCAGTAGTTGTTGGTGATGTTTTCAAAGTTAAATAAATTGGTACTTCACTTTGGATATCAATTATTGGAATTTTGATTAATTTCCAATCAGGTCTTGGATCAATAGCATCAAGACCAAATAAAACATCAATGTTATAGACGTATTCGTTTGAATTTGTAGGATCATATTCAGAGCGTTTGAAAGACCATCTTTGATTATCATCGTTGGATTCTGATACTTGTAAATCATGAATGACCTGGATCTCTTTTGTTATTGATGATAATTTGATTTTCTTGATGAATAGATATTGTTGTGTCAAGAATGATGATTTCTTACCATTGTTATTGAAATTTAAAGGTTTGGGTATTTGATACCAATCATTTGATGGATTATTTGATGGTTGACACTTTGTGAACAGAAAACATGTTTTAATTTCCAAATCTGTTATAATGAAATCTGATTGATGGTGTGAATTTATATTGATTGGTGAAACTTGATGATATTTTGTGTATGAGAATAGAGAGATTAGTGAGATGATTGTGGCCAAGTAGATCAAAAGTCTTGTGAATCCCTTGTTGAGCATTGTGGGTAGAGCGGCAGTGTGTTGTGTGTGGTTATTGTGTTGATGGTGTGATAGTTCTATTGTTTTGTTGTTTTGTTGATGTTGATGTTTTTCTACACGCGATTTTATAAAAGAAGAGATCAAAGGTTATAGGAAGATTTAAAGGGAGATTACACTGAGTAGAAGGAATGTCATTAAATCTCTGTCTAGAAAGAGTAGTCTCTGTGTAGAATTAGTGTCAACTTTAAATATCTTCTGTCTACCTGCCTATGCTTTCTCCTACAATTCATCAAATCATCAAATCATTTCATTAAGCAATAAACAATAAACCAATAAACCATTATCCCATTAAACAATAGATTATTCACTTCTTTGTATCGTCCAGTGTCGGTCTGTGTCCTGAGTTGTTGATCAACGGGTTCTTTCCTGGTTGTTGATGGTGTTGGTGATGTTGCACTGGATTCACTGCGTGTGGTTTGTTTATTGAGTTGAGTTTGACTTGTTTGTTTCCTAATAAAACATGGATTTCTTCATTATCCAAAGGATCCTTTTGACTTTGATCTTGTTGATTCTGTTGATTTTGTTGATTCTGTTGATTCTGTTCACTCATTCTCTGTCTAACTTTGTCTTCTGTCTAGTCTTCTTTGTGTTCTTCTGTCTAGTTCCTGTCTAGTTCCTGTTCAAGTGATTTCTTCCTTTCGTGGTTCTTTTTTCCCACATAAATTTAAATCTGAAACCAGCAAAAACTAATTTGTACTAGAAATTATCAAAACTACACCAAAACAACCAGAGAAAATGAGTTCAGAGTGAGTAGAGTCAGTCATATTCTCATTAAATAACATACTAACATCATAGTAAACTACTGGATTGGTTAAAAGAACTTGGATTAGATCAATATCATGGAAATTTCCAAAGTGAGTATTAATTCCATTATGCAACAAAGATCTGATACTAATACTTCTCAAGATAACTCAATAACTTTTGATGATTTACAATTCTTAGATTCATCTATACTAAAAGACATTGGAATTCATAAAATAGGTGATCGATTAAAATTAGATATTGGTATTAAATCAATAAAAAATTCAAATTTAATAAATTTAATAAAACCTGATGAAATATTTAATGAAATTATATCGAAAAATCCACCAAAAAGATCAATTTCAATACCAACTTTAATTTCAAATAATCATAATTCTGAATTTAAATTAGATCCACCTCCTTTAAAAAATGAAAAATCCCTTGTTTCATTCATTTTACAAAATGGTAGTACAGTTAAAATTAATGTTAGTGGTTGTTTTAATGCAATTTCAATAAAGAAAAAATTAATTAAATTCTTAGATTTACCAAACAAGACACCAAGTTTTTATGATTCTTATTTAACTGATATAAATGGTAATTTACATTTATTATTTGATGTTGAATTAGTTACAATATGTCATTCAAATGATCGTATTGAAAAATCAAGAATATTATTTTGTCCAAAAAATGAAACTCCCTCGTCAGATGCTATAGAAGTTTCCAAGAGATATATATCTCGTGAACCTAAAAATTTGGATAAATTTGAATCCCTTGAGGTTGATCAATCACAAGATAAACAATTTAGAAGTATTTTTGGACAAAGACCTTCAAGTCAATTAATTTCAACAAATATTTCACAATATTTCCCTGAAACTAATCAAACTAAATTACAACAAACTATAAGGAATTCTGTTAGATATTCTATAAGAATGTCCACAATAGGAGGTGGTGGCGGTCAAAGAAAATCTACAGTGGGGGATATACTTGTTGGTAATAATAATCAAATTGATCGTGCAAGATTTTCAACCCTTGGTGGCTCAAATTCAAATATTGGAACTATGGATTCCCTTAATTTACAATCTTCAATGGATAAACCAAAACAAAGATTTTCATTAGCAAGTTCTATAGATAGTGATCGTACTTCTAAAATTGAATTATTTAATCCAGATTCTGATAGTGATGAAGATGATCAAGATTCAACACATCCAGATTATATAACTCAAACTTTAAATAATGTTGATTTATCATCAGGTCCAACAAATTGGTTAAAAGGTGCAAGAATTGGGTCTGGTAGTTTTGGTACTGTTTATTTGGGTATGAATTCAATGACTGGTGAATTAATGGCTGTTAAACAAGTTGAATTAAGACCAATTTTATCAGATGAATCACAAAGTGGTGGTGGTAATGGTGGTAATGGACAGAATAATGGACAAAATAATGATAATGAACTTCATCAAAAAGTTATTGAAGCTTTACAACATGAAATGACATTATTAAAAGAATTACATCATGAAAATATTGTTACTTACTTGGGTTCAAGTTCTGATGATGTTCACCTAAATATTTTTTTGGAATATGTTCCTGGTGGATCCCTAAATACAATGTTGACAAATTATGGACCATTTGAAGAACCATTAATTAGAAATTTTACAAGACAAATCCTAATAGGTATAAATTATTTACATTCTAAAAATATTATACATAGAGATATAAAAGGTGCAAATATCCTAATTGATATAAAAGGTGAAGTTAAAATATCAGATTTTGGTATTTCTAAAAAATTAAATCCATCAAATAATAACATTGCTAAAAGAGCTTCATTACAAGGTTCAGTTTATTGGATGGCACCCGAGGTGGTGAAACAAATAGCAACAACTTCCAAAGCAGATATTTGGTCAGTTGGTTGTTTAATTGTAGAGATGTTTACAGGTAAACATCCATTCCCAAATTTTAGTCAAATGCAAGCAATTTTTAAAATTGGTACTCATAATACTCCAGAGATTCCCAAATGGTGTACCCAAGAGGCTAGGGATTTTCAAGAACAATGTTTTATATTGGATTATACCAAAAGACCTGGTGCTTCTGAGTTATTGAATCATAAGTTTTTAACTTCTTTGATTGGAAAGTGAATAGGAAATTAAATGGAAAATAAAATGGAAATTGTTTAGTTTATATAGTTTTCAAATTAATTTGTAGTGGACGTTCCGAATTTTTGATTTCCTTCCAAAAAAAAAAAATTAAAAATTTGAGATTTCAGAAAGTAAACAAAGAATTTTACCAACAACAATATCAACATCGAGAAACAACTTTGAATTCAATTTGATCTTGATAAGATCACATATCATTATGAGTTTAGAGAGTTCCAAAAGACTCATTGATTCATTAGAACCCAGAGATCATGATGGTGCTTTAGATCAAAGAAAACGTATACGGATCAATAAAGATGATGAAATTCAATCAAAAAGAAAACATAGTGATTCAAATTTAGAAATTGAAATTAATAATCAAATCATTCAAAGACCTCCTATAATACCACTTAGACCTAATCAAAGATTAGAATTGTTTAAAAAAAGACAAAAATGGAGACAAAGTAATTTTTATAATTCAAGAAATTTTGGTTCTAATGTTGCTAAAAAATCTAATGAAATTTATAATAATTCAAATGCTCTTGTATCAACAAGTAAATCAAAATATGTTGAAGCTTCAACTCAAACTGATACGATACCAAGTTTACAATCACAAGGTCCAGTTTTGAAAAAAATTAAAACTGATAAAATTAAATCAAATTCATCAAAATTTGGGAAATTTTCTGGTGAAATTTTATATGACGTTAAAGAAATTAATGATGCTAATGGTATAAGTCCTGTTAAATTCCCTGATTCTAAACCAATCCAAAATAAATCATTACCTGTCTCCGAGGGAACTTTGAATGCTTTATTAAATAAGAAAACAACACAAGTTGAAAAAATTAAAGAACAAAAGGAACAACCAATAAGTGAACCTGTTAAAGAAATAAAAGAATCAAAATCTACAATTGGACCAAGTGCTGGTTTTAATTTCTTGAATAATAAAAAAATTGAAGAATTAAATGATGAAAATTCATCCAAAGTTGAATCTCAGAAACCAATTGCTCCAGAACGTTCATTTTCATTTGGGAATAAAACTACAGAAATTAAAGAAACTTCAACTCCAGCATTTTCATTTGGTTCAAAAGTTGAAGATAAACTAACTTCAAAACCTTTTTCATTTGGTTCTAACCAGGATAAAAAATCTTCAGTTCCATCATCTTCTGCTTCAACTGAAGGAGGGTTTTCATTAGCTACAAAGACTAATGATGAAAATTCAACTCAATCAAAACCATCATTTTCATTTGGTTCTAAGCCAAGTTCAAAAGATGATGATAAACCAAAACCAAGTTTCTCATTTGGTGAAACAAAGAAAGATGATAAATCAAAACCATTATTTGGTGAAACAAAGACTGATGATAAACCAAAACCAAGTTTTTCATTTGGTGAAACAAAAACTGATCTAAAACCAAGTTTTTCATTTGGTGCTAAACCTACTGAAGAATCATCCAAAAATGAAGCTCCAAAACCATTTAGTTTTGGTAGTGTAGCTTCAAAAGATGAATCAAAAGGTGAATCAAAGGATAAACCAACTTTTAGTTTTGGTGGTTCCAAACCAGATGAACCAAAACCTTCATTTTCATTCGGTTCAAAACCAGAAGAACCATCAACAAAACCTTCATTTTCATTTGGTTCAAAACCTGAAGAATCATCAACAAAACCTGCATTTTCATTTGGTGCATCATCTACAGGATCTTCATTATTTGGATCAAAACCTACAGAAAAGAAAGATGAAGAATCCAAAGAACCTTCAAACCCAACATTTTCATTTGGTGGTGCTCCAAAAGCATCATCTGAAGAACCATCAACTAAAAAACCAGCATTTAGTTTTGGTGCGACATTAGATAAACCAAAAGAATCAACAGAATCTGAAAAACCAAAATCATTATTTGGTTCTACTGCTTCAACTGGATTTAATTTTGGTTCAAATTCATCAACAATTTCAACTGATCAAACAAAATCTGAAGAACCTGCAACTAAAAAATCTACTTTTAATTTTGGTGAAACCGCAAAACCTTCATTTAGTTTTGGTACCCCATCTAAACCAGATTCATCAACCCCTGCACCAACAAAACCTGCATTCAGCTTTGGTGCTGCTCCTGCTGCTACTTCAACTACAACAACACAAGAAAATAAACCATCATTCAGTTTTGGTGCCACATCACAACCATCTCAAGATAATAAACCTTCATTTAGCTTTGGTGGACCTTCTGCTGCACCTGCGACTGCTAAACCATCATTAGGATTCAATTTTGGTGGTTCAAGTGATACAAATAAACCAGCACCATCAAGTGTATTTGGTGCTGCATCATCAACAACAAATAATGAAACAAAATCAGCACCATCATTCAATTTTGGTGGTATTGGATCAACACCTGCACCTGCTTCAGTTTTCGGTAATACAACATCCACAAATAACGTTGCTGCACCAGCTTCTTCAACTCCATTTAATTTTGGTTCTAATGCTCCAGCTCCAAATCCTGCTTCAGTTTTTGGTGGTAATAATACCCCAGCTGCTAAACCAGCTTTTAATACTGGGAATAACGTTAATTTAAATTTTGGTGGTTCTACAAATAATAACCCAACTGCAATTTTTGGTGCTCAAGGTAATAATACCCCATTTGCTGCTCCACAACAATCAGCTTTTGGTGCTCCACAACAACCCAATGCAGGTGGATTTGGATTTGGTGCTTCTCAAATACCTGCATTTGGTGCTGCTCCTGCTAGTAGTACACCTTTAGGTAGTACTCCTGGCGCTCCTGCATTTGGTACACCTGCTGGTACCCCTTCTCAACCACAATCAAGAATTCCAGGTAGAAGAATTGCACAAATGAGAGCTCCACGTCGTCGTTAATGATATCCCATGTATAGATAATTCACGCCCTGTATGATACACTTAAGGAAAATTGAGCTACAAAGATGTAGTGTTTAAAGAACTGAATACATTGTAATGTACGATTAAATATTATACACATGATGCAACCAATTACTAATTACTTGCAATCATTTTCATTAAAATTATTAATTATTGGTCATTAAAATAATATTGTCTAGGTTAAATTATCTAATTTTTGAACTTCCAATTGAGATGATTGGAATGACATTGGTCTATCTTCAACTTTTGTATGTAAAGAACTAACTTCAGAAATATTTTCAAAATCTTGAACCATTTTAATTAAACTTGGTTCACCTTGATTTAAACCATATTGTGCTTGAATTGGTAATTTCTTAGAAACAAAGTGATCAACAACTCTTTTTCTTTGTTTAACTCCTAATCTTGAGTATGGAAATCCTTTTGGTTTTGTGAAAATAACTATATCAATCACTAAATAATGTGTGGAAAGAACTTTATTGAAAATAACTGGGACTAATGAAGATAAAAATCTTCCTCTTGATGAATCTATGACTGCAATTACAAAACCACCAGCTTTGAAAACACAACTACCTCCTGATCTAATATCAGGATGTGATCTTTCAATTGATTTTTCAACATCAGATGCAAAATGTGATAAACCCATAGATTCAAATGTATCAGCAATTTGACCTAGGACAAATAATGGTTGAAAATCAATTGCCGTTGATTGATCAAATCTTGAAACATTATGTAAGAATCCCAAATCACCAGTTCTAATATAATTCAAACTATGGTCACCTCCTTCAATTTTTGCGTTAAATTGATATTTCTCAAAACTTTCACCACTCTTGTTATTCAATTTACTTAATGTACCTTCAATATTCCCTTCTGAGCAAACCCAAATTTCACCGTATTCACCAACTTTACACAATCTGCGTGTTTCTGGATTAACAATTGCAATTTGAGTACAAACTGGAACAATACCTGAATCTTGAAGATGAATGGCATTTGGATTATTTGATGGATTAACAATGGAGATTAAACCTAAACGTAATGCATCTGGATCAATCCATAAATCAATAGCATCGAATGCCAAGTATGATCTTGAAGTAATCATTGGATTGAAGTTATGAGAATAAATATGACTGATCGCTGATGAGCTTAATTTAGTTGGTGAGAATTGAACAGCAACATTCTTAATCAGATTAACATCAGGTCTACCATCATAACCAATCATCAAGTTTTTAACTCTATCCAAAACAAAATCTTTGGATTTAACTCTTCTTAAAGCATATTCCATCATTTGAGGTGTAACATAAACATCTTTAACTTTATATCTAGCAAGAGTTAAAAAGAATAATGAGGGATTTGTGGCAAAATCTAATGGTGGAATAATATAAGTTGCTGATCCCAAATAAACACCAATGAGAGCACTTTGAATAAACCCAATACCTGATGTATTACGAACACATGATATCACAGGGTTTTTACTTTCTAATTGACAAGTTTCTTTCATGATTTTGCAAATAGATGAAATTGTCTTATGACTGAGTTTCACTGCGATACGACGACCATCTTCAGTGAAGTTTAACCAAATCAAAACAGTTGAGTTATCTTCAACGACTGATTTAACCTTGTATATAGTATCAACTCTTGATTGAAGATTCGAAAGTGAAGCACTTGTTTTAGCTTTTGAAGTATTTCTCAATTTTATAGTTTGATATGCATTTGACTCTTTCAACAAGGGTGAAACTGGTTTGTTTTTCAAAATTGTTTCAACATCACTATTGACAAAAATAGTCTTTACTTTATAATCTCTAATGATACTAACAAGAATTGGGATATCTTCATTCAATCTGTTAACATCAACTGGATTTAATGGAATTGGAATCATACCAGTGATCAAACAAGCATAAACTGCTGTGACAAAATCTTCAGATAATGTAAACATTAAGATTATATGATCACCAACCCTCATTTTATGCTTCTTTACCTTATCTAAAATTAAAGAAACAACACCTGCAACTCTGTTGTCAAATTTCTTCCAACTTGATTGTTTAGCAGCTGTTCCTCTTGAGACTGTGGAAAAGGCAAGTTCATCAGGTTGATGTTTAACTCTCCATTGTAAAATTTCCAATAATGAATCAAAATCAGTCAATGGTTTTTTTGTTCTATCATCAATTGATGTATCACGGAAATCTAATCCTGAGTATTGATCCTCCATATCGTGTAACGATAAATGTCTTTGATCAGATACGATTTTACTCCAAATACTATCTAAATAGAATTTTGATCTTGGAACTTCTGTGATTGATCTTTTGATGTTATACTTGATATAAACAGATGCTAAAGTACCTTCAACAAATTGTCTTTTACACAACATATTAGCAATACCAGGAATCCCACTCTTGATTGTTCTTGGTAATGTATCTGGTGGTAAAATTAACACACAATATGGACGAACATTATGATATCTTTCAAGAACAACAAAACTCTTTGATGCAATCATATCAACTTCTGGTATATCAACAATACCACTTTCAGATGGTACTGCAAATGCACTTTCAATAACAACAACAGGTAAATATTCATTGTTGATCAAAATATCAAAAGCAGATGAATCTGAAACTCTTCTTTGAGGGATAGCTCTTGCTAATGTGTAAGCTAAATGATCAGAATAGTGATATTTATATTGAATATCATCGGATTTTATGGTTTTATTATCAATCCATGTAACTCTTTGTCTTAATCTATCTTCATAAAGACCTAAAACATAAACTTTACCATTATACGTAAAACCAAGTAAACCTGTTCTTAAAAATTCCAAGTCTAAAAATCCTTCATGATCTCTACAACGAGCATGGAAAATATTTTCTGTACCTGTTGGTAAACCCCAAAATCCACCTGGTAATGAAACACTATCAATACAAATTTCACCAACTTCCATAACACCTGAAAGATAACAAGTATCAGGATTTACAATAGCCAAAGTAGCATCTGGTAATGGGAAACCAAAAGATCCAATTCTAATTAAACCTGATGATCTAAAACTTTCAGCAATAGGTGGTGGTCTATCTGATACTACTTTGACTGTATTAGTTGTCAAGTAATTTTTATCTATAAGAACTTCTGATAAGTTGGAAACTGACCTTGCCATTGAATCACCATCATCAATCAAGGATTGATTCAAAGTGGCATTCAATTTATGTTCTTCACCTAACCAATCTCTCATTGATATAACCATACCACCAAATTCACTTAATGTTAACAAAGGTGCAACAACATTATCCACGTTTTTACAACCTAATGGTTTTAACCAACGATTCGTTAGGATTTCATGAAATTCACCATCCACAATAGAACTATAAATCAAACACCATTTTAATGTCGAAAAATCAACTTCTTTTTTGGAAAATTTCCTCGTGTACTGTGGGAATGATTGATAATTATAAACAACTTGTTTCAAATTCAAATAATCATTTAAAAGAATAGTGACACCAAATCTTGTTATAATATTTGCATATAAACCTGCGATATCTAATAAACTTGAAGGAGTCCAAATCATTAAATTCCCAGAAAAGACATTCAATAAAGTACCAACAATTAACCCAACTGATTTTCTTGCATCAAGAATATTAAGCATAACATTTCTAGTTCTAGTAAATGAAATATCAGATCTTTTATATGGTTTACCATTATAATTTGGATTTGATGAGAAAATATTTGTTAATGAATTCATTTGTTGCATTATAGTTTTATGTGAAATAGCAACACCTCTTAGTTCACCATCTGGAGATTTAACAAATTCTATATATGCTAAATCTGGTACTTGTAATGCAGGTGGGTCTTGTTTCTTTTGAGGATGATATGTACCAAAATCAGTTGTTTTCCAGAATTCTAAACCTTTTGGCCATTTTATTTTAGAAGTTGCAGTGACTTTTTTATCTAAATATTCTGCAACTTGTTTTGATGTTAGACATAAATGAGATTGTGTTTGATTCATAATTTGTATAATTTCATTTAATCTTAAATCTAATGTGATTGGAACAGCAACAACACCTGCTAAGAAACATCCAAACAATGCAATTGTATAATCAATAACTTCAACATTTTGATATATTAAACAAACCCGATCATTCTTATATAGACCTGATTTATCTTTAATTTGTTGAGCCACTTTTTCTGCTTTTAAATATAATTTTTCCCAAGATATGGTCACAGTTTCTTTACCTTTTGAATCAACAACTATTATAGCTTGTTCTTTTGGATAAGTTGAACTTCTATGCCTTAGAATAGTACCTAACGTATCAAATGATTCTGGCCCATTAGGCTCTGAACTCAATACTCTAGGATCCAATGGTTTCTGTAATTCGGTTCCAGATGTAGGAGGTGTTGATTCTTGTCTCGATAGGGCATTTGCCTTTGATGAGTCTAGTGAAATTCCTGTTAATCCTGAATTGACACTATATGCTCTATTATGATGGTTTGGGTGATCAGGTGTTGAAACTTGAGTATTGGGCGTTCCATATTTGGACAGTATCAGTCTCTTCTTTTTGATATAACCTTTTTCAGTCAGATATCCCTCGCTGAATTCATTATTCAGTTCCTGTAGTTCTTCAACAATATGCTGAGGAAGCCCTATTGGAATTGAAGGATCCATTTTATTTTGTTAAGCGCTAGCTTCCTTGTCAATTCCTAAGCGACTTCTTCCTTATTTTGTTGACAATGGCTTATTAGACGAGTTAGCAAATATGTTCGAGACAAGAAATGAAGCAAAAGCAGCCAGTCTATTAATTGTATAGTTTCTATTGAATTAAACAAGTTGATCAAAAAAAGTTTTGGTTTTACTCTTAAATTTTGCATGCTTTTGTTTTGAATTTCCAATTTTCCAACAATTCGTGGTGGGATTTTTCTAAATTTGTAGTCTGGATTCTGCAGATCTTCTAGGCGGGTCAGGGGTAATTTTCCCTGCCTAATGCCTATTTCTTCTCCCTGGCTGTCGGTCCGTCCAGTGGCCGTCTGCCTCTCTGTCTACGCTCAATGCTTAGGCACAGAGCAGCCTAAATTTAGGCTGGCTCCCCCAGAAAACAGCGCGAATATCCGATCGTGAAATGAGTAGCAACACATAGGGATTAATTTGGAATTTCAATTTTGGCACATAGTTGTAACTTTTGCATGAATATATATTTCAGTTATAAACAATAGCTGAATATATTTGAATTGAATTAAAGATATAATGGTATCTGAAGATTCTACTGATTCAGCAGATACAAACAGACAACACACTGATCACGGTGCAACTGATAACAATAATGATCATCAACATCAAGACAATGGACCAAAGAAGAGTTCAAGAGTAGTTGGTGGTGGTGGAAGTGCTAGTGGTACAAATCAATTCCCTAATGATAGTGAAAGACAACCTCTTTTATCACCAGACGATCCAGGTGTATCACCTTTAAACGTGTCAAATGTTAAGATTGCTAAGTTATTATTGAATACATTTTCATTCTTATCAACAATATGGTTCATACTATTATTATTAAGTGATTTTGTTTCAATACCAGGATTAAATAATAAAGGTCGTTCATTCTTGGAAATAAATTTTGTTCTTGTTTCATTATATTCAACATTAACTACATTAGCTTTCTTCAAAATTCCTTCAAAACTTGAAAGATTATTAGGATATATAACTGCTGGTGTTATTGGATTTGTAATAATCTTATTATTATTATTTCAAAGGGAACAAATGGGTAAAGTTGGTACTTTAAGTGCATTATGGGCATTCTTGACGATTATTTTCACTTCAATTAGTGAATACTTGGTTGAACAAGGTAAAATTCATGAAGAGATTAGACTTACTGGACGTGTGGAAACAAGACGTACATTAACTGAATGGGTTGTGATATTTATAAGAAATGTTTTCAAAACTGTTTTATTAATTTATGTTTCATTCATTAGTTTAAATGTTATCTTACATGTTTTTGATACTTTAAGAGTAAAACCATGGGGTGAACTGGTCCCAGTTGAAGAAGATTCATTCAGATTACATCTTTCATGTTTTGGTGATGTATCAACAAACGAATCATCATCACAACCAATATTATTATTAGAATCAGGTCATAATTCAAATGAAGAATTTAGTGAATGGGTTGAAGAATTATATCATTTGAATAAAATTGATAGATATTGTATTTATGATCGTCCAGGTTTTGGATTTTCAGATTCTTCACCATCACCAGTTTCAATATCAATTGTGAGTGAATTATTAAGTGAAGCTTTAAGGAAACAAAAAATTAATGGTCCTTTCCTTCTTGTGGGGTTTGATATTGGTGGATTATATTCAACAGTTTTCGCTTCTCATAATACAGCACAAATTGAATCCATATTATTAGTTGATTCATGGCATGAAGATTTATTATTAAAAGATCCAAATAGTAAAACCAAAAAAAGAGAACCTTTACCAAAAGGTGTTTCATCAATGGGACCTGGGGCAGGTTTGAAATTATGGCTTCGTGGATTTTTTTCACCATTGGGTCTTTCAGCTCAAGCTTCATGGTTATTTAAACATCATGGATCAAGAGATCGTATCTATGGACGTGATTTACATGTCCAGGGACAATACCTTAGAGCAAGATTACAAGAACAAATCAGTGCAAGTGTATTATCTTATAATGAAGTTATTAGTTCTAAGAGTTCCTTGGTTGATATACCAATTTCTGTTGTTAGTTCTGATTATGTTATTAAAAAATCATTGAATTGGGGGAATTGGCAAAGACAATTAACTAAAATTAGTTCAAATACAAAAGAATGGAAAATTGCTGATGGTGATCATGAAATTTGGAAATCTCCAAAGGGTAGAAGTGATTTACAAGATGTTCTTTTGAGGTTATTAGAATGAATGTAGTTTAAAATTGGATCACCTGAATTTATATTGATTCTAATGATTGACTACATTTTATGTTTTTTGTATGTTTTTTCTAATGAATGAATGATATATTGATAAAACTAATGTAAGAACCAAGCGAATAAAATTGAAAAAATGAAACCAATATTCAATGAAAATGAATTAGAAAAAAAAAACTTTAAAAATGACCAAATATGTACTCCCCAGAAATATCTAAAAAAATGAAATGTTGTTGTGAATGAATCTATATGAAATAAAAATCAATCAAACCACTAATGAAAACAAGTGTAATGATACAATTGTAATATGAAATAAATGCCGAAATAAACGATGAAATGATATGTAATGCAAAGAAATGTCCGATATTTTAAGAAATAATACTTTATTCTTCATTTGACAGTTCTTCTTCCAGTATTAAATCTTCAGCAGAACCTGAACTATTAGATTTATTTTGATTCTTATTTGATCCAACATTAGTAGGACCATTATTCAGATCATCTTGACTTGCATTATTCATTGATTCATCTTCAGATTCAGAAGATTCTTCATCTTCATCCAGATCAGCTTCTAAATCACAAGTTTCACGACAATTTGGACATAAAAATTGTGGATAACTTTTAACAACAATTGGTCGTATACATTTATAATGCCAACAATGAGAACAAGGACTTATGAAAACAGCTTGACAAGGTTTAACTTTTAATAAACATATAGCACATTCACTTAATTCAGTTGAGTTATTATTCAGTGCTAAAGTTCTTAATCTTTCATGAGCTTCTTTATTAAATTGATTTGCTTTTCTTTGCCATGATTTATTCATTTCAACTCTCATTTTAACACATTTGAAAATATCCTCTACACCACCTCTAAAATCCATACCTAATTGTAATACATCTCCATTATTTATTGGTGTAATTGCACTTTCAACACTTGCAGGTGATAATCTAATATGATTTAAAAAAGTTCCTGAAGAAGATTTTAAATCTCTAATAAACCAATTTCCTTCATAATCAACAATGAATTCAGCATGAGTTCTTGAAACAACTTTTGATTTGAAAACAACTGGTAAATCTGAACCTGGTGGTGCTTGAGCGGCTTCTCTAACTTTATCAGTATATCTACCTAATGATAATTTAGAGCCTGGTTTAGTTTTCCTCAATACAGGACTAAAATATAACCCAGTTGAAGATGAACTATGATCAATAAATGGAGTTAATCTTATAGAATAAGTTCCATCTGGATCTTGTTTATTTTGTTGAATAGCCAGTGAATTTGCTCTTGTTTGACCTTGTAATAATCTTGAATCTTCGATTGGAGTTGTTGCTAATGCTGAATTATCAAAATAATGTGTAGCGCCCTCCATGGTGATGTTATTTGCAGATTGTGGAGTTGATGTTGAATGTTCATGATTTAAATTTGATGGGGTATGAGATTGTGAATATAATGGTACATTTCCTGCACTATTACCTCTTTGTATATTTACTTGAGAATGTGAATTATTATTTGATTGGTAATTTGATCTTGAAGTTGAACTTGCTCTTGAACGATTTTGACCATTTGAATTCAAATTTGATGAAGAATTATTTCTTAAAGAACTTGTTATATTTGAAAATAGATTTGAAGTAAAATTCCCCAGAGAAGATCCTCTTCTTCTATTTGGTGGAGGGGTACCTTGAGATCCAGGATGTTGTTGTTGAGGTATAGGCTGCGGTAGCGGTTGACCAACTTGTTGTACTGTGGATGAAGATTGTGGTTGATTTTGATTATTCCCATTATAGGAGTTGCCATATGACAGAGAAGGACGTTCTAAACGCTCTGGGCGTTCCAGTGTTGGTTGCGATGCTGAATACATGGAGGAATTTGTGTATAACAGTGGGTGGTGTTGATGTTGCAGTTGTGATTGTGAGTTGACTCTCCTTCTTTCAGTAGTTCGAACTGACTGGTTTTGAAGGGGAAAAAAGATTTATTGATTGGTATTTGGATGTAAAAGGATTTGATTTTTTGATATCAAAGATGGATTTTGGTTATTTTTTTCTTTTTGGTGGCCCTTTGCAAAAGGAATTCGTGATACACTTTTAATGAAGCACAATATGAAAAGATTTGGTGATGAATAATCAAATGATGAGACTATCAAAGGTGGTAATTGTAGTGTTCTTTGGATTTCCACTGTGTATGTGTTGAGTGTTTGTTTTTGGTGGTTTCTGGTGATTGTAGTTTTGTGGTTGTAATAGACGCGTTTTAGCTTGAGACGATTCAACTTTTGGTGTCTGATGTTTTATTTCCCCTATTTTGTGATTTTGATGCTCTCTTCAAACGAACGCTTCAGATTTCTACAGACTAAGAGCCACAAGATATATACCAAGTATTGGAAGAGACAAGGATCCCGTTGATAATTGAAAGGTATAGATGTAGAAAGGGTTCTAATATACTACAATCAATTTGCCGTAACCCACACTTTGGAAATGTTGATTTTGTGTATAATTATAAATGGGGCAATAGAGAGATTACTGCTACACAGCTGGTAAAAGAAGTAAGGAACTGGGTTAAACAAACGAAGAAACACCTAGGTATTAGTTGAAATAACACACATATGGTATCGAGTCTTCTATACGATGAGATAATATCTCATGTTTTCAAAATCTGATCTATATATAAGCCAGTGTTTGAGATCTGTACTTGATGATTTCTCGGGATTTATAGACCATCTCGATTCAATGAAATACCGGTGAAGAAGAAGAATCACAAGACCTGTATAGCGGGTTCCATCAACGACTACCTCCGATACCACCTTATATACTCAACATCAACAACTAATCTCAACATGTCAACATTCAACTATTCATCTGTCTATTGGTGTCCACTATACACTGCAATAATATAAATATAATAATTTTAAGCCAGAAATTTACCCTCCTCTGAGAAGCTCCGCGAAAATAATTTAAAAATAAAATAAAAAAATATTGAATTTACGATTACCTAAATGCTTACATACATATTATATAATCGATTAGTACGCTACTATTTCGCGAATTTTGCTTTTTCTAAATTTTCAAATTGTCGGTAATTGGAGTTTTTTAAATTAGTATGGTGAAGTTTGAACGCTGAATATTTAGTAGTTAAAGGCTGTTATACCATTTATTGAACTTGTTACCAAAAAACTTCAATTTCATAAAGTCTCAAGTGGTTTGAAAGGGTATCACACTTCAAAGAAATTCAATCCGGTACCTATCTAGACTGATATTTACTTGTATTGAAGGCTAATCAAGTTAAAATCTTGGTATTATAATTTTGAACACAAATTCAAAAGATCTTCAAAGTGGTGAAGTTATTTGGAAAGTTAAAAGAATTGATCAGTAAGACATCAACTGTGTTATATTCAAGGCTATCCAATAGATATCACTATTATCATAGAGCCAGATAATCCAAATACTAAATTTTGACTGGTTTCGTTTTGTTTTGTTTTTTTTGACATTCACAAAGAAGAAAAAAAAAAGGGAAAGAGATTCAAGAACATTGTTATATGCCGCTGAAGTTATTTACAAATTTGATCTGAAATTGAATAAAAGAATAATAAACTGGATAATTTCACAATAAACATCGTTGATATAGGATGTCTAGTAATTTACAAAGACAAAATATGCCTAAAAGCAATGGTGGTGGTAATTCAACAAATCTAGTTAATGGATCAAGTATACAATTTGAATATAATAATCAAAATCAATCTCAAATATCAACAAATGAAACTACTGGTACTAAAAAAAATAAGAAAAAGAAGAAGAAGTCAAAGTCTAAGAAATCAAATGGTGAAAACGGTGAAAATGGTGAAACTATAAATGAATTAAGTTTTAATGATCCAGATTTTGTTTATCCAGATTCAAGAATTTTAAAACAAAATTCAAATGGTGATGTTATTGTACAAAGTTTGGAACCTCAACATCAAACAAAATCAAATCCATCATCTGTAAATAATACAATTAAATCTTCTAAAAATTCCAAAAATAATTCTGATAAATTAATACCTGATGATCAAGATGATTTAAATGAACAATTAAAAGAATATTGGTCAAGTCTTTCACCTGATGAAAAGAAAAATTTATTAAATCTGGAAAGAGATTCTGTATTCAAAGTTATGAAAGAACAACAAAGAATCACATGTAATTGTTCTGTTTGTGGTCGTAAAAGAGAAATTATTGAACAAGAATTGAAAAATCTTTATGATAATTATTTTGATGGAATTGATACTCAAGAATTAATTGCTGCTGAATTATTCAACATTAATAATAAGCAACAAAATCAATTCCAAAAACATAAACATGATCAACAAATTAGACAAAATAATTTACAAAATAGAAGTCGAAATGGTTCATCTTCAAATATTCAACAACATCAGCAACAGGTACAACAACATCAGCAACAACTGCTACAACAACAACAAAGAGCACAAAAGCAGCAGCAGCAACAGCAGCAGCAACAGCAGCAAAGTCAGCAGGGTCAACAGAATCAACAAAATCAACAGAACCAAAATCAACAGAATCAACAACAGGCCCAGCGCTCTAATAGATCTTCAGAAACTCAAAGAAGAAATGGTATAATGTCAGTAGCAGAAGATCTTTTACAAAATGATGGTAAAAAATTTCTGGAAATGATGGAAAAATTAGCAGAATCTAGAATACAAAGACAAAATCAATATAATAGAAAAATTGAATCATATGGTTCAAATGCTACAAATAATCAAATTGAAGAAGAAGAAGAGGAAGAGTCACATGATTATGATAATGAAGACGCTTTTGAAGATGATGAAGATGAGGAAGATGAAGAAGTTGCAGAATATGATGATGAAGATGATGAATATTTCGAAAGTGAATCTGAACATGTACAATATCCTCAACAAGGAGTTGATTCTGAATATCTTGAAGAAGATCAATTAAGTGCAACAACTGAAAAAGAACGTCGTGTTTTGATTCAATTACAACTTCAACGACAACGAGAATTACAAAGTCAATTACAAAGAGAAAAACAAGAATTAAGAGTTTTACAAGATGATGCTCTTGATAATATAGATGATAGTGGAGAAACACATTCACATAGTACTCACAATCATGATCATGATTTTGATCATGATGATTCAGAACATTATATTCAATCAAGTTCAAGATCCATCAATAATACACATCAACAACATTCTCATGTACATCCACATCAACATGAACATCAAGGTCATCATCAACATCATCACGGATTAGAACATCACCATCATAATCATAATCATCAACAAGGACAATCAGATATGGATGAAGATGAAGATGATTTGGAAGAAGAATTAGATGATGAAGAAGAGGAAGATGATGAAGCTGAAAATGAAGACTATAGTGATGATGGTATTGATGAAGAACAACAATTGGAAGAAGGTAGACAGATGCTTCAACTGTGTACCACCAAGATGTTGAGACAAAGTCTTTTGGAAGCTTATAAGAGAAAGAAACAAGAAGAATATACCAAAGCTCTGTTGGAAGAAATGGAAAAAGAAGAAGCTCTGAAGAAACAAAAGGAAGAAAAGAAACACCGTGAGAGAGAAAAAAAGAAGGAGAAAAAACGTATTCTACTGCAACAAAAGGAAGAAGAACGTTTGAAGAAAGAAGCTGAAGAACGTAGAAAGGAAGAAGAGAGAGAAGCTGAAAATAAAAGAAAACAACAAGAAGGTATGAGAAAGAAACTGGAAGCAGATAAAAAGAAGGCTGAAGAAAAACGTAGAAGGGAATTAATCAAGAGAGAAAAAGAAGAACAAAAACAAAAATTAGCTCAAGAAAAGAAGAAAAAGCTTGAAGAAGAGGCATTGAAGAAGGAACAAGAAGAACAAAGGTTACGTGAAGAAAAATTAGAAAAAGAAAGAAAAGCTAAGGAAGAAATTGAAATGCAAGAATTATTGAAGAAGCAAAAAGTTGAAGATGAGTTGAGAAGACAACAACAATTGAAAGATGAAAAATTAGCCTTAGAGGAAAAATTACGTTCTGAAGAGTTATTAAAACAACAACAAGCTCAAAATGCTCAACCACAAGTTCAATCTCAACAAGTTCAATCTCAACCACAATTTCCTCCTCATTTACCTCAACCACAATCACAACAACCTCTTCAACAACAACCTTTTCAACAACCTCTTCAACAACAACGTTCACAATTTTTTGAAGGTAGATCTTCTTCAATTGCATCTAATCCAGAATTTCAATTTGCTCAAGCACAACAACAATTCCCATCTACTCAACCTTATGTTCCAAATGGTACAAATCGTTTATTTGAAAATTTGAATCATCAAGCAAATTCTCAATTCATTTCGTCTCCATTAGCTTCTCAGGTTTCTTTAAATCGTCAAAGTCATTTACCACCATTTTCAAGTGAACGTAATGATACACCACCGGGTTTAACAAATTTGGGTAATAATTTTAATGGTTTTGGTACTAATGGATTGGACTCTCAAATACCTATTAGTTTATTTGATACAAATCCTACTGAATCGGTATCACCATGGGGTCAAAGTGTTCGTTTATCTAAAGATATTAATCCTGAAACGTTTAGTCCATTCCCAAATCCAACTGCTGCTGTTATTCCTAATTCTCATCAACAACCTCAAAATCCTCAATCGCAACAACAGCAACAACCTCAACAACCTCAACAATCTCAATTTGCTCCACCTGCTGGAAATGAAAGCTTAAGAAGCTCTATTGATAATTTGACTGATGTGTTTGCAGGTTCTAGTTTGGATACATTGAATGGAAATTACAATTCCAATCTGTTGTCATCTTCAGCTTCATATAAACCAAATATTTGGAATAATACTGATCAACACATTTGGTCATCAAATTCAAATTCAACTGCTTCAAATGGTTTATTACCTCAACCACAAAATTCTAATTTATTGAATTCAATAGGTTCACATTCAAATCCATCAAATGGTTTATTATCTCAATCACAAAATTCTAATTTATTAAATCCATTAGGATCACAAGCAAATGGGATATTAGGATCTAATGTTGCCCCACCTCCTCCACAAGGTCTTGGATTTGCTCAACAATTAGGAACTCAAACACAAGGTGGTTTAAATGATAACGATCCATTAAGGGCAAATTATCAATTACAAATTGCAAATGCTTATAAAATTTGCAAAGACCAATCACCACCATTTGATGAATATATTGATCTTTCCAAAGTTTTAACAATTGTTCAAAAATCAATTCCAGATTTCAATTCTGATTTATTTTTGGAAATGTGTAATTCAAGATCAAATTCTCATAAATTTGAAATTTTGCAACTTGATAATAATCAATATTTCTTAAAAGTTACAGAATTCCATTTATCAAGTGAATTAGGTAGTGCTGTTCCAAGAGCTAATTCTAATCCTTTCAATCATTTCAATGGTGGTAATGATTTTTTTAATGATACAAGAAGAAGTTTTGGTAATGGAAACGCATCTGGCGGTTTGAATTGGGGTAATCGATTGTTGAGATGAAACTTATAGTCATGACTTGTGTGATATTATCCGTTGTCTTTCAAATTATATAATTGTCTACTCACAACTTTTTTATCAATTTCTTTGTATATTTTCTCTAGTATATTACTTTTATTTGCTAAGTATGGTGCTCATTGTAGTGATTTTTGAAGTCTAAACAATCGTAAATCTTTTAATGATAAATCATCAACATTATCATATTACAGGTACTTGAAAACACTGGACATATTAGTCATATAGGTGCACGTCTTACAAGATTATCGATCGATCATCTTGGTTCAACTGGTTCATGATCTATAATTACATCACTGTGGTTAATCAATTCAATCAAATTCTGGTATAATGGTACAATATGTGATTGTCTTCTTCTTTACATTCAACTAAAAATGTTCACAATCCATCAAGCTTATTTTTACTTCTAGACCAATTGGATAGTATTATCCACGAGTATAATTGTAATTGGTACCAAGTTGATCTAATAATTCTATTTTAAGCTGTATACTACATATAGTATATAGTTTGGTACAGCTCTGGCGATCAATTATTGCACTTAACGTTTGATTAATAACCTGTTAATCAAGATGCTTTTTACGCGTGATCTATTCGTATTAGTTTTAGATATGTACAACTACATCACTGAATTCAAGTTCAATAAAGGTAAAGACATTTGGAAAGATGTAGTTCTTGAAGATAGCTACCAGTTTAGGGATCAGCTCATTAGTTAAAAACATTGGGCATTTGAATTGCCTATTATAGGTAACTTAATTAACACATCAAAGCCACGATCGTTTCTCAAAGTGTCAACAATTCGGTACTATACGTTTGAATAATAACACTAGATCTTGACACTGGAGATACCGTTACGTCGTTATTGTCATTATAACGTATACAGATATACCTATACAGGTAGGATTCCTGTCAACAAGCTCTTTAAGTTCCAAGGTCCTCATGCATAACTATCTAAAAGTCAATTAAGCTGGATCATATGAGTACAGTCTACCTATCGATAGAAATCTAATTATATAAAAAGCTCCAATTAAGCCAGCATCTAATCTTAATCTCTAGAATATCATGGCTTTTGATTAACTGTATTGCTATATGAACTTTTCAACGTGTGATGTTAAATTTAGCATCATTTTAGTCCAATGCATGCAGAAATAAAGATATTGTGCATATAGAAAATTTTACCAGATCACAACGGTCCAATAGAAGCACACCACCGCTTCCGCTCGCCATACCCCTGGGGTCCAAACTTTAATATACCACAGGGACCTGCGTTCTCTGTATAACTTCCTAAGCTCACACCATTCAACCTATCATTCTTCCAGGGGAATCGGGTTGTTTTATTGGTTCTTCTCTTCTCGCTTCTATTTTTGGATTGACATTTGTATTCGCGAATCGCTGTATGTGACCGGAACTCGTACCGTTTGGTAAATAGTCGGATCTCACAGGTGTGTTTCGCGTTTGTGAGTTTTTGGGCCTGTAAATAATGTTGGATAGTATTTAACCAGGCAGATATCTGTTCAAGCCTCTACTCTGGAATCTAGAATCTAATTACTTTGGGACAAAGGAGTCGAGCTGATTACTAGGCATATATTCTGTACCGCTATTGTGATATTGAGAGTACTGCTTCTTGCTGCTGTGGTGTACCATAATATAGAAGAGTAATTTTTTGATTTAAGCTCTCGAGAATTTGTGGTTGTATTATATCAAAAAAACCAAATATTCCTTCTTCAAGATAACCAAAGAAAATTCAAAAAGAATTGAAAGAAATTTTAATCATAAACTTGTCGAATCGATATCACATACTAGATAATGTCTTCTGGTGTGAAAAGAAAACTAGTTATTGTTGGTGATGGTGCCTGTGGTAAAACCTCATTATTATATGTTTTTACTTTAGGTGAGTTCCCAACTGAATATCATCCAACTGTTTTTGAAAACTATGTAACTGATTGCAGAGTTGATGGTAAAGCTGTTCAGCTAGCCCTTTGGGATACCGCTGGTCAAGAAGAATATGAAAGATTGAGACCATTGAGTTATTCAAAAGCTAATGTTATATTGATTGGTTTTGCAATGGATCAACCTGAATCATTAGAAAATGCAAAGAAAAAATGGAGTGATGAAGTATCAAGATATTGTCCAGGTGTTCCTGTGATACTTGTTGGTTTGAAGAAAGATCTGAGAGCTGGTTCAAATGATTCTAAGAATAAAAGAAAATTTGTTCAACCTCAACAAGCTGAAGAAGTTGCAAGATTAATTGGTGCTAAAAAATTCTTGGAATGTTCTGCTTTGACAGGTGAAGGTGTTGACGATGTTTTTGAAGCTGCTACAAGAACAAGTTTATTAGTATTGAATGAAAGTTCATCATGTTGTACAATATCATAATTCTTTAGACATTCAACTTATTCCAACAATTTCACTAATTTAAAAACATCATGATAAATTCCATAAACATTTTTTTCAAGGAACTAAAAACTTCATTAGCATTTGCATCACATTAATCTTGACATTCATAAAAGGGAGTGGACCTCTAATTATCACCACTTCAAGTCATTTTTAATCATTTTTAACAAATTTGTTTTTCATTTTCAAAAATCAATTTGTTCACTATTTTATACTTAATTAATTATCAACTAATTAATCGTCACTCATTTAATCTAATAACTATACATCACATCATATTAATCACAAGTGACGATCGTCTGTTTTTCATCACCATTCATTCATTTATTTATATATGAGGCTTATTTTGTCCTTCAAACTAATTTAATATTATACACTAATTACAGTTCAGTTTCAATTTTATTTCTTGTTTTCTTGTTTTTTGTTCACTTGTTTCATTTGTTAATATACATATCATGGATTTATATTTGATATATTAGTCGTTAATCTTTGTAGCCATATTTTATCAATATACACGTTATATGTAGTCTACAATTTGATAAATATTTAGCTATAATAATTCATAAATTCTTAAGCAATAATATACAGCCTAACTAAACGCATATAGCGATAAGTATTCTTTTTTTAATGTACAAAATGAGAAAAACTCTGGTATGAAATCAGTTTGGAATGAGGTGGACCTTTAAATCATAATAATAATAAGATAATGAAAAAGAATATGTGCAAAAAAAATAAGAAAGAAACCATCTTAAGTCACCCTTTTTAAAACAATATATCATATAAGTCCTTTAATAAAAAAAATTATAATAATAAAAAACAAATGCATAAATAAACGATATGAAAACTTTGCAACAATATATAAAAGAAATCAATATTTTGATATTTTATCTTTTTTTTTAACCTCTAAATTTATTCTTTATGTGGAGCTGTGGTTGGAGCTGTTGTTGGAGGTGTACTAGCTTTATCAGAAGCAATACCAGCTGAAGGAACAGTACTTGAGGAAGGAGTTTCACCTTCAGTTGGTTGTTGTAATCTGGCAGAAATTCTTTTACCATGTGGAGTATTTCTAACTTGAGGTAATAATGGTTTTAACAATGAAGATAATTGTTCAAATTGTTCTTCTTTAGCAACATCTAAACTTGTTTGTAAAACATAATTACCAAATGGATCATTTAATAATTTGACTAATTCATCACCACTTTTCAAAATTTCATCAATTAATTGTTTAGATAATGTTGAAACTCTTAAACATTTTTCAATAACATTTGAACCAAATTTATGTAATGATAATTTAACAATTTCAGTCTTGACTGAATCAATAATTTTAGCAATTGCTTCTTTTTCATCTTTTGCTAAAACATATTGAACAACATAATTACCAAAAGCATCTAATGATAAATCAACAGCTGATTTGGAAATAACTAATGATAATTGTTCACATTGTTCTTTAGAACCATGATCTAAACATCTTTGTAAAACACAACAACCATGTCTATGAGTGGCAATCTTTGAACAATTTTCAGATGCAGCATCAAAAATAAATTGAGAATCAGCTGGAGTTAATCTTTGTAAACATTTTTGAATAACATGATTACCATTCAAATCTCTTGATAATGAGACAACATCTGATGAAAGAGATTCAACAATAATTTCAGCTTCTTTTTGTGTATTAATACATTCAACTAATTTTTGTAAAGCTCTTGTACCATGAGGATCTAAAGCAATTGAAACAAATTGTGATGAAGCATTTTCAACTAAAGTAATACGTTGTTCATCGTTAACTTTTTCTAATAATTTTTGAATCAAATAATTACCAAATGGATCAATCATTAATTCGATAACATGTTGATGAATTTCATCAAAAATAATTGTTGAAGAACCAGTATTTAAATCTAATTGTTTTTGTAAGAAACGACAACCATGTTGATCTTTACATAATGAATAAATTTCACCTTGGAAATCAGCTAATCTTGCATTTGCAAATTTTGATGCATCTTCACCTCTTCTACGTTGACCCATATTTCTTCTACCATGACCATGATAATTACCATTGTAATTATTATATCTACGTCCATTTGGACCATTATTACCACCTTGATGATGATGATGAGAATTGAAACCATTATTATCAAATTGGTTTCTATTGTTTAAAGGTGGCCATAATTGTTGGTTTTGTAATGGATGAGGTTGTTGATTATTGAATCCACCATTTTCTGAACGGTCTTGAAAATTCAAATTTGATCTTCTATCTTTATTTTGAGGACCTCCATTAATCATACCAAAATTACCAACACCTGGGAAATTGACTTGACCAGGACCATTTGGACCACCTGGAATTCCACCAACACCTGGAGGAGGAGGAATTTGAGGATGTATCCCATCTGGTGAGAAATTGAAAGGTCTTAATGGAATCATACCCGGATGTAAAGGAGGTGGAGTGTGACTTAATGACTCCATTAAACCTGGTGGACCACCTTGAATAGCACCATTCATATTTGGACTAAATGGTTTTGTTGGCCATGGTTGTTGAGGATGAGGTGAACCCATTGGTTCATTTGGATTGAAGCCAGCATGTAAAGGTTGACCAAACTCATTAACAGGGTTGTATAAGAATGGTGGTAATCTTTGTTGGTGTAATAACATTTGATTAAAATGATCCATTAAAGGATCCATACCTGGTTGACCTTCAATTGGAACTGGAGTTTCACCAGTTGATAAACCTTTAACACCATCAGTTGTTTCACCTGATTCATCTTTACCAGTATCTTTACCTGGAATGATACCAGTTGGACGAGCCCCACCATAATCCAAGTCTAAAGCACCTAAAGCCAAATTGATATCAACTAAATCAGTTGGAATAACAGATTCTAATTGAGAATCATCATCATTACGTCTAAATAAAGGAGGAGCAGTGGCAACAGATTGGTTTAAAGAGTTTGTTGATCTTTGTAATGGAGTTGTTGTATCATCAAACAGCTTAAATTTTGATTGTTGATCATTATTGAGAAAGTTATTACTTGGAGTTGAAACTGAAGCTGATCTATTTGGAGTTAAATGGATACTTGGAGTCAATGGTTCTTGAACTTTTGAAGAATCTTCACTGATTGAGTTGTTAGCAGAATTTTCAGCAGATGATGACATTATGATCTATTAAATTTTGAATAAAGCAAAAAAAAAACTGGGTTGATTGGTTGGTTATATTGAAATTATATGTAAATATCAAAACACTGGAAGTTTGAATTCAAAAGCACGAAAATGAAAACACTTGAAGTTGTAACGAAATAAATATGAATAAAGCGAACCTTTAGAACCTGATTTAAGATAACTCTGTTGTACCTATGAAATGCAATAAAACTGGAGTTCAAATGAATCTAAACAGCAGTTTGTCTTTGGACTGAAAGATATAGACTAAAAATACAAATTGATGATCCGAAGAAAATTGTATGAGTGACTCAGGTAAACCAGAAGACACTTATATGGTAATAATGTACAGAAGTTGAAGTATGTAGCAGCAGATTCAAAGTGCAGCCCTGTGTCAGTGGATGTTCTTGATCTTAGCGGTTAGTTTGACTTTTTTCTACTTGTAAATTTGCAATTTGTTTTGAAGATCGATCCTTCATTTTTCAATCGCTACGAAAAATTTTGAACAAATCAACACCGCGCGAAAACTCGTTGGCCGCGAAACGCTTAGGCCCACAGAGCATCACGCTAGGCAGAAGTGCTAGAAGGAGACAGCCAGTCTAGGCAGAGCTTTGTCAGAGAGTTAGACAGAGAACTGTCAAGCATTAGACAGAACACTATTAAGCTAATAAACTTCAGTTGTATCAATTTAGAGAAATACAATAAAAGAACATCTACATCAAAATTTAATTAATTATAACTTAATACTTATATTAGGAAAATGAATGTCAAAGACATTAAAATAGAAAAAAATGATCAAAATAGAAATCTAACCATAAATCAATAGGTTAAATATTTTTATAAACACTCTCTATGAAAAAACAATAATATTGGATGGAATGACAATTAAAATAAAAATTAGTTATTAAAAAATATATCAGATAAGGTATTAATAAATCAATCTAACCAGTTTGAAAAATCTATGATGATTTTTCATGTTGAGTGGAAACACGTTGCATAGCAACAACAAAATCTTCTAATGATCTTTGTTCATGTTTTTCTTTGATTGGTTTACCGTTCATGAATCTATCAAAAGCTTCAGATTCAGACATCAAGTAGTAAGCACCACCCATAACACAGAAGGTACCGAATGAGAAAATCCAGACACGAACAACAGTAACAATGTCGTTCCAGTTTTGTGACCACCAACCGAATAAAGCGAACATAGTAGCAATGATATCAACAATGAAGACGGCACCAGCTAATTGCCATGATGGGAATGATGACCAGAATGGACCAGCAGCACGAGTGATGAAAATTAACCAATTTTCAGTCAATGAAATTTGTAAAAACAAAACACCGTCAATTGAACCGAAATTTTGGATAATACCACCTTTTGGAACAAACATAGTAGTTAAAGTGATCCAAGTACCAACAGCTAAAATTATACCTAAAATAATAGACATACCCCATAATCTTGGTAAGTTCCATTTAACAGGTTTTGGAGCAAATGGAGCATTATCATAAGCAATAGCTAAAGTGGCAACATCAGCGAAAATGGCAATGAAAACAACTAAATCAATGTTTAATGATTCATTCAAGATGGCAATCCATAAACCTAAGAAGATTTCTAAATGTAATGATAAAGCAATACGGTAAACAACATAAGAGTACATTCTGTGGAAAATTTGTCTTGAAGTTTTCAAAGCATCAATGATAGCAGATAAACCTGGAGCCAAGAAAACAATATCAGAAGCGGAACGAGCAGAATCAGTAGCACCTTCAACAGCAATACCAGTATCAGCTTTCTTTAAAGATGGAGCATCATTAACACCGTCACCAGTCATGGCAACTAAGTAACCACGTTGTTGTAAGATTTCAACAACATTATATTTATGTTGTGGGAAAACTTCAGCAAAACCATCAGCATTTTCAACGAAATCAGCAATTTCAGAACCTGGCATGTCACCAGCACCACCTAAACCTAAACGTTCAGCATTGTAAATGTTGGTACCTAAACCTAATTGACGACAAGTTTCTTTAGCAATACCAACAGCATCACCAGTTAACATTTTAATTCTTAAACCTAAATGTCTAGCTTCGTTAACAGTTTTAGCAGTATCGTGACGTGGAGGATCCATACATGGCATAATACCTAAGATTTCCCAGTGACCTTCACCTCTCTTTCTAGCAACACCTAATGAACGGAAACCACGAGAAGCAAATTCAGAAACTTTGTTTTCATAAGCTTCATGGACTTCTTCTGGAATTGGATGGTCTTCTTCAACAGTTTTCAAAACGAATAATGGAGCACCTTTAACACAGATGATTCTTTCACCAGCTGGGGATTCAACTAAAGCAGTAACTTTCTTTGAGACAGGATCGAATGGGTGGAATTCAATAACTTTGTATTTGGTTAAAGCAGCTTTAGCTCTTGGGTATTGAGCTAAAGTTTTCAAGAAAGCCTTATCAATGGCATCTAAACCTTTCTTCTTTCTTGAAGCAGCTAAAGTGGCAGTTAACAATAAATCATCAGCATCAACACCTTCAACAGTGTATGGTTCATGTAATGATAATTTATTTTTGGTTAAAGTACCAGTTTTATCGGAACAAAGGATTTCAACACCAGCAAGAGATTCAATAGCAGAAAGTTTTTGAACAATAGCTTGTTTTTTAGCTAAGTAAGCAGCACCAACAGCCATGGTGGTGGTAACAACAGCTGGTAAACCGACTGGGACACCGACAATGGTAATAGCTAAAGTGTAACGTAAGATTCTAACAATTTTGTTAGTTCTGTAGAATGATGAGGTCCAGACAACTAATAAAGTAACAATAACTAAAACCAATAAAATAGTACCAATACCGTTTAAAACTTCGGTGAAATGACCTTGACCACCTGAAGCTTTGTTAACTAAAGCAGCAGCTCTACCGACAAAAGTGTTATCACCAGTAGCAGTAACAATCATGAAAGCTTCACCACGTTTGATGGTTGATGAGGAGAAAACATTGTCACCAAAGTGTTTGTCAACAGCTAAGGATTCACCAGTTAAAGCAGATTGATCAACTTGTAATAAAGCACCTTCGGTAACAATTCTACCATCGGCTGGGATAACGGTACCATCTTCTAATTGTAAGATATCACCTGGAACAATTTCGTTAGCAGCAACTTCAACTAAAGAACCATCTCTGATAACAACAGCAGAGTTAGCTAAGGTTTTTTTCAATTCATCGACAATAGAACCAGCTTGGTATTCTTGGATGAAACCAACAGCAGCATTCAAAAATAATAAACCTAAAATAACCCCAAAATCAACCCAATCTTCTAAACCGGCAGCTAAAATAGCAGCAGCTTCCATAACGAATTGAATTGGACCAATGAAGAACATTAAGAATTTAACAACTAAATTTTCTTTTTCTTCAGCCATTTGATTTAAACCAAACTTCTTTCTTCTTTTTGAAACTTCATCAGAAGTTAAACCATAAGATGGATCAGTTTGTAATAATTCTTCTGGAACTGGTCTAGCAGAAGCACCAGCTTCACCAGCTTCTTCTTCTTCTAAAGCATCAGCACCATTATCAGATTGTAAATCTTCAATCAATTGATCGATATCTTCATCTTCATCTTCATCATCTTCTGGAGCGGCCTTTGGGACCTTTTCAACGGTTGGTTGATGTTCTTGTTCTGAAGACATCTATTAAACTTGTTAGTAAATTGTACTCATGCAAAAAAAATTAGCTAACTAAAAGAGAGGAAATCCATTAATGAAGCTTTCAATTACTCCTCAATCTTCAATTCAATTCAATTCACATACTGTTCAAAACAAATCCCTGTGGTATCAATTTAACTTGTAAAACAAATTCAATAGATAGATAAAACGGGGTTGAATTGAGCAAAAACTTTTTTCTTTATAACTTGAACGTTTTTCCAATTCTTCCAATCTTGTTTTGATTTTTTGCAAAAAATTCCCAATCTCCCAGCGGAAAAACGAAAAAATCCAAACAGCCAATTGAAAATCTCCAAATCAGACAATTCTTGGAAAGGGCAACAAATGACTGCAATATCGCTCCGAAAAGAGTAATGCATAACCGGGAAAGGCCACAATACCAAATATGGAAATGCAACTGCCGTAAACAAAAGATAATCCTTATTGAGATGGCCCACAAAGTGTAAACACTATAACATCTCCATCATGGGTATAAACGACAGTGGTATTGAGAGTTGAAACAATTGATTGATTGGGTTTGGAAGTATTGACTGATTGAACTAATGAATGATTGAATAAGCTTCACTTGGATTCCTAATTGCTAGTTAAACTGAAAAAATTGGTACTCACTTTCAACAATTCAAACCTTTACTTTTGTATATGGGTATAATAATAAAACTATCAATTAACTTTAAAGAGTGAACTCTTATATCATAAAATCAATAGAAATGTATGGAATAATACAAAATATTTGGTAAGGTAAAGTTGAATGAAAACTTCTAACACTATTCAAAAAAAACTTCGAAAGATTCAACAATTGAAAAGTTAAAGAATTCAAATTGTTTATATATCTTTTTTTCGGATTTGGGATCCTCGAGGTTTGAGTAAAAAAAAATTTTGGATGGATGTAATTGGCAAAAGAAAAACTTTATCAGCTTGAGTGAGTTTAACCATAAAAAGTATTGAGTCTCGCATACCAAAAGTCTCTCATTTATGTGTTCCTAATCATTTTCGCTAGTCTTTAAACAGTTTGAAAATATCTCAAAGTTTACGTTTTCCCGAATAGAGCAGCCTTTTACCACCACAATTAGCATGCAACTCCAATTGGGAAAACGTCCTATGGAGCCGGCCGTGGATACATTGGGACTAGCTCTGACTACGTTATGTACTGGCTAGTCTCACTTCGTTGACTCGTCGATGTATAAAGCTCTGCTGGTAAATTTCCAATTTGCAAAGAACCAGTTGAATCCGATTAATTGATTAAACACCTACGTAAGTGTCGAGAGAATTAAAATGTCGACGAAGTACATGGTTAAT